TCACTGATCCGGGTCTTTTGAGGAACCAGATCACTGTTTCTCCTGACTTCTGGTCGATTTTGCAGCGGATACATCAGCATGCAGAAGCTGCGCCATTGGTTTTCGAGCTTCTTCAGACTATCGTCGACTCCACGCCTCCGATTGTCAGCGCAGATAACTATGAATCCGCCGTTGGTCTCGCGAATGAATTCATTTCTGCTGGTAGCGTTGGTGCATTCGAAGAGAGGCAGAGAGACGCTCTTTCTCGACGGACCAAAGGTGTCAAGCAGCCGAAGCAAAGGTATGCTTTTGTCTTATTTTTTTTCTTCTCCTTTTTCTTCTTTCTTTATGGTTAAATGTTTTCTGCTGTCAGAACTGACAGAATCAACAGTGAAAACCAGGTTGTTGCTCGCGGCGTGAAGGCCATTGGTCTGATTTACCATCTAACAAGGCGTGCTCCCGCACTTATCTCGCAGTCACACCTGGAAAAGACCGAGGGTATGCACGGAATAATCTTTCTTTGACGGACAATAGTTACTGACTTCTGAACAGCTTGGTCTGCGTACTGGACCCCCATTTTCCAAACCTTGACCTCCCAGTGCATCAACCCTTGCAGGGATATCCGACACCACGCTATATCCACACTCCAACGCGCTCTTCTGTCCGTCGAGTTGATTTCTGGTGACGATAAGGACTGGACTTCTATCTTTGACCAAGTCCTCTTCCCGCTTGTTCTACGACTGCTGAAACCCGAGACCTACCATTCGGATCCGCGTGGAATGAGCGAGACTCGTGTACAGGCAGCAACTTTGATCTGCAAGATCTTCCTCCGCTATCTCGATCAGCTCCCGAACCAGGATGCCATGTTGGATCTATGGTTGAAGATTCTGGATATCCTTGACCGAATGATGAACAGCGGCCAAGGTGATAGCCTGGTATGTTCCTTCTTTCCCTCTCCACCTATAGTTCAAGGTCTAAAAGATTTACAGGAGGAAGCCATCCCCGAAAGTCTCAAGAATATCCTCCTGGTCATGGCAGATGGAGGCCACTTGGTCCCGCCGTCTCAAGACGCAAGCAAAGAGCAGATCTGGGTTGAGACGAAAAAGCGTCTGGAGAGATTTCTCCCCGCTCTCTTCGTAGAGATCTTTCCAGATGCTAACCAAGAGAAGTCCGCACCTGTCTCTGGGGTTTCGTCGCCTGTTCCTCCATCGTCGTCGGCGGGTGAGAAGGCCAATGACGAAGGTACTGGCGCTGCTGAAGCTGGTGCCGGTAGTGATGAAAAGAGCGATTAGATTTTCTTTTCCTTTCTTGTTTTTCTTCTCTTCTCCCGTTTTATACCTTCTACAGTATCATTCACATACGGGCAATGGTCTGTTTCGGTTAATATGTTTGGCACTCGGCTCTTTGACATTAGCGTGGGTGGTTTCTGAGATGCATGTGTAAATATATAATCTTATCAATTGAACAAGAATGGGACGTACAGCAAGACCTCAAAGGACCATATATCTGTAGCTCTTATATGGAACAATAAATAGATTTGAAGATTCTACGCTGTCCATCGATTCAGTGAGCTCCACGCCTCGCTGTTAACCCTAATCGGATAGAAAGTATTGCCGTCTCGCTCATCACGAAAAACCATTCGAATGAAATAAAGGCTTCACTGCGAAGAGAATCACTCGCAACTGAAGTTTCACAATAATTGCTTGTCTTGCACAACAGGCATTTGTAGTCCATGCTGATCTGCCAAATCCCTATAATAACGAAAACTTTGCACATGTCGCACACTTGCCACCACGTGAGTCATCCTCGGCTGCTTTTCAGAATTATCATACTACTCGCAGCACTATATTTTTAAGGGGTCATTAATTTATTGCCTAGATCTTAATTAAAGTCCATAGAAACTGCATAGAAACAATCATAACGCCAGAACTACAGTTCTGACATGGAAGTGACTATTCATTGCGTGTTGGGTTGGTTGAGACTATTCAAAACAGTATTATAGCAAAAGCATCATCTAGATACAGCAGTTCATCGTATATGTTGGTGGTAAATTCAGATATTAATACAGTATCATCCAAGCAAACCCAGTCAAATCTAACCCAAAAGACTCCAAGCTCATAAATACGCCAGCCCTAGATCAGGCTTATATCTAAATCATACCAAGGAAGGGGGCTTAACCCCCGGAAGCCGCCGGACACTATCCCAGACACTATCAGGTATCCTAAAAGGCAACTTGTGCCCCTTGAGCGACTGATCAATTAACCACATTCCCACAACAAACTCCTCTCTGTCCAGAAGCCCGTTCTTCTGTCTATCAACCAGATTCCAGATCTGCGATAGCACCATTTCAGACAGACGGCTGCGCGACCAGATATCGCGCACAACGAGGTTGAGTACCATGTCAGAGGCATTGGTTGGGTATTTCGTTCGGACCTCTTGGTAGTATGCGACGGCATTAGAACCGAGGGCTTTTGCTTGCGAGGGGAGAGGGGGAATGGGGATTAGGTGCCCTTTGTTGGCAGCCCAGACGCCTTCGTAGCGCTTGCGTTCTTGTTCGCCCACGGCGCTTTGCCAGCGTTTGCGGTCTCCTTCGTGGTGTTTGTGCGGGTGTCGGAGTAGGTGGTGGTGGTTTTGCTCCGGGGGTTCTGGTTTGGGTCGATCGCGAAGCGTTTGGCGCATGCCCTTGGGAGGGCTTGGGAGTCGTGGGTGGGAGCGATTAGTGTCATTAGAGTTACTGCGGAAGTGGCCCAAGCTGTTTAGGATGGAGCGAGAACGGGATCTTCTTCGGGGTTTGGGCGGGGGCGGGGGTATCTTTTTCGACGGGGTTGCGTGGGATGATGCAATGGACGAAGCGACAATGGCGTCAGATAGCGATTCTGTATCCATGCCGCTTGATTTGTCCAAAGTACTGGTGCTGCTGTTGTTATGCGAGGCGGTCGAGAGCGATGCCATACTGGGTGTTGGGATTGGTTTCGAGGGTTCGAGATCTTGCATTATGATTCCCTGGCTTCGGGGAAGGCCCCGAGACACGGGAGAGCCATTTGGTCGAGGCCGAGGTGGTAGGGCAGGCCTGGGCGAAAGGGGTCGCGAACTCAGACTAGTACGCGAATCGTTCGTCGTCTTGTCATTGACATCATTGCTCTGCGGTGCTGTGGGAAAGGTGCTTGATCTTGTGGGGAGCGGCGGTTGGAATAGCTTCTGCGAGCTAGGTATAGGAGATGGAGAATAGGTTGACCTTGTTGCGGCAATCCGGGCAACACTGGAAGACGACGAGGTCGGGGACATGATCGGCTTTCGCGGAATGACCGGCGGCTTTTGAGGCAACGGGGGCGGCTCTCCGTCTTCTCGTAATAGGTTTTGCAGTGCTGGGCTGGACGCAGCTGGATTTCGAATTGGCTTCGGTGCAGCTAAGACCGGTTCCTGTCTGCTCTGCGCATGCATTATGCCTCCGGTAGGTTTCTTCTCGTTCCGTACGGGGGACCGTTCCGCTGCCAATCGGGCGGCGACGAGTTGTGGCGTTCGTGATCGGGCCGGGAGTTTGACGGTCTCCAGTGTATTATCGTTATTTTGACTCAATGGACTCGATCCGCGAGAGTGCGCCGCGAACCTCCCGATCTTGTCCTTGACAGAACCCGCTTCTGGTACTGGAATGGAGTCGGCATCGGAAGGGGATAGGGATCGGCTCGGAGCATTAAGATGATGCGGGCGAGTTGGTTGGATATCTGGAAAAACAGCGGTTCCCATAGTTTGGATTCTGTTCTTAACACCTTGCGATGGAGCGTCTTTGGAAGGTTTGTTGGTGAATGCGAGTGTTGCTCCTTGAAGCGCCGTCAAGTTGATGCGGTCAGGGACATGATGCGTCTGGTTGCTGCGGATCGAAGCAGAGGACTGCGGTCTCGCCATACATGGAGAGTGAGGGGGGTCTGAGGACACGATAAACACTATCCAAAGGTGAATTGATTAATTATAAGTCGTTTTGTGAATGAAAAAGACCCGATGGGCGTTCTCAGAAAGACGAGGCTGGGAGTGATGCTGACTCATCAAGGTGGTCACTGCTTATATCGAGCCCCGATATCTCTCCTCATTTTCTTGTCCTATTTCTCTGGGCATCTCTCTCAAATTGCTTTGTTTCAGTGCTCTCACATCATCCTTTTTATAGCACCAATAGATATACGACTACCCTTCGTTCGTCGTGTCCTGAGCCACCACTATGCCCTCCAGCTCCACGACTTCGGCAAATCTCCTTGGCCTAATTGCTGGTCACCTTATGGGCTATAAGCTGGACATGCCATGATAGGTTCGGGGGCATGGATACTAAATATAGATGTATTAAATGCTGCGCTTTGCTAATATTTTGACACCTGGCTTCCTCTGCCATTCTGGTTGGATTCTTTCCGAACCTAGCAAGGCTCATATAATAGCGGATGCTTTCTGTAGATCACTCTCATAAACCAAGATATCTTCCCCACAATTCCAACCAGACCTGTCCTAGAAACAGCAGCTGTCACCTTACCAACATGTTGGTCGAGCACTGGCCCGTGCCAAGGACAGCATAGCTCTGCACAGTGTTAGTCCTCGACACGAGGGATGTATTGCCATGATGGAGCGCCTGTGACGTCTAGAGCAGAGATCACTGTTTCCGGCTGTTCAAGCTTGCTGCGTGTCGGGGATTAAGCGGCCATTGGAATATGGAGCTGGACTACGGAAATTGTGGAGAGATATGTCATTTTCTTATTGAGTGCGAGGAACATTGAGTTGCGCGTGGAATGCCCCTGGAGATTATACACCAATTTAATGGGGAAATTCCCTATAGATTTCTAGGGTCGTGGTGAGAATTAGCTAGAAGTATCACAATGCCTTGCATGTTCCTCAGGCACCAGGCACCAAGCATGATGTCACGTCACATGCTTCCTTATCTTATCGGCGCTGCAGCCTAGGACTTAGTAAAACATAAAATAAGACCAGCTATTCTTCCATCGCAAACCACCTTGGGCAAACCACGGGAGGTAATTGTCAGAAAAATGGACTCAGACGAGGTTATGGGGCCTGTGGTCGTGGAGCAGGATGAAGACCTTGACGAGAAGTAAGAGTCTAATTTCGTTGGGAAAATTCATCGAAACTAACGCTACAATGGTAGATTTCCTAACCGCCCTCAGAATCATGCTCCTACATTCCCTTTTCACGAACTCTTTCTTAACCTCTTCAACCCACTCAGCGAAATCAAGAAAAAGCCTGCAGGGCAAGGCTCCGCGCGCCGCAAAGTGGGTCCTAGTGGAAAGTCTTCAGCGAATCTAAACCCCTTTGAGAGGCGACGGGATATAATAGAGCGATTCATATCCCGGTGGAGGAGGGATGTGGGCGATGACATCTATCCGGCGTTTCGCTTAATTCTTCCAGACAAAGACCGGGATCGCGCAATGTATGGAATGAAGGAGAAGGTCATCGGGAAGATGCTCGTGAAGATCATGAAGATCGACAAGAATTCGGAGGATGGGTTCAATCTCCTGAATTGGAAACTTCCTGGGCAGACAGCAGCGACACGGATGGCTGGCGACTTTGCAGGTCGATGTTACGACGTGATTTCGAAACGACCCATGCGGACGGAACTCGGGAACATGTTGATCGAAGAAGTCAATGAAAAGCTCGATCAGTTGTCTGCGGCCTCGAAGGAAGAAAACCAGCTACCCATCCTGGCTGAATTCTATCATCGAATGAGTCCCGAGGAGCTCCTGTGGCTGATCCGGATTATCTTGCGGCAGATGAAGGTTGGGGCGACGGAGCGGACATTCTTTGACGTGTGGCATCCAGACGCAGAGAACTTGTATAGTATTTCTAGCAGCTTACGGCGCGTCTGCTGGGAGCTCCACGACCCCAACATTCGGCTGGAGGCAGAAGACCGGGGTATAACATTGATGCAATGCTTCCAGCCCCAACTGGCACAGTTTCAAATGCATTCATTGGAGAAGATGATAAGCCGCATGAGGCCAACAGAAGACGACCAGGCTTTTTGGATCGAGGAGAAGCTCGATGGAGAACGTATGCAGCTGCATATGGCGCCTGACAATTCGTTACCTGGAGGCCGGAGGTTTGGCTTTTGGTCGAGAAAGGCCAAGGACTACACCTATCTATACGGTAACGGGATACACGATGAAAACGGCGCACTAACTAGACACCTCGGGGATGCGTTTGTGGACGGTGTGCAGAGCGTGATTCTGGATGGCGAGATGATCACATGGGATTCCGAGCAGGATGCGCCTGTTCCGTTCGGTACATTGAAGACAGCTGCAATCGCTGAGCAGCGGAATCCTTTTTCCACGGGACCACGGCCTCTGTTTCGTGTTTTTGATCTCTTGTATTTGAACGGGCGGGACGTGACGAAGTATACTCTACGTGACCGTCGAAATGCCTTGCAGAAGGCTGTCAAACCAGTTAATCGGAGGTTTGAGATACATCCGTATCAAGAGGCCACCACTACTGCAGAAATCGAGACTGCCCTGAGAACAGTTGTCGCGGAAGCCTCTGAAGGGCTGGTGCTGAAAAGCCCCAGATCGCCTTACCGGTTGAACGAGAGACATGACGACTGGATGAAGGTGAAGCCAGAGTACATGACCGAATTTGGCGAATCTTTGGATCTTATAGTGATTGGCGCGTATTATGGCAGCGGCCGTCGGGGAGGTTCTCTTTCCAGCTTCCTGTGCGGGCTGCGCGTTGACGGTGCCCATAGCTCACAAAGCACCAATTCCATGAAATGTTACTCTTTCTGCAAGGTTGGCGGAGGTTTCAATGCACAAGATTATGCGAACATCCGCCATCACACAGACAGTAAATGGGTACATTGGGATCCAAAGAAACCACCCACGACATACATCGAGCTGGCCGGGGGGGATGCACAGTACGAACGGCCAGACGTGTGGATTAAGCCAGATGACTCGGTTGTCCTGTGTGTCAAGGCAGCTTCGGTTTCTGTCAGCGACCAGTTCCGAATAGGACTGACTCTGCGGTTCCCGCGATTTAAGAGACTACGCAGTGACAAAGACTGGAGGAGTTCTCTTTCTGTTCAGGAATTCCTCGATCTCAAATCGAATGTAGAACAGGAGCATAGAGAGAAGGAGTTCAGTATAGATAACAGCCGCAAGAAGCGGGTTAAGAGGACAACGAAGAAGGCTCTCGATATAGCGGGATACGGCGCTGACAAGGAAGTTGGATATGTTGGACCATCTGGCCATATCTTCGAAGGGTTGAACTTCTGTATGTCGACGCCATCACACATAGGAGCTCTACTGACCATGAATAGATATATTGACGGATTCGAGCACGCCAGAGCAGAAATCGAAAGCTGAGCTGGAACAGCTTGTCAAAGCCAACGGGGGCAAATTTTTTCAGACGAGCACTGCTGCACCAAATACTATTTGCATTGCGGATAGAAGTATGACATCCATTTCGGTGAAGATACCTAACAGAGACAAACTGACACAATCCAGGAACGGTGAAAGTTGCATCATTGCAGAAAAGCGGCGAAATGGATATTATCCGACCCTCGTGGCTTATGGACTGTGTCAAGCAAAACACCGTCGATGCAGGCCTTCCAGACCTACTCCTTCCCCTTGAAGCAAGGTTCGCACACACCTGCACTCCTCCTGATGTTGGATACCTGGTGTTGAACATAACGCTCACACGAACCAGACACATGTTCTTCATGACAGCCAACAAAGAAGAGGAAGTTAAATCAAACCTCGACGAGTTCAACGACAGCTACGCCCGGGATACGACAGCCAACGAAATCAAGGACATCCTTGAACGAATGAGCGAAGAGCACAACTTTGACAGCACGCAGAGTCCCGATACAATTACCAAAATCACCGAACGCATCCAAGAACGCGCATCCTCCGGCTACGAAACCCCGATTGGATGGCTTTTCAGAGGTCTCACGTTCTACTTTAACCGTCCCCAACCCGACGAAACAAAAGAGATAGACCAAGCACATAACCTCCGCACAGTCGTAGTGGCCAACATCGCCCGATTTGCCAGCGCGGAGATAGTCTCTGACATGGAGGACAGGACTATAACCCACGTAATTATGGACCCTGATACGCCGGCTGCGGAGATATCCGCGTTTCGGGGATCGTTGGCGGCCCGAGGCGCTGGAAGGAAAGTGCCGCATATCGTCACGAGTAAGTGGATTGAGGAGAGTTGGGATGCGAAGACGTTGTTGGACGAGGAGAGTGAGTCTTACCCTTTGTTTCGTGGTAAATTCTATGTGTGCTAAACGTTGTTGTAGGGTTTCAACCTGCTAGGTGATACGAGTGTTGTTTGATTAGCTTGCGATGATACCAATAATTCCCTCTACTTTTTCTTTTCTTTTTTTCTCCTCGGAAAGAATCAAATCTGTTAGCATCTCACGATAACCCAACCCAATGAGTCATATGTACATAGCCTTGCTACCACGCACGTACACAATATTATAACACAATAATCCCTACTCGTCACCGGTTCCATCCCACATCCAACAAGACTTGTACTAGCCCTGTACAGTATCCAGGGTATGCGTCCCCGAGATATACCACGCACCACACCCAATTGATAAATGCAGGGTACACACGTGCAGTCCTAGTACTGCACCCTGTACGGACCCCATGCAGCTGCGTATCAGCATCAAAACATACAAGTAGTAGAGTATGATTGAAGCAGATGGTATAATAAAGACGCCATACCCCGCGTTTGTGATTGGGTAGAGATTAGAGATAAGAATTGAGGTGGGTGGGATTGGTTCGGGAGTCGCGACAAGGGTCGTCGTATGATACGGAGTATGTATGAACTAAGGCCTGTATTCTAGGTTTGCGCCGGAGATACACAAGAGGTGTATCTTTTACCAAGTAAGCTCTGTGCTCTTGTCTGCCGTCGTACATGTCTAATCCAAGCAGATGACCTGTTCATGTGCCATTTGGCTAAGTGGATGGCGTACTATACAGGGTGCAGGGGCCTGCTGCGGAGCGTCATGTTGCAGGTTGCATCGAAATGAATAAATTAAACAATGGATAAGATAAGATAACTGTTGTTCTGTATTCCAAGTCATATATGAAACAATTTCATATCCCAATTCCCAACGCCTCGCTCATGGTATTTCCAAAAGTTAAAAAAAAGTTGCAATAATTCGTACACAGAAGAAGTAAAAAAAGTATTCAAACAGTGATGCCAATCCATCGCGATGGAATGCCATTTTCATCCTCATCCTCCTCTTCAAAGTCGTAAAAGTAGCCGTCGTATGGACATCGGGGCTGGCTGTTTTTGCGCGGTGGCAGCCATACCCGCGCTCGTGGGGGGATGTCGTTTCGGAGCTTGCCGCTGCGTCTCATGTTCATCTCCAAAACCACCACGCGTAAGAAGTCGCTGTTTTCTCTGGGCTCACGTTGACGCGACATGGGGGAAATCTCCGGGTCAAACGGGCAGCATGGTCGATTCCCGCGACTCCCCGCGCCAGCCAGGTGAAATGCACGCTTGCGGTTGCTGCGGCCCCCGCTCCGGCGATAAGTCTGCATCTGGATGGAAACCGGGCTTTTCCGGGAAGCCTCAGCAGCCCCATGAGGGTGTTCATCGTGGTAGATATGCATCTCGGCCGGCGAGACGATGATAGGGTTCAGATACCGTCGAAGAGCAGGCGACGGCGGTTCGTCCATTGGTGGAGGTCGACGGTCATCGGTCAGTTCTGGCGTGATGGTAAACAAAGATCGAGTGAGAAAGTCATCCGGCTGAACGGACGGGGTGGTGAATGCAGATACAGTCTGAGCCGCTGACTTGAGGGCGCGCAACGATGCTGTCAGATTGGATTTGAAGGATCCAAATCGTGCGAATGACCGGGACGGAGATGGGGTCTGATGGGAGACTGAATCTGTCAAGGCAGCCTTTGTTTTGCCCATGCCGTCCACCTCCGCATCGGATAGTAGCGTATCGAGAAGGGGATGGTTGAGAGCACAATCCTCGGAAAGCGACACTCGCCGGTACTTCTTCTCTGAAGGACTCCTCGGGCTGAATGGAGAGAACGAACCCGGCGAACTCGACGGCGAGTCCAAGTCATGATCTAGCGACGGCGTGGATTCTGTCGACAAAGATCGACCGGAGAGAGACGCCATATCACTATCACTTCCTATGATGGACATCCTTTCGGCCTCCTCGGGAGGACTAAGTAAAAGATCCAAGGCGGAGTTTCCAGTCCCTGCCAGCAGGCGGTCTTCTTCCACGTCGTCCATCAACATTTTGCTGAAATCCTCCAAATGAATCTTTCGAGGGAGCTTTCGGGTTGTGCGCGTCGGCCGGTTACGTCTGGGGGCCGGGATCGCAGTGGCTTCCAAGATAGAAGCAACGGAGGAGGGCAAAGGACGGCTCTTGCCAGACACGTTCGACGAAGCCCGGCGGAGGGTCTGCGATCGTTTCGGGGGTTTGGGACCACTACCGGTGGACAGCTGACACGAAGACCTCAGAGAGGAATCATATGTTGTAGGGATGACGACCGGGCTGGTGTGGGCTGTCGAAGGAGCCTCGGTGGGAAAGTCGTAGTAGTCGGAGACATCTCCGAAAGCATCCCGCCGGCAACGCTTGCCGTCACCATGAGTGTAACTGCTTTTGGGAGAAGCCACGGGCGTAAATAAAAAGGCTTTGGGGATCATTGTCGCGTAGTGTTATTAAGCCTTTGTACCAAAGAACAATCGTGTAGGGCCTAAGCCTGGTGAGGCACTCTGGTCGAGTGTCTGAACGAGATACATGGATGGACGGGAAAAGGAAATATTTAAAACCACCCTCTCAGTGAGAAAAGCCTAGAGGATATATGGACAGCAAGCAGAGGTGCTGTGTTGGCAGTGAGGCTGTCGAGGATTAACAATAAGCCAGAGATGGGTATGGCCGGGGCTGCTTTGGGCAGCGGTCCGCATGCAGGCACGCGACTCTGCAGGTCTGACTATGCACTGGGGATGATGTGGGAGGACAGAAAAAGAAAAAGAGACGTGGGGGCAGACCAGACAGAAGAAGGAAGGGAAATGAAGAGGAACAGACGATTATAAGGAGAACAGACAAAGAGACTAATAATTAGAGAGAGAAAGAGACGGGAGTACGGAGTACGGAGTACAGCGATGTCATTCTTTGCTGACGGCAAGCGAGCCAGATAAGCTGCGGGTAACGACATTACACCGGTATTATATACCGGAGCGGTCAGAGATATTCATTGTATGTGATTGGCCGCAAGGGACACTACGCAGGGTTGGTCATCTTTTCGGGACGCTGCGGAATCGTTACGCAAACGGTATGGGTAAATCTTTATTGGCGTATAGGTTGGAAAAGCGGGTCAGGCAGCGCCGAGATGCCTAAAACAGCAAACAGCACGACACCGCCTTTTTTTGCGTCTGCCCAATGTGTAATGCAGTATTACATTCTGTTACGCACGATGATGCTTATTTTGAATAATGTACGGAGTATGGAGTAGAGTAGCATTCAAGAGTATAATTGATGTAACACTATTATCTGAATAATAGGTTTGTGTTGTATCAGATCCCCTGTCTTCCATACTCCGGATATACCCTGTCGTGGAAAACCCCTAGAATTTTCCTTGTTTAAGGTTGTTTCTAGCGTCCCTGTATACCGAACGAAACCACCATAACAATCTTAAATACATAATTAGCGAGTTATATATGAAGGACTGAAACATAATAATAAAAACTTTTCAAGTCTCATTTATAAGCATAAATCAAAAACTTTGTGGAGCGTAAGGTATTCATTTGTATGATTGACTGCTGTTCGCTGTGCTGTCAACTGCGGTCTGTATGAGAATTCTTACTATGTATGCGCTGGAGATCCTCGTTGCACTGAAAATCTCTTACCTGAATATTTGGAATAAAATTGGATTTAAAAGAATAATTCAAAGTCAAACTCCATACTTTTTTTTTTCTTCTTTGTTTCTGTCTCATCTGAGTAGCATGAGGACTCCAAGACCGACATGCGATTGATAGCCTGATAGGAGTATCTTCCTACAGCACAGACACTACGGAGTATACAACGAGCCATACCAATGTTCTTGCGCTATCAATTGTACCAATATTGACCAATTTCTCTTAATCTGCGTAAAATAGAACACACAATGCAACTGTTGATTTTAGCACGAAATTGTCCAATTAACATCACGTCTTAGTCAGCCCCGCTAGTCCGGGCAGTTCGTCCCCATACTGCACTCCGTACATACTGTGACTGCAGTCAATCAGATTCGTCGCTTCTATCAGATTGCCCAATAATCCTCGGCCGATTACAGTAGAATAAGATTCTTCCATTGCTCTCTTATCGCCTCCAGCAATAACCCGTCTGTGCGATTCGGCACCCTCCACCTCAGATCCTCTACTCCACTGTGGGGTGAAGTCCCTGTTCTTGATCTGAGAGTTTGTCTACCCATGGTTGATGATGGATACGGTCTTAATGCAGCAGCTAACCGTCTGTCTTCTTCTTTCTCCCCAGTTAACGAATGCTGTGCGCATGTCGACCATTCGCTCTATCGGTCCCTCGCGAACCCCTATAGCGGCGGCGATGCTCTGTCCGAATCGGCGTCCATGAAAACCGCCTAACCCACCACCTACCTACCTTAGTCGACGAAGCATGACCATTTCTGGTCTCACTCGTCCCCCTGCACGCGCACTGCCAGATACATAACATGGAAGTCTCCTTGTACACAATGCAGGATTCCCAGACACCCAAGGACCCTCGGGCGGCCGGCAAGGCAAAGGACACAAGCGCGGAAGATAAAAGTCCAGCGTCCAAGAGACGTTGCGTCAGTACTGCTTGCATTGCTTGTCGCCGGAGAAAATCAAAAGTGAGGCATTGGAGCTGTGTGTTAGCGACTCGAGTAAGCTGACAATTACTGCTTAGTGTGACGGGAACCTTCCAAGCTGCGCGGCCTGCTCCTCCGTCTATCACACGACCTGTACGGGAATCGTTGGAAATCCCATTAAGGGCTACAGCTGACTTAACCCAGGCATTTACGATCCCAACTCCGATCATCGTCGAAAAGGTGTGTATAGAAAGGACAATGGCACTGTACGAACGGCTCGGAATACAACGCTGCAAACTATCATCCAGGCAATTTTGAATTACGGAGATGAAGAGGAGGCCTTTGAGCTGGTGCGACAGATACGGTCATGCGACAATCTGGAAGACGTAGCAGAATCGATTGTGAATCAGGAGAAAGGACTCGCAACGTCTGCTAATGCTGGGCCTGTCCACGAGGATCTCACACATGTAGATCGGTTCGAGTCTGAATTAGCGGACAAGGTCAGCGAGCTGATGTTGGACGGTTCTCGTAAATTTATTGGAGGGACTTCGAACCTCATCTTCCTACCACCAGGGTCAGAGCTCTCCGAACTCGATTCCGCCAATGAACCTGGACATGGCGATTTCGCGGTTGTCCAATGGACGAATGTCACCAATGATGAGCAGCTTATCAGCCACCTTATGACAATGTACTTTACATGGCATTACCCCTTCTTCACAACCCTCTCCAAAGACCTGTTTTACCGAGACTATGTTCGAGGGATATCCAGTCAATATTGCTCTTCCCTGTTGGTCAATGCCATCTTGGCGTTGGGGTGTCATTTCAGCTCCCGAGAAGGCGCTTTGCAGGATTCCCGCAATTCGTCAACGGCAGGAGACCACTTCTTCAAGGAAGCAAAGAGATTGGTTTTGACCAACGACGAGCACGAGAATGCGAAACTCTGCACTGTTCAAGCGCTGGCGCTCATGTCGGTCCGGGAAGCTGGCTGTGGCCGTGAAGGCAAAGGCTGGATTTACAGCGGCATGAGCTTCCGGATGGCTTTCGATTTGGGCCTGAACCTTGATGTCACGAGCCAGGGCACACACAATCTTGAAGATGAAGAAATTGACGCGCGACGGATCACATTTTGGGGCTGCTATCTCTTTGACAAGTTCGTCGACTCTGTACACCTGCGCAGTTTTCTAGTTACTAACTACTATAGGTGTTGGTCTAATTACTTGGGTCGCCAGCCGCAGCTGACAACATCCAATTGCAACGTACCGAAAATCGATGTGCTTCCCAACGAAGAAGCAGAGCTTTGGTCTCCATACACGGATGCCGGAGTGAATCACGAACACACGCAGCCCTCGCGTACACGGAACGTTGCATTGCAGATCTCCAAGCTGAGTGAAATTAGTGGTGACTTGCTCATTTTCTTCTATCTCCCACCATCCGCAGAAAAGCCACCCTCTAAACAACTGGAACTCAAGAAACTCAGCGAGGTCCATACTCGTCTTGAGGCGTGGAAGAAGGGGTTGCCTCATGAATTGGAACCTAAAGAGGGACAGCTCCCTCAGGTTCTAGTGATGCAGTAAGTTGTGCCCACACTATTGTAAGGCTATGCTAACCATGTGAAGCATGTTCTATCAAGTCCTTCTAATCCATTTATACCGCCCCTTCTTGAAATACACCAGGTCGACTTCGCCACTTCCTCAACACGTCTCGCCGCGTAGACTATGCACACAAGCTGCTTCTGCCATCTCGAAGCTACTTCGGATATACAAGCGTACATTTGGCTTCCAACAAATCTGCAATATTGCTGTCTACATTGCACACACCGCCTGTACTATCCATCTTCTGAACCTGCCAGAGAAAAACGCACAGAGGGACATAACCCACGGGCTCCGGAATTTGGAAGAAATGGCTGAGGGCTGGCTTTGCGCACGACGCACCCTTCGCATTCTGGACATATCTGCCAATAAGTGGCAAGCTTTATTGCCGCAGGAGGCGTCTATCATTTTCGAACGTACACATGCCAAATGGGGATCCTGGGGATCCTGGGATCAACCAACCTCCCCGTCCTCTATTTCGGAGGAATCACCACCAGCGGCAACGCCTCCTCGTATGCCCACCGCTAGTGCCAACTCGCCATCGTTGCATCCCGCACTTTCTCAGCAAAGCAACTTCCAGTCTATCTCCGCAGGCTTGGCTATGCCCATGACATCTCAGTATCAACAAGGAAACCCCATCCCTACGTCGGTCCCCGCTACGCAGCCGCCAAGTCGCCCTGTTAGTATTCAGCGCCAAAAGCCCGATAACCAGTTCGTACCAGAACCAACTTATCTACGGCCTGTATCCCACCTTTTCCACCCTGTTCAAGCCTTTCCTTTCACGCAGCATGATTCGTGGTACGATGCCAATCAAATGGATAATCAACAAACAAGCCCATCTTCTGGTACAGATGCATCCCCACTAACTGGCGGTTTCAGTTCTACAGCGAACCTCGTGGAGGAAAGCCAGGACTGGTGGACCCGCAATTATATGGGAATGGGTAATTGGGAGGAAGCATGGAGTGGAATTCCTGGCTCTGCGGCATCCCCGCTATCCTCTCATATGCAGGCATCGGCTGGGAATAGCGGTGAAGTACCGTCTCAGCCGATGGAGTTTCCTGTTGCGGTGCCTACGCCTGAATCGGGCCAAGGTCCGAACCCACTTGTTTATGGGAATATGGGGTTTACGCAAAACTTTCAGCCATGATACTGCCAGTAATGATAATATATATATATATCCTATATACCTTGTTTATACGCTGTCTTTCTTCAATCTATATTTTAAGGTGATTGTGATAATTCCAGATGGCCTATTAGACTTATCCTCGACTCTAGCCAAGCCCATTTTATATAGCATCGATATACTAAAATCGTAGTATCTCGGGCCATGCGTCAATTCAAATCATTTACCACGGAAAGCGGCTATGAGTTTTTATCCAAATCCAGCGGTCAAAGTATCTTATTGCCCAACCTTCCTTCCAGGGCGATTCCCGATATGATCTACTCAACGAGAAGAGTATCCGATATTCCGATTGAGATGACAAGTATACATTGCCTATTATCGTACGCACCTCGTCGGAACTCAGGATAGGACAACACAGGCATTTTCCTCTCTTCCTGGGTAAACCTCATTATACCCATCCGACGTCACAACTCGCCCTCTCCAGAACCAACCACGGAATGAATGCCTCTAGATAAACAAATATACAGCCATATACATCCATATCGTGAACTGTGAAGTTCCACTCGTGTCCGGATCGGCGTTTCCATGGAACGGCCGCAGTCGTGGGTGTTCTCGTTACCTCCCAAGTCTTCGCATTCTAGGTGTATAGGCGGATCAACGGACCGTAAGTACCCTGGCTCTTGATTAGTGAGGTGCTAAGTAAGGGTTGCTAATACCTGCTTAGATACATGGATATCTAACGTACACAGTCAATGATATATCCATGATTGTTAGGTGTGTTTGCTGTCCAACCCATACCATAGCGCCTTCATCAACCCCCCGAATCTGACTTCGTTTCTTGAAGTACCTACAGTGACGTCTGCTAACACGGACTGGGATCCATACTGAAAAACCTTTTCATATGGCCGCATCCAATGCTGCGACATCTACAATCTTCGTGAAGTGCATGCCTTGTGACAATAAGACACGCGCCCAGAGCTTATTCCATCGGATTATCTTGAAAGATGCAGCTGTTGTGAAGTATTTTCAGATCCTGTGGTCGAGGAAGCCTACAAAATCCCCCACAGACCTTTTATTGGATTGACAGGCTCCTCTCCTTTGCTCTGTTCCTGGGGAAGAACATGCCAGATTTGACAGCATTGTCGTTATGCTCAATAGATGTGCTCGCGGGCTGGGGGTCAGCCTAGTGGATCTAGTGTTTCAATGACATATATTTTATATTAGAGGACCTCTGAACGGTCCTGCTGTAAATTGGTGGGTCACAAACAGACTTTTGTGTAGGATTTCAATTCTCTACTGCACTGTTATTTAGTTTTGTTTATCTTAGGGCTCGTCGTACAATATGTATCCTAAATATAGCCCTATCTGTTTACTGTGTTGTCTATCACTGGTCACAGTAATATCAAGCATCCTACGAATCTAATTTCCGCTTCCGTAGATATCCCGTAGTACGAAATATATAGGGTATACACAACTATATCAACCGTGACGTCAAGGTATGCTTTTCGATTAGTGTCGTGCTTTTCAGTTTATAAAATTTTAATTGGCAGTAAGGGCCACAGAACTTCAGACAGAAGCAGTTTGCCCATCAATGAGGTCTGATTGCATAGCGTATGATTCCCGAGTTGTTCCTTTTTTTCTCCGCCCGCGGCACCCCCGCCCAAACCCCCAAACCGTCACAGATTTGCCAGCTTTGAGGATAGCAATGAACACAATGTATAATTCCTGCTACACCTGCCGTCGACGGCGCATTGAATGTCAGATGGCCCAACCGCCTTGCACGAAATGTAAAAAGGCCGGAATAGAGTGTTTTCAGAAGAGGCCGCTGAGATGGGTCCAAGGGGCGGAGTTCCGGGGGAAGGCGAAGAAGAGGGCATCAGGAAATGACTTCCCAGCCGTATCAGTCGCAGAGTTTGGTTTCGGGACGACATCAGATACGTTGGTGTCCACGGAGGTTAATAGCGGGATTCAAACAAACTTGCCCACAGGACCAACAGAATTCGATGAAGATGTCCCCAACCCTATACCGAGTATACCGTCAGCCCTGGGTGATCCATCATCTGCAAGCCTAAATAGATCCTCTCAATACTACCTATACTATTGTAAGTGGATACTATTATTTGATCCACAGAAGTCTAGACTAACAAGTACAGACAGCAAATGCGTGTGCAAACTTTTCATCATGTATGACAGTAACAGAAATCCTCTTCGAAACCTTATACCAGCTTCTTTGAACCAGCCAGTCCTTTTAAACTCGATTGTTGCTCTTTCTGCACGCCATATGGAAAACGCCGGTCAATCGTTTCAGGTGGGAGTATCAACTTCTCCCGGTGCACTTTGGTTCAAATACAAGGCTATCCAAGGACTTTCCCGCGCCCTTAATGATAATGCATTGTGCAAGCAAGACACAACCGTTGCCGGTGCTTTTCTCATGATATTCTTGGACCTGCTGGAATCCGGGAGTGATAAATGGAATGTTCATCTGGAGGGTATCAAAAGATTGATTGCTCAGATCCAACCACCATCTTCATTGTCGACTGGAGCTCAGCAGGACCTGGGCCAAACTGTCCAAGGGCTACGTGACTTTATTGGAAGACAGATTTACTTGTATGTATATTGAATAGAGCTTTTTCCAATCATTATATGCTTTCGTCACTAACTGCTGACTTAGAATCGATACTCTTGGGGCAACCTTCACACGCCCCAGATTATTATCCGTCTCAACTTCTTTGCAGCAGTCATTAACACCACTCCAAAAGAGCGTCGACCAGTCTTATCTCGGTTGTCCCGAAAATCTATTAGAAGTTCTCCGATCTCTCTCATTTTATCGAAACATTCTCGCAAATCCACAGCCGGTTGGCGACACTCTGTTTTACTCCTACATTCAACAAGTTAACGATGTGCTCGAATCCACACAAAAGTTCGACTGCTACGTCTGGGCATCGAGTCTTCTACAATCACATCCACCTCAGGACATACACAAGCTCTATACGCTGGCACAGGCATACAAAATCGGCTCTCTAATATACGGCCGACGCGTCTTTGATGCTTTTTCCGCAGACACTGCTGCATCACTAGACGACCTAGTTCGCGAATTGATTGGCATAATTGACATTCTGAAGAGCGACGAAGCCCTGTTCAAGTGCATACTTTGGCCCATGTTTGTTGCAGGCCTTGAGGCTCAAGAGAAAACGCAAAGGGATTTTGTAATCGGCTGCCTTGAAAAGTTCTGGTTTGAGACAAAGTGCGTGAATGTGATCAATGCGGGTAATATTTTGAGGAGGTTTTGGCGGCAGGACAACCAGACGTCGTGGATATTCAACATTGGTCAACTGGGCCAAGATTGGCTTCTTATATAAAAGCAATGGGACAAGTCAACCACCATGTCTAGAATCTAATCAGGTTGATTTCTTCGATCAAGGAGTGGCACAGAAAGGAGAGAATTTGGTGACTGGAATTCGCTCTCATATACCCAATTTAATACTTCACTGTTGGTCACTGCTACGCTACGAAATCATCTTTTTTGGGTGGATACGAGTAACTACACCCTGAGTCATTAGTCTTGTTTGTCAACTTTCTTCGCTCCCAGCCATTCCGACTTAGAAGCTGCCCATGACAGCCTTGCGGGGCAGTTTGACTTTTACCAGTGCTTGGGTAAGTTACTTGGCTCTACCTGCAAACACACACACAAAGATGTATTAATAGTCGAGTTCTACTATATTGGATCATGTAAGACTACGAAGCTGCCTTTAGTTGAGCTTCACAGGAGGAGGGAATATCTACTTCACTCAGCATACGTCGCCGTTCTCTGTTGGCCACGACAATGACAAGGAATGGGACAGTTTCGGCAAGACACAAGATACAAGCGACCTTCCTCTCTTTTCAAACCGAGTATACTTATCGTGGCTCATCTTAGGTTTCTGAGCACCAGGGTGGAATGCACTCTATTTTGTCTTCCAGATATACCAGCAGCCCAGGAACTGAACATTCAGTCTGAGGCAAATTTAAATGAGATCCTTGTTTGTGTATGTTATCAGGAAAAGCCGATTGTAATTTGTTCTACCCCCTGCCCCCCGAGGCTTATAGAGAGTAATCTCAATATCGTCGAGGCTAAGCATCGTGGAGATTTTGGTAACGGGGTAGCTCAGATGCTTTCGTACTTATGTGAGTTACCTTATACGCTCTTCATGTTAATTTCTTCGAGACTGACTTCATGTATAGCGATGATCGTCAGCGCACGGGTAGAAGCCAAGAAACTCACTTATTAAGTGTATGGGTTACTCTCTGATGGATGTTTTTTTTTTTTTTTTTCTTCTCTCCTTGATAACCGTAAGGTAAGCACCCATGGCATAACCGTATGTGATGCAGTATTTGCTGATTGTGAATAGTATGATGCTCAAGTGGGATCAAGGGCAGGCAAAACGCATGCTTGCACTTATTGTCAAAATCTTCACTGAGGCCCCTCTCCTGGCCCCGAGGCCTAACACGGCTATACAAGCTGGGAGATGCTCACGTGGAGATGATCATGAAATTCCAGACGTGCTTCTCGTCCCGAAAACCAACGCTACCATAATTGGACATGGTTGTGTGGAAAAGAATGGATGACAGCAAACGGCGGCGGTCATTGGTTTGGTTGACAAAGGTATTCTGAAGCTACTTTCCACGAGGAATGGGTATGATTCATCTGATTCTGCCGGTATAAGCAGAATCTCAAGGCAACACAACGCAGATAATTATATCTATGCATTTAACACACTCTCCGTCCATGTCAACCTCCAAGTTGACGTTCTATTTCCTTCGACAGAACAAGTATATCAGACGAGAGTCCCAGAGAGTCGATTGATTTTTATTGCAAACCATAATGTTGGTATGACCCCAGCGCGGGTGTGCGGTGAGACTTCTCATGTAACAACAGCGGAACAAGACAACCAGCATTGTTCGGGATCAACTAATGCTTCTTGAGAGGGGCAAGGAGTGTATCTCCCGGAGTTACACTGTTATACTTGGGAGTGTGACACTCCCGCCGCGGATGCAAATGCCGTATCCCGAACCCCTTTTACGAAGTACAGTGTACCAGGAACTAGGTATAAATACCTCTAGCTTTCCTATCTGCCTAGACACAGCCAGCACCGCTTTAACGTCAAGCCTCAATAGCACAGCTCGAACTTTTAACTAATACAACGAAATGCAACTCTCCACGATCCTCACCCTCACCATTGCCCTCATGGCTAGCCACATCATGGCCAATCCTATGAATCTCCGAAGGCGTGACGTCTGCTGTGAACCAGGCAGTGAATATACTGATGTCTGCTGTGCTGAATTCGTATGTTGCTCAACGGCCCTATGATGGATGTGGGGTTTGCTGATAATGAATAGTGCCTTGCTATTGGACAAATTGGTAACACCTGTGAGGCAAAGTATGCTGCTCTTTTTGAACTTCTTCATAAGGATTGAGGTTCAATGTGACTAACTCGGATGTTAGTAAGTGTGCCTGCAAATAGATCCATCTATTCGATGGAAAGGCAAGCTTGGAGCCTCGGAGATCGGATGTGGTTTTGCTGGATATTTCTTGGTAGCCTGGGATGATCTGTGAAAAGCCATGCTTTACAAGCTGCTGTCCTTCTGCCAGTGTATTCAATGAGCATAGCCCAGATGATGCCTGGCTTCGATGTGTCATTGTTCGACAAATTATGTGAACTAGCTCCGGTTCTCCGATACAAAATACATTGAGAAGACTAATGAGATTTTACAAATCTTGCAAAGCCCAGATGTTTAAGTAATCGCACTGTCAGAGTGTATGTACAAGGATGCACACATCTATAGTACGGGTTTCCTAAAAAAGGAAGTTAAATGTCGTGGGGCGGTGGATACGCTGCAGAAACTACTTACAAAACTCCGTTGACAGGCTTCTGGCCCCGAATCAGCGAAATCACGGCGTTCAATTTGCATCCGACGTTAACCTGGGATTTGAACCCTGATTTGTTTCCGGGAACATACAGCCAATGAGAACCCAGCTAAATACCCCACGAAGTTTTACTACCCTTTTCGGAAATCCCCGCTATATTGACTATGTCACTGCTCCTCCATCGTCATGTCGGTTGACAGGACAGTTACTAAGGGACTCTTGCCACAACAATTATAAATATCCTCCTTCGCCATGTCTTTTTGCATCTCAATCATTTCTTCAATCTTTCTCCCACAAGTCACTTGAACACTTCCGAAACAATGTCCACCAGAACAGCCCAAGTGGAAGAATACGGCTGGGGAGCTGTACCCATCAACCCCAAGGAGTTTGCCCCTAGCAAGGCCCCCAAACCCCATCTCGTCAAGGACACCCCCCTTCCTGAAACTCAAGTCGCCAAAGCAGCCCTGGAGTACGCGAAAGCAGAACTCCCTGCGCATACCTTCAATCACAGCATGCGCGTTTTCTACTACGGTATACTTTCCCTACCCCATGCACTCTACTTCTAGCTAACACGAGTCCCCTATAAATAGGCCTCGCAATCGCCAGACAGCACTTCCCCAGCTGGAAATTCAGCGACGAGACCTGGCTCCTAACCTGTCTGTTCCACGACATCGGGACCATTGACAAGTACACCCGGGACGTGTTCATGTCCTTTGATATATACGGCGGTGTTGTGGCCCTGAACGTCCTCAAGGAACAGGGTGCTCCATCGCCGCAGGCTGAGAGCGTGGCGGAGGCTGTCATGCGGCATCAGGATTCGGTGAGGGTTGGGGCGATTCATACGGTTGGGTTGTTAATTCAGTTGGCTACGCAGTTTGGTATGTTACTTTCTTGTCCATATGATAAAGGGAGTAAAGTGCTAACGTTGGTGGTCGGTTGCAGATAACATCGGTGCTCATAAGGAGTATGTCCATACCGACACCGTGAAGGATGTCACTGGCCATTATCCGCGCCGCCAGTGGTCCAAGTGCTTCTCGAGTAAGTTGAGGGAGGAGATTGGGCTGAAGCCTTGGTGCCATACTACTGCTGAGGGGGAGAGCTTTCCGCGTGACATTGAGCACAATGCTCTGATGGAGCCGTATGATGGACTGTTTTAGGTCATTATATGCTACTCAAGCTCGTGTAAATCGTTGTCATAGGGAGCATAGTGAGAAAGAATAAATATATTGACGTTCATAGACGTGAACTGGATGCAAACGAGTCACTTGGATTGTACTGAGTCGAATACAAAAAGATACGCTACCATAATCACAAGTGCCATAAATAAACGTAAAATGGTATCACTTAAGACTTGTTAGTATTGCTGTTGAATCTTCAAAAGGGAAGAGGGAGCTTACCAGGAAATAATCAGCAACAGGTTTCTTCGCCGGCATACCCCTCGTATCTTGCGCGGCCGCCTCGAACACCCTGTACCGTCTCCCCGGACTAACAACCGAAGATTCAACACTACTAGAGCCCATCAAAATACCATTACTCCGACCATATTCGCCATTATTTCGTGCCACCATTCCGCCGTTACTCGTATCCTCGCCAAGTTCCATAATTGCAGCCACATTCCCGCAGCGGTAGCAGTAGTTCGGGGCGGACCAGACCGTAACGATTCCGCCATCGAACATCTCCTTGTACCCCTCCATGACGAGCTGGTGGGCACGCGCAACGAGGGAGAGGTCGTTGGTGTGGTTGAATCCTTTGACAATGTCGCCACCGAAGAGAAAACCGGCACCGCGGGGACTGAGACCCCAGCCTTCAATTTCGTCTGGGTCGGACCAGAGAAGGTCGCACATAGGTCCCTCGTGGGGGACTTCTTGCTTGCGGTCGATGAGGCGGATTTTGTCGACGGATTCAATGGCGGGGGAAAGACCGCCGTGCACGCAAAGGACTGCACCTGTTCTGCTAGTGTTCCCGTAGCTGCCGGACCCCGAGCCTGAGGCGCCTGTGCCTGGGGCTCCGGATCGCAATGGTGCCTGGCTGGAATTACCTGGTGCAGCGGAGATGTCTCTTGGCGGGGAAATGTTTCTTGAATCCGTTGATGTGTTGGATGACGATCTTTGTCGTCGTCTGTAGGTGCTCACGGTGACTTCCCCCTTGGAGTTTAGGACTTCGGTTTCTAGCTCTCCGTCGTCGATCGGCATCATGGCCTGTGTGCTCTCCATGTTCGATACGGACGGCTCCAGCTCCGAACTTGCCCCCAGCACAAGAGCGCCCAGCGCCAGGTAATCAAACACTTCGCAACAGTATCGCCACACATTCGCACTACCATATTTTCGAATGCATTCGTCGTAGAAGCCATACACGGTTGTAATCTGGCGCGATTCGTGGTTCCCACGGATAAGGGTCATACGGTCTGGGTATCGGACTTTTAGGCAAAGGAGCAGGAGGAAGGATTCGAGAGAGTAAAATCCGCGGTCAACAAAGTCGCCCATGAAAAGGTAGTTAGTGTCGGGAACATCGCCCCCGACTCGGAAAAGTTCCATCAAGTCATGAAACTGGCCGTGAATATCTCCACAAATCGTGACTGGAGCATCCACCGAAACCACATTTCCTTCTTCGATTAACAGCTCGCGCGCTTTGTAGCAGAGTTCTCGGACTTGGGTTTCGGGTATCAAACGACAGGCGCGCAGTTGCGCGATCGCCCTACAGAACCGGCATTAGCATCCTCCAATTCGCTGGTATCCGAAGAGATAAAGCAACGCACTCATCCAGATCGCTCATGGTGATTCAATGTAACGAACGGGTTTCGACTCAACAGAATGGGACTGTTGGCGTCTGAGCGGGTTAGAAGATCAGTGGGTCCTGGATAAGAGCGAGGCAGGTCAAGTGAGTTTGGAAGAAAAGCACCCGCAGCAGAGTTGAGAGGGAGAAGAAATCGTTAGGTGTAGAGGAAAGGCAGAGTCATCTTCGTCTGGAGCATCTCCCGACCGGATCCCCGCTGTAAATAATCTTTTAATGAAAAAGTAGATGAGATGGCAGGAGGGGAGATGATGTTATTTTTGCTCTTTTTCTGCCCGCGCGTCGAGACGACTTTCGCGCTGTGCTGTCTGAACGGGACTGCAGCCAATCAGGTAGTCAGTAGATAAGATTAGATCTGATCGCCAAGGCCAGGCCAAATTCTCCCAAGTCCGGCTTGAGTCGGCGGAACCGCATCGCTCAACGACCAGTGTCCCCAGCATACACATATCAATTGGAAAGGCCATGGGTTGTATTTAAGGGGCTTGTCAACTGTATTTGGCTTCGTCTTTGAGGTATGTTATCTTCCCGAATTCCCGGTTGGGCCTCGACTAATCGTACCACACAACAGACAGACCCCTCCGATGTTACTCTAACACCGCAATTCCAACCGCTATTACCCCCCATTAATTTTTTTTTTCTTCTTGATTTCCCTCGCCAATTGATCATGCCGCCTCACCTCCATCCCCGGTCCCGGTCGACCGCCTCCCTTTTTGCCACGACCCTCCTGGCTTCTCTGGTGGTTGTGGGTTTACCACACGTTTTCCCATGCCCCGCCCCGCGTCGCACACTTGCCGATTCCGAGATGATGGTCACAGCGGATGGACAACAAGTACAGAGAATTAGGCGACGGAGGAGGAAGGATGTAGAGATGTTCGACCGGGAAAACACACCATACCCAGCACCTCAACCGGCCGACGAAGAGGTGTCGACTTTCTTCCAGATGGAAGCGGAAGCAGAGAAATTAGAACATGTCCGGAGGCAATGTCCAGTGCCTAAACCTAGTGGCGTTCTAGGGGACTTACTAGGATTCTCGAATCAGAAAGGTACCTCGCAGCAGCAGGGGAGGGAAGAATTTTAAGTGTTGGTTCATTTCGACGGAGAAGAGCCAACGGCCCACTCGGGTCTTTGGAAAAAGAAAGAATCTGACTTCATTTTACGGGTATACTTAAAAGATTCTACTGAGAATCAATTGGTTTAGAGGGTCAAAAAGGGTGTCTGTTTCTGGGTACTAGCGCTATATCCCATCATTTTCTGTACAGATATTTACTGCAACATATTACGGTTGCCATATATTGTGTTATTATACCTACATACCAATTAACGAATTACATCTCATGCAATCCACCAAATTAGCGGGGTCTGCTGTATTCCGTAGTCCCGGCTGTCATCTGTTGTGATATCAAAACAAACACGCTAATCCGAAAAGGGATAGACCCCATTGGCTCACAGCCTGAGGCAACGCGCAACATCTGCCCAAGATTTGTACAGACAAGCATGCCAGATCGCATGCCATAATGGCGTTAACAAACTTAGCATACGACTTTCTCTTCAACCCGCAACACACAAAATGGATGGGCCCTCTCTTCGTCCTGGGCGACGCCCTACTTTGCGCCTTGGTGATCTGGAAAGTCCCATGTGAGACCTCGCGCATTCTATCGTCGTGAACAACCACACTAACTATCTGGACGCACTACAGATACTGAAATCGATTGGACGACCTACATGCAACAAGTATCGCTGTATATCTCTGGCGAACGTGATTACACCTTGATCAGAGGCTCGACCGGACCCCTCGTCTATCCCGCCGCGCACGTATACATCTACAGCGTCTTCTATCACCTCACTGAACAAGGGCGGGATATCATTTATGGCCAGATACTGTTTGGTTTGCTTTATATTACTGTTCTTGGATTGGTATTGGCGTGTTATCGACAAACGGGTGCCCCGCCGTATCTATTCCCACTGCTTATGCTTTCGAAACGGCTTCATAGTATATTTGTGCTGCGGTTGTTTAACGATGGCGTCGCAGCCCTGGCTATGTGGGGTGCTGTCCTGCTGCTCATGAATAGGAAATGGACAGCTGGGGTTGTTGTTTGGTCGGTGGGAGTTGGGATCAAGATGACAGTGTTGCTTCTTGCGCCAGCGATTGCTGTAGTCACGGTGCTCAGTCTAGGTTTGCTGCCGAGTATTAGACTGGGAATCGTAGCGGTGCTTGTCCAGGTATGTCTTTGCGTTATTATGATCTGTTCTACGGTCGATTGACACGATACAGATTTGTCTGGCAATTCCCTTTCTCCAAGCAGACCCTGTAGGATACGTTTCGCGCGCGTTCGAACTAACCAGGCAGTTCATGTTCAAATGGACCGTCAATTGGAGATTTGTGGGTGAAGAGATCTTTCTATCTAAGAACTTCTCGCTTAGTCTTCTAGCGCTACACGCTGTCCTCTTGACTACCTTCCTTTTCACGACCTGGCTGAAACCATCAGGATCCAACCTATTCGGATTCCTCCGCAACACGGTCAAGGGACGCCAGCGCACAGTGGCACTCTCCAGAACATTCATCATGACGGTTATGTTGACATCTCTCGCGATTGGGTTGTTATGCGCAAGGTCTCTCCATTACCAATTCTTTGCTTATCTCGCATGGGCGACACCCTTCCTGCTTTGGAGAGGTGGATTTCACCCTGTGTTGATATACGCAGTGTGGGCATTGCAGGAATGGGCCTGGAATACGTATCCCAGCACCATCACCAGTTCTCTCGTTGTTGTTCTCTCACTTGCTGCTCAGGTTCTTGGTGTTTTGACGAAAGGGTCCAAGGCACTCGATGCTCATTACCAAAGGCCTGACAGTAAAGCCAAAGCTCACACGCAATAAATCCTTCGCTATATTGTAGTTGCCAAGAATAAAATTTGTCGTGTCGTTCAATTCGCTAGAAATTAGGTCGTTTATGCGTCAGACTCATCGGATGAAGGCATCTTGCCCATGTTCGATTCCTCTTCATCATCGTCCGAATCCTCTGCCCTTGCGACAGGCTGCTTAGCAAACTCCTTCGGCCTGTAGAGCACCAAACCATTAGCAAGCCACCCCTTCCTTCTATAATCCCAACCCAACTCACCAAAACGGCGCCTTCCGCCATGCCTTCTCATCCCTCACGATATTCACAATCTCCCCCTGCAACTTATTATCCCGATCCTCGAGCGCATTCGTGTCGACGACAACAAACGACCCCCGCTTCATCCAGATCGTTGACCGGAAGCGGGCAGGTAATTCGACCAGCGCGGATTCTTTCGACGGGAATTCGACCTGGTAGATATTTTTCCCGGTGGCTTTGATGACCTTCGCGATGGTCTGGCCTTGCGAGAGTTCGTCTGGCGGGGTGAGGGTTTCTTCGGCGGTTGCAAGGACTTTTCGGCGAGGAGGGCCCATGGTGGTTTATTGGGTTGCGAGGTGGGGACTAGCTTTAAAGTGGAATATTAGAATATAGGAGTTTCTTCTGTTGTTGTTTGTCTGGACGGTGAGAGGGTGGTGGTAAAGTAGAGAAATTTTAGCTCGTCCCAGGGTCCCAGAAACTCTTCTTCCGAGCGGGACACCGTGGGGTGCTTTCTAGATCTAAACTGCATTCCACTACGAAATCATTCATTGCGATACGGCGCCAATTGAGGGGATATTTCGTTGTACCTGAATTGTAGTCACTACGCCAATTAAAGTATTGCGATGTTGATTAGCAATAGTGACGTCTCCTGCATGAAATGTATAGTTTCCCATCATCACCCTCTCTCCAGCAGAAGTAGTCTACGGTACAATAATAATTTCAATCGTAAATGTTCCTATATAACGTGCCCTCAGCAATTTCCTAACTATAGAAAGCCAGGGTCCAGGGTCCCCGAAGGCTGGACAACTAACGCATGAGGTTGGGTTCGGCGGTCCATGGGAAGAACAAAAGTGGGAAGGTCCGTTCATTGCAAAGGAATATGGCCTAGAAGATCCGGGATTTGCGATGCATATCACACAAGAGACCGGCGCATTGTGCATCATGTTTCGGACATGAGATCGCATCTTCATTTAGGACAAGCTTGGGGGTGCTGTTTGTGAAATAACCAAACCTAAGGACCTGGATTCGATCCTTGGATGTATGATCGAGAAAGTCATGAGGAAAAAGCGGGTAAGCCAATGAGGATAATAGATCGGTGATAATCCAATCTAGTAACATCAACTATGGTCTCGAGCAATCATTTGGCTTGCGGAATCCTTGCAACTCTTACTGCGGAGAGCAAGCCTTGCCAGTACATAACAGTGTCGTTTTTTGGCCCTTGCGTTCTACAAGTGGCCTTAACAGGAACTTTAAGATAATTCAAGTTGAGATTATTTGCCCAAATCGGAGGATTGTGCATTGGATTGTACAGGGAATCCTTGCGGACTGCTTCGAGTGCTCTACACGAGATAACCCTATAGGGTTCTGATACTGATGACCCTGCGTATTGACGACTTCTGTGGTCTGGACTGCGTTAAAAAAAAATTAAAAAAAAAAAAGGAAGAAGAAAAACGGACTAAGTTTCGTACTTTTGAGTTCTCAACGAATTCCACGCTCATGATATCACGAGTTGGAGACGACGATTGAATATGTAAACACCATATCTTGCATGTACGTGCATTGTCTTTTCAACCGCGCACATGATCCTAGTTTCGACATGGTTGTGTCGCAAGGGATACAGCTGTGCTGACAACTCGGCTGCATGAAGAATCCAGGTTCAGTTCAGCTCTCGTGTGCCCCGGAATCCACCCGACAGTTGGAGGACTAGACCCGAGATACCCCTCAGCCAATGGAAGCTGTCTCTCGGGATGTTTTGCAGATCCAGACAATCTCGTGGCGGAAAAGACCGTGGGTTGAGACACCTATGTGGCGGTGCCATTGACAGGGTTGTAAGTCGATGATGACGAGAGATATCACCGTGGCCCAATTGAGTCTCTGCATGTCTACCTTTTTGTCCAATTCATGACCGGGTGGTGGTTATTTCCTTGGAAACCAGCCAGACTGGGTGTTGTGCCTCTGGATTAAAGTCAATGTCGAAACCATTCCATGGTCTTCCTATTTATTTTTCCGGGCATTGAATGACATTATAGAGGGTCATTCAACAACCGGGCAACCGGGCAACAATAGAGCAGCCGGAACGGTTCCGACGTCCAATGTTTTGCAAGCAATTCAATGTTTGCTAGCAATATAACTGCATAGCTGTATCTGACTTGTCCTCACTTCCTCGGCGTACTCCGTAGTCTGTATTCCATAGTAGTATGATTCCATTCGCGGACCGACATTCATGGTCCCCGTCAAGCTTTTTTCTTTTCCCTTTTTTTTTTTTTTTTTTTTTTTTTTTTTTTTTTTTTTGAGCCACAATAAATCAGCCTGATCGGCTTGATAACCTAATCCATTCCTCTGTCTGTACACTGCAGTGCCTAACATTGACCGTAAAGAGCAGTGTGGTGTAGGCGGTATCTGAATTGGGATACTTTCTGCGTCTGGGATGAATTCTTTTTTTTCTCTCCTGGGGGGGCAATCCCTTAGACGAGAGGAATATTAGATGAGAAGTATAGAGACAGATTCTGCTTCAGACACGAAACAAACAATCCCCAGGGCAGATAATAACCCACAACAACACAACAAAATCCCTGGGCAGAATCGGACCGGAATCACCCCTCAAAAGAAGGTTCGTCATTCAACGGGCCCAGTGTCTCACATTCTTCTTGTCTTTTCTCTTTCTTCTCTTTTCTCCATCCACTTCGTCCTTCATAATAATATAGTATAATATAATTTTCTCATTGTGGTTGTGGTGGTGGTTGTCCGTTGCTAGTTCATTTCCACCCACTCCTCACTGTTCTCCCCCCTGCACCTGTCAACAAGACACCGTGAGTACTAGAGACCGACAGCCCCGCGACGCTTCTTCGCACAACATCCTTTTTCCACTCACCCGCACGATTCTTTTTCGCTTTATTTTGGCTTTATTTTAATTCCTTCTTCTTCTTTATTTAGAGACAAAGGGGAAAATAAAAAAGTTCTGATTTCATTATCAAGCTGTCATCCGTGTTCCGAGGATCGGCTTTGCGGTACATACAACGTTCTCCGACGACTCCTTCGCTATTGAGGCTCCCCTTCCCTTCGATCGCCCCACCGTTAAACTACAATAACAACCATCAGTCACGGCAATAACCATAACCCCCGCGTCAGTGACTAAACCACCAAAATGGACGGGGACGAGCTCATTGCCTCGGTCTATCGCAAGATCGAGAGGGAAAAGGCCCTCATAACCGCTGCGACCAACATGCGGCAGTCCACCGATAACCCCCTCGTCCAACAACGAGTCGACGCGAATATCCGCGATGGCCGGAAAAACATTGCCTACTTGGAGGAGAAGATGAGAGAGCTTCAGATCCGTCGCATCGAGCACGATGGTGGCGGTTCCCCCACCGAAAGCCGTCATCCGTATGGGGGGAATCCGGCTGCCTCGGGCCCGGTACCTCCTCCGAAAGATTACGGCTACGGGGCGGATGAGGAATACGATGATGCTGCTGGTGGCTTTCCGCAAGGAGGAGCAGGCTCCATGCCATCGGGCGCCCCGTTTTCTGATCCCCGTCCGTTTGCTCCGGTCCCCAAGGCCAGGCCGAATTACACTAAGCTTGGTACGTTGCCTACTGGGACATCAAAAAGCAGAATATATCGGCTGGAGAGAAGACTAATCGATCATTCATTGCCATACAGACTTGATCAAATATGACACGCAGTATCTCGGTCCGAAGATCCAGCTCATGTTGTCCCAGCTCGAATTCAAGTTGAGTGTCGAAAAACAATACAAAGCCGGTATTGAGAAGATGGTCCGTCTATATCAAGATGAAGGGGATAGGAAGAGTCGCGCCGATGCAGAGGGTCGACGGATTGAAAGCAACCAGAAAATCCAATTGCTCAAGCAAGCCCTTAAGCGATACGAAGACCTCCATGTCGACATTGAATCTTCGGATACCCCCGACGGTATGGATTCTTCTCGTCTTGAGTAGAAATGGACGAATACTGACTCGCGACCAGATGAAAGTCTCAGCACCCCCAACATGCGCAAACCCTTGACGGGTTTGTTGACGATGCGCATCCAAGCTGTCAGGGATGTCGACCATGCGACAAGCTCCAGATTCTCTCGTGGTCCGGAAACATTCGTTGTTCTCAAAGTCGAAGACGCCATTAAAGCGAGAACGAGGGCGACCCGGTCAGACAGGTGGCAGGATGAAGCCTTCAGCATCGACATCGAAAAGGCCAATGAAATCGAATTGACTGTGTACGATAAATCCGGGGACCGACCCACGCCAATCGGTATGCTTTGGGTTCGTATATCGGATATCGCAGAGGAAATGCGTCGTAAGAAAATTGAGACCGAGTTCAACGCATCGGGTTGGGTATCTGCCGACAAGATGGAACATGGTGGCTCGACGGCGCGACCAGATCCATCCGCTCCCCTAGGATCTCCACAGAACCCGGGTCCGGCAGGACCAACCGGCGCCGCAGGGCAAGGTCAAGGGGGCGCTGGTGGTCCTTCAGCAAGCCATGTCATGGTCGATTCTTGGTTTGCGTTGGAGCCTGTTGGCCGGATTAATCTGTCAATGAGCTTCGGTAAGTGTCGGGATTTGAGCCCTACGTTCCTCTAGGATAATCGGTTACTGATGTCTATGTGCAGCCAAGCAATTGAAGGACCGACGACCATTCGATATCGGATTGAACCGTCAAGGTGCTGTCCGTCAGAAGAAGGAAGAAGTCCACGAGAAGCAGGGACACAAGTTCGTCACGCAGCAGTTCTACAACATCATGCGTTGCGCTCTTTGCGGCGATTTTTTGAAGTATGCAGCCGGCATGCAGTGTGCCGATTGCAAGTACACCTGTCATCGCAAGTGCTATCCCAAGGTCGTCACCAAGTGTATCAGCAAGGCCAACTACGAGACCGATCCCGACGAGGAGAAGATCAACCATCGTATCCCGCATCGTTTCGAAGGATTTGCCAACATTTCGGCCAACTGGTGTTGCCACTGCGGTTATTTGCTTCCCTTTGGACGCAAGAGTGCCAAGAGATGCTCAGGTATTTAAACCATGGAGATATTTTGACGGAGACACGAGAGAAGACTGACCCCTTCCGCTTCCTTTCTAGAATGCGGTCTCGCTTGCCACGCTCATTGCACGCATTTGGTACCTGACTTCTGTGGCATGTCCATGGAGGCAGCAAACCAAATCTTGGAAACACTGATTCGCGCGAAGAATCACAACAAATCAACATCTGTTAGTTCCGGTCTAAGCGGCCGCACCCTTCGACCAGGCGGCCCGCCTCAAGCCCCCCAAGATAACGCAGCACTTGCGTACCCACAAAAGCCAGTCGAGGGCCCTTACGGGGGACCACCCCCTAGACGAGCTTCTGCCGAAGCTGTGAGCGCCGCCACTAACTCGTATATCCCACCACAGTCACCAACTGCTGTCGCCCAGCGGCAACAAATGCCCATAAGGACCACACCAAATGCAGGTCCTGCTGCTGCTGCTGCCGCGGCGGCAACAGGGTTGCGTTCTCCTCAGCAGCCCCCGGGTATGTCTTCTTCGAACTTGGTCGATAACAAGATGATACTGACGCATGCCTCTGCAGTCGACATGGGTCGCCCAGTACAGCCACAGCCGCAGCCACCTTCGCACGCGCCGTACGACCCCTCTGCGTATGTGTCATATCAACAGCAAGCTATGCCCCCGCCACAAGCTATGCAAAAGGTCGGTTCGCCATATGGTATGCCTTCACCGCAACAGCCTGTTCCTGCAATGCAACCGCCGGTCCCTGTCAAGGAGGACATTCCTACAGCGCAGGCCAAGGCCCGCATTGGATTGGACCACTTCAATTTCCTTGCTGTGCTTGGTAAGGGTAACTTCGGTAAGGTCATGCTGGCAGAGACGAAGAGTGCCAAGAAGCTTTATGCCATCAAGGTGTTGAAGAAGGAATTCATTATCGAGAACGACGAGGTGGAGAGCACGAAGTCCGAGAAGCGCGTCTTTTTGGTTGCTAACAAGGAACGTCACCCCTTCTTGCTGAACCTTCACGCCTGTTTCCAGACTGAGACACGTGTGTACTTTGTCATGGAGTACATTAGTGGTGGTGATCTGATGCTGCACATTCAGCGAGGCCAGTTTGGTCTAAAGCGCGCGCAGTACGTTTACAATGCAGTAGTTTGTGAAAGGGATGGCAGCTAACCGTTGATAGGTTCTACGCCGCGGAAGTCTGTCTGGCCCTCAAGTACTTCCATGAGAACGGTGTCATTTACCGTGACTTGAAGCTAGATAACATTCTTTTGACATTGGATGGTCACATTAAGATTGCAGACTATGGTCTCTGTAAGGAGAACATGTGGTATGGCTGTACCACTAGCACTTTCTGTGGTACTCCTGAGTTCATGGCTCCTGAGGTAAGATAACTACCATTTTCTACCGACACATCATAAGCATGTTTATTGACCCAAATTTAGATTCTCCTGGATAAGAAATATGGCCGCGCTGTTGACTGGTGGGCGTTTGGTGTCCTCATCTACCAGATGCTCCTTCAGCAGTCTCCCTTCCGTGGTGAAGACGAAGATGAAATTTACGACGCCATTCTCGCTGATGAACCTCTGTACCCGATTCACATGCCTCGTGACTCGGTTTCGATCCTTCAGAAGCTGCTCACCCGTGAGCCTGAGTTGCGTCTAGGTTCGGGACCAACAGATGCTCAAGAAGTCATGTCTCATGCTTTCTTCCGGAACATCAACTGGGATGACATCTACCACAAGCGTGTGCCCCCGCCGTTCCTGCCTACTATCAGCAACCCCACCGATACCAGCAACTTCGACACGGAATTCACCAGTGTCACCCCGGTTCTTACGCCGGTGCAATCAGGTGAGCTTTTTGCAGCTCGACTCTTTCTGTCGGTTAAAACTAACAATGTGCAGTGCTCTCCCAGGCCATGCAGGAAGAATTCCGGGGCTTCTCCTACACTGCGGACTTTGCCTAATCTTACTATCTCCCCGCTTGAAACGTCTTTTTCTATCTTGTTGTGTTTACGATTATGTGTATGTCAAAAGAGAAAGTTGGGTTCGTTTGAAACAAATGTCTGTCTTCTAGTTCTTTTACTCAGCATGATGTTTGTTTGTCTTTTTCCGTATTTTCTCACGCACTGGGCACACTCTGCTCGACATACCCATGAAAGTCTTTATTCTTCTATTTCTCATGAAAATAGTAATGACTCATCCTATGGTATACTCGACTTCCGCATTGAAACCAGCTTAGATATAGATAGCAATTTCGTCGAAGCAAAACTATTCGACCACATCTCATTGCCTTTTGTATTTTCCAACGATCCTCTTCCTCAGTAGCCTAGTCATTAGATGATAACCCCAACCACAAATCCTCACTGCAAACCACTGTGATACAGAGCCCCGGATTTCATACGATTCTTCTAGAGTGTACCCCGGCGAACTGTCTTCTGCCGATGCTTTTACCGTTACTGACCAACGTACCACAGACAGATCTCGAAATGGAGTCTTCTTTGAGACTGAAATGCCGTTATCGAAGTTGGTTAATGAAAGTTTGTGTCTGCCTCCCCGAGAATCCTGAATCTCCTTGTGTTTGATCATAGGCCGGTAGATGTTGCTATTTTGTGGTGAGGCCATAGCACTTGTACCAGGGGATGGTAGTTCTGTAGAATTGCAAGGATGGTGTCTTTGCTCATGCTAAAGTCTGGAGAAGAGCACACGGGCTTCGGGCCCCATTCAGTGTTATTGGCAAGAGGGCAGAACATTATGCAATCTCCGTTGATATTTTGGAATCAAAGGTGGGATAGGGATCTCACTTGGAAGTACATCCATTTTGCACCCTGGGTAATGATAGCCGGGACATACTTGTCAGATAGGTACCAAGAGCTATGGTATGGCGATGGAAGATGTCAAAAGTAATAAGGTGTTGGTTTACTGGGTGGTGTTCGATAGGACGAAGGAAATGGAAAAGGGAAGCGGAAAAAGAAGAAGATTTTGTTTCTTTCTTTTTTCTTAGGTTCGTTCCTCTTATGGTTTAGGGCAGGCGGACAAATATTGGTACATTCTTTAAAAACCCTTAGCTGCAACTGTGCATTTACCTACAATAGAACCAACCTTATTCCTGCTATATTGAACTTTGCTTCCTCAAGCCAGATAGTAGTGTTACTTATTCGCTTGATTGCTTTGTTAAACCTCACACTCGACTCTTGTTTTCTTCAAGAAAACAGGTCAATACACACCAAGTTTTATCTGCATAGAGAGAACATCAGTATCCCATTCCTATCTCTCAAAGATTGATGTGGAATTTATCTTTAACAGAAGAGCTCCGCTTCCGGCACCGGGTCATATGACGATCGAGATGCAACACTGATGGTGCGTAATTACACTCGCTCTGCAACCAGTCCCAGTTTCAAGCGAAGTACAGAAGGGCATCACACTAGCTTTCTCACAATTTAGGCCCCTGAGGGATGCTATCATAGGTATCAAGAAACTCTACCTCGGACATATCCCTTCCAGCGCGACCGTCCGAGAATTGCTGCCTCCACAAGATGCATACGCATATATTTGGGCATTATACAGGGCGAAAGTGGCCAAGATCCCACCATATCCTGGAAAATGGTCCTTGTACTCTCATCTCATTAGCAGAGTGGAATGGCAGCCTCCTTCGATACACTGGACTGACGAAGTATATCTGCACAAATGCCATCTTTCCCTCCACATTCCTGTGCGGCTAATGTTTCCACATCTTTAGTTGTATACTGGCCTGTCGAGTCATATCCTAAACTGTGTCCGATAATACCAAATATGCCGGTGATTGTTTCCAGGATGGCCGATAATTAAGGTAGCTTATTGACATACATTAGTAAATACTCTGGACGGCTTCCAGACTATAAACCATCGGAGTCGTTACAATACAGTAGTGGTAGTGGGCTGTAGTGGCCAGGCGTATTGTTGGGTTACTAGCAAAATGAATTGGTTGTAATAATTAGAAATAAACCCTTGTATTGCATTGGTTTCGTTTATATTCCTCAGTCCTGCTCGCAGAAAGATCTCCTGTAGTAATATCCTTCACGAGTGCCACCAAATCCAGTGTTATTAAATTATGAGAACCAAAAAAAGAGCGCAGTCACCATAGAGATCGGAAGCCCTGAGCCGTGTAGGATTCTTCCAACATGTACGTTACTGGTTCTGTCAGTATCTACCAAGTCAAAATGCTGACCCCAGGACTCAGTTCCTGCAAGACAGAGACGCCATCATCGAAGTTGGTAAAGATGGTTTCGACACCATGTCAGGCACGATTGTCGAAGGTTTTTATATTTGATCTTGATTCAACGGGTTTTATTGTATGGTTTCTTTTTGGAGATGATGGTTATAACTCCTAATGATCCCCGAGGAATGATAGGAAGAGGGATCAGATACATGGTGAGAAGAGTGAATAACAAAGATAAAGCAAAGGAAGTAGTAATTTAATTATCCAGCAGCGACGGCTTCTTTTATTGTTTCTTCGTGAATGTCTTCTTCATAGGTTTCTTTGTACGAAAGACCTTCCCCATTGGCATTTCCGTTGTTCTCCATATGTTGCTGATCTTTGTACAAATACACAATAAGCTCATTGAAACCACATATTATTAAAGGGAAAGAATTCCGATTATTGTCACGGGCTCGAAAGCTAGTAGATGAAACGGATAATATTCATGTCTAGACTAGGTAGCCTAACGACGAAGATATCGAATTTGGAGAAGAAAAAGGAAATCTATCTAGATAAAGAAGGGATTTTAGAGCCATTATGCGACAGGGTTCGTGCCCGCGTTTTTCTTGGTTGCTTGTACGACTTTTGTTTGGCGCGTTGATGTCGTTTGTCTATGCAGCCTAGAGATGTGTTTCTATGTTATACATGCAGGCTACTGTTATCAATCTATCAATCATCTACCTTTTCTCGTCCTGAGAATTAAGTTATTTCCAGAACGTCACCCTACATTCAAGTGCCCTATACAGCTTCATCCAAATCTTAGGTTTTTATGGTTATGTTGGATAATTTTTCTTGGTCTTCAGCTGCTACAAGCTATTTTGTTTTGCCCGGAAAAAAAAAAAAAAAAAAAACGGCCAAGCAAAGTAGTAGTAGTAGTAGTAGCGTATCGATGACTCTTCGAGAACAAAACCAAGAACAGAAGGCGAGAATTCCCAGGGGGGGTCATGGTATATCAGAATAATCCGCACGCAAAATGCGACAGGAAGGATTAGATGAAACAAAGTAGCAGTAGGAGTTCAGCGCATTAAATTGATACATTCATACTTCCACCTTTCCCACATTACCGATAAATCCCAGCTGTTTGAAGAGAAGACCAAGGATCGATTACCTTGATGAGCACGGTGCAGTCAAGCAAAGTGTACGAAGTCCCATCATTATTAAATTGTGAATGCGATGGTAATATATTAGAATGGATGAGAGGTAAAGATGGATGGGAAACAGAAGAAGCGTTAACGACAAAGAAGGTATAGTAAAGGAAGTAAAGATAGAACACCGGCTATCCAGTCTGCAATGGCAGAAATGAAATGCTTTGTTCATTCCATTCTTTGTGAATATATTCTTCATTGCTCCCTTCATCAACAGGAGGAAGGATTCCAAAGATAGAGGCACAGTATAAAGAACGGCCTTGACGCTTTCTCCCTTTATCTTTGTCTGACTCGAGGGCTGTACTCGGAGAACCGAACACTTAAACAGCCGGTAACTTCCATCTTTCTGAGACACTACTTTCCTTCTCTGAACAATTTTGCACAGTGAAATCGGTAATTTTCGTGCTTATCGAAGTTCAGACAAAACGAAAGAACAACATGGGAACGCCACGGACCCCTCAGAATACCATGATCAACATGGTCTATCCAACTCCGGACTCTATCAGATTTAAGCCAGAGACCATCAAGCCCCTCGACCCGACCTATCTTCCTGTTGAAAATGATCATCGAGCATCAGACGATGAGTACGAATGGCTTCCATCAGGAACGGCCTCGAAACGATCCCGGAACTTGAACGACCCGACTTATCGCCCTACTGGAGACGATCATCAGCAATTAGACGATGATTATGAGTGGCTCCCATTCGGGACGAAGCGCCCTCGTAAGTCTAAGGCCGTTGATCCAACATACCTCCCTGTGGCGGACGATGACCAGCACTCGGGCGACGAATACGAATGGCTCCCATCAAGGACAAAACGAGCTCGCAAACCCAAAATAATCGATCCGACTTATCGTCCCGAATATGTACCTGGCGATAGCGATGATGGATCCATGTCACCTACACAGAGGCGGCTTTCCCGCAAGCGAAAGGGGATCTCAAGCGCGGTCACTAAGACAGTAGAGGGTCATGGTCAGGGTCACTTGTTCATGAGGCCACCGAAGCGGGTCAAGCTGTCAAACTTGGGCAAAGCACAAGTCAAGGCTGATAGCAAAACTTCGCCTCATCTCTCAGACGCAGCAGACCATGCTCACCATACTGAGCGGCCTGCTACCCCTAAAGGCCAGACCTTGAATCTCACAGTCTATCCAACGCCTTCTTCTCCTGTCAGTGGTCTGTCTGCCAAGGAGCTTTCGTCTCAATTTCGCTTTGTCAATCCCAAATTCCCGATATGGAAATCTGTGAACTCACTCAAGCCTGAACTGCCTGACGATGAGAGAGATCCATCCTGGGACTCTCCCAAGTCACTAATGAGAGGCAGAAGTATGTCCAGAGGATCAGACGATGATGACCTATATCTACCTCCATCTAAGGCTGTTAAAATAGTCTTTTCTCGGCGACAGCTCCTTCTCACCGGTGCTGATTATGGACTGAGCGATGGCGATGATGACGAATTTGATGATGAACGTGGCGTCTCCAAAAACGAGACAAAAGGCGTTGTTTACGACTTCTCTCTGGAGCGAGCCAAGCGATGGGCTGCGGCTGTCAGCTTGCCCGAGAACGCTTGGAGCGAAGCAGAAAAGGAGCTCTTCTTCCGGCTGGCAATGCGTGGTTTCGAGCCTTTAATGCCCCGGCACTGGCAACATGACTTCTCCACGCTTCCTGATACCATGTTTTCTCTTCCCGAAGAGGAAATAGTTCCAATTATTCGAGCCTTCAAGCACTCCGACTTTCATGGTAAGTTGAAAACTACCTGAGCATTCTCTTATATTGAATACCAGGGCTGATTTGTCTCCTTTTCTCTATAGCTATAAAGTCTCTACTCGGCTTGTTCTCTCTAAGTGGACAAGTGAGAGACTGCAATATTCTACGGACCAGACCAGAGGACAAGATCAGAAAAGCAATCAAGAAATATGTTCGCTGGGCTATGCGGGACGCAGATATACACGAAAAACCCGGAACTATCCCCGTCTACACCATTCACTCCCAGAAAGAAGGAGAATCAGTCGTCTCTGCAGTCTCAAAGCTCAACAAACGTCTGGGAAAGCTCGCAAAACGATACCACAACACACTAGGAATGTCACCACGCAGGACCAGCCAACACAAAATTAAAAAAGCAGGTGCCCAAATCAAGCAAGAGTTCGACACCGATCTGAGAATCACTTCTCGTTGCAACTTTCCCCTCCTCGTCGGCTTCGTGATTTGCGGTCCGATTGTTGCCATCTTAACGCTCAATACGGATCCGCTCAGTCCAAAGGGTTGGGGCGAAGGTACGGGGAGCAAGTTCATCTCTCAGTTTGATGTTGGAGAGCGGGGTCAGGATGTCTGGACTTCGTTAGCACTTGCGATTACGATTATGCATATTCGGAAGACTATGATACAGTTGGCGGACGGTGGTATGGGTGGATTTTGTAGGAACGGGGGAGATGGGCTTTTTGGTGAGGATGAAGATCTTTGACGCGACCTATACAACTGGCTTATAAATCAGGCTTTAGATATTTTAGTTTTATATCTTTAATCATGAAAATTGAATGCTTCTTTTCAGTCCCCTGTTTCATGCACCCTTGCTAAACCGGATATGTATTGCAGGCATACCACGGAATTAACTCAGCCAACTTCCAGTTTGGTTTTGATGCCAACAAATAATAAATATGCAGGCAACTAATCAATCTTTAGAGAATCTTCATCTATTGCTAAAGACAACCACAATAACAAGTGCTTGTTGTTGTGTAGTTCTATCTGTCGGAATATAGAGGTTCCTTACCGAACAATACCAACTGATGCCTGATTGATGCCTTGCTGATATCATATGGCGAAAAGCAGCGTATTTACTCTGCTATTACTGCTTTTGAAACCGCACAATCGCTTAGTATACTCTATAAGGTATTTACGGTCGTATATAGGATCCTAGATAGCACACTTTTGCAAGAATCAGAGACCTCAACCATATACGCTTGATACGTACTTTCAACCCTGACTAAGCCACATTTCCGACACTATCAAAATGGTCACATGACCTGACCGGCGATCCACGTCCCCACCATAGACTTAGTTCAACAGCAAAACAATTCTCTCTTTGACTCCCATACAAATACCATATATCATCATGGATGCTGCAGATGACAGAGAAGCCAAACTTCAACGGGCATCCGGAGACCTTGTGGACGAGTTCTCTACAAAACTGCCATCTTTGCTGTGGAAAATACGCACGGAGAATGGACACAATGTCCGAGTTCCTCGACGATGGACACAGGCAAACAAAACAGAGAAGCTTATAGGCCTCGTAAGATACTACAAATTTTAATATGTGGAGTATGAGACTAATTACGACAGTTGGAACCTTTCCAAGAATGGCCACAACTGTTAGACCCTCATTTGCAAAAGCTCCTGCCACCACTAGTCGATGTTTTCTTGGCATATCTGCTTAAGCATCGAGATCAATACGCTTCTGAGACGACAGCTACAAAATCACAGTCGGGGGCGCTCTATCCCCTCCCCCGGGCTGTATGTAGATTCCTCTACACATTCTGCAAAGTGCGCGGGGTGAAGGTGATCACCCGGTTTCTGAATAATGAGCCAAAGTATCTCGACCCGATGCTTCGCGCTTTCATCGAATGGGATGTCGTTCCGCAAGATAATCCTATGGGGATTGCATTGTTTGATGATATCTCGCGGCGACTGGTATGGGAAGAGCGATATGTGATGCTCACCTGGCTCTCGCATTTGTTGCTTGCCCCGTTCGATCTGTCGTCGCTATCATCGGATAATATCCCGATACCCTATGCTAATTTGGATCGTCTGAAAACTCTTTCACCTCAGACGCCTGCGGTTACGAAGTCGCTACTTTCTGTGTCTTTGAATTATGTCGATGTTTCTGGAAAGGAGCGCGAGGCTGCTACTGCATTGCTTGCGCGGCTTGCGCTTCGTCGGGATATGCTGGCTGTTGGGGTCTTGAATAACCTTACGGAATGGGCGTTCTTGATACTTCAACCGGTAGACAGTAGTGAGCCGCCTTCTTTGTATAAGTGTATCGGGGTGCTGTCCTTTCTTGCGCGATTGGCGGCGTCGGGTCAGGCTGAGGGGTTTGCTCCCCTGGTCGAACCGGTATTCAACCAGACTTTACGCATTGCTCACGGAGAGTCGGACATATCCAAAGTTATCAGGTCGTCTGCTCTGGCGCGGAAGATCATAATCAAGATACTCCGCAGCGTGAGTGTAATGGCCCTGTCGCTGAACGAGAATGGCTCTATGTCAGACGACCAAGTATCTGTTATCTTGGAAGAAGTGATCGACCATTTGCTGGTCTCGCTTGCTGATAAAGATACGCCTGTGCGTTTTGCTGCAAGCAAGGCTTTGAGTATTATTACCCTGAAGCTGGACCTAGAGATGGCAGCCGATGTCATCGAAGCTGTCACTGGCTCATTGGAGGAGAATATACTGTATGAGACGCGAGACGGTACTATAGTGGCACCATTTGAGGCCAGGAAAATTGGGATCAACACACTAAAGCGGAATTTGAGTGCGGTTGATGCTCAACGGTGGCAAGGCTTGATACTAACGCTTGGACATTTGCTTTTCCGCCGTGCTCCTCCAACCCACCACCTCTACAGTGTACTGCAACCGCTTGTGTCCGGACTTGTTTTTGAGCAGAGATCGTCAATTGGTAGCTCTGTTGGTACTGGTGTGCGAGACGCTTCGTGCTTTGGTATCTGGGCAATGTCTCGGAAATACACGACGCAGGAATTGCTGGCCTTGAGGGCAGACGCGATCAGTACGCCTACGCAGCAAAAAGAAACTAACATTCTGCAAATGCTCGCTGTTGAGCTCGTATGCGCCGCCTGCGTAGATCCTTCAGGAAATATTCGGAGAGGTTCTTCCGCTGCTTTGCAAGAACTGATTGGCCGTCACCCGAATACAATCGCTGAGGGCATATCGCTCGTCCAAGTCGTGGATTATCATGCTGTTGCGCGACGCTCGCGAGCGATGAATGATGTGGCGAAGGCGACGGTAGCGCTCGATGATGTTTATTGGAGCCCACTTGTGGAGTCATTGATGCAGTGGAGAGGCATCGGTTCACCCGATGCTGAGTCAAGGAGACATGCTGCGAGGGCAATTGGAGCTCTTAGTTTCCATGGATCTTACACGACATTGAAGATTGTGTTTCAGCGACTTCTCCATAAACTCTCAAACCTCCCGCGGAATGATGTGGAGACAAGACACGGTTGTATGCTGTCTATTGCAGCTACTGTTGATGCCTATAACAAACAACAAGAAACGATCTCGTCTGAAGCAGCAGATCTTGCTATCCAAGTTGCTCAGCTTTGGAACATTTTCGGCTCGTCGTTTGGTCCTTCCAAGGATGATCTAACGCTTCAATCGTCTCGTCCTGAATTGACGGCGGAAGCGACAGCCCGCCTTATCGATGCCTTGTCTCGAACAGCTATCAAGTCAGACGCATCCAGTTCGCCTCAGCCTTCAGCTGTCTCAATAAACAACGCTCGGGAAACCCTCTTGCTATGCGTTTCCCGGGGAGAAGACCTCCCAATGAAAGCTTCTTCCGATGCTGTATCGCAATTGTTCCCACTATTGTCGTTGGAGAACCAGAAGAAAACAGTGCAAGACTGGTTTTCGCATATCCAGGCTACAAGGAAACTTCCCACTGGTCGTGGTCAGATCTCAGCTCTCGGTGCCGTGTTCAAGAGTGTCGACCCTGAGAATAGTCTTAAATTGGAAATTATACAGGAGCTACTCCAATGCGCCGGTCTGGAAGAACTGATTGAGAAGAGAGTAGCAGCCGTGAAGTGCTTGGCGACACAGGTCTTGCCGTATATTAGTGAGTTCAATGGATGAAACTTGGTGACCCACATGCTAACTGTTGGTAGCTGTGACGGATGATATAGTAGACCATTTCATCAACTTCTTGAACGATTACACGACCGACAGACGAGGCGACATAGGTTCATTGCTGCGATTAGAAGCAATCCAAGCAGCAAATATCATTCTCCGAAAGGAATCCGAGCATGGAACTCGCTCATCACGCACCCAGAAAGTTATCGGTTGCCTATGCAGACTTGCAGCGGAGAAACTGGACAAAGTCCGTATACAAGCCTGGCTTGGTCTGCAGAGTTTCTGGGAGTCAGCAGAGGATTTTCCGCTGTTAGAAAAGTGAGCCTTCAAAACTGCTAATCAATCTGGATATTTGATTAACTTGAGCAGAAAATACAACCATTTCAGCCATGTGTCGTTCCCGGATTACTTCGTTCAGCTGCTGGAACTCCAGGCAATTGACTGGCTGCGTCTGCCTCTATATCAAGGCCTTGCGACGTCGGCTGTTGCTGGTGCTGAGGGATTAATCCGCGCCTCACGCCTCGCGCTGGTGCAGTGTATTAACAGCAGGAAGGCGGAGCAACGAGAAGCGATGCTGCTCATGATACTCAAAGACCTGTCGACCATCCTAAGTGAGAACTTGCAAGATGATCGCTTTGCGATACCTATCTTGGAGTTGCTAGCATTCTTGTTTGATGGATACATTCCATCTATACCTGAAGGCTCAGAGCAAATGTGAGCCCCTTGTCCTATTAGCAGTCTACACATTTCTTATTGACGCTAACGCTGTGTGAAGCTTCCGAAAATTGTTCACGCTCACTCAGAAAGCACACTTCAAATCATCCAATATCCAACGCCTCGAAGCAGCCGTCAAGGCCTACGCTCCGTTGTCTCGCTTCCCACAGCTCCGGCCTGAGGTTCTGAAAAAACTGACGGCGATGCTCCTGCATCCATTCCCGAGGGTAGGTCTATTGACTCTGATGTGACTATTCGAATGCTTGGCTAACCAGAACAGGTCCGGTCGACCGTTTCGGAATACTTGTATACTGTCACTGAGTCGGATGAGGTTAAGTTGGGGGATTGGACTAGACAGCCTAAGGAGATGAAGGGTGAAGTTGAGGTTTTACGGGGGGCCCTGGTCGCGTAGATAGATTTGGGGTTAGAATACCAAGTACATAATAAATTGAGTTCTAGAACATGAAACGAAGAAATGTTCAAAAAGAAAAAAAAAAAAAAAAAAAAAAAAATAAAAGCCAAGCTCCCATTGAGAGTAAAAAAAAAAAAAAAAAAAAAAAAAAAAAAAAAAAAAAAAAAAAAAAAAGAATTTAAGAGCATTGAGGAACACTTGTATTGAAACACAAAAAAGGCAAAAAGAAAAAAAGTGCATCATCCGTGAATCGAACACGGGCCTCGTCGATGGCAACGACGAATTCTACCACTAGACCAATGATGCCAATTCATGTAAGAATATTTTTTACTTTAATCTATATTCCTTACATAATTTTAGACCCTTATCAACCTCAACCGCAAAGCTTCCATCTCGACCTGCTGATCAAAAACACTAGCTTGAGACAAGCCTCAGTTGTCGCAATCATGGCGACGGTAGCAGCCAATTCCAGCATTCCCCCTAATCCCACGTGAGTATTTTCTCCCTCACCTGTCTTGTCTTTCGAACCCAGGAAACGACAGATGTGCTAAACATGATTCTTCTCCGCAGAGTCTATGTGAGCTTTCCATCCCGATCCCCGACGACGTCCCACGCCGCACACGCGCGCGATGCCACGATAATGAAACCCAGTAAAACAGTAATATTAACATAGCGTATAGGTCCGCAATCTCCAAGAACGCATCAAAGTCGAAAACCTCAAAGAAGCCCTGGAAGAGCTCTTCGCTGAATATGGCACCATCGTCGAGATAGTCGCCAAAACCAACCTCAAGGCCAAGGGCCAGGCCTTCGTCGTCTTTGACAATGTTGAGTCTGCTACGAACGCTATCGAGGAGATTAATGGGTTCGAGCTGTTTGAGAAACCGATGGTGTTAGATTATGCGAAGTCGAGGAGCGATGCGACGGTTTTGAGAGAGGGTGGTGGTGATGAGTTGGAGGCGCATAAGAGGAGGAGGCTGGCTGAGAAGGGTTTGTTTTTCTTTTCCTGCTGTTTTGATTAATGGGGAATTGGTCAGGTGGCTGACTATGACACAGAGCGCAAACAAGCCCACGAAGCTCTTGAAGCCCAAAAGAAACTCAAACGTCCCGCCGGTGCTGCCCCCGATACCACGCGTCCCGCCAAAACCACCAAAGGAGCTGGTCTCAAGCCGACGAGCGGTGCTGCGGCGACGGTCATCCCAGATGAATACCTTCCTCCGAACAAGATTCTGTTCTTGCGGGACCTCCCCGACAACATCGACCAGGATACGCTTACGAGTGTGTTTGGGCGGTTTGAGGGCTTCACGGAGGTCAGATTGGTGCCTGGTAGAAAGGGAATTGCTTTTGTTGAGTATGAGAATGAGTCTGGGGCCATTAGTGCTAAGGAGGCTACGTCGGGAATGCCCATGGGAGATGGGAAGCCTATTCGGGTTACGTACCAGAGACAGTGATGTTTTTGTGTGCGCTTGTGGACAGACTAATCTGGCGTTTGGAAGGAATTATTTGCCTTTTTGTATCTTTCTCTTTGACCATGGAGATTAAGTCATGAATCTTTGTTTCTGTATCTTTGAGGCTTCGCCTTTGATAGCCTCATGAAAAGGACACCGCATAAATGATATCAAAGAACAATCGTGCTAAAAGGACAAAACGGGAAAAAAAAAAAAAAAAGACTAGTTACATAGCAACGGAAACAAGGGAAAGGAAACAACTTCTAAAAGATCACATCTTGATCTTCTTGGTCCCCGAGCACATCAGGAACATCACCCGTATCCTTCTCAGCCGCCTTTTGTCTGGCAGCCAGGATCTCCGCGTCTTGCGCGGCAGTGTCTCTCTGCTTCTTATTCGAGACCTTCTTAAGTCGGTAGAATTCTTCTCTGTCGAGCTCATCGAGTTCGGAGTTGATATCTATGGCGAGTTAGCACAAAAGCACAGGCATATACATCAGATGTAGGTGGTAGGTGACTGACATTTGATTGTGTTCTCAGTTCGAGGAATGATGACATGCTCACTGGTTATCACGATGTTAGTTCCCAAATACTCAAAGTTCGTAGACACGGTGATAATAAATAGCCTACATTGCGTTCACTATAAATGGTCAGTATCGTATCCCAGTACCCAAGTGCATTACATCAACTTACCTCTCCGGTTGACCACCTTGATCATCTCATCAAGAATTAGGAATGCAGTCTGAAATCCATTAGCTACCAACTGGGATCTCACAGATGTTGACTTCCTACCTGTAGACTTGCCAGCTCCACCAGTGTCTCTACCGCGCGAGCATAGGTCTCCCGGCAGCGTTGAACCTGCTGACCACCTTTCCCAAGACCAGTCAAACCGAAGTCGTTTATTCCCTCCTCCTGATACGCCTCGAATTGAGGCAGGAAGACACCAGACACGTTCTCCTGCTTAGCCTGTACACGGAATCGTGCCTGTTTGGCGGATTCCTGGATTTGGTATCCAATGTCCCCTCCAACGGCATAGGTCACCTCCGCCAGGGAGAAGGAAGCCACTTGCATGACTCGTCCCATCTTTCGTTTTGCTTCATCAATGCGCCGGGTGATGTCTGGTTTCGAGCATTAATTCCCGTCGATCCACGTCGTTTGGAATCGTCTTACCTCGAAAGCGCCTATGGATTGTGGTATATGATCAGCAGGGAAGTCTGGAAAACGTCAAGAGGGAACGCACTTCGTCAAAGCTTCACTTTTTCTCTTCAATAAGCTGTGGCCAGTCTCTGCACCCTTAAGCTTGCTCTTCATCAAACCCAACGACTGGCGAGTCGGGAAGACTGGTTCGCGGCCCTGGATGGCGACAGGTTAGTAGACTGCTTCGTAACAGCCGTACTGAAGCAAACTCACTGCTGCCGACATGGTGAAATATCAAATTATTCAATTCAACGAAAATTCAAACACCCAAATTGCAAACCAATAACTAAAGACGAACACCCCGTGGCATCAAATGGACGGCATGACGATAAGTGAGCCAACTGCGCGATAACCCGCGGAGCTTGGACCAACTCCGTGTTCGATGCGGCATGGAAATTAGTCACGTGAGGTCGGTCGACTTCATCTCATCGCGGCGTCCAGCAATTCACACTCCAACGGCGACCAGACAAACGCTTTTGCCCGTTCATGCCACTATTTCCTTTTCAGCTCCTGTGTTGACCGTGTGAGTTGATCCCGCTCGATTGAGTGGCGCAATGCCAGGGACGCTTCTGCCCCCGAGATCCCACCGGCAACACGCAGAGATGGATCGATCATCGGCTTCTGGGCCTGATCTGTACCTGATCGTGAGTGTCACTAGGAATTCAACCTGCGAGGAAATGGAGACTAACAATGCGATTTTCTCAATAGGCCGATCAGGACACCGTCTATGAGCAAGATCTCATCCGGGACCCCGGCAGTATCAAACCATGGCTTTCCTACATTGAATACAAGCAACAGCATGGGACACTTTACGAACAAGCTTTTGTGAGCATCCGACAGATATATATTGTTTGCGAAATTGCAAAACTGACATGTTCCAGGTTATGGAGCGTGCCTGTAGGCAGCTACCAAGATCTTACAAGCTGTGGAAGATGGTATTTTATTTTTGCCCCCTCATTTATCCCACCATCCACCAAGACAGAGACATTATATCAGTAACTGACTTATGTAGTATCTCGAATTCAGAGCAAGTCATCTTCGTGGTCGCAATGCGACCAAATATCGGGCTGAATACCAAAAAGTGAACGCGCTTTTCGAGCGCGCGCTTATCCTCCTCAATAAGATGCCCCGGATATGGGAAATGTATCTCTCCTTCATGCTGCAACAACCCCTTGTCACGCAGACACGACGAACATTTGATCGCGCGCTTCAAGCTCTGCCCGTTACCCAACATAACCGGATCTGGAAGCTTTACAAGGCATTCGCGCGCTCCGCTTCTGGTCAGACTGCGGTGAAGATCTGGGCCAGGTATATGCAAATTCATCCGGAAAACTCAGAGGAATATATCGAGCTCTTGATTGAGATGAAAGAGTATACGGAAGCTGTGAAACGATACATGGAAATTCTCGACGATCCGCGATTCCAGTCGAAGGAAGGGAAAAGTCATTTCCAGTTATGGACTGAGATGGTTGACCTATTGGTCTCCAAGGCTAAACAGGTCAAGACTGGTCCGCAAATTGGAATTGATGTCGACGCCATCCTGCGTAGCGGGATCGATAGATTCGCCGACCAGAGAGGAAAGTTATGGGCCGGATTAGCGACATATTGGATCACTAAAGGTAACTTCGAGAAGGCAAGGGATGTCTACGAAGAGGGTATCCTCACTGTCATGACCGTTCGCGATTTCACTCTTATCTTCGACTCCTACGTTGAATTCGAAGAATCGATCATTGGAAGCCTGATGGAGGCGGCCGCGGTTCGTGCTGATAAGGGAAAGACTGACGAAGATGCCGATTTCGACCTTGACCTGCGAATGCTGCGATTCGAACAGCTTATGGATCGACGGCCGTTCCTGGTCAACGATGTGCTCCTGCGACAGAACCCCAACAACGTCATTGAATGGGAAAAGAGAGTAGCCTTGTGGAGTGAGAACAAGCAAGAAGTTGTCAATACCTACACAGCTGCTATCGCGGCGATCAACCCCAAGAAAGCCCATGGCAAGTTCTCCGAACTCTGGGTCAATTACGCCAAATTCTACGAAAACGGTGGCGATTTAGATACAGCACGAGTCATATTCGAGAAAGCTGTCAAAGTTCCCTTCAAGTCGGTCGCAGAATTGGCCGATACTTGGTGTGAATGGGCAGAGATGGAATTGCGGGCCGATAACTTCGACAGAGCAGTTGAAGTCATGGCCAAAGCTACGCAAGCTCCCAAGAAGTCCACCGTGGACTATTTCGACGAGACTCTTTCGCCTCAGCAGCGTGTCCACAAGAGCTGGAAGCTGTGGAGTTTCTACGTTGACCTGGTTGAGAGTGTTGCCTCCTTGGAGGAGACGAAGAAGGTCTACGAGAGAATCTTTGAACTACGTATTGCGACTCCACAGACGGTGGTCAACTATGCCAATCTGCTGGAAGAGCACAAGTACTTCGAAGACTCCTTCAAGATTTACGAACGAGGACTGGATCTCTTCAGCTATCCGGTTGCGTTTGAGCTTTGGAACCTCTACCTGACCAAGGCCGTGGACCGGAAGATCGGAATTGAAAGATTGCGTGACTTGTTCGAGCAGGCTCTGGATGAATGTCCTCCCAAGTTCGCCAAGCCTCTGTACTTAATGTACGGTAACCTAGAGGAAGAACGCGGTCTGGCACGACATGCGATGAGAATTTATGAGCGTGCTACTCGTGCAGTATCCGACGAGGACCGCTTCGAGATGTTCGAATTCTATATCACGAAATCCGCATCGAACTTCGGATTGACCTCCACAAGACCGATCTACGAACGGGCTATCGCGGCTTTACCTGACCAGGAAGCCAAAGAAATGTGTCTCAAGTTTGCTGAGATGGAGCGACGACTGGGCGAGATCGATCGGGCCCGTGCCATTTACGGACACGCATCGCAGTTCTGCGACCCTCGCACCAATGCCGGTTTCTGGCAGAAATGGGAAACATTCGAAGTCCAGCACGGAAATGAGGACACTTTCAAGGAAATGCTTCGCATCAAGCGAAGTGTGCAAGCGCAATATAAGTATGTGACCATTCTGCCCTCAAAATGGATAAAGTTGATGTTCACTAACACAAAACAGCACCGATGTCAATTTCATTGCGTCGCAGGCAATCGCCCGTAGCCAGCAGCTCCCTCAAGAAGGCGGCGAAGAAGGGGGAGAGATGGATGGTGCAAAGGAAAAGGCTGATGTCATGGCAGCTTTGGAACGACAAGCGCGTGCTCCGATGGGCTTTGTCGCTGCCAGCACTGGACCTGAGGGTGGTAACCGACCTCCCCCTACTGGTCAAGAGCAGCAACCGTCCGCCCCTGTCAACCCGGACGCCATCAACCTCGACGATGACATGGATGAATAAACTGTTTTTCTTTCGGTTTGTTTGGGAAGAGTGCGTGCTGAATGATTCCCGTCATTCCTTTCTCATCTAACATGTCTTGGTTGTCACAATCCCTTAAATCTCCTTTGTTTTCAATATTTCCTGGATTGCCATGTGCGAATCGTTTTTCTCTCGAATCCAATTGGATTGCGATACTGTGCGATACCTCTTCTTGTGATTTGTTGTACTGTATAGACAATTCTTTGATTATGGGACATCTTCGTAAACACTCGAATTGGCGTAGCTCACGTGACTTCCATGCAAAGATAAAACATTCCTACAGAGATCGATCATACAGGCGTTATGCTTATCAGATAAAAGGAACAGATAGTTCAGAAATAGTGTATAGTTATTTGGGACAGTATTTGAAATACATGCCATTCACGCCTTCATTGCTTTTCCCAACCCTGCGTCGAGCAAATCCCGAGCATCCACACTCGGGATTTGCTTACACGAACCTTACGATGCCATTCAGGTCCTGCAACCCTGCGCCAAACCCCGGCGGCTTTCTACAATACAATCCCATTATCAAGGAGTTCCCAGCAGCACACAAGCATCGTACTTAGCATTGGCATCCGACATTCTGCCCTATGACTACTACTACATGCAGCCGCGTCTAGTCCTGTGGTGGTATGCTCTCTCTCGCCGGGTGTGGAGGACGCCAACCTGTGCCAACTTCCGATGATTATTTGTCATTACTAGTACTGTTTATGTACTTTGTACTGCTCCATCGCCATGGTCCAGGAGAGTTTCAGACATTCCGATTATGATTCAATTACCGCTGTGGCGCGGTCTGCGGTCTCGAAGCCGTCGTCGGTGGTCCGCAGGAAGTTCGCGAAGCCCCCAGTTAAAGTAGCTTGTTTGGCTTGGTAAGCCCCATACATTTTACGGACCTGGAGCCGGCGTCCTATTGCGGTGTTTGCCTTACTAATTCGATAATTAGCCGTGCTTCGAGAACGCGTTGTGATGGGCAAGATCCATGTGCTAATGTATGTCGTGTTTCCATTTGCTTGCCGATTTCGCTCTGGACTGTACTAAACTGTCTCCCCTTGACATCAGTGCACTGGCAAGAACCGAGAATGTTCCTATATGCCCAGTAAACGAGGTGGTCCTAGGAGAAGAAAGAAGATATCCATTTCCGATGGAAACAATGTCCAGCATAATGGCGCCCAGGGAGTAGCAATGGTGCCGTCGCCTGATTTCCAGGAAGGTAGGCTGTGATGGCAAGTCTGTCCTATATTCAATGAAAAGCTGACTAGTCATAGCGTCATCCGATATGTTTGGCCAAATCGATGAGTTATCTATGCCAGGTGCAGGACTGAGAAGTCTAGATTATTCTTCCGATGTACAGACTATGCTTGCAGATCTTTTCGTCCCCAACACCGAAGGACATCCCGACATGCATATGCAGTCAACGCCGTCATCTTCAAGTATGCTCATGCAGCCTCTGGTGCGGACGTATGGCAGCGAATACGAAATGTTAGTTATCCCATGAATTCCAAGGCTCATAATATATGCTGACCTTCGTTACAGTCTAAACGCCTACTACGTTTTCATCCATCCTTATTTCCCTATCCTCCCAGCGAGAGTGACATCCCCATTTCCTGATCAACCATTGAATTACGCTACATCCTGCACCAGCTCCCCTTCCGAAGACCCTGTTCTAGCTTACCAGCCTCGATCGCCCCTAAGTCTTGCGCTATCTGCAATCCTGTCCCTTATACCTCACCCAGATGATCCCGAACCATCATCTCCAAATTCTGTGGCGCAGCGCAGAAATCGTGCTCATGCATTCGCTCAAATGGCAGCTGACAGTGTCGAGGCCGACTGTGAGCTGAATTCTTCATCCACGGACCCTTCGCAGGCGCTGTACGGTGAGCGGCCATCGATTAGCCGAGAACCTTTCCATCCTCGGACGCCAGTTGAACTCGAGAATCTCCTCGCGCTGTTGGTATTGTCTACGTATGAGTATGTACAACGCGGGAACTTGTTGAAGATGAGATACCGTGCGGGTCAGGCGTTCACGATAGCCTTGGACATGTCTCTGCATACTTTAGAGGAGGACCATAGCGATTTTGCAGAGGCTAGAAGGAGAGCGTGGTGGATGACGGTATGTCTTAGTTTCATGAACAGTCTGGTCAGTTCTAACTTGTTTTTACAGTACTACTGCGTCCTCCAAGGGTCTATTGTTAGCACGACCGTGAGTATTCCAATTTTCCTTATCCAAGCCAGATTCAAACTAAGAATCCAATAGACCCCGTCTATCGTGATCCAAGATCCTCAATTCATTACACCCTACCCCCAATTCGACTCCGACCCAGATGTAAGTGACCGTACCCAACAACTTTTCGCCTTCTGACCTCTCCCAGGGTTGGCCTGTTTTGATACAGGCGCAGCAAGTTCTAGTATCGGCGACTCAATTCGTCATCGATCTGAACAAATGCATCAAATCAAGGTCGAACATGTCCTATATATACGAACGAATGCAGCAACTTGACACCTGGGCTGCCTCTGTGCTTTCGCAGTCAGCATTAACCCCCAGTATTTCACAACCTCACGGCCTCGACAACAGAGCAGAATTGATCACCGCGCGCAGCATGCGTGCAATTTCGCGGATCAAACTATCCAGGTATCTATCCATTAAACACGCCGGGAACAAAATTGCATACTGACTCCAGTCTAGCGCGCAGATCAAAACACACCGTTTCCGAGCCTTCCAAGACATTCCCATATTCATCAAGAAGCACTGTGATCTCACAGCAGCAGCAGCAAATGCCAGCAACACAACTCCAACAACCCGTACACCACCCAAAGACCCTTCTCAAATAACCAACATCCGTTGCTCATGCAGCAGCACCATGGAACATGTCCCTGAATACACAACACCCTCCACCTCAACGACCCCAGATCTCCCATCTACATCATCATCACAACAACCCCCTACTCCCACAGAATGTCCTTTTTCCAGCCAACACTCGGCAAAAGCCTGCCTCCGTGCCGCCCTCCTAATCTCGCACATGTTCCAATCTCTACCCCTCCCGCATCCTGAGGGGCAAGAACTCCACCCGCAGCATCAACAAAAATTACCACGCACCATGCCTTCATTTGCCTGCTGCTTAATGCAAGGCAGCTATGCCATGTTAATGATATTCTACAAAGCCCGCGTCGCAAGGCGAATGTCTCCGTCTCCACTCCCACTCTCATCACAGCCAGGAGCCGGGTATGAAAACGGGCGACGCATGTCTGGGACTATGAATTCCGACCCGAATACGAATCCTAACCCGACTCTGAATCCGACGGATAGACTAATTTTGGAGCTGAAGCAGGGGCTGGAGAGGATTATAGGTGTGGTGAGGAATTATACGATTGCGTTTGAGGCGTTGGCTGGGATGAGGGGTGAGTTTTTTTTTTTTTTTTTTTGAAAAGGTTTAATTTGTGAATAGATGACTGACTCAGATTCTGATACAGATGATATTGAAGGTGCTTACCACACGGCATTTGCTTGAATGCAATGCTTTGACAGAACTTCGGGATTTTTTTTTTTTTTTTTTTCGCTTTATACCATTATTTTGCACGGTCTCAAACATACACGGCATATTGTTTCTAGTGTCTTTGAAGTTTATAGTTCACGGCCTAGTGATGCCTCCTGTTGATTGTTTAGGTATTGATCGAATTGGAGTTGGGGATATCTAAAGGAACAAATTGGGAGGATTTTCTGTCTTTGGTTTATAATGCAGTATATCTGATAGCAAGAATTCATATTCTTTCTATTGCCTTATATTGAAAAAACAAAGTCCAAATTCGCTCTAAACGTAGACCCAAAAACCATAGCGCCAACACTAAAAGATACAGCATAGGGTATTACACTTGTACAAAGACTCCCCTTATCTATGACAAGTTTGTCAAACCGTGCGGCATGTTTAAAGTTTCGACCGGATCCCTTCTAAGCGGAACTTGACGTCCTTCAACACCTTGCTCGATGGCTTCCAGTCGTCGAATTGCTTCAGGAGTTCCACTGTTTCCTCGTACAACTCGCGCTTGACGTGTTCTTCTTCCAGAAGACCGCGCATCGCGAACGGGAGGATATACGGGTTTGCTACTGGTGAACCTTGGGGTCGCTTGATTTGTAGGGCTGCGCCGCTAACATCTGACGTCTCTAAAGCAAATGCGATGGCGAGACTGGAAAGAATGTTAATGCACTGCGTACCTGTGGTAGAGGTATGTACTTACGAATAAACAGCTTCGTCATCGTAAAGACGAGAATGTCCCTCTCCAGTATAGAGACTACCCGCGAGCGGTGCGCTCAATTCCCGAATGAGGCCATGGTCTGCTATCCCAAGGTTTCGTAACTTGAGGGAAAATCCAACTAAATGGGAAAGGCTAATGAATGTCAGCAGAATTCAGGACCGCCGGTGACAGATACTTACAAGCTAGGAGCATGGACCCGGCCATCAACAAAAACAGCCCGATAGATATAAGGATGATTTACCGGCGAGAAGAGCGACGACTGGAAGATAAACATGTTAGACATACGGGCATATAATACCCAGGAAGCACGTACTTACCTCTAGAGACACCAGTTGGTCATCAATGCTTCCAATGTAGGAAATTCGAACCCCGAAGTCAAGTGCACATTTTAATGCAGCCTCATAGTCCTGAGACACCTGACTATGGGGCAACGCAAACTCAAAGAGCTCCCCAGCAGATCCACTAATCCATCTAGATCTATAGTCAGGAAACGGTCCCAGGTTAACACCGGCCATGGCGCATATCCCAACGCGCGACGCATTTACGCAGCCAAATGCTATTAATTTTGCAACCAACATGATAGACACTGGAACACCCTGGCTGTGGCATGCAATCATAATATAATCTGCGTTTCTGATTTCTTCCATCCAGTTCAATAGCAGTTTCCACAGTAGATCCACGCGTTCGGAAATGCGGCCTTCGCCTTCAAGTGAAATCTTGTCAATATCGCAGGAGTATCCGCGGCTCTCGGTCCAGTTTCTGATGGCGTTAGCCGCCATCGTCGAGAATCGTACAGAAGTGCCTGTTGGTTGACCAAGAACGCTTCGTATCAGTGGAGCAGGAAAGTATCCGTGTACCCCAATAGCCAAGGCTTTTCGGATGCGAGGCGGATCTCGAATTCTGTACGCATGCTTATTTTGCTGTTTTTTGCTATAATGTAAGAAACTTCCAAGTGTCTGTAGTAAAGACGGTGACTCTTGTATAGAAAACGTGTCTTGAAAGCGTGGCAGAACATGGTTAGGTAGATTCTTTTGCAAATTTCTCGAGGCAGCCGTTTGAGGAGCCTTCGGGGGTACGGCATCGGCTGCGATCTCCACCTGAGCTGCGACTTTATCGGGAAGAACAGGCGACCCAACGTTGCTTTTAGGTGGCTTGACCTTGGTAATCCCCTTTTTCTTGATCTCCACTTCTTGTTCTGGCTCTGGTGACTGCTGCGAAGATGTATCTTGTTTTATTGAGGCTTCAACGGTTTCGATATCTTGGGTCTTTGGTTGCGCAGAATCCTTTGAAGTGTCCCGGAACCAGAACGACCAGCCAGATGATCCATAATTTTGAGCAGCTGGTTTGGGAGAATCACTTCGTTCTTCAGGTCGTTCATCAGGCACTGGCGTATCGTTTTGTGCAGCCTCGGCTGGTTCTTCAGCTATACTTGGTGGTAGATCCTTTGCAGGTTCTTCTTCCTTCTTGAGCTCCTCCGGTGCTTTTGACGAAGAGGGTGAGCCGTACCACATCTGGAACCACGAAAGCCTTTGAGGTGCCGCTGTCACTTGTGTAGTTTCAGGGGTATCTGTTTTTATTGTGGTTTGCTCTTCAGGGACTCCGTTGTTTGTTTCAATGGTATCCTTTTTCGACGTCTGGTCTTTAGTTGACGGCTCCGGTGGCGGGTTTTCTATCAAAGGTTCTGTCGCCTGGGAACCGCCTGTCGTATCTGTCACAGTTGGTGATGATCTGTAGAGCCACGAGAACCATCCACCAGTTTGTGTTGCAGGTGCTGTATTGCTGTTCGGTTCCGCACTTTCGTCACTTATGTTCGGAGCTGTCGCTTCGGTTACACTATCCGGCTGCTCCTTTGCAGTGTCCACGACCTTTTCGCCCTTATCGCTTGGTTGTTCCTTATCTGTAGATTGTGTAGCCGACTCTGATTGTGTATTCGCAGCTGGAGTAGATGAAGAGCCGTCGGACGCAATGTTGACCCGAGTTGTCGTCGCGTTGGCGGGAAGAGACCTGCTCGACGCAGCTTGTCGCCGTGTCAGTTGGAGGGAGGGATTTCGGTTATGTTTCGGATGGTCATCGAGATGGAGATGGGAAGAAGAGGAAGAGATGTTAGCTACATTCTTGGCTGATATGCTTTCGCGGGCAACCTCGGTAACGGGCGCTGCTTTAGAAGCTCTGGAGCCGGCCGGCCAGGTCCCGGGATACCGATTCTAAGTAGAGAACGCATATTAGCTACGCGAATATAGTCTTTTTTTTTTTTTTTTTTATCGGGCCATGACAGACTTACCACTCCAGATCCCCCCCTTTGCGACGAAGTTGAACGTTGTCTGCCGCTTGAGGGAGATAGATCCCCATGACTCGGGGTTGGAGTGGACGGGGCCGTGCCTGGTGGGCTAGGCTCTACTTTCTTGCGGAATCCCGTAGGCGCCATGAAAGCTGCAATAAGAACATAACCAAGCAAAAAGCCAAGTATCAGGACACAAAAGGAGCGTCCCTTTTAAATAGTCGAAGTCGGAAGGCCATGAGCTATTGCCTCTAAACGTGTGTTGGTATTGGTCCAAGTCAGAGCGTCGGGCTGGAAGCATTGCTGATATCATGTCACATGCATCCAGATTGACCGCCTTTGTCGCCTCAGGCATAATATGACTAGTGCGTGTTGCACCGCCTGGCAGAAAAAATTTGGAGGATCTGTGGAGACGGCCAGAATCCGATAAGCAGTTCCTGAATTCTTTCGTCTCTCTTCATACAATCCAACTTCTGTACAAGTCAAAGGTTCTGTCGAGGCTTACTCGACTACCTACGCGCCAATATGGCGGTTCAGAAAAAGCACGGAAAAGGTCGTTTGGATAAGTGGTATCACTTGGCTAAGGAGAAAGGATACCGAGCAAGAGCTGCGTTCAAGCTTGTCCAATTGAACAAGAAGTATGGCTTTTTGGAAAAGAGTAAGGTTCTTCTGGATCTGTGTGCTGCACCTGGAGTAAGTCCTAGTTACCTCCCTTCTTTCTCCCTCTTTGAGTTCATTGTATGCTAACAAAATCAGTCTTGGTGTCAAGTAGCTGCAGAGTGCATGCCCACCCAGAGTATCATCGTCGGTGTTGATCTTGCTCCCATCAAGCCAATTCCTCGAGTTATCTCCTTCCAGAGCGATATCACCACGGACAAATGTCGCGCGACAATCCGATCTCATCTCAAACACTGGAAAGCAGACACAGTCCTGCACGATGGCGCGCCAAACGTCGGTACTGCGTGGGTTCAGGATGCGTTCTCCCAGGCAGAACTTGTCTTGCAATCCATGAAGTTGGCTACGGAGTTCCTGGCTGAGGGCGGTACCTTTGTCACCAAGGTTTTCAGATCGAAGGACTACAACGCTCTGATTTGGGTTTTCAAGCAACTATTCTCGTCCGTTGAAGCGACCAAGCCCCCGTCTTCCCGAAATGTCTCCGCAGAAATTTTCGTTGTTTGCCGTGGATACAAGGCCGCGAAGCGTATCGACCCGAAGTTCCTTGACCCCAAGCATGTCTTTGCGGAACTGGCTGATCCCACTCCGAACTATGAAGCCAAGGTTTTCGACCCCGAGAAGAAGAAGCGAAAGAGGGATGGTTACGAGGAAGGTAATTACACTCAGTTCAAGGAGATCCCGGTCACCGAGTTCATCAACACTATCGACCCGATCGCTATTCTCGGAGAATACAACAAACTTAGCTTTGATCAGGCACCGGCTGGAGACCTCGCCATGGCTACTTTGAATCGACTTGAGGAGACTACCGAGGAGATTCGCACATGCTGTGAGGATTTGAAACTCCTGGGGAAAAAGGAATTCCGGAACCTGCTCAGGTGGCGACTGAAGGTTAGGGAGAAGTTCGGCCTTGTCGTGAAAAAGGGACCTCGTAAGCCTGAGGAGCAGACTGAAGAAGTGGCAGAGGTTGCTCCTATGGATGATGAACTCGCGATCCAGGATGAACTGCATCGTCTAACAGAAAAGGAAAGCGCGACGAGAAAGAAGGAGCGGAGAAAGGAAAACGAAAAGAAGCGCAAGGAGATTGTTCGGATGCAGATGCACATGACTACGCCTATGGAAATCGGAATGGAGCAGCTGGGTCCAGGAGGAGATGATGCGACCTTCTCCCTCAAGCGCGTCGACAGAGAGGGAGCGAGAGATGCGATTGTGTCCGGAAGACAGGCCGTAGTCGAGAGTGAAAGTGAAGGATCCGACTCTGAATCCGAATCCGAGACCGACGATGATGACGGAGACCGGTTGGAGAGAGAGCTTGACAATTTGTACGAGCAATACCAAGACCGCCAGGAAGAACGGGATTCGAAATTGCGCGCCAAGAAGGCTCGAAAGGAGTACGAGGCTGATGAATGGGAGGGCTTTTCGGACAAGGAAGGAAACGATGATGAAGCCGAAGAAGAGGGTGCGGACGCTGAAGCTGAGAGCACTCCTGCTAACGCTTCCAAGTCGAGAACGTTGTCCAACAACGCAGCGTTGTTCTTCGACCAAGATATTTTCCAGGGCCTAGGTGACGATGATGTGGAAGATGAAGACAGCGCAAATGAACACCAGGAGGAGAAACCTAAGGAGGAGCCAAAATCGAAGAAACAGAAGGCCAAGGATGCAAAGAAGCAGGAGCAGGAGCAGGCTGCGCAAGAGTCAGATGAAGAGGTCGAAGAGCCTGAAGATCCCAGGAAGGGCAATGGCCAGCTTGGTAAGTCCCTCTCAACCACTGTAGACAAAAATAGCTGTTACTGACTGATACAGACATCGATATCATTACTGCGGAAGCCATGGCACTAGCGCAGTCAATGGCCACCGGCGAGAAGAAATCCCACGACCTCATCGACGATGGATACAACAAGCACGCCTTCCGCGAACTCGAAGGTCTTCCGGAATGGTTCCTTGATGACGAGAATAGGCACGCCAATCCCAACCGTCCCATCACCAAGGCCGCTGCAGCCGCAATCAAGGAGAAAATGCGCGCCATCAACGCCCGCCCAATCAAGAAGGTGATGGAAGCGAAGGGCCGCAAGAAGATGAGGGCTGCGACGAGACTGGATCGTCTGCGCAAGAAGTCGTCGTTGCTGGCGGAGGATGACGCGCTCAGCGAACGGGACAAGTCGGCAGCTATCACGGCAATGATGGGCAAGGCTTCCAAGAAAAAGCCCAAGCAACAGACCAAGCTTGTTGTTGCCAAGGGTCCCAACCGTGGTATCTCTGGCCGTCCTCGTGGAGTCAAGGGCAAGTACAAGATTGTGGATTCGCGTATGAAGAAGGATATTCGGGCTCAGAAGCGGCTAGCGAAGAAGAAGTCCTAATAAACGCGCAGCGTTTACCGACTGTGAATAATATTGTCATTTATAGTATAAATACAAACTCAAGCAAAAGTTCTGATACCCAGACCGAGGCATCATATGGGAAAATGTTGTAAGAACAACGTAGTTATGAGTATACATTCCAGAACCATGGTGGCGGGGATCTCAGATCTCAATTAATAGATGCAGGAGCTTGATCTTGCATTAGTATGAACAATCAAAAATACATTTCTACACAGGGACACCGATGGCCCAAAGTGGCGAAAATTGAGGCTATACAAAGACGCTAAGAGTGGAAAGCGGCTCTTTCTCCATCCTCTCTCTTCTCAGCACGTGCCGCGATTTTCTCTCTTTATCTCACTCGATCATCGCTCCCTATTTCTTCTTCTTTCTTTCTTTAATTATAGTATTTTTTGTATAGACTTGAAACCGTCGTTTTTTATTGTTTTACTTTGCATTCCTTGTCCATATTCCGACTCTATTTTTACTCTGCAACTCTCCCGCCACTCCCGTCGCCGGCCGCCAATTTCTGCTCCATGGGATTCTTTGACCACCTCCAAAAAGGAGGATCATTTTCGCTACAGGCTCAGAAGCCCCAAATCCGCAAAGTCGTTCAAACGCGACCCGTCCCCGCATCGAAACCGACATCGACGTCGCAGCCGTCGCGAATCCCGCCTCGCGACAAGGCTACGAAGACACGAGACTCGGGAAGCAGACCGGCCTCGAAGGTTCCGGAACAACGTCCTTCGAAGTCGCGATCGATAACGCCGTTACGAGCCAACCGCAAGAGACAGACACCCGAGTTGCGACTGTCTAGCGACGATGACGCGAGTGATACCGATACATCGTTCGAGGTGCGCAAACGGGCGAGGACAGATGACAGTGCGGAACCGGATCCTTCGAGGCGTGTACGCTCGTTGAAGGCTTTCTCAGAAGAGGGTGTTAAGCCTTTTTCGATGGTGCATGCTTCTGATATCACGTCTGGGCAGAAGGCGAAGAATTTTAAGCCTGCGTTCGGGAGTGGGGATAAGCCAGTTGAAATTCTTCTGCAGTATCCTAGTGCTTCGCAGAAGGAGAGGTATGGCGTTCTTGGATTAGTTGAGGGCTAATATATGCTGACATCTCGCGTTTTCTAGGTTTCAGCTTGTGGTGCCGCGGGACAACGACGACTTCAAACCCATCGACGATATCGTACAGGTTATCGAGGTTGCTGCCCAGCATTACATCCCTGAGGAAGAATCGGACGAGTTCAATAACGAGTCGACCGGTATTAAGCGGAGGCTACGACGAGCTTTGGCTCATGCGTCTGAGGCGGAGGTGCGCGAAACCGTTGACGATTATAATAAGGCGATTGAGCGATTGCGGCGGAACGGGAGTATTGCCAAAAAACTAGACGCGATGACTCGACTCAGTCTACCTCACGTGGAGCGCGTATTGAATCAGATCTATTCACGCACTGTTTCGCCTCGCGTCGAATCTCTCAGGCAGTACGAGAACGGGTCGGACAATGTATATGGCGAACTTCTTCCACGCTTCATTAGCAACATCTTCAAGGAGACCGGGTTGAAGTCTGGCCAGGTTTTTGTCGATCTGGGCTCTGGTGTGGGTAACGTCGTTTTACAAGCCGCTCTGGAAATCGGCTGCGAAAGCTGGGGTTGTGAAATGATGCAGAATGCCTGCGACCTCGCCGATCACCAACAGGCCGAGTTCAAAGCCCGATGTCGACTCTGGGGCGTCGCACCGGGTAAAACACATCTGGCGCGGGGTGATTTCCTCACGGAAGAAAACATCATCGCTGTGCTAAAGCGGGCTGACGTCGTCCTCATCAACAACCAAGCATTCACTCCACAACTCAACAACGAACTAATCAACCATTTCTTGGATATGAAAGAAGGCTGCCAGATCGTTTCGCTGAAGTCGTTCGTTCCCGCTGGCCATAAGATCCAGTCGCGGAATTTGAACTCGCCCATTAATCTCCTCAAGGTAAAGCAGAAGAACTACTGGTCGAACAGCGTCAGTTGGACAGACGTTGGCGGTACTTACTTCGTCGCTACCAAGGATAGCTCCAGACTCAAGGCTTTTGTCGAAGGCACAGAATGAGGCCTTGCAATTGGTATATAACGGTAGCTCGCCAAAAACTTTGGATATTCTTTTTTTTGGAAGTAGCATGTCCATACTCATCATATCCCCCTTCCCTCTCTTTTTGGATCTGTTGGTTTGCTTCTTGGGGCTTTTTGTGATTATGATACCATTTTTTTGTACAAAGCATCATGAAGATGAAGACTGGCATTTGTGCATTGGACGCCTGTTCTTATTTTTTGGGCCTTTTTTCTCTCATTCTTTCTTGGATATGACTTCATGGGGTCGCGTTTTTGTATATATAATATACACTTGAGGATTTGATCAAAGGTAGTATTTATCGGTTACATATAGAGTAACTTGGAATGATTTGGATACGTGGAGAACCTCATTTGACAAGTCGCTCCCGTCACTTCATGATACTCTTACTACAGATTGTACCATCAATACTTTTTCCAGTCTCGGACATAGTTACAAAAGAAACAGAAGAAAAAGAGACAGGCAGATCAAAGTTATACGGTTATACGTCTGAAAAATAGCAATTATAGGCATCGAAGTAGACAAATGTAGACACTAGACAGGTAGTAGACCAAAAATTTGATCCGTTTTCCCCATATCTGACAGCACCTGAGCTGTCAACAATAGATCCCTAGTGTTATTAATGCATTAGCCGACATGTCGCACACAACTTGGAATTTCAAGTGCCCGAGGTTAGACATACCTTCAGATAAGTGGAGAAATTGTATTCAGAGAATATATGAGATGATACTTTCACTCCCAAAGCTTCAAGACTGAATTTGTCAGACGTTTCAGGCTCCTGAGTGCCAGGATGTCATCGGCTGGTAGTTTCATGTCGGCTTGAAAGTTAACTCCAAGCTCTATGAGGCCAGCCAGAGAGCTGACCGCAGGCAAACCCATGATCTTGTTATCAAAAACCCCCAGCACGAACCTATCAGCAAATTTTATAGCGGCTATGTCTGGTGCAACTGCTTTCTATGACCTTCTGCTACTTCTCTTTTGACATCAGTATAGGGGCGGGAGGCCTAGAATTCGGTTAAAACGACCTTTAAGCGACTATTTCTTTGAAACCAGGGACTTCTCAGGGCTAGCCTGTCCCGTATCAGGGCATTCCTCCCCGACACGCTGCTCAGGACTAGGCTGATCCGTATCTTTTTCCTTTGCCACACCAGTGTGGAAAACGGGGGCCAGATCATCGACGCTCATCTCTTCATCTCTAGCTATGCAATAACACGGATCAGGGAAGTGGAAGTGGGAGTATGCGTTGTGTCCTCCGGTTTAGCATCAGACTTCTTTTCGGAGTCCATAGAGTGGTTGAAATTGCTGTAGAGTAGTCGGCTAGGTCTAGACTCTCTGGGCAGTTATCGGAGGGTTGGTCATCAGATGCCTGTTCAAAAGCTTTCTTCTGTTAGACTATTGGGATGACTAGAATTGACATAAACCAAAGGCCATCCCAGACATCATGATGCGCAAACCAAAGATCTCGTTCGACCAGTTTAATTATTGAACCCACATTTCCTACATTTTGACAACATTCTTGAATTCTTAGCTCATTTCCAGATTAATAGATGCTTATATATATATTATAAGACTAACAACGGCTCATGTATGCAATTGATGAAGCATCTTTTCCATTCAATCCGCCATATAGAGAATATAAAGGGACATAGGGCGGGCTACCAGATGTGGGATAGTGTGAAATTAGCTAATCAACATATTGAACCACGAAGTACTTTATACGCAATATACGCCTCGTCCGCAACCTCAACTTCTTTTCCCCCTTATATACTCGCTCTACCGTATTAAATAAGGAGTGAGCTTCTAGTTTCTTCTGTTGGTTTTATTCCCAGCATGACATGGCTTTTTATCTCGTCTTTCCTCTCCGAAAAGCTCGACTCTTGTTCTTGCTTCCGCCAGAAGGGACCTGGTTTCTCTGCTCTTAATCCCCACCAGAATCCATTATCACTAGTCATGGAGAATAGCATGGATATTTCTTCTTGTAGTTCTTTGTCTAATTTCACCATATCAAGCTTCAACATGGCTGGTATAGCTCCCACTCCTGTATTTGAAAGGAAGAAGCATTTGCAACTTCCCCACCACTCAACAAGCACAAAGAAAATATACTCGAAGTTCTACACAACCATCATCCTTTAAGGCGGAAAATATGGTGCCAACTTAGAATAACGTCCTGTAACTCACTATCAGACACATCAACATTCACCCCTCATAGTCCCCTATACTATTCCTCTCGATCTGAAAGTCACATTTACCGATCATGATGATGGCGTTCCTACCTTGGAGGAGGACTTGATAATTGGTATCAGCACATTTCTATGCTGGTCTGCGACACGAGGAGCATAAATCAATAGAAAATATGAGGATCACAGTCTTGTAAGCGGTCTATGGCAGCCAAGATATTCATTAGAAGAAAAATTCACAATTCAAGGGTCTCGACTGCTATGGTGGACTCTACAGTGTTTCAGGATTATCATTCAACTACGCTTCGTTCGATGGGGCTTTTTGATGATGTCGCTGCTGAGAAGAAACAGGAGATTCAAATGAACAATGAACTGCCCTCGCTTGGTGGGAAATTATGATGTAATTTAATTAACTAGCTTATTGATGCTTAGCTAAATTTCAATGATGATGATAATGGATTATCCTAAAGTTGCTCTGAGCTCGCATGGTGATGATGCAAAAACCACGGAGACCGTAAAACGCCTATGGCATCGAGATTCTAGTAGGTCAAACGATTATCGCGCCTTTAGAGATGAGTACCTCTAAGTTGGGCTGTAGTATTATCGGCTAGTCTTCATCGCTTTTCCAAGTGGTGGAAGACCAAAGTCGATTTTGGCACGTCATGGTCTTGAAATTTTGGGAAACGAAGACTTTTGCGTTGCGCTTTTACGTCCAGGACACGAATCTGACTTGCATGTTATTGACAGCGTCACTGGCAATCGACCAAAGAATACCAATGCCCACTGCAACCCAGGTCACGTTTACTAAGACAGTTGATCGCAGGGAAATAATATCGCTGCTAAGGTACTCCATGACTAGGTTCAGGATATCCGGTGGCAGCTGTAGTCAAACGAACGATACCTCTATAGTCGAATCTTTAATAGGTTAGCAAAAGCATTAAAAAGAACAGAGATCTTGATTCGTACCGTTGTAGGGGCCCTCCATGACAACTGATAACTTGGGTGGAAACTCTTTGGGTTTGCAGGATGCAGATATGAGAGGAAAAAGGCCGATAGAAGTGTTGAGGAGTAAAAGAGTTTTGAGTGACCGTTGAGTGAACGAAACAATGGTTGGTGCTTCCTATTTTGTTCTTTTGGTACAGTCTCAAAGAGGGGATGCGGGATTTCAATTCAATCACCCCGATGCATGTAGAGCGATACAGTGACCAGCGCAAGTTCATAAGTAGATTGCCGACCCTATGAGTACCTAGAAGCGTCGTTCATAGCTTCCGCTTCCTTGCCCATCCTGGCCATCCAGCGATCAACTAATTCTTGGTTCTCGCGCTGCAGCCGATTTGATTGCTCCTCGGCCATATTAAGCTGCAAGTTTAGTGTTGCCAATTCATCTTGGAAGTCCTGTCATCTAGTCAGCAAGGTGCATAGCAAACATGGTCTCTAGGAACTCGCAAACATACATCTAGTAATTTGGCCTTGCCCCTCAGCTCCTCGTCTCTATCCTTCAGGCGCAACTGTAAGTGTGTTCTCTCGCCTTCTAGCGCATTTATCCGCTTTCCATCCTGGGCACTCCGTTTTCGAAGCTTTTCCAAATCAGCGCTTATACGAGCCAGCCGGTCCTGCAGCTCAGCACGCGAGCGTTGCGCCTCAGTCAGATCCGCCCTTGTCGCAGTTAACGCATCCTGCAAAGAAGAGTCTGGGCGCCTCAGTGGATTTCCTGCAGGTTTGCCTGCTGGAGATGTGGCACGTGTGTGTTGTTGGGCATCTGCGGAAGTGGGGACAGCTTTTGCTGTACGATCCGCAAGTTGGGTATCTGATAGATCGTTGGTGAGTTGTCAGAGCGAGATTTCTGTTAAAGGCGAAGTCCGTCTGGCATACAGGCATTGTACAAACCAACATTGGCCTTCTCCCGTCTATCTCGTGCCGTTAAAGCGGCGGAGTATTCCTCTCGCCAGTGGGCCATTTGATCGTCGGAGATGATAAGGACCGCGGGCGTTTAGAATGGAGGGGTGACAGTCTCTGCCTTTGGCTTATGGCCGCATGGTCAATATTAGCAGGGGGGGAGAGCACCGTGAAATAGGCACACCAGAAGGAAGAAAGATGACAACAAAACCGTCCTTAACCAACTGTCATACAGCAAAGCGATGATAAACTTATGATAAACGGTTGCATTAATCTCCACACCGCCCGGTCTACCGCCCCGACCGGGTGCATCATCGATGAGCCTCATCCAACGCCGAAACAACTGCCTTCGGTCCACTTCGACACTACCAGGAGTAGTCTCTCTCAGAGTGCTTTTTCTTTCTCATTTCTCCTAGGGGCTTACTGCGGTTTTTAGTTTTTATATCATTCTAACGATTGCCTTCTCCCACCTCTCGCCGTATATACACTAGTCTTCCCCACCCACCTATCGCCATGTCGTCACGGAAGAAGGTATTATTGAAGGTACAGTTGATACGGGCGCTGACGATGTGAACGTATCAGGATGGCTGACATGAATGTTAAACTTGCTAGGTGATCATTCTCGGCGATAGTGGTGTCGGTAAAACGAGTTTGATGAACCAATATGTGCGTGTTATTCACCATCCAACAGCATCAAGCGCCCGATAGACCCCGCTAACCATGAATCTACGTCCTGAAGGTCAACAAGAAATTTAGTGCCAGCTATAAGGCGACAATTGGGGCCGATTTTCTGACAAAGGAGGTTCTGGTGGACGACCGACTGGTGACGATGCAGGCAGGTTCCCTGACCGACTGACCGGGAAAGGAAACCGGGTCGCTAATATCGACTTCGAATAGATCTGGGATACTGCAGGTCAAGAACGGTTTCAATCTCTAGGCGTTGCATTTTATCGGGGAGCCGACTGCTGCGTTTTGGTTTACGACGTGAACAACTCCAAGAGTTTCGAGGCCCTCGACAGCTGGAGGGATGAATTCCTTATCCAGGCAAGCCCTCGAGATCCGGAGAGTTTTCCTTTTGTATGTTGCCTGTTACATCCTGGTTGCCTGCAGCTACTTACAGGTTGTAGGTCGTGATCGGTAACAAGGTCGATGTAGAGGAGAATAAACGAATGATCTCCTCGAAACGGGCCATGACCTTTTCTCAATCGAAGGGCAACATTCCCTACTTCGAGACGAGTGCCAAGGAGGCTCTCAATGTCGAACAAGCTTTCGAGGGTGAGTCAATTATTCAACTGTATTAACTACATATCGCTAACAACTCCCCAGTCATCGCCAGGAGCGCTCTTGCGCAAGAGGAAGCAGAAGAATTCAATGGTGAATTCAGCGACCCGATCAATATCCATCTTGACAATGAGCGCGATGGCTGTGCCTGTTGATACCCTACTGATGACCCTCCGACGATTTGATTTTTTTTTTTTTTTTTTTTTTTTTTTTTTTTATTAATGGTTTATTGATGTTTCTTTGCGCGTCCGGATTCGTAGAGTGTTTAGTTGCTTCTGCTCTTCACATGAGGGTACGGGGATATCCAAGAGTTATCCATGTGCAACCAAATACTCCGGATATCTCTTGGATACTTCGACTCTCTAGTCTTTCCTTAACGGCAGCGTGTTTATCATTGTGTTCTTAGGAGTTTGGAATACTACTGCATATGAGAATATCTGAGATCATCCATAGTATCTTTACGGTGTATCAAGGTCTCCTTGCATCGCCTGTCGTGATGGCTTGGCATCATCAGTCGTCCATCTTCCATCATTTCTTCCTTGCTGTAAATCACGTCTCTCGCTCCATAGTTAAGTCTTCGCTTAATATTTGACAAAAATAGAGAAAATCAACTGAATACTGTCTTGTGCCTTGTTCACATACTGGCCATCCTCATGTGATCCGATCTCATGCTCTTATCAGCTGGCCCACCTTCCGCAAACCATCGGAGCTGAAGATCGAAACACTACTCTGCGCGGAGTAGAATGACTGAAATCTCCCCGATTTCGCCGTCGCAGCAGGAATCATTACTATTCAGTGAATCGCCACTCGAGCAGCATACAATCCGACCCATGGGCGCTACGAATAGCACGCGATTAGGGGGTACCGCGAGACGGTCCCTCGGGATCTCGCTACTCTTAGTAGTGGTCGTGCTATGGACGGCCTCGAATTTCTTAGCCAGTGTAACTATCCCCTCCCCCCTCCCATTCTGTTCATATTCACACCTTCATCGCGGGCATACAGAGCTATGCTGACAATCCTGCGCAGACCATCTTCGCCGACAACACCTACTCGAAACCTTTTTTCCTAACCTATCTCAACACCTCCTGCTTTATCCTCCCTCTCCTCGGAATTCTCCTCGCACGAATATTTAAACTATGGCGACTGAACAAATTCTCTCAGATCACATCGTTGAAGAGCCTACTAGAGCACCTCGATTCAGGCGACCCGCTGCAGGCCGATGAACAGAATCAGCCAATATTATACCATCGCGCGGCCACGGGTGATGGGGAAGAAGGTGATGATGATATTCGGGCTACGGACCTGGGGACGCAGAGAGAGATTGTCATGGAGCAATACAAGTCGGGAAAGTTGGGGTTGAGGGAGACGGCGAAGCTCAGTTTGCAATTTTGTATTTTATGGGTGAGTGTGTTTGAATACATTTGATAGGGAGGCTGGCTAACATGGCTACAGTTTCTTGTGAGTATTGTGCGGCTTATATCACTTGGGGTGAGGCTCTCTGACCTGAATAGGCGAATTACTTTGCGATGGCATGTCTGCAACACACGACCGTCGGAAGCACTACGATTCTCACGTCAACTAGTGGTAAGTTTTCATCCCTGCGCACATATGGCTTTTCTAACACACGCAGGTGTCTGGACAATGGTCTTCGGTGCCGCCCTTTGCGTCGAAAAATTCACCCTCCGTAAATTCCTCGGCGTCATCGCCTCCCTCCTGGGCATCATCCTAATCTCACGCGTCGACCTATCCACCTCCGACGCACCCGCGCCGGACGATAGCGGAAATAACGGTTCATTCCCACACAAGAGCTCCGCGGAGATCGCGCTAGGCGATGCCATGGCGGCATTCAGCGCGATCATGTACGGCGTGTATACGATTGTCATGAAGAGGCAGTGCGGCGACGAGTCGCGGGTGAACATGCCGTTGTTCTTTGGACTGGTGGGATTCTTCAACATGGTTTTTATCTGGCCGGGGTTTATCATCATGCATTTTACGGGCCTGGAGAAGTTCGAGCTCCCGCCGACGGATCGCGTGTGGACTATCTTACTGGTATGTCACTCCCAACCTCCCTTTAATACCCCATTCTAAGACTCAACAGGTCAACTCCGTCTCCTCCCTAGTCTCCGACATCGTTTGGGCCTATGCCATGCTCCTCACAACGCCCCTCGTCGTAACCGTCGGCCTAAGCCTAACGATCCCGCTCTCGCTGGTGGGCCAAATCATCCTACAGAACCAGTACGCGAGTCCGCTATACTGGGTCGGAGCTGTTATTGTTTTCTTATCCTTCTTAGTTGTGAATCATGAGAGTCGGCCGGTTGAAGAGGAGGTTTCTACATCTGCATTATCATCGGGGGGTGAGACGGGGGAGTACAGAACTGTTCCGGGGGAGGAGAGGTGATGGGTATATATTTATAGTATAGTTTGAGGGCTCTTTGTATATTGTTAGACTGTCATTAGACCGAATATTCTTAAGGCAGTATATGGGTTATTTTATCAAATCCATACTCACTAGAAGATACACCTACACTAATATATACATACGCAGACTTATCTACAACATTGGCAAATACCGTGGCTACCACTACACCTGCTTCGTCAAACGAAGCCGTCTCTCCCACTTCATTCGACTCTTCCTCATCGCCCTCTGCGTCCTCTCCAACGGATAATTAACCGGCGACTCCCCACCCTCAAAGATGAAGAAATCATACAAGAACCCCCCGGCAAAAGCACCACTCATAGCACCCGCCCACGGCCCATAAAACCAGTACGGATTGCGAAACAAATCACCACTGTACCCCAGCGCGAGCAATGCAAGACGCGGACCGAAGTCTCGCGACGGGTTTAGCGCTGCGCCGGTTGGATAGCTGAATGCGAAGCAGAGACATGTGATGACTAGCCCGATGATGAGGGAGTTCATGCCTGCGCCTGGAGGCGCGTTCTGGTCATCACCTAAAGCTAGAATGGCAGCTGCTAGGAAGGCTGTTCCGAGAAACTCAGTGAAAAAGGCTGAGCAGGAGTCGATCCAGGCTTCGCGCTGGCTTGATACGAAGCTGTTGATAATTGCCGTGTTGTCGAGGTTTGTGATGCGGTATTGGTGGATGGATTGGTAGTAGAGGCCGTAGGCTGTAAAAGCTGCGCAGAAGGCGCCTAGGAACTGAGCTGTGAAATACTCTGGCATCTTGCGTTTCGGGAAGCCACGGTAGAACCAGAGCAATGCGGTGATCGCGGGATTGAGGTGTGCACCCGAGACGCCTCCCGAGATATAGATTCCTATCATGGTTGCGAAGCCCCAGGCCCATTGTGTAGTGTTGGGGTTGCCGTTGTTGGCGATGGTGACGCCTAGGTCGGCGCAGAAGGCGATAGTGAGTTGGATGTATACTGCCAGGGCCTCTGCCAGGGCTTCGCGGTGGTGTGTGCGGATGACTGACCATGTTGTATGGTTATTGTGAACTTCATCTTCGACCAAATCTTGGACTAATGGGTGCAAGTCATCCGGATGCGTGTCGTCAAGGATTGGGAATGCAAACTTTTCGTCGTGATCTTCGGGCTCTTCGGGTACTGTCTGCAGCGGCTCATCACTCGGATGCTGCGGAATCTTGGGCTCGCTGTCCGTTGGGGATTCCTGCTCCTCATCTTCCGGAATTACCTGATCTGGAGGCACGCCCCCAACCGAGGAGCGTCGTCGGCGGACCGATGACATGCGCGACAGGCCGGACGGTGGCCGTGCGGAGGTGCCGTCACTGCCGTTCAAGACTTTGTTCATGAAATTGGCCTCCCGCTGCAACCGGGCATCCTCGACCTGCGCCGCCATCTTCCGCGGATCGGCAGATGGGTCAATCTGTCCCTGTTCGAGGTCATTGGGGTCAATGTCTAACCCAAGCTCCTGCGAGTTCTGGGCTGGCCGCTCAGCATTTTGCAGAGTGTCTCGCAACTCATCCTTTGTTGGCACCATCCCCGACCGCACCACACGCGGCAGCGGTTTGGCCAAACTCCAGACCGGCTTGGAGTTGGCGGCTTGCTCATAGGATGGGTTCAGATCAGCGTAACCAGGGTGCACAAAGGGTTCCTGGGCAGCACGCAATTGGGGAGTTTCCGTTGGGCCAGCCAGCGTAAAGTTCCCCTGCGACCTTTCGCCAATGGAGGGACCGGACAGTTTGGATACTCTCGAGGCGGCTGAGCTCCGCCGGCGGATGCCCAGGCCGTCTTGTGTCTGTGTTTCCCTTCTCGAAAACGACGTCGCTCGGTCTCGGGTGGCACTAGTAGGGGAGATTGGAGGCTCGGTTTCTGCTGCAGCAGACTGACTAAATGTTAGCTCATTTTCTTTGTATACCCTTTTGGTTGGCTTACCCTCGTCCTCGCCCGCCCGAGATTGTTCTCCATGGTTTCCTGGTCTGCCTCTTTTCCTCAGAATTCACCACAGAAGCTAATTGGTATTATGTCGATAATCCAGCAGACAGGTGTTCCGGACAGTGTTAAGACTGTGAACACCAGAGAAGATACGGTCAAGATTCAGGAGAGGAGAGGAGAGGCCTCTTGCAGCCAGAAAAAGAAAAGCATGGCCGATTGATAATAAGATCTGCCGCTTCCTGCGTAATCGGCCGCAGAGACTTCAAAGAACTCCATAATAACGCTCATAGTCGTGTATCATAGTCCGCCGGGTGGTCGGCAACGAGCAGCGGGTCAACAGTGGAGGCCGTTGATTTGGCGTCGTGCCTGGATTACCCACCACCGGAGCCATTATGATCGCATTTGGCGTTTTCTGCTGTCACTGATTGGGTTAGCCATGGTTCTGACCAGATACTTGTAGAGAAATACTCCGGTGTTGTAGACTGTGTCGCAGATGGTGGACGGTGTAGTTGCCATTGGCAGATCAAAGATGAGATAGGTTGGTGATCGCATGGTCATGTGACATGGTCGACAGCAAAGACTAGGTTATTGATCCTGCAGCTAGCTAGAAGGAATGGAATATGTTCTCATTGATTAGTCTAAAATATGTTGTAGTGAGAACAGACCGGGCCAATCTCAGAATAATTAGAGTCACAATGGTTAGTACCAAATTAATACAAAGGCAAGAAGAAACAAAAATAACGAAAGAAAGACAAGATCCAGCTTGCTGTGTTGTTCGTCCAAATTACGCCAGCCGGCCATATACACCATGTCAAGGGTATCCAAACAACCAAGATACCAAAAGGATAGTATATAACTCCAGATCCCATCCCTGACTTGATCATGGTCATTGTCAAGTCAACATGACAGGTCGATGAGAAACCAAAAGAAAGACGGTATATAATACACACAAGAAGCAGTAAACGCAGAGAAAAGGAAACAAGGACAAGAATGATTATGATTAAATTAGGCGGTGGCAGAGGCTGAGGCCTCCAATTTCTTGCGGGCGATTATAATGCTCTTCAATCCACCCAGCCATTTGGTGAGTGATTCTTCGTCAAGAGTACATAGCTGGTATGACTTTTCTTCGGCAATGACTTGAAGACAGAAGTTTTTGGACCGGGACACTGGTTCAATTTCGGCTGCTTCAATCACTTGGGACATCGGGATGACTTTGACTGCGCAATATTCCTGGTGATCGCTTAGTGTACGTTCTTTTCGAGAAGGGAAACAGTGGAGTGAACTTACCTTTTCGTTTTTGTAGAAGCCAAAACTCTTGGGGCGCAAGACAACCCAGTATCGTTTCCATGTCCGCACGCCTCCTTTGGTTCGTAAACATTGAAGATAACCATTGCAAAGCACTCTTTCCGGGTCCCGAAGGATACCCACATCCGCATTCCGGTTTCCTTCGCGTGGTTGTGACTGTGGCGGTTGCGGTTGCGGTTGTCCACCTTTCTGAGCAGATGAGAGATTATTGGCGGAACGCTTGGGACGGAGGCTGGTGTTGTTCGAGGGACCATCTGACCATTCCGAGGTCATGTCATTAGCCGAGAAATCTAGAGGGTAGGCGAACTGTCTGGCTTGGCTGTTGGGAGAAAGGGACGCTCCCAACTCAGGTGAGCTGGGTCTAGACGAAGTAGATGTGGAGTCGTCGCAAGATGGCTTCAAAGCCGACTTTTGTGATTTCTTCTTCTTCGCCAGGGCTAAGAACGCCGCTTCCTCTTCGTCCAGACGTGTTTCGGAGCGGATGCGCTGAATCCAATCCTCTGAATCCTTTTGCGACTCGGCTTCAAAACGATAGTTTCCAGTGGGGCAGTAGACAGCGAAAAGATGTTGGCGTTTCGAACGGGGAGATTTGAAAGGTGCAACGGCCGTGACTTCGGACAAAGTGATAGAAAGCTTTAGTCTGGTTGCCTCTTCATCTTTGTAGACAGAGAGGAGATTTGGCCGAAGGACAAGGTGTCCGGATTTCCACGTAGCTTTGAATGCCTATGTAAAATGTTATTAGTCAAACATCATATAAGGAATGCAATGAGTACTTACGCGCTTGTGTTTGATGCGACGGTGCACTTTACCAGTCTTGATGACCCGGTCGAAGGCGAAACTACCGTTCTCGATAGGAGAAATGGTACCAAATCCAATCTCACCGTTGCGCAAAGGCGAGGCGGGATGAAGGGGCTGCAATTTGGTGTCATTGGAGGGCTTCGCATTCCCGGGGTGCCCCTCCGAAAGCGCCGGGACGGAGGTCACAAGTCGATCCATTTCCGGGCAAAGAGGCCTTTTTTTTTTTTTTTTTTTTTTGCTTCTTTGAATACAGAAAAGTTCTATAGAGTGTAGTGAGTAGTGCTAGTTGGTGGAGCGTAGAAGTCGTATCGTGGTGGTAGGATCGCAGTCGTACTATGCGGCAGGGGCCGAATAGTTCTGGCGGGAGTCGGAGAATGGAGGGAGGACGGAGCAGGACGAGAGGAAAGCCCCCATATATATCCGCAGTGATCTCGTAGGTAAGTTTGAGGCTGACTTGCAAGGCTAAAAACAAATGACAGAATATAAACACTATAGAGAATGGTCACGAGTGTTGGTGAGGCGGCAGTGTAGAGATGAGGTTGAATTGGAGAAGATGGAGGGCGGATGACCGAGAACGGGGGGCCGAATTTGGGGCGGAAAGGGAAAAGTAGGAACCAGTGCCCTAATAAGGACCAAGGACCAAGGAACAAGGAGAGAAAAAAAAAAAAAAAAAAAAAAAAAAAAAAAAAAAAAAAGGAGCCAGACAAAGAGTCAGAAATTTTCAATTCTGTAGATAGGATGAATCGTTCATGATTTGAGAAGATTAATGCCCCTCGAACGGTTGAACTATAGACTTACTACTAAGAGTTACTGCTCTTACTACATTAGAAAAAGGGCGTGTGTCCCTTGGAGAGACTTTTGATTATGACTTGCAGTACCCCCTTTTTAGTAGTTCTACTAAGATGTCATCGTGTCTGGAATTGATGATCATTTCTTAAGATATGGTCGCTCCTCCTATCGTGATAGTACTTCCCCGTATAATTGCGGAAGACGTTATAATCGACCGCCCCGACAACGCTTTTCGACACCAAGAATGCAAGATCGAGTGTCACAAGTGGTATGGCAGACTAATAATTCATTGCAGAAAATTTCACATACTGCTCCATGCTCTGTGCACAAAATAAAAAGCCCGACATACAACTTTATTTCTCTCCATACTCCGTATGTCCCGTAGACCTACGGAGTACTATTTTGAAGTTCTAGGGGCATCCCATACTGTCCTTAAGACTACTAACTATTTCTAGTATGTCTCTCCACATCCCTACTTTAGCACTCAATGGTCGGAAGCTTGACGTCCTGACAACTAAGTAAGCAGACGAATCGCATAGACTGTACACTGCATTTGTACCTTAACCGATGGTCATAGTTTAGTGTCTGACATACTATCTTTTCTCCGTACTATGATACTAACAACCTTGTATCATTCTCTAGAGGCCACCTTGCTACGGTCACGTGTGGGGCTTCTTTTTTTTGGTATTAATTTCAGGGTTCTTGGTCAGATACCGTCATTGTAATTCCATTACGTAAATTAAATACGGTAAAATTCCACTCGGTCCGAGTGCATAACTTGCGATCATAATTAATGGCCCTATGAATTTACTCCGTAAAGTGCGCTGGACTATGCGAATCTTATCTTGTTCTATGCCAATATTACTATAGCTGTATCCTATGGGTATTTTATTCCGTTGATATCTTTGAATTCAAGTCATCCTGTTCCGATGACTACAGACCACCGTTGCATCAGCGAAGAACAAAGGTTTCCTGGGGCCAAACCAGGCACACCGGATAGACATAAATAGAACACGAGATCTGAAACGAATTTTTAGATGATCATATCTGGAGCCACTGGTCAGTCCGTCTACAAGTACAAATAGAAGAGAGAGCACAAGGGTCAACTCTCAACTCTCGTACTCTGTAAACATGCCGTGCCTGCAGGTCAAGCTTCTGAATTGGTAAGATATGTAGGTACAACATGACTTATGTAGACTTGGTTGGCGATGACAGCGGTGAGATGGCATGATAGATCACTTCGATCTACGCTGTATTATTTTAGAGGGTTCTACTCTATAGATATGTCTAGATACGGAAAACTTCTACCCCATCAACTACTAATCATATATAAATCTTCTGGTATGTTATGCAAGTGCACTCGGTCAAGAGCCTCGACTTCTGGTAAGATACGGTATGATGACAGTCTCATACCAGGTGTATAATAAGCACGACTGCCGTGGCTCACCGCCCAGGTCCTAGACCAATCCGGGCCACGAGCACCCACTGCTTGCGACTCCCTGGGCTTGGCAGAACCTTCCCCGTTCCCTCCCCAAAGGGCGTTATTATATTACCGTAACCACTTTGTATGTATCCTTCCACCTCACCAACTTCGCATCGGTTTCCCTCCGCGACTCCCTCCTTCTTTTTCCCTTTTCTCCCGCACTTCCTCACTTACCTTTTCACTTTTCACCTCCATTGATGACCCTGTCGATTGTCTCTATACCATCGACATCGTCGTTCAAGGATCTCGGTCATCTGCGTTGCTGTCAACGCCTCCCCCACCCGTCTCTTTCTGGCCGATCGAGAAGGACTCAGCAAGTAAGAGTTGGGGAGTAAAAAAAAAAAGAATAGGAGGCTTTCCTCCGGCCACTCGTTCTGCATTTCATTTTTCTTTCCGTTCACATTTATTTTAATTTGCGGTTTGGGACGCTCTCGCGGTCGGTATATGAGGAAGAAAGACCACCAGCCTTATTTCCTGTCATTTCGCGTGTGAACCGTTCCATCCTCAGAACCTGTTCTCTCGACTCCGACTAGCATTGACTATACCATTGTATTCATCCCACTGTCTCTTGAGACCTCCGAATCGATCTTCTCGTCCGGACTGGAGTCACCGTGGCGTTGAACACCTTGCACCATGAGTTTCATTCAGCGGATCGCGAAACAGTTACCCTCCTCGCCCAGCCTGCCCCTAGACGACGCCCCCAATGAAAAAGGCGGCGTATACCCCAGGTTCGCTTTTTTCCGTCGGAGAATACGACTAAAGGGCAACTCGTCGATCTCGATCCCCCTGGGCTTTGTCTTATTATTCCCATGCCTTGTAATAATTCTTATTTTACTTCTTTTTGTTCGTCATCCTTCCTCTCCCGGAGGCATCTTAATACCAGCTGGCACACCACCATCCATCAGGTTCGTTCTCCACCCCTTCGACTTGACTACGTGTAGGGATCTTCGCTGTAACTAATCACTTATTTCCATGATACAGGAAGATCAGTGAGCAGCATGACAAGGTTTTCGCTACCGGTTGTCTTCCCGTCGAAACAGACGGCCCTCGGGCAAACGCTGCCTTCGTCGTCCTCGCGCGGAACAAGGAGCTGGATGGTGTTATTGAATCCATGAAGTCGATTGAGAGACACTTCAACCGCTGGTATAACTATCCCTATGTATTCCTAAACGATGGCGACTTCGACGATACCTTCAAAGATACTGTCAAGAACTACTCCAGTTCCTCGGTGGAATTTGGCAAGATTGATAGTTCCATGTGGGGCTTCCCTGATTGGGTTGACCACGAAGTTGCGAAGGAAGGCATTAGAAAGCAGGGCGATGCTGCAATTATGTATGGTGGAATGGAAAGTTACCACCACATGTGCCGATTCTATTCTGGGTGCGTATTACCTCCGATTCTTCTACCGTGCGACGACTGACCCGGATTATGTGCAGCTTTTTCTACAAACATCCTCTTCTTCTGAAGTATGAATGGTACTGGCGTCTGGAGCCCGAGATCAAGTACTTCTGCGATATTACCTAGTAAGTGGCTGCTTTGGTTCTACTGCTATATCCTTCCAACTTACACGTGAATCAGTGATCCTTTCATCAAGATGGCCGAAGCGAACAAAACGTACGGTTTCACGATTGCCGTCAAGGAACTTCGCGAGACGGTCCCTAATATCTTCCGCTATGCCGCCGCCTACAAACGCACCAACAACCTCAAATCGAAGGGTCTCTGGGAAATGTTCCTCGAGAATCCGCCGAAGGAAGAAGAAACCCCTCCGGAAGATGACAAGAAGGACAGACTCCCCGAAGAGATCCTGCAGAACGAACCTGGCGCCAACACCGTACCTGAGGTCGACCCGGAAGCCATGGAAGGCGAATCTTATAACATGTGCCATTTCTGGAGTAACTTCGAAATTGCGCGTCTGGACTGGTTCCGTAGCAAGGAGTATGAGGATTTCTTCGAAATGATGGACAGGAGCGGAGGCTTTTGGACAGAAAGAGTGCGTATTCCAGTTACTTTAGTAACCCTTGCTTCTTACTAACGTCTTTCTATAGTGGGGTGATGCACCTATTCATTCGCTAGCCGCCGGTGCTCTTCTTGCCCCTAGCGATATTCATTATTTCCGGGATATCGGTTATCGTCACACTACGATTCAACACTGCCCCGCCAACGCCCCTGCACGACAATTGCCGCGGATCCCATGGCTGGAAAAGACCACAGAGGACGAAAAGGAACGCATTGAAGAAGATGAATATTGGGCCAATCCGGACCCTGTCAAGGAAAACGGTGTGGGCTGTCGGTGCAGATGTGACACGGACATTGTTGATGTGGAAGGGAAACAGGGCAGCTGTTTCGCCGAATGGGTAGAAGTCGCTGGAGGCTATGCGTCTCCCTAATTCTTTTTGTCTATTTCAACGCATTGTTCTTGTATCATTTTTTTTTTCTTTGACACGCCTTATTCTCTGCCCTATGAACCCTCCGAGCATTATTTGGGTATCGCCCTTGGGAGTTGTTTTGTTTGGGCCTGCATGTTACGTTGCCTGTGGTCTTCTGGACGGCGTTTTACGGATCTTGTCGGTTTGGAAGACAGGTGTGGCTATTCCATCCATATTTGCAAATTCATCTAGCGTGCCTTGTACGTTTCGTTTTGGATTATACTTCTCACGTCCCTCTCGACCTTCTATCTTTTTCTTTTATCTTTCGCTTGTGATGAAGAGGGAGAAGACGCAGAAAAGAAATGAGTTTGGAGAAGCTCCAACCACGATCAGGGACTCGCATCAGGTCGAGAGTCCTCGTCCCCCCGACTTTCTCAAGGAAACTCGCAGCCGTTTGCGACACACTGGCCGAGTTGGGTCATTCGAATTGTTAAACGGTCTACTGAATTACTCGCCAGCATGCTGTGACAATGAGTTTCCGCCGATGGACTAAAGCAATGTCTTGTGGCTGGATCTTGCTTTCTCCCCCGCCCTTTGAAGACCCATCTCTGCCCTGTGTCCTCTGTCCCTTGCTTGCTCTTTTTAAGCATACCTTATGGATTGTACATATCTCTTCTCCCTTTCCCCTCTTCGCTCTACCTGTTCCTTTCCGTGTTTTCTGCCTTCTAATCGATTCTAATGCCCTGTCTCCGGAACGCAAATAGCAGATCAAGCATTGCTGTTCATAAAGATGCAATAATAAGTCATGCAAAGATGTATTGCTGAATAATTTTGGACTAGAGGATTTTTGTTTTGAGTGAGCGAGGTAAATCAAATATAGACTTGGGAGTAAGCATTTCCCAAAAAGGTAATATTAGAGTACAGAGAAAGTGGGCCAATTAGTGGGCCGATCAGAAAGTCTAGCCTGTTGAAGGCTAGCGTTATCACGCTTATCGCATCATTGTTGGAGAACAACACATGATGAAGCAATAACAAGAGTTGCAATAATGCTGCTGTTGATGGCGGAATTTGTTTGCGCTGCGTTGGGAGTCAAACTGGCAGTACTTGTAGAAAGAGAACATCGTAGCTGTCTTTGATAGGGAGTTAGGACAACATCCCTGCTGACGCCAGGAATCCAGCCCCGCCTTGGTCACGATACATACAACTACTGCAGAACATCTTGTCCTTGCTTTGCTTATAAGTCATAACTGTTCCTGCTTCTGATTCTCTCTCTTTCCTTTCTTTCCTTTCCTTGCGACCAACTCCAGAATAAGATTTGTAAGTATTGTCCTTTTTTTTTTTTTTTTGTGGTTGGTGTTCTGCTGTATTCGAACCTAAGGAAAGCACCTGACCTCACTGTCCCGCTTCGGTCCGGCGTCTCTCCTCCCCTCCTCTTCTCATACAAGAAGTAATCTAGTTTGGGCACGATTACACCCTCAGGCAGAGCTCAGGAACACATCATCTAAGCTTTATCATATCGTGGTATCTTCCCACTAACCTCTCTACCTTACCGTCTTTCCCTTTTTTTCTGTTTTTGACGTTTCTAGTATTTCCCACGGTTCACCAGAAAAGCAACGCTCACTTCTCTACTCCTGCCCCTCCTTCCCCACGTTCTTATATTTGTCTCTTCGTTTTGTCTTTTTTCTATCTTTTCTTCTTCCCTATCTGGGCTTGCCTTTTACTGCCGGTCTATGACAAGATTCTCTCCTTCTGGCAAATATGGCTGACTCTCCCAAGCCTCCCTCCAGGCGGCCTTCCAATAGTTCCCTGACAGCTCCACGCCTACAATATCCGACCTTCCCTCCTTTGAGCGCTTCTGTCGAGGAGTGGCTATCCCGCTCACGACCGACAATTATGACGTCAGCACCTCCCTCAGAGCACTTGCCCTCCACCAGACCGCTGAGTGAGAGCTGGGCTACGCTGAGTATTTCTGATGCTCACTCAGAGGATGGTACACGCTCTGAGCAAACAGACATCGGGTCCTTGATCGATCAAACCAGTGCCGACGATGTTGCCAGCTTCGACGGCCAAAGCGAGGTTGGTGAGAACTACGAGGACCATGAGGACGACGACGAGGAGGAAAAAGGATTAGAAGAAGAAGATAATGATGAGGGGGCGGATAACAGTGATGAAGATGGGGGATATGACGGCAGAAGCATCTCTGAGTCTCAGGAACTCCCTGCCCTCTATCATCGCTTTGGCGGTGATATCGGGGACAGTGGCCTTACTGCGAAGGCTGCCTTCCATCAATCCACAGACTCCATTGAGTTCATCGAGCCAGAAAAGTGGCCCGAGGTGGAGCAGGTAGAGCTCAAGCATACTGTTCAGATCTTTGAGGGGGTAGAGGCTTCCCGTTTGAAAGAACAGCTGCCTCCCAATCAGCAGAATGCGCTCCTCACGGCCACGGTTCAACAGACCATGACGAAACACAGCTTGGGCGTCGATCAACCTTTCCGTGTGCTCTATATTGGGAACTCGGATTTCCGGACCATAGTCCTTGACAAGATCGGTGACGTGCTGGTGTCTAGCTCGTGCAGCAGCTATGAGAGTAGCTCTGCCGAGTCATCGAGATACCATGTCATCCCGACGTCCTTTGGGGCAGATGCCGTACCCAATTTCGCGGAACTGCTTCCAATTCATGTGCAGCTTATTGTCGACGAATGCTTGGAAGCCTCATCTGATCCACGATCTGGCAAACCAAGTACCGTGAGTCTCAGGTTCAAGAATCGTCCGTCATGCACTTCGTACTGGACCGGAAGCGAATACCGTCTCTCGTCTTCATCGGATTGGACACTACCAGATGTAGCCATCTTTTTCGTATCGAGTGTGGATGATGCGGCAGCAGTGGAGACCCAGCATCAAGCCCGTACCTTCATGGAGAGACACGGGGTTCCTGCCATGGTGATCTCGGAAAAGCCGCTGTGGGAAATGACTACTGAGTTGGTACCTGTCAACCGCCACAGCCTCCACATGTGCCTGGAGTCTCGTCATTCTCTTGGTGCGGAGCCCACTGTCCTACGGCGATATCCTATTGACCTGCCGACTTTTGAAAGCATTACTCCCAGCCAACTTAACAGAAACCTGGCTTCGTTGGCCAATCTCTATCCTAAGCAAGTCAACAAGGTCACGGCAGAAGCCCCTAAACCCTCTACAATAAAGCCTTTCTCCTTCAACATCGAGAAGTATTCGAAGTATATTCCGCGCTTTGACTCTTCAAACTACTTGGACCACGTTCAAGACTTGTCCCCCTCCTTACGTCTACTTGCTATCATGGCCATCTCCACCATTGCTATCACTTTAGGATATACGGTCATGAGTGCTGCTTTTGTCTACCTTTCTCAATATTTCTTGCGGTCTGATCTTTCTGAGATTGCTTTGCCCTCCAGCAGCATCCCCAACAGGAATATCATTCCCGTCAAGACCCTGGGACAGAATTCACTCTCCGTAAGGCATTCGTCGGCCAGCGAAGTCCGGTCACAAAGGAATCAATACGAATGCAGTACCCAGCTTGAGGAGTTAATGGGCATCGCGCTCTCTCCGCCAGTTAAACAAGGAAAACCGGACAGGTTCGAGCTTCAGGTGATCGGGGATTCTCATGTTATCGTGAAGCCACCACGTCGGTTTTCCGCAAAGAAGCAACCAAAGTTCGACATCAGTGTCACTAGATACGGGAACACCGTTCCTTACGAGCTCTCTAGGCTATTTGAAGGTGTCTATTCACTGAATTTGGACCGAGAGGATGCCTACGGGTTGGTGAACGTGACCATCACTACCTCCAAGCCGCCACTCGAGCAGACCACTCAGGTCGATTTTGGAACGCCGTGGCTCAAGATTGCCAACTGGAAACGAGCAGCGTCTATCCTATCTACAGAGCTTGTAAGGGACTTGAACACTGCTCAGACTGGCTTGTCGAAAGCATTTGATCGATTGTACACAGATCTTCAAGTGGCCATGGGCGATGTCGTGAAGAGAACACATCTTCTGCGACAAGAAGTTGATGATATACGTGGATCGACGCATCTTTCGCTTGAAAACCTGTCGCTTGAGACGAGAAATGCTGTCCTCGCGCGATCCAAGCAACTCACTGAGTTTGTTCGACGTGACGCCGTCCAACCCTTTAGGGCAGCCTGCTCAGTGTTCCAAGAACAAACTAGTAAGGCCAACGCGGAGGCAAAGGATCTCGTGGTCAATACGTGGAGTCGAATCAGTAGTGTTTCGGCGTCGAAGGTCGATCTGGGGACAATGATGGTCCGTTTTCAAGATGTCCGGAAAAGCGAAGCATTGAACAAGGCACAGACGCGTGCTCGAGGGTTAATGAGATGGAAAGCTCATGACTCAGAGAGACCTCAGCGGTGATTTCTTGTGATTTGATGTTTTGATGTCTTTCTGTTTTTGTTTTGGGTTGTCCACAGGCGATCTGGGTGGTACGGTATCTTTCTAAAGAATTGGTTTGCTTTATGGGGTTCACGAAGGAAATGCGACTTATGTATTAAATGCCGCGAATAATTGCTCGTTTGACTATTTTTTCATATATCAATCTCAGCCTTTGAAATAGAAAAAGTCTTACTGCGTACAAAAGTCGAGTAGGGGTCAAGGCGGTGGCACTTGCAACCTGAGGCATTGAGGGGCATTCTGACCTACCCACCTCAAAAACATATTTTCCTCCCTCTCTCCCCGCCTCCGTGATCATCCAACATACATACAGTTTTTCTTTTCCTTTTATACTTGATACCAAGGTACTTTTGCGTCTTCAATACAACGAAATACATTTCGGGAACTCACCAGCAACTAGACAATAATCCACCCGATTCTTCATCACTATGTCTGACGCCGCGAAGCCCGACCCCACCACCGCTGCTCCTGCTGAGGAGAAGAAGGAGGAGAAGCCCACCACCACTACCGAAGAGTCCAAGCCCGAGGTCGAGAAGCCCGCCGCCCCCAAGACGACGGACAGTGTTTTCGCTATGTTTGGCGGTGGTCCTAAGAAGGAGAAGAAGCAGGAAGAGGAGTCTCAGGAGGCTAAGGATGAGCCTTCTGGTTCTGCTAAGGCGCAGAAGGAGGGTGAGGAAGTATGTCTTATCCTTCTGTGTCTAAAATTTGGATGTGGAGGTGGAGGTGAATGGACTTTCAGCCCTTGAGTCATGTTTATGGCTGGTTGAACGGTCCTGTTCATTATTGCGTTCATATTTGGTTGGATATATGCTAATATTATGCTTATAGGAGGAAGCTCCCGAATCCCCCGAAGTTCACTTCGAGCCTGTCATTCGCCTCACCGAGAAAGTCGAGACTAAGACCAACGAAGAACTCGAGGAGCAGAGCTTCAAGATGCGCGCCAAACTATTCAGATTTGACCCCACCAGCAAGGAGTGGAAGGAGCGTGGTACCGGTGATGTGAGATTGTTGAGGCACACCGAGAACAACAAGACCCGCCTGGTGATGCGCCGTGACAAGACCCTCAAGGTCTGCGCTAACCACTACAGTAAGTTGGCCTACACATGAGAAAATGAACAACGCTGACATGTGTATAGTCGTCCCTGACATGAAGTTGAGCCCCAACGTCGGAAGTGACCGTAGCTGGGTGTGGAACGCAACCGCAGATGTCAGCGAGGGCGAGCCCGAGGCTGCTACTTTGGCTATCCGTTTCGCCAACAGCGAGAGTAAGTTGCATCCGTCTGGATGAAGTGAGAACTATCCTAACGTGTATCAGACGCCAACCTGTTCAAGGATGCCTTTGAGAAGGCTCGGGCGGAGAACGAGAAGGCCATTTCTCAGTAGAGTCGCACGTTATTCAGACTCTTGCTTAAAAAGAAAGAAATATAATGATTGGATGCTCCAAAACCATCACGTTTCATTGTGCCCCGTCTCGAAAGAGTTTTGATTGACCTGGGGCATACCCCCTCCCCACCCACCATAACTACATCTATGTTCTTCCCCGTTGCTTATTCCCCTCTTTCCTTTATTTCAATTCCCCTTAACCGGTCCCTACCCGCGCGAGACGGCAGAGATGAGTTGTTGTCCCGTCATGAATATGAGTGTTATGCACGAACTTGAGATGAATGACAACATCGGATGATATTTGGTGTATGTCGCGAAGGAATTGGTAGTAGATAGACTTGATCACTCGAATATATGCCTCCATACCATGACAATATTTTCCAAATAGACTGTTTGCTCATGCACATTATATACATTATGCACCGAGAAAATAATTGCATTGTACTAAGCGGCTACCAGAATTACCAGAATAGTTCCCGCCCATCCATGATTTACCACCACCATTTTCGACGTCCACTCCGTTATCTGTCTTACTCTTGTCTTATCTATTTGCCTATTATTCTTCTATACTTATAAACTGCATTTAAATTTATACTAATATCTCTGCTTGTATAACCCCTCCGTTGCGATATCAATCCCTCTGCAGGCCGTGACCGCGAAACCTCGCGTCTGCCTTTATCCGGCCGGCGCTCACTTTCCAACCTCGCCTCAACCATCCCCGATTCGCGCGCGCAAACACAGAGAAAAGCTCTCTATACCCATAACCATTTCGCATATCACGCCGTTTTTTCTTGGATTTCACTAGTTTCTTATTGACTTAGTCTATTCCGGCCTTTTCGCGCCCATAAAGCTTTACGGGTCCTAATTGAATCGGCAAGATGCCTGATGTGAGTGATTCATTTGTCCTTGTTTGCCTGCTTTTGTTTCCTCCAAGGACCAACCCTTATGGCTCTTTATATTGATTTACTGTCGCATGATGCTGATGGCTTTGTTTTTTGCTCTGAATTCAGGTTAAAAGAGGTATTAGGCTGGTCACAGAGCAGCAGATTGTGTATGTGCATACCTACACCTTCCTACACCTTCCTACCTACAATCTATCCACTCTGCGATCATTCCATGTTGTTATTTGTCTCATATTTGTCCTTGTTGGGTCATGGTTGAAGAAATATCCTACACACTTTCTTCTGTTTCTCCCCGCCATCTTGCGCGCGTCCAGCCTTCAAACCTCCACCGCGCTTTGCTCCTCACCTCCTCTTCCTAACAATCGCAACGCGAGACATACGTGATATGAAATAACACTAACATTTATCCAATTACAGAAACGGCGACTCCGGCGTCGAAGGATTCCCGCTCCGATCGTGGTCAATCGAAGTCTACCAAGTCAACGAGCATGGGGAGCTGGTTCCCGCCAACGTTTTCGACAAGGTGACATACACCTTGCATCCTAGTTTTGGGGATAGAGCTGTTCAGGGTCCGTGATCAAAACCCTAGTTTAGGTGGTTGAGTTGGGTTAGAGGGGGGCTGACTTGACTCCAACAGTATTCAAAAACCCCCCATTCCGGATCTCAGAGGAAGGATGGGGTGAGTTCGATTTGTCGATTACCCTTACCGCCGACAAGGATTATACCGTGACGCACGACCTCAACTTTGCGCAGCCACGCTACGAATCCAAACATGTCCTTGTATGCTTCCAGAACCCCTCGTGAAACAGGAACAAGACTAATTGAGTGATGGATAGACGTTCAAAAACCCCAAGCCTGCGTTATTGGCGACCCTCCGCGAAACGGGACCGGTTCCCGGTGACGAGAATGGTATGAAATCGAAGCGTGCGGCGGGAGTGGACGAGGGGTCGAAGAAGAAGAAGCGTGTGGAGAAGAATGTACGCCGCCCTCCCTGGCCCCAGGCTTTTTGGCCCCATGATCTCTCCATCTAACAATATATATGCAGGTCGACATGGACAAATTGGCAGACGGGCTTCAGCGCCTCGGGGAAGATGACCTTCTCCAGGTCGTGCAGATGGTACACGACAATAAAGCACCAGACTCGTATACCAAGAATGACATTGAGCGTGCGTTATCCCTCACCCCTCCCAACCAAAGGAAAGTGCTAATAAAGTGTAGAGGGCGAATTCCATGTGGACCTATATACCCTCCCAGACAATCTCATCAAGATGCTCTGGGACTTTACACAAGAAAAGGGTGCTCTGTGAGGTGAAGGATGAACGAAGCTTGTAAAAATAGGATTGCTACTGGTTGTTTTATTGACTATGACTGACTTGGCTGATTGTTTCTTTCTCTTAATTCTATATGATACATCTTGCATGCATTAATGCAGCAGCACATTGTTTGTTAATTCGGTTTTTTCTTCGTCGCGCCTTTGCTTTTTGGAATACAATACACCTAAAGTACAGCTTGAGCTCTTCTAGTATACGAGATACTGAGATAACGTCAAATTAAGAAACTCTATATATTTTAGACTGCTCCGGACCTACCCAGACACTTGTTTCCGACTCCCATCTAGCCCTTCCTCTTCAGTAGTATCTTCATCTCAATACGCCTTAGCCAAATCCTGTGAATTTCCTAGGCTCCCTAACTAGACCCCCTGATTGCTCGACTGACAGATGGCCGATTGACTATTAGATGATGGAATAGCTAGACGTATGGTCTCTTGGGTACTATATATGACACTACGTCTTGCTCCAGTATATTCCATAACCAAAGTTGTGATCCGAGCTAAGCAAAACATCAACAAGCCAGACACATTAATTAATTTTCACTCTCCTAATGCCCTTCTCAACAGCAGCAGCAACAGCCTCCAGAATCCCCATCAACCGACACATACACGGATGACGATCCTGGAAGACCGTAGAAACCCACCATATCAGACAACACCCTTAAACCGAGAAACCCTCTCCTAACACATAAGAGCACACCCCTGTCACTGTCTGCTTCTGCTTTCATTCTCATTCTCCTTCTCTTTGGATCTGTGGCTGTACCACAGATCAAGAAATCGACGTGGTAACCCACGAACCTACCTCTCGAATCGAAACACCATCTTCGTGATTGGTAAATGTGATTTTGTACTTGGTATTCCGGGAACTCACAAGGGTGAGAGCTGTCGTTTCTCTACTTGATGGTGAGTATTTGTATGGCCGGAAACGAGTGAGGGATATAGTCAGAGCACCACCCCCACCAGCCCCCAAGGCGTCTCCGAAGAAATGCATCAAGAGGCTACGCTCCCAGGCCCTGCCACGAGGAGGGAAGCAGGGGTAGAGGCGTGTATCAGGAAATAATGTCAGTTTCAGCTCAATTATCCTTCGTGTCAGCGGTATTCCTGGGGTGGCTTTGAAATGGACCTTGAATATTTGCCAGGAAGCTCAATATATTCTCGTATTTGAACTTCCCAAGAAGTTCTCCAATCGGGTATTAGGGATTATGAGTGTGCTGGAAAGCTGTTTTGGCTGAGGGAATAATGACCTTGGCAAAGGGCAATGTGTTTGAAAAACTCGAGGAAATTCTGGATAAAACCAATAAGGCTGTGTATGACGGTTCCCTCCCAATTAAGATACTTGGTGACAAGGTTGTGGCGTTGAAACCCCAGTTATCGAAAAACGCGGGGAGTATCAAGCAGATCAAGGATATTCACAAGGTTGAACAAGAATCACTTTCCCAGAAACTTGAGAGTCGAGAGAGCTTTGACGGAAGTCAAGAATTATGCATCCAGCGTCTTGTCCAAAATCGGAACCCATGGACATCGCTTGTCAGCCGCCGAGGATAAGCGCGCTTAGCCCGCTGAAGTCTACCTCACATATGACGGGGAACATCAACACTAGAGCGTTATGAGATCTTCTAGACGAAATGACCAGCGTGGTGGGCAAAAATGGGGATGAAAAATCAAATAACGCACCCACTTTTGTCGCTGGACACCTCTTGTTTGAAATGTGATGAACGATGTCCCAATCAAGGCTGGGACAATAGTTTCACTATCAGGACATCATTATGCTTCGGAAGAGTCTTCAATGAAGGTAACCTGCATCACTGGAATGCTTCACAAGGCGCCTAATCCCTCATACCAAATTCTAATAACTAAAGCCCGGGGGCATGGGTGATGCTAAAACTATCTGCATGCAGATCTTCTGGCAACACCTTGAATACGGTAACACTGTTCCAGAAAAACAAATAGACAAGGGTAGATATGAGCGGTGTTGAAATCTTCTTTGAGCTGCTGAAGTGCTTGGCTGCCAATTCGTGGGGTATATAGATCTTCCGAAGAAATCTCTAAATATGGTCAAGCAATGGAGACAAGGGAAGCTGTATGGGCTGAAGCAGCGTCATTGGAATAACATCAATCATCGGACTAATGTGGCTGATGTGGGATAACTGCCGGGCATAATTATGTCACTACCTAAGCACCCATAATGTCTCAGCCGCAATCCAGTCTTTCAAATTAGGGCTTATTCACTTCCGGTGTACACCACAAAAGAGGCCAAAGTATTGCTGCAGGATAAGACTCAGGAAGTCAAGAACCGTTTTGGCAGCAAGACTACGGACGGCTACCTCAAATACGTCATACCTAAGAGGGCTTTTCTGCTCAGCGACACCGGCGCATTGGGTGCCTTCTTTGGTGTCGTATATTAATGATGGTATATGTGATATTGTAACGGTGTTGGCCAAAGGAAATCAATTCATACGGAGAAGAGAGCTTGGAGGACAGTGACCCCAAGATGGCTCATTCTAGAGGAGAAGCTAAGAGGTATCCCTACATCTCATATGCGAACTTCTTCCAAGCAAAAGCAGACCGAAAAACCCTGCCAGTACTAGTGACTAGGTCAAACTCTCCGTCCCTTCCGAGCACGGTCTTTGGAAGCATAGCTTCATCGTTGCATGGATGCTGATCAGCGACTGGATTGTCAATTGGTGGAATAGCATCACGAGACGCTGGGAGAAACTTGAACGATGCGTCGCTAGGAACCCGTGTCTAGGAAGGATGTACCCGTTAAATCTGAGTCCATAGTTGCAATCTTGGGGACAGCCATACATGGCAGGAATATCCATCAATGCGATCTGACCGGCAACCAATATCGATGCCACCAACAAATGACTAGCGGTATTATATGACCAATCATCGCTACCGGAATTGGATACACAAAAACTAGTTGAAATGAGTTGCAGACCTCCTGTTAGCCGGCCCGGTGAGAACTCCAAAAACTCTTTGCCCTCGTTGCGCCAACCTGGCTGCACTCGAGTTATTCCGAGTGGTTTTGACTGTACAGTCTACGTGATATTTTCTTTGTCTGTATTATATTCCTAGACTAATGAATCTGATGCCATATCTCCCCAAGTCCCTTCAACTCCAGGGAACTAAAAGAAGCAAATGACCGCAATCAGCCTATTAAACCCCCTTGATCCCAATTGTAACAAGGGAAAAGCTATACGCAGCGAAACATTCAAGCACATGTGGCCAGCCAGAGCACCAACATTAGTATACAGCTTGCATCTGGTATAATGCTCGGCGGACCAGAAAAGTAGGCTCAAAGGTGGAATTACCATAGACACCAAACCAATGCCTCCCCTTATGAATTAGCAATTATGCCATTTGATCGGAACATCAACCCTGCAAGTGATGTACATGGCTGATATTGAGAGAACCAGTGAAGAGGGCTGTCAGTCGTGAGTCATATTCCAGGCCTACAATAAATATCTACATCATCAAACAATTGTCCAGCCTCAATTCATCCACAACACATTTTCTTCTCAGAAGACAGCCAAATATTACTCTAAGCAATCCATCCACGCAATTTACAATGTCCTCAACGACCATCCTCTTCCGCGCCGAGACCAACGCCGTCGAGCGTCGTTCCGCGCGTAAGCCCCCTCACTCGAACCACCGAGTCCAAGTTCACATTCACAATTAACCAAAATATGACTGTATAGTATCACCCACAACCGCCAAAACCCTCCTCGACGACGGCTACAACATCCTAGTTGAGCGCAGCTCGACCCGGTGCTATCGCGACGAGGAATTCGAAGCCATCGGCGCTACTCTCGTCTCGACTGGAACATGGGAAGAAGCTCCGAAGGAGTATATTATATTGGGGTTGAAGGAGTTGTCTGGTTATTGTGGTATGCCTCCCTTTTTTCTCTCACCGTTTCCTTCTTTCTACATAACCATGAAGTGTCAACGACCGACTGCTTAATCGATATATAGAACCCCGCTACCACACACATATTCACTTCGGCCACTGCTACAAAGCCCAACCAGGCTGGATAGACTACATCACTTGGTTCAATCCCGGTGGCGGTCTCCTGTACGACATCGAGTATCTCACCGATGAGAGTAACCGTCGGGTTGCTGCGTTTGGGTATCATGCTGGATATGCGGGAGCGGCTGTTGCGCTGATGACGTGAGCTCATCAGATCACTAGTTCTGGCAGTGGTGATACATTGGGGGCTATTCCGGTCTTTGAGTCAGCGAGGCATGTTGTTGATGCTGTGAGGGGGAGCGTGGCGTCTGCCTCGCAGCAGCAGGAGCAGCACAAGCCGCGAGTCCTAATAATCGGCGCGCGCTGCCGCTGCGGGACTAGAGCTATTAATTTTTGCCAGCAAGCTAGTCTCCCCGAGTCACGTATCATCCAGTGGGATATCGCAGAGACTTCAGCTCGAGGTGACGGATCGTACCCCGAAATCAACGACGCAGACATCTTCATCAGTTGCATCTATCTCCCCGCGGGAACGCGGATCCCTCCGTTCGTGTCTAGGGAGTCCCTCTCCGTCCCTGGGCGGAAGTTGAGTGTGATTTGTGACGTGAGCTGTGATTCGACGAGCGAGTGGAATCCGATCCCTGTGTATGACCGGTATACTTCCTTCGATGAACCTACTGTTCCAGTGGACTTGGGTGAGGAGGATAATGGACCAGCGCTGAGTGTGATTAGTATTAATCATTTACCGACGCTGGTGGCTAGGGAGGCTAGTGAGGATTTTGCAGGACAGTTGTTGCCGACTCTTAGGACGTTGGATCGAAGGCAGGAAGAGGGGTTGTGGATGAGGGCTGAGAAGGTGTTTCACGAGAAGGCGAAGGAGGCGATGGATGCTAGTTGGAGGGCAAGGTGGTTGCCCTAGGATGACAATCTTGGGGAGCACGATTTTGGCAAATATGGGACGGGATGCCAGGAAAGAAAGGTTACGGGGACCTGGCACAAGTCCTAATATGCATCAACATCCAAATGACCGCAATCGAACAGCAATGCAATGATCCATTATAATATCATGTTATGGAATTAATCACAATCAAGAAACAAAGCACCAAGTTAGCATGGCAAACCAACTGCTGAGCCAAATTCGAACGCTACAAACTCATAAATACATACAAGTCTCAATGACTTAAGTATATGCAAGTAAAGATGGTAGATCCAATGGTTATATTCATGACAATAACGGGTTTATACCCAACATTAATGGAATAGACATAGCAAAACAAAAATCATTCGCAAACAAAAGTCAACATACAAAAGGTATCTTGGAGAGATGAAAACGCCGCCAGGTTCTCGAATGCCATGCACGGGTAGATGATGACAGAAAATAACACAAAAGTCATATGACTGGTATGACGCTATGCGAGCCAATATGCATTATGGATATTAAGGCAAAAAGTGAAAAGGAACAAGAGAGACAGAATTCATATCATGGCGTGGTCTGGCACCAATGGCGGTGGTATACCCAGGCGGCCTTTTGGCAATCCTTGCTGCAGTACTTGGTACGGCGGCAACGACGACACTTGGCAAATTGTCGCTGGAATTCTTCCCATTTGCCGCACTTGTAGTACGCGCACTGCCGGATGCCACCGCGAGACTCGTCCTTGCGGCAGAGATTCCTCATCACCACACATGCCCAGTACTGCATGTCCTTCGAATGGTGACGGACAGTGAACTTCTCAACCAGAGGGAAGATGTTCACATCATCCGGAAGTAGGTATTCATCTTCCTCTGGTTGCTCGACTGGTGAGGCGCTGGGGTCATCCAACATGTTGAGTTCACGGTCGATCTTGAGCTTCGGAACAAGGTGCGAGTGCTGGAAGAAGGACCGAAGGTTGCAGTACTTGGACACGTAAGCCAGAAGCTGAAGCGACATCAAAACATCTTCATCACGAGGCATTGTCGTCAAGACACCTTGAGCCGCGGTCGTTGCTCGATCGCGGTAGTAGAGAGCATAGGGGCTAGGAACGATGGCCGGAGAGTTGGTATTGTTGGCGTTCCGGGCCGGCGACAGGCCCAAAGCACCGTTCGTCTGCGTCGTGTCGTTATTGATCGTGCTGCCGTCAACAGCTGAGTGATGGCTGATGTTGAAAGTTTCTGCATCTTGTCCTTCAGACGGATCGGTGACCGTCAGGTCGTGGGTGTTGGAAACACCCTCAAGCATCGCTTGTCTATCGCCCACCTCATCAATTTCCATCTGGTTCTGTAGTCCCACGATTGGCTCGGATGGCCCTGTTGCGTCATCACCGGCAGCAGAGCCTTCATCATTTCCATCCGACTCACCCGAAGCAGAAGGGTGCTGATGGAGCGCAGGCCGTTGAAGCGTGTTCGTCGCGGGAGCTGGAGAGGTGCTCGAAGTGGGTGGATTACTCCGCGATTGCACCGGACCGCTGGGTGTGGTCGGGGAGTCGGGCTGAGAGGCAAAGCCGGTGTGCAACCGTGGAAGCATGCTAGGGAGTCGTTCTGTATCGCGCACAGGACGCAGATGGAAGCCATCGGCAGCATCCATTGTTGGGACGGCCGTGGCCAAGGGTTGCATAGCCCGATGACGATGGCCGATGGGCTGATTGGTGCGGTGATGGTGATGGTGGTGATGATGATGATGATGATGATGGTGGTGGTGGTTATGTTGAAGAGCTTCCTGTCCGAACAGGCTGCGCTCCGGTGGCGATGTCATCGGCATCCGAGGGGAAGACGTGATATCCATTGCATTGGAATCAAGCGTCTGATTCTCCTGGCCCGAGGGCTGAGGAATCTCAATATGCGATGGCGGTGCTTGTCGGCGAGAGGGTCGGTGCTCATGGTCACCCGTGGCAGCAGCAGGTGCTGGGATGGGTTTAGGTTGATGCCTCGACGAATGCCTTTGTGTTTCATCAACCCGCGCCCGCGCCTTATCCACAACTTTGATATAATTGTCCAGGATGGTCGCGATGACTGGTACCATATCCGCTTCCACCACTCTTGTCCGCACATTCTCCGAACCTCTTACGCCAATGTTGACCACACACTGAAAAGCAAGGCTCCATTTCCACATCTCCATTAGATTCCGGCTCCGACCCTCCTTGAGGATGCAGACCAGACGTTCGATACCGCCATCGACGGTGAGAATATCCCGAATGCGGGCGGATGATGTGGTAAGATAGGCGAGATGATTCAGAGAGTTGATGAGAGGCAAGGTGGATGTACAATCGAGGGCACGGCGATCATAGAGGGTGGTTGTGATGTTCACGGATGCTTTATTCACGTTCGGAATGCTGAAGTTGACTTCTCTCATGATGGGCGACTGAATTCTGAGCGATGGCGATGGGGCTGATTCGAGGATGAATGAAGGCAGCGTCAGACAAGTCGACAATGGAAACCGGTCTTGATATGAGAAGGAATCAAGGAGTCGAAGGGAGGACAAAGAGGGATGACTGCGAATGGGGGTCAGCCCCTAAAAACAGACCGAAGGAGGATGGGGTACAGACTTGTGACCCCTCAAGGTAGAAGATAACCCAAGGAGAGAAAGAACGAGAGGAAAAACCAACCAAAACCAGAAGAGAAAAAGATGACTCTATTCCCAAGACATGAAGAATCCGACGATATTAAACGAGAGGAAAAAGCGATGGAGGAAAAAAGAAAAAGATGGAAGAGATGAAGCCGAGGGAAAGAGAGAGGGAGTAAGGTGGTGAGATGTGAGAGTGAGAGAAAAGATGGAGTGAAGAAAGAGTTGGAGTGAAAGGGTGAGCCAAGAACCCGAGCCTAGTGACCAACTCCCGATTTATGGCGGCTGCAGAAAACTGAGCACCTTGAGAGATGAACAGATCAACAACACGAAAATACTGAATGTTAAAAGATGAGAACAGATGAGAAATGAACAGTTTCAGGTTAAGAATCCGTTATAATTAGTGGTGGTGGTGGTGGTGGTGGTAGTAATATTTGGCGCTGGCTGGGGAGGCAAAGAGGCAATACCGAGAGATTTTTGAAGCGGAGGCGTTCGTTCGGAGATTCTTAATAAGATTGCCTCTTTTATGTATCGAGTATACTTGTCTTCATAGGATTCAGCACAGAGTCAAATTGAAAGATTTCTGATGTGTCTACGCCGTACAGAGTATTACACGCTACGCTGAGATCGAATCTCACGAGGTCCCTGGGTTTGCCACTGCGAACGATCCTTAATGATTACCCTGAGAGAGACACGGACGCTTATTATCGTTGTTATAATGGCAATGACTCTACCAATACTACTCACTAGTCAAGTCTCGGTGGTCCTCACTCTGTCCTCGTCATTTACTCAATCCAGTTGCGGCTCCGGTAGATCGAGGGCGCGCAGACCAACAACAACCAGCCCAGGGGATGATGCAGAGTAAATAGTCTCGGTCGCTTACCTGAATTATGCTAGTATTCCTCTGCTTGAAGACTCACCATTAAGAACGGAGATGAACAATGTAATTGATCGACCATGATTATTTCCGTTATGCTTTGATCCCAATTTCCGTTGCGCTTGTCTGAATACGGAGTACGGAGTTGATACGCCCTTCCGATCTAACCTAGTCTTGGCAATTAGATTTAGATTTGCTTGGTATACCACGGCTTTCTGGTTGTCATATACTAATGAATCCATCCGAAGTAGCTGCTCGCCCTCTTTTGAAGATAATAGTGACCTGGAGTACCCAGGTGTTATGTTATCCAAGGAGTGAAACCGCTCAGCGTGATCTGGAATCGCGACGCCTGACCGGTTCACATGTATATCTTGAAAAGATGACGATTGTTGCTGCGCCTTCATTCAGGTATTTAGATGGATCTAGGGTGGTTCTGGTACGAGGTTCTTTCTAACATCCTCTAGCAAATCCCCGATCCTCGACGGGTTTGTTTCAGTGTGGTTACTCCGTTTCCGTTAAGATACCAGGACGCTGTGCAGAGTACGGGTTTGATGAATACTCGCAGGGACCTCTGTGATTCGGATGGTAGTACTATTATTCCCGATCTCCCTGCAGCCCAGTCGGACGTCCTCTGTGCAATAAGGCAGAACAACATGTCTTCTGGCCCTACCCCCAGTAAGAGTTACAACACCTGGGAGAATGGTGTCTTGGGAGAAAGGGTAATGGTATGGGTAATGTCTCTACAGATTAAGCAGAAAATTTCAGGGTTTTCTGAGGACAGTCGTTCATCTGAAATACTACCATCTTTGTCGTTCATGCGTTGGGATCACTAGGCAGCGATGCTCTTCCGGTCATGCGCTCGGCGATTTAGGAACACGGCTGTGGGGTCTCATTTAAACAGGGACCAAAGGTTCTCAGTCCACAAGCACACTCATTGTATAGAGTGACGATGACAGCTTTGCCTGGGTGTTCTGCCACAACATCTCTGATGTGCTTCCGGTATGCTGCTACTTCCGGCATTTGCACAGTATTTGTCGCCTCTCCTGTGCCTTTGCGCCGGAGCTTTAATTGAGTTGATCAAGACATAACGTTTCACGATTTCGCAATTTGCTTGTAATCATTTGAGCATCGACCAACTCAATTTCTATCTGATACTCGCTCAGATATGCACTAATTTCTCGATGTCTTTCCGGACTATTTCGGGTCGAGCACAGCAATGGGAGATATCTGCAACCAAAGTGGGTACAGCAACCCCATGCAGTAGCCACAGTTGGCAAGGAACACCAAATCCCACCACAATCTGAACAGTTCGAACTTGGTAATGATGCTGTGTTGATGTCTCGCCATTCTAATGCACCATATGTCGAGGCTCAATCAAGCGCGTACACCTGAGACAGTTTGCTAGGCTGGTTGTACAATTGTGCTCCGTACTATGGACGGAGTATGAAGATGGAGAGAGAGATGGCAGGCTGTAGGCTAGCGGTCGATCAAGGTGGATATGCACTCCGCTCCGAACCGCTGTTGTGCGAGAACTAAGCCTAATTGGGAAACCAAGGCGAAATCAGCCCTGCTTCTGAGCGCATTGCATGAGAATAGCCGCTCACTTGGAATAGCTATTTTAGTTTGCAGTTAGATCACACTTGAGTACCACAGAGCCCTCTTAGTGTAAAATCTTTACCGGCGGGTGGGTGGATTATTGGATCCTTTGCACTACGGAGGAGACAGGCAATTGATAATCCGTAATAGTATGAAGAAGAAAGATCCCTCATATAGGCAATAATCCAAACGCCAACGCTTAGTACTTAGTGACTCCATGACTCCAGAAAGTTGATAGTTTCTTTGAGATGAGACTAACAGATCACTTATAATGCAGCGTAGGAACCATGCACATCTTATTGGCACCTAATGCCCATTCGATGATCGGTTAAATTGCAACGGAAACGGGATCTGCTTTATTCATTTCAATACTCAAAAGAGATTGTGGTGAAGCTTGGAGTACATGCAACCGAGATGTCAGGTTCTTTCCGAAGGCGGCTCAGATCAAACCTCATCCGGCCATTGTGGCAATGATGACAGGAAAACAGGCACGGGAAAGAAGGTTCACAAAGTGAATATCATTCAATCTTCCAAAGATTACTAAAAAATCAGGTGATCACTGGGAGGCTATTGGAATGGAGCCTCCGTAACGGTCATGACGTCGACGTCTCCGCGGAAGACCGAGGAAGAGAAATCATTGGTCTTTGTTCAATCTTATTTCTTATTGCTCTCTTAGCTCTGTGTCTGTCTGCATGTCTTCTACAAGTCGAATACGTGATTGTTCTCTACTCTGCAATTATACAAATAATCTCCAAAAACGACGAGGATTTCTCGCAGTCGGATCACAAGTCCGAAAAAAGATCCCAATTCAGGAGGAGCAAAAATTGGAAACCTGTTGGGCCAATAAGCGGATTCGCCGGGACGATTCAAATCTCGGCTCGATCGATATTCCGTTTGCCAGGTTACTCCGGTATGCGACTTTACGTACTGTGTATATGTGCAAGTTCATTGTTATTGACATTTAGACCGAGTCTCCCTACATATTGCTTATCTCGCTTATGAATTGCAGCCGTCATTCTGCTGTACGCCTTGTTCATTTCATAGTACAACCGTCTGTACTCGCATAGAATGACAAATTCAATTCATCTTCAACCGTGAACTTCAATCGTACAAGAACTCATAGTTTAGCTAATAAGCAACTTATTAATGAATAAGTGTCTTTGATCCTCCCCTTTCTCCGTCTGTCTACTCTACTCTGCATTGATTCTGTCCTCAATAAGATCCATGCTTCCGTACGGTATTTGTATTACTCCCCCTTTCTCCTTCAAGGTCTCCACAATGGAGCTACCACCACCAATCACCGCGAGTAATTTCCAAATTGTCCGCTGCGGCTCCACCGGCTTTTCTGCTGCTCCTGAATGTTACAATACCGCAATACCAACCATTACCAATCTATATGGCGTACTCCTTTTGCTTCTTCTGGCTCATTCTTTTTGTTCACACGTCAAGGAATAATAGTCAGGGTAAATCTACAAAAGAAAAATAAGAAGGAATTATATAGGCAATACTAAATTACTTGCGTGGTGGATGAAACTTTTTGTCTGGTTGTCGGTCGCATTTGCCCGTAACTACAAGACCTTTAACGCGCGCTCCACATCCATCCATCCACCCCCCTCCTCGGGCCTTTCTCAACTCTCTTTCTTCCCTTTCTCTCTTCTTTCTCTCACTCACTCTCTTCCCCGGCCAACTCTAACCCCCTGGACTTTCTACACCTTTTTTTTTTCTCCCTTTCCTTTCCCTCTCTTCTTTTCTCTCCCGCGTCCTGGGTTTTCTACGACTTCACTAAATCTTCTTTTACGACACTTTTTTTTTTTTTTTTTTTCCCTCTTTTCCTTCGAATTGATCACCTCAGGGGTACATAATCCGACAAGATGGCCGATATGAGCGGCGAACAGATGCAGGCCAAAATCACCGCAGCCCGGCGCGAAGCTGAACAGCTCAAAGACAAGATAAAGCGCAGAAAGGATGAATTGGCAGACACCTCCCGTACGATTTCCCATTCCTATTTCCCTTTCGCAACCCGTTCTCGTCAATGATACTGGGATATTTATAAGCGCTCTCGCCGCGTTTAGCTGCACCCACCAGCAGACGCCTACTTACTTGCGCTGCCCTTCCACTTCCAATACATTATGGAGTTGTATACTGACCCGCGTTTTTTCCCATTTACACAGTCCGTCAAGTTGCACAAAACCAGTCCGAGGCTTTGCCCCGGATCGGGATGAAGCCACGCCGGACACTCAAGGGCCATTTGGCTAAGATTTACGCCATGCACTGGTCGACTGACCGCCGCCACCTCGTTTCCGCCTCGCAAGATGGAAAGCTCATTATCTGGGACGCCTACACCACCAACAAAGTCCATGCGATCCCATTGCGGTCGTCGTGGGTGATGACTTGCGCCTACGCCCCCAGTGGAAACTATGTCGCTTGTGGTGGTTTGGATAACATTTGCTCAATCTACAACCTGTCGTCCCGCGAGGGCCCAACCCGTGTCGCCCGCGAGCTGTCTGGTCATTCGGGTTACCTGTCCTGCTGCCGTTTCATCAATGATCGCCGTATTCTTACCTCATCCGGTGATATGACCTGTATGCTGTGGGATATCGAGACTGGCTCAAAGGTGACCGAGTTCGCCGACCACCTGGGCGACGTCATGTCCATCAGCATCAACCCGACTAACCAGAACGTCTTCGTCTCGGGTGCTTGTGATGCTTTCGCTAAACTGTGGGATGTCCGTACTGGTAAGGCCGTCCAGACCTTTGCTGGACACGAGTCCGACATCAACGCCATCCAATTCTTCCCCGATGGAAACGCTTTCGGTACCGGTTCCGATGACACCACCTGCCGTCTTTTTGACATCCGTGCCGACCGCGAACTCAACACCTACCAGGTAAGCTCTTTGCCTTGGCGCGTCTCTAAGGAAAAGAGAACAAAGCTAATTTTCGATACAGAGTGACCAAGTGCTGTGCGGTATTACATCTGTTGCTTTCTCCGTTTCTGGACGATTATTGTTTGCGGGTTACGATGACTTTGAGTGCAAGGTATGTATGACTTTATACATGAAGCGGCCTGTATGCTAACACGATAAATCAGGTCTGGGATGTCCTGCGGGGTGAAAAGGTTGGCTCTCTGAGTGGTCACGAGAACCGTGTCAGCTGTCTTGGCGTTAGCAACGACGGCATCAGTTTGTGTACTGGATCTTGGGATTCTTTGGTAAGTTGCATTCTGCTCATCAGCCCAATGACACAGCTTGCTAATATCTTCTTCCCCCGTACAGCTCAAGGTCTGGGCCTGGTAAACAAATTCAGAACCAAGATACCCCCGTCGCCAATCCTTTGCAACGTCATCATTCAAACGCCTTTCATTCTTCTTTTCTTCATTTTTATTCCCCTCTCTTCCTTGGTTATTTCTCATACCGATGGGTTAAACGTTCCGCCATTGTACGATAATTCTTATTGACCGAGTAACCGCTCGGCCGCTTTACCATAATATGCTATTTGGGTGGGAGAAGATGGACGAACGCCCGAGAATCCGAGGTGGTCAGTCGGCGACGATTACGCGCAAAGACATCGGATAGAAGCGATATACATAGCGATCGATTTGGCGTTTGTCGACAAAACTCGGATGATTTTGGTCTTCCCCCTTTCTATTTTTTACCATTTTGTTCATTACCCTCATATTCCCTTTATCTGAACTGATGTATCTGCGCTTTTTTGTATTTCCTGTTTGTGATGGAAAGGGAAGGTTTGTTTCTGGATAGGCCATGACCAGGCTTTGGTCGCTGTATTTTCTTTTTCTTTTTTTTTTAACTTCTAATTCACCACGTTGAGTATGTGAATCGGAAGGGGATGGATGTCTTCTATTGTCACCTATTTTTTATATGGGACTGTCTGTTGGTGTTGGATTTATACTATATTTCAGTTGATCAATTCCCTATGTGACTTTATTCTTGAAGCCGTTTTGAAAGTTAAAATCTGAGGTGTTGGAGTGATCAGTCGAATAACAGATATCTTCTTGTAGCATTGGTGCCAGTGTTAGCAATTCGAACAGCATCGTTTTAGTTCTCGATGGGGAGGGATGGAAGGGAACCAGGTGTTGTCGAATTCAATATCGCCTGGAATCAGCCTGGCTACTCAATACGCCATCATATGCACTATCGGCTCTTGTAACATGCAATGTCAATCCAATCCTAACGGAGATATTCTCCGCGTCATCGACCAGATGTCAGACGCACTACATCTGCCAGCCGCTTCTACATCCGAAGATATGTAAGATAATATCCGGAGGCCTATCCGAAATCACAGCGACCCGCAAATGGGATCGCGTCTCTTTATATATCCATACAAGGACTCGGATCCTGACTCGGGGGATGGCCCCGTTATAGCTAGACTTTCCTTTCTATTCTCGGACAGGGTCTGGCTCCATACCGGAGTAGTCTCTGTACGGGGCATGTACATAATAACACGCAGTACTTGTGAGAATCGGACGTTGACCGATAGTTGTCGTCTTGGCTGATAACCCTTACATTGCTTTGATTCTCCAGACTACGTACCAACCAGTAGTAGTGCCATTGCATCACAGCAGGGAAAGATCCACTAAACGGTCGTATAACCAGATGCAGCATCGCGTTCGGAATCCGGTTGCTTCAGAATATGCAGCCCACAGTCTCCGTATTTTGTCTATTTCGGAGACTCCATCTGCCTGCGAAGAGAACGATTTTGAATGAACTAGAAATGCCGAAACTTAAACATTCGGCAGTCACAGAATTCAAGGGGTTATACCGGTGTCAGAGATGTTCACTAAACAAAATAAGAAAATTAAGATTATCCCTGGTGTAACAGAATGGGCAGAGCATATGCCTTGAATAGAAAAAAGTCGTCGTCGGGGATTCTGTGACAAGTTACTCCACTTGGGGTGATTAGAGTAGGATTATCATCGCGGCTGTCCCGATTAACATAAACATCATTTCAATCTTCCGTACAGAGTACTCCGGACTGTGTATGGGGAACGGAGAATACGGCCAAGTTTTCGTCTTTGCTCAGCGAGATTTAAAATTTTTTTTTTTTTTTTTTTTTTTTTTTGCGCTGCGGCTTTTTAGTATAGTGTAGTGTAGTATGCACTATAGTGGTCTTCTCCGATATCAGGGTCAGGCCTAGAGGTATGCTAAATGGACTAGGACTGGGTTAGTCGATTCTCCTATCTGGCCACGGAATTGATATGGAATTCCGTCAAGCTTGAATGACTCGAGTCCTAACGACTATGACTTTATTTATACTCCATATCCGTGGTTTTGCCGTTTCCAAGTACTCTGGCAACAATGGATGTGCTATGGCCATGGTTTGTTTCAATTCTGTCTGGAAGCTTGACGATTGCGTTGGCATTAGATTGAGTTTTTGCAGGTGTCGCCTGTGTGCACTGAGTCGAATGTTTCTAGAAAGATGGTTCATGACCTGTTGACTGCCCTATGCTTGTTTTTCTCGGCGAATGTTCCGCTAGTTGCTAGTTGATTCGCCTTAGTCTCCGTACCGCAGTGGATAGGATAGACAAGGCAATTAATCTACACCATTTCTCTAATCCTTACTAGTACAGTCTACACGTGAGGTTCTACAAATCATACCTTCCCTGCACTCCGTATTCAAAAAAGCAAAGCCCATGGAACATTCTGTTGTTCTTCGATTCCGCGTGGCGGAGTACGGAGTAACTGGAGCCGACACTTTGGAGATAAACACTTCCGATGATCTCCGCTGCTGCAAAGTACGTACAGAATAAGTATCAGGGGCTCAACGGTTTTCATCTCGCTTCCGTGTCTGCTGTGCTTTGTTTCAGTAGCCGCCGATTGTTATTGCTAGAAGTACCATGTTGTTTTGCTGTCGCAGTCAGAAGTGCCGAAAAACGTTGACACGACTCGCCAAAGCAAGATCGGCGGAGTGTTTATCTCAGGCTTTCCCCGTTTCGTTAATTTCAGGGGCAGAAAGGGAGGAGCCACTTTTGGTCTGAAACCCGTAACGGACAAGTTGGACAGTACACCACTTCTTTCATCAATTCCTTCGCCCGTTGATTTTCTAGTAGGGCTGTGCATAAAGAAAAGAATTAAGCAAAAAAAATTATCTGACCGCTAAATCGGCTGCCTGGTTTTTTATAAAAGATTCCTTTTTCCCCGTCTTTCGCTCTTCTTCCTTTCATCATGTCCTCTGCTGCCCAAGACGAATTCAACCAACTCCTCCACAACAGCAAGGTGAAATACTCCTCTCACCCCGAAGATCGTGACCGTGCCTCGAGCCCCTCCGACACCGAAGAAGACCCCCCAACAAATCCCCCCTCCGAAGACGACGACGACGACGACATGCGTTCGCGAACAGCAACCTACCACGTCCCCAACACCGTTTTCGACGCCAACACAGGTCCCAAGGGCGTCATCGCCGACGCCCAGGCCTTTGAGCGCGCCAGGAAACAATCCCACCGCCGGACACTGGGTGGGCTCGTCTCGGATGACACAACGCCCTTGAACCACTCCCCGCCACGGGATGGGGCCAAGGATGACGATGAGGAGGGCTTCATGCGCAGGTGGCGGGAGTCGAGGATGCATCAATTGCGGGGTCGGAATATGAGACGGTTGAGTCCGAGGAGGAAGAGGTTCGGGAGTGTGGATACGGTTGATGCGGCGGGGTATCTCGATGCTATTGAGCAGGTCACGGCTGATACGATTGTTGTGGTTTGTGTTTATGATCCCGAGGTATGTTTCATGCTATATGTCTACAGTCATATCAGTTACTAACTATTCGCAGTCCAGTGCTAGTGGTATCGTTGAGGATTGTCTCAACACCATTGCCCGCCGGAATGTCACTACACACTTTGTCAAACTTCATCAGGAAATCGCTGAGATGGACCACATCCAGGCTCCGGCTTTGCTGGCCTACCGGGGTGGTGATGTCTTTGCTACCATTGTGGAGATATTCAGACAAATCCCCAAAGGCCGTGCCTGCAGTGCTGACAGCCTCGAGGAGTTACTCAAACAGTATGTCCCCTTACCTTATACACGATTGACCTATACTGACTGTTGTAGATATCGGGTATTATAGTAATAATACTCTTTATTTTTATGCTTGATGAGAGCCATCGCTAGCAAAACGGAGCACAGCAGGCGTACAGGTTTCATGTTTTTTTTTTTTTTTTTTTTTCTTTCGTGTTTTACTTCACTATCTTTTCGGGCTCTCATGGTTTCATTTCGTTTACTCTTGCCATCTGACATGTATGATTCTCGAAGGCGTTGGTATGTTTCCTTGTTTCAGCTGCGTTTTGTTTCAGATCTTCAAAGACTTGGTTATGACAGGGATTCACGGTGTAGATAGATGTGATTGGATATACAAGTACTATGAACATCATTTGATATTCCATCCCGTTAAATGGCTCAAGCCACCTTATTAATTCTAATAAGTATATGTCGCGGCTAACCGCGCCTGTAAATGCTCACTCGCCGTCAATGCCCGTTTCCCAGGGACCAGGTATCCCGCACCACCCCCAAACCCAACCTTATCATCCTCGCTCTCCTTCCGCCCCTCACGATGAGCATCGACGATTTTACTCGGCACGGGGACAAGTTCCGTAGTGTTAACCGGATGACAGAAATAAACAATACTATACCGATCCTGCTCGTTTTCAGCCCTCTGCTCCGACAACGGAAAGACAACCCGATGAACAGTCGACTTTAGCAACCCATCCGTCCAGTAACTAAGTAAATCTCCAATATTTACCAGAATAGGCGGAAATGCATATTCCCCTTCCTGTCCCTGACCTTGCCCGTTTGATGACTGGCCCGGATCAACAGGAACACCTGCCCATTCCTCCTCCGGCGTGAGTATCTCCAACCCCGGCTGTCCCGGCTGCTGGAAGAGCAGCGTTATACTCCCGTAATCTGAATGTGCGCCTGCACGCACATCTTCGTCATGTTTGTAGAATGCTGTTTCCGGGGATGTGATGGAGGGGTAGTGTAGGAAGCGCAGAGTGCATCCTGAGGGGCCATGGATGGGGTCGTGGCGGGTTGTGAAGAAGGTCGGGTCTACTTGGAGGCCCAGAGCTAGGAGGGTTAAGATTCGATTGCAGGTTTTGCGGCAGAGGGTGGTGAAGCGGTCGAGGGTTGGTTCGTGGGGGGATAGCGAGGGGGGGAGGGGTTGGGGAGCTTTGCCAGCAATGAATTCGCCGAAGTTCATGCCTCTATGTTTGTTTAGTTTCTGTGGTAGTAGAATGTAGGGTGTGAGGTGGAGGTATGTACTCTTTGAAGTCCCCAATCTGGATGGTGTTAGCATGCGTTCTATCTTGGATGTTGATGTGGTCATACCCGTTGATGCTCTGGGTCGAGCGTCTCAACATGCATACCAGACCATCCTCGATTCTGAAGTATGTCAGATACCGCATCACTGTACTAGGTAGCTAGGACGAACATTAGGCGTAATCCGACAGGTAGCTTTCTCTTCAACGGGCGATGCAAAGAAATCCTTCGACTGCGAGACGTTAGCAACTGAATCTCTCCACTAGGTACAGTAAATACCAATCCAAATGCCGTTTCTACGTCCTCGGGACTAAAGTCAGTGCTCTGGCTAGCCACATACAAAAAGCCGTATTTGGCTGCTGCGTCGAGCATGGCTTTTCCCACAGAGGGGTCATGGGGATTCGAGATGTCGATGATGGGGAGGTTGATTGCGGCCATTCTCTCTTCTTTTGAAGCTAGTGAAGAGCTAGGAGCACTTGTAGAAGCTTGAACGAGAACCGGGAGATAAATGGAATTGTACTACAATCATGTGATGGATAGAAGCAAGGCATGCGGGGAGGTTCTTATCTTCCTATCAGAGTCAATTAGAGTCGAACGATTTTTTTATTAGACAAAGCAGCTTGGCTGGGATACGTTTTGTGCTTCTACAACATCATGATGCATTGGTTCTGTTTTGTGGATGTATGAGCATGAATAGTAACCAGGTAGATCGCATAACTAAGGTAGATTCGATATATGTATATTTTTCGAGTCATTGATTGGTATCAAATACCTAACGCCGTGGTGTATTCGATTCCAACGCTTGTTTGCCTCGTAGCTTTAAGCTGTCAGCAATGTCAAAATAACTGCTGCAGCATCCAACGTATTTACAATTATTCTGTCCTCATTTTGGTAACTGGCAAACTGAGCATAAACAACAGCCCATCGGAATCACCGACTCCGCGCTCCGCCCAACTCCAACCAACTGTCGCGACAAGTCCAAGCTAAATCTACGAAACTGTCGGGGTTGTGTGTCTCTTCTCTTATTCTCTTGCTTCCTTAGAAGGATCCTATCTTATATCTCTTTCCTCTCCTTCATTCTTTTTCGGGGCTGGCGTCTGCTTAGCTCGACACTGCTGCAACCATGGCGAGTAAGTCTCCCACCTGTACACTACTGAGCTCACTCTTTCATCCGATACTGACCAAGTTATCGCTATTCTGAACAGTCCGTGCCTTGGATGAATGGGCCTCTACCCGCCTGCAGTCTCTTCCCCTCTCTGCCCTCAAAGGGGCCGTGGTCGGTATCGATGCGTCGCACTACATCACCCAACACCTCCTCCACCAGTCCACCCGCGAACCTCTCCTGATCGCACTGGGCGGTTTCCCATTCGCGCTAAAGAACAACATCGAGCGGGAGCTACAGGTCTTCAAGAATTTGGGTCTGGCTTGTGTTTTTGTTTTCAATGGCCTCGAGTTTGGCAAGAAGGACCGGCGACCCCACGTGCGACCTGAGTCGGTACGGGCTTTTGAGCAGGCCTGGGATCTCTATGATCAGCAGCAGGCGGATCAGGTTGTGGATGCATTTAGCTCTGCTGGTATAACTTCCTCTCTTGCCCAGGATAATAGTCGAGGCCTTTCCACGGCTGACTTGGTTGTTAGGTACACCCCCCCCGGTGAACTTCTACAAGTTCTTGCAACGGATTCTCCTTCAGAATGGAGTGGACTTTATTGTTGCTCCGTATAGTGCTGCGGCTCAGGTGAGTACAATGACCTACGTGGCGATGGCGATTGCAAGTGCTAATAGCCTGTCCAACAGCTTGCCTACCTCACCAGCGGCCCGAACCCCCTCGTCGATGCAGTCTTTGGACCTTCCGAAATCCTCCTGTTCGATGTCGACAAGCTGATTACACGGATTGACTCCGAGCCGGCGCAGTTTTTCTGGATCACAAAACAAACTTGCCAGGAGGAGTTGGGCAAGTTAACAAATGACCAGTTCTTGGACTTCTGTCTTCTTCTGGGCTCATCTTTCCTGCCAACGTTCCCCGTGTTTGAGACCCAACCTTTTCCGGCCAAGGGGCCCACCGTCCGCGATGCTTTGCCCATGTTCAACGTTGCCGGGAGGAGCGCCCTCGCTCTCTGCGCCCAATTTGAAGAAGACCGCCGCGTGCAAGATGTTCAGTACACGGACCTTTACAAACGGGCTTACATGACGGTGAAGCACCATGTGTTTATCGATGTGGATGGGAAGGTTGCACCAATGAATCCGGACAATACCTCTAATGATATGCATGAAATAATCGGGCAGCGACTTCCTGAGGAGCTGTACTTTTACCTCTCCAAGGGGATTCTGGGGGCTGATATCCCGAACACCTTGACCTCCAGTGAAGTTTTGGTCTCCTTGCCTCTGGGCGTGGAGGACACTCCAATTTATCGCCAGGTCGTAGGTGACACTCTTACGCCCATCAGGGCTCAGGCAATCTCTTTGGTGGCAAACACTCTGCACCGTTTCTACCAGACTAAGGTTATTAATGTGCGCACTTGGTTCGACGAAAACTCGGACCGCTCGATTAATCTGAAGAACCTCTCCGTTAAGGACACCATCAGATCGTGGAAAATTAACAACGAGCAGCTTCCAGAGAAGCTCAAGGAATTGCCGGTTCGTCTCCTTAATTTTTCTCTATGATATACGACTGACAATATCTAGGAGTCTGCTGGGCCATTTAGATTCGCTGTCCAAAGCTTGAAGGATAAAGAATTTGTACCCAAATCCTTTGCAGGAAAAGATTCGCCGGTATGTATAACATTGCATATCGCCATGATCTAAATGCTAATTTTCCAAGGCATTATCTTCGCAAGACGAGGTTCTTTCGAATGTTTACTGGCGATTCCTACAGCTTCGGGGTTATATTAACGAGAAACATGAACTCACTCCCTGGGGTGAGGGTCTCGAACAAGCACTCTCAGCCTTAGACCCGGCGGACAACCTTGAAGAGTCTACTTTCCTTGCTATTGAGATGGCCCGTCTTGGTCTCCTGAATACAAAGCAGTGGTTTTCGCATCTCTCTGGTGGTCCTATGAGAGGGTCAGGTAAGATACTTTGAGAACAATTGCTACAGTGAGCAGAGCTGATTTGAATTCTTTCAGATGACGACAAGACATTTAACCTCCTTGTTTCCCGTGTTGCGTGTGTCGGCAAACTACAACATAAGCCCATTGGATACTCTGGACCTTTAAGCAGGCAACTTCTCTGCTACCGTTCTTTAGTTTCCCAAGTCCGCTCCACGCTCCGTATCCTGATTGAGGCAATTCTGGCCGAACTGTTCCTCAGCGGTGATGCGGACCGTGACCGTGAGGACTGGTCGGAAATGACTCTCAAGTAGGTATACCCCAGAGAAAGAGAGAAGAAACAATTCTGATATGTGTATAGGCTCCCCTTTATCAACGACAATGACTGCGGTCTCGGAATCGCTGCTCGGACATACTTGGACGATCTGCCAGCTCAGACTAACCCAACCTCGCCAGAGGCTCGGGCAGAGACGAAGGCGAAGGGCAAGGCCTGGTTCCAGCACAGCGACAGCTTTAGTGGGAACTTAGACCTGGCGTTCAAATTGTGGGATGCGGTGAGTACTTTCCCATTTTTCTCAGTGTTCAATGCTGACTGGTGAATAGGTTTACAAGGCAACCCAGAGTGCTGGTAAGGAGGCCAAGGATGCAAAGACATGGGACAACACCAATGCGTGGTTGGCTGGAAGACGGTGATAGTTACTACAGACAATGCTTACGAGGTCGCCGCGATACAGACGTCGCCTTGTTGACAGATGTATACAGACGGGGTATACATTTGGCTACATGTAATTGTATGTAGGAACGACCAGAATTTAGACGAGATACCTACAATGCTTTGCCTACAAATAATATGTATGTATTCCGTAGTAGTCCGTACATAGAAGCGCTGCTTTAGTGCATCGTAAACCGTGGATGTCATGCCCGCTATGGACCAAGTGGCCTCTTCCCGCGACGCTGATAAATCCGTCGATCATTTTGGGGCTTCATACATGGACTCGACACCTCAACTCTTCCATCATCATACTCATCACGCCACCGTTGGTTACTCTTAGATAGGTGGTGGTCTAAATTTCTTGTTATATATTTTGGATTGATTATATCAATCCTAAAAAATCACAATGACTCGCCTAAGCACGCTCCTGGTGAGCTGCCTCACCTTCCTCGTGGGCCTGGCCTTCGCCAATCCCGCCGTCGTCGACCTCGACACCAAAAACTTCGACAGTATCGTCCTGCAATCCGGCAAACCCGCACTCGTCGAATTCTTCGCCCCCTGGTGCGGCCACTGCAAGAACCTCGCCCCCGTCTACGAAGAACTCGGCCAGTCTTATGCTTTCGCCTCCGACAAAGTCACCGTAGGCAAGGTCGATGCGGACGAGCACCGTGAATTGGGCCGTCGGTTCGGTATCCAGGGATTCCCTACGCTGAAATGGTTTGATGGCAAGAGTGACAAGCCCGAGGATTATAAGGGTGGCCGGGATTTGGAGAGTTTGGGTGCTTGGATTACGGATAAGACTGGGGTGAAGCCGCGGGGGCCGAAGAAGGAGCCCTCGCAGGTTGTGATGTTGACTGATACCTCGTTTAAGGAGGTTATTGGTGGTGAGAAGGATGTGCTTGTTGCATTTACCGCGCCGTGGTGTGGACGTAAGTTTACAATTGTGTTGTTTTGTTTTTGACCGATGTGCTAATCGTTGCAGACTGCAAGAGCCTCGCCCCAACCTGGGAAACCCTCGCCAACGACTTCATCCTTGAGCCCAACGTCGTCGTCGCCAAGGTCGACGCCGAAGCCGAAAACGCCAAGTCCCTCGCCAGAGAACAGGGTATCTCCGGCTACCCCACTATCAAGTTCTTCCCCAAGGGCTCCAAGGAGCCCGAGGCCTATCAGGGCGGTCGCTCCGAGCAAGCCCTCGTTGATTTCCTGAACGAAAAGGCCGGCACTCACCGCACCGTCGGCGGTGGTCTTGACGAGAAGGCCGGTACTATCTCCAAGGTTGACGCGTTTGTCGGCAAGTATGTTGCCTCACGCAACTTTCAGGACCTTGTTGGCGAGATTAAGAAGAGCGTGAAGGGCATCCAGAGCAAGTACGCAGAGTACTATGTTAAGGTTGCGGAGAAGCTTAGCCAGAACCAAGAATATGCTGAAAAGGAGTTTGCTCGGTTGAGCAAGATTATTCAGAAGGGTGGTTCTGCGCCTGAGAAGGTTGATGAGCTTGTTTCGCGGAGCAACATTCTGCGCCAGTTCTTGGGTGGTGGTAAGCGGGATGAGAAGGATGAGCTGTAGATGTTCTTTCAGCTCTGGATTCTACTTGTTCTTGCTTCTCTTGTGATATATTGATTATGTTGGAAGAAGTAAAAAAAAAAAAGCTGAATTGGTGTATGCTCATGATATGAAATATGACTATGGATATGATGCTTTTGAGCTTGTCCTCTATGTATCCCGATCTATAACATCGTAGGGTATCTTCACTATATGTTTGAAATGGCCACGCCGGAAGTAGCAAAGATGCAACCGCCTCTTATCTCCCCTTTTAAACACCGCAAAATCCACCATAATCTACAAATATGGAAAAGAAGGGTATAAATCGCTTCGCAACGCAGCAGATAATCTCGACAGAAACCGATCACTTCGCCGGCGTAGGCGTCGCATTGTCCGTAATAGTCGTTAACGAAGCTTCGAGATCATCCAGTCGGTGCGCCATGTCGTCCACTGCCAGCAGTATGTGAATTAGTTTGCGATCCATCACCAAGTAGGCAAAAGGGGGAACTCACACTTCCCAAACATATCCCTTGACACATTATCGAACTTGTGCTGTAGTTGGTCTAGAAGTTCGTCGACTGCTGCATTGAAATTGCCTTGGGCGTCGGTGTTCTAGAAACAGAGCCGTCAGCTATTTATCGAGTCTCGTATGTTGTGTAACCAACCTGCTGCGACTGGAGCGGTTCGCCCGTGCTGGTAGGAGGGGCGACGGCTTCAGTTGGCTTAGCATCTTCGGTCATGGTGCTGATACTCCTATTTGCAATTGCGTCCACCAAGCTAGAATACCGGACTAAAAGCCGAATGACAAAGTACCCAAATTCGGATCCCTATGTATTCGAATCCAACCAGGAGTGCCATACCCCGTAAATAAAGCCGATAAGATCCCGGATCAACTAATCTCCCGGATATCGAACACCCGCTAACCACATCCGTCCTAGCACCGCCTTATAGTTCCCACTAAGCCAAATACGGTCTTAGCGCCATCCCAAAAAAATTCCCGTCTGCTGAAGGTCTGTCTGTCGGCGGTCTTGTTTTCAACACAATTTACTACATCTTTTTCTTCCTTTTTTTCTGTTAAAAGTATCCGGATAAGAATAAGCTAAAGCGCAATGCCTAAGAGAAGCAAGCTCCTTCAGGCTCTTGATGACCACAAGGGGAGGGATTATGATGCTGAGAAGCAGAAGAAGCTAGTTAAGGCTGCGGAGAAGAAGAAGAAGGAGAAGAAGGGTAATGTTGAGGACAAGGATGTGAAGATGGGAGAGGATGAGGAGAAGGTATGCGCAAGTTATTTTGAAAAGTTTTACTGGGTTGATGCGCGATGGTTGACAATGTCTTGAAGACTTCCAAGTCCAAGGAGCCGGAACCCAAGACAGATGACAATGAAGACGCATTTGATGACGAGGAGGATAGTGAGCAAGAAGACGAAGAGGAAGAAGACGAGGACGAAGAGGAAGCCGACGAAGAGGAAGACATCCCCCTCTCCGACCTCGACGACGACGAACGCGAAGACGTGATCCCTCATCAACGCCTGACCATCAACAACTCCGCCGCAATCACCACCTCCCTCAAACGCATCTCCTTCATCACCCCCAAAACCCCCTTCTCAGAGCACAACTCGCTCGTTTCCAAAGAACCCATCGACGTCCCCGACCCCGACGACGACATTAACCGCGAACTCGCCTTCTACAAGGTCTGCCAATCTGCCGCTTTGACTGCGCGCAGCTTGCTCAAGAAGGAGGGCGTTCCGTTTACTCGTCCCGGTGACTACTTTGCCGAGATGGTCAAGTCGGATGAGCATATGGGCAGGATTAAGAAGAAGTTGTATGATGAGGCGGCTAATAAGAAGGCTGCTGCGGAGGCGCGCAAGCAGCGCGACCTGAAGAAGTTCGGCAAGCAGGTGCAGGTTGCTAAGTTGCAGCAGAGGCAGAAGGAGAAGAGGGAGACTTTGGAGAAGATCACTGCTCTCAAGAAGAGTGAGTTCCTTTTATTTCTGAATCGTTACAAGCGCAATACTAATGCGACCACAGAGCGCAAGACTGATTCCTCCGGCCCTACTGAGGACACCAACGACCTCTTCGACGTCGCCATTGACAACGCCGGTCAGGACGGTAGTCGCAAGCGTGCCCGTACTGACCCCAACAAGCCCGGCGCCAAGCGCCAGAAAAGGAATGAGAAGTTCGGATTCGGAGGAAAGAAGAGGCATGCCAAGAGTGGTGATGCGGCGTCTACTGGTGATTTGCGCAACTTCTCGCACAAGAAGATGAAGGCTGGTGGTCCTAAGAGACCGGGTAAGAGCAAGAGAGCCAAGGCACGGTCGTGATTGGTACTCGACAATTATGTTTGAATTTTTGCTGTTGGTATTCTTTAGTTGTTCTGGGTATGGAAAGTAAAAGCTGCTCTGCTTCGTTTTGATTGGGATTGGCTTGTACGTGTACAAAATAATCATAGAGCATTCCCTATATTACATAGAAATCAGAAAAGTGGAATTTATTCAATTCTCTCGCGTTTGGTATCTCCAAGACATCTAAGCAAAATTCATCAGGTCATGCCTCCCGTAATCGATCTAACGCCCCGTACCTCATGCACCTTGCCTTTTTATATTAGTTTCAATAAACAGTTGCAAGACAACAATATAATGGCGCATTATGCCTCATTAGCACTAGCTGCATTTTCCATCTCCCCTAACAACCCAACCCCCATCTCCCTTATCCGACTCAGAAGATTATCCACAGGCATGCCGACATTGAGCTGTTTCTCCGCAAAGACCAAATCCAACTTCGTCTGCGTGTCAACCTCGTGACTGGCACGGTGGTCTTCAACCAGCTCTTGTCCACGAATCGAGCTGCTATGTTCAACGACCGCTTCGCAGCCGCGGAATTGGCAGGTCCATATGTCGTCTAGTTCGGCGGTGGGTTCTCGTTCTAGATCTGCGCCATGGGCGGGGGTATTTCTGCTGAGGACAAGTTTTCGTAAGGGTGTCTTTGAATGGATGTCTGCATCTGAGACGACGGAGCGGGTTCGTTTTGCTCTGGTTGTGGAGAGCGGGTCACGGACTAGCTCGTGGCCGCGGATTTTACTTGGTGTTTCGAAGTTGTCCTGCTCATAGTGGGGATGTTCATCTGATAAGTATCCATCGTCATCAACGGCGGCGATGCTCCGAGTTCTTTTTCCGATTTGTTTGGCCGAAACGGAGCTGATTTTCGGCCGGAGTACGGACTTGCGGACACGGCGTCTTCGGTGTCTGGGGTGATCGTCTTGTTCTTCGCTTTCTTCATTCGATGACTCATCCTTGTCATTTGAGCGAGGTCGTAAGGGTGTTAAGGTGATATCTTCTGGGTTCCTCTTCCGCTTCGTAGCTGATTTGAGCTCGCGGTAGATGGCCTTGCGGGACCAGTCGAAGTGGGCCGTTTTCGCTTCGTCCATCAATTTAAGCACATTCTTCGCCCTGGCAGCGACAAGATCCACCGCGTATTCGCGACTGCCAATTTCAAACCGGTCTACCACGGTCGAGATAACGAGGTCGAGGTTCAGTTCGCGTTTTGCCAAGTACCCGGCTTCTTTCAGGTCGATGATGATCTGATATATTGTGTCTGCTTGTGTTTGGGGAACTGTAGCCGGATCCGGGGGCGGGTTTTTCTTCTCGGGTGTGCTGTGCGTCTCGACTTGTTCTTCTGGGGTTTGTTCTTTTTCGTTCTCTTTCGCTTCGTTTTCGGCCTTGATCTCTTCATACGTTTCCTGTCATTGGGATTAGTATTCCGCAGAAAGTGATGTGCGGTGGCAGAGCGACTCACAGGAAAATTTTCGCAGAGATGCTCAAATATATTCGACTTAGTCCATTGTACACCCTCCTCACCCTTTATCATTCGAGAAAGCAAAAAACCATGATATTTGTAGAACACCTCTGCTGAATCGTCCATATCCTCGCAGATCCCATGTGTATGACTGACATACTAGAAACCTGTCAGCACCGTCCAGCCCAACCCAGCTGTAGTATCAAGTACTCACCTCCTCACACAAGTATTCCACGCTAGGATTCCAATCCTTCCGCTTATTGCGCTTTTTCTGATGCCGATCCGCAAGAAAATATAACAAATCGATGGCCTCGACTATCTCGTTGAACAGGGGCCGGTACCCCTTCGCAGGCGAAATGGAGAACCAGCCCGCACGACCAGCAACCCATATCCCGACTTCCCCATCATTATGTTGGCCATAGGCGTAGTGGGTGACGTTTTCGACGACGATGCGCTTCGATTGGTATTCTTCGTCGAGGACTATTCAAGAGATTGAGAGTTAGTACGATCTCTCTCCTCTCTAATTGAAATAGAACGTAGCGTACCCAGAGACTCCTGCTCCTCCTCAACCTCATCCAAACACCCCGTCACCTGCACAGGATTTTCAGGCGAGGCCGCAAGCAGATTCGCATATCGTGACTTTCCCGGGACCAGGATCCGGACCTCGGACAGGCTGAATTCCTCCCAGTCGTTCTCGTCAACAAGAGACGGGTCTCTGGCGGCCAGGACACTATCTTCTCGCGATGTCATGTCTCTGGTGGTAGCATGGTGCCTTGACTAACCATGCAATTGAGGGGTATATGCGGATTTGATTCCGGGGAAGCTGAGAAGCGAGTTTAGAAAAGCGAAAGAAAGAGAGTAGTTTGGGTCATCGGAATGCGGCGATTCTTTGAGGGATTGGCTGTTCGGGGCCAGGTCATGGACTATGGATATTGTACTAGTATTCACTAGCACACTGCCATAGTATAAAGATTTTGATGGAGTTTATTTAAGACACATTGTGGAGATATCTAACGGTTACAGTGTGGTGAGCGCAGGTGGAGGTATGGCCTTCATATATCACGTGATTGTTGAGTGATTACATACGCGGTGAATGAATAACTAGTTAGTTACATGCACAACTCGGCATAACATTTATGCCCTAACAGCCGTGTATATCGGATTATGAAATAGACTAGAATAGCCTATAAAAATTTCTCAAGGCGAGAAAACCGGATCCAAGGGCCCATATTTCTCTAGTCTCAGGTAGACGCGGGGCCAAGATATCCTCAAGGTGCAACGTGAGGAAAGGCAGGGTCACATGGATTTGATTAATATTCCAGCTCCTGGCTGTAGTCAAATATCAAGGCTTCTTGAAAATGAGCATAAGGGACCCTGAGATGTATTGGTGCGCATTCGGGTGGCGAGATCTAGTTTTTGAAAGATATCCTGCGGCTGGCTCCTTTGGAAGCACCACTGTGATTGGTTCCTTGAATCTAACAGTGGACTTATAGGCTCGTTTCCTGAGCATTTGCTGGACATCTCGGCCCGTGTCTTCATCGAACCTGAGGATATTGCAAATTTTAGAAGGTGGGCCACTCGGAAATGCTTTGATAGCTTTGCTTGGTTTCTCAAAGCGCCACCGCAACCAATGTATATTGTTAGTCTGCTTGTAGGGAATGTTTTTCTGTAAGAAGTAGTTGAAGATAGGGCTACTTCATATGCGCATGCAAATCAGATAATATTCCGTCACAAATGTTGCACACACACACATACACACGCACGCACGCAGGGAGAGGGAGAGAGAGAGAGAGAGAGAAGAAGAAGAAGAAGAGGAAGAGGGAGAGAAAGAAAGAAAGCGTGCCTACTTATCTACCAGAATACTTGTTGCCTATCAAGGATGTACGTCAAAATTGCTTACGGATGTACCCGTATTGTTCAATGCATTTAATATTTCTGAAAGCAGGAAGATTCTTTCCTCAAAGGTATTTAAAGACACAAGGTAGACGAGAGAAAACCACCTGGTTCATTTTCAGATATATCTTTTTGTTTATAGTTTGCTTAGTTATAGTAATTTTCGGAACTAGTCGTACTCTCCTTTTTTATACTTTTATAAATAAATTCTTGAATTATATAGCTTATAAGATACATAGAATACTCATATAAAATCCTCATGTAACATTTGACTGGCGATGCCGGAATACGAGTTCCAAATCACCCGGAAAGATTGTAAATGCATCCAAAGCATGACTGAACAACCTTGATCCATCCTCACCCGAGCCAAACCAAAAATCGAACTTCAATGTCAAATAGGCTACCGTTGTCCGAAGTTGCATCATCGCGAGGTTCTTGCCCACGCATGAATATTTCCCTCCAGAAGGGTTAGAATGAGTATAATATATGAGCTTTGATATGGACTTACCGGAAGAAAAGGGAGCAAATGCTCTTTTGTCGATGACAAGATCCTGCCTTTCGTGCCATCGCTCGGGAACAAAGTCATGAGCTTGTTTATACGCCAGAGCCGCTAATAAACCGTCAGTTTTGTTCATGTAATTGCCATGTGGAACGACATACATCGACCGAGGACATATAAGGGAACGGAAATGGTTGTGCCGCCAGGAATGAGGATGCCACAGCAATTTAGCCCTTCCGCTGGTGTAACCCTCAGCAGACCAGATGGCACAGGTGGATGTAAGCGCAAGATCTCGTTGATAATACCATCTAGATATGGTATATTCTGGACATCCTGGTGAGACATGCTGTCTGGGAAGGATATCAGAGCATCCAAACTTGTGCGTAGTTTTGCTAATACTTCTTTGTGTCTAGCCAGGTAGTAGAAGATGTGAATCAAAGTCAGTGCGGTCGTGTCACTGCCAGCTACCACAATCAGCCGAGCATCACCTGTAAGCCAGTTGTCTGCATCTTCTCGTGTTTTTAGCCGTGCGTCTTGAAGTAGATGACTCATGATATCTGGTTCGTCGGGATGTATCTGCAATATTATCCAGTCAGCCGTGTTCTCATAATGAGGGGTGAATAAAGTCTCCACACACTTTCTTGCGCTGTTCGACCTGCTCTAAGCACCATTTTTTGAGCTTGTTCTCTCCCACCATGGCCCCTGGTATATTGACCAATACCCTCGTCAACCACGGTACCGGTGTCAGAAAAGCAAGCGGCTTCTGTCCATCATGTAATAACTTCATAACATAGTGTTCCTCCCCATTATCTAACATACCAAATTCCTTGCCAAATGCAAGGTCACCCATTATATCGAAGGTGAGGAAGTTGAACCAGTGGCTCACATTAATGAGTTGGCCCTCAAGTTCTGTAAGCCTCTGTCCCAAGCGCCTGATATGTGCAAGCTGCCGAGGCTCAAAATCCCGCAAGGCTAGAGGGGGTGCGGCCTTGTGTTAGCAGATATCTCATCAGTGAATAGCCACAAACAAACTTACCTTTGGTGGAAAAACCGAGGTCCCAGATCTTACGGCGCTGGCTATGGAGTTTGCTATCGCGTACACTATGCAGGGACTCGGCGGGCATACCCTGGTCATACCAGGGGGATTTATAGCAGCGACTCAAGGGGCCATAAATTGCCTGTACTGCCTCCGGATGGGCAATAGAAAGCTCACTCGGACCTGAAAGAAAAAGTGAGTTCTGTGCTGCCATTCAAGATTACAGCTTGTTGAGTCTGTCTGTATCTCACCAATTCGGACAATAGGGCCATAGGTTGCATGTTGGCTTGATCGAAATTGATAATCATTATGGTGCATGCACTGAAAGAAATGATACAGCTTTGTGACTTTTGCCGGCAACGAGCCTGGGAACTTGGAGAGTCTGTGTTCTAATAACCGATAAAAGAGGACACTAGACAGGAATCCAGACCACCATGAAGCTGTTAGAATCAAACATCCTAAGAGCGAGGATGACCAGGTCCGTGGAAAGCAGGCATGAATAAGGTAGCAAAGGACAAGGGGCGCCATCAGAGCACCTAGAGCCCAAGTATGTGCATTCATATGATGTTCCCCACGCATGAAATACCATCTGTGGGATAAAATGGCAGACAATACTACAAAGATGCTCAAGGAGCCAGGTTCAGTGTTACCCATGTTTCCAATGATGTCTGCCGGCAGTCCCTAGAAGAGGAATTAACTGATTGTACAAAGGTGATTCGAGTTTTTATTCCTGTCTGGCAGGAACGATCGAATAATCCTTTCCAGTATCCATAATGATGATGCATTAGCTATGGACCGAATCAATAATTGACAAATCAGCGACCATTTGACTAAGAATAAAAGTGATCGGACACCGACAATAGCGAATACTTTGTTGGGGCAGAACTCTGGTTGAGACAACTATTGAATTTACTAACCCTAAATAGAAATCATTGCGAAGAAGAGACAACACATATGCAAAGTGCTCAATTAATGCATGATGCATGCATGTGTTGGTAAAAGCTAAATTCTGGCTGCAGAACCGTAGATCCTACCATACTTCCATCGATGGGGCTGATTATTGGTTAGTCTGGTCACAGTTAAATGGAGTATGACTATATATTCTTTTCAGCTCTCAAGAATCCATTGCCTTCTCCATTATGAACTTAACGGAGATCGAAATATTCAAGTAAGACCGTGTCCCCAACTACCATGCCGATTCATATTCCTCTTACTGTCTCTAGGAATCGTTGTTGACCATCATGTCTCGCAAGCCATTGCTTTCTCACCTCCAAACTCTCGTTCTTTTCACCAAATCGGATTTCAAGACAATAATATTTCCAGTATTGCTGTTTTCGTTGAATGTATATGGCGATTTGAAACATCTAGCGTTGGCTCCAACTTACATCATCGTCACAACTCTCGTCGCCTTCCTTTGGCTCTGGGCTCATGTCCTTGTTTTCAATATTGAGAACCAGACACAGGAGCATTCCCTTAAGGAGGATAATATCAATAAGCCTTGGCGTCCTATTGTTGCTTCACGGATTTCCATGGGCGGCGCCATTCATCTCGGCCAGTTGGTTCACCTCTTCAATGTCTTCATCTCAATCCTTCTCAAGACGACTATCCCCTCTATCATCTTCCACGAAGCTGGTAGTCTATACAACAGAACCAACCTTCATAAATCGGCAATGGGCCGAAACATTCTCTGTGCAGTGGGTTATGCCTCGGCAGGAAGTGGATGCATGATGGTCATTCACAATGTTTACCGCGAAGTTCTGCTGGTAGAGCATGGCACCGACACAAGTATGCTAGCTTGGAAATGGCTAGCTATATTCAGTGCAGTTATCTTGACCACGATTCAAATCACGGATATACTCGATGTGGATGGAGACCGACAGAACGGCCGAAGAACTCTACCCACCACTCTAGGTGTGGTAGAAACGGGCGTCTTGTCGGCTGCAATTGTGTTAGGATGGAGTACTTATTTGGTTTCTGTTCTGCATGGAACATGGTTGAGCTGGCTTCTGGCTTATCTGGGCTTCATTCTGGCCTCACTGTTGATATATGGTGTATGTTGGTCTTTGTTTACGGTGGAAATTGCCTGCAAGTGCTATAGTGGGTGGATTGCTCTGATTGCCTTTGTTCCTACTTACCTTCGGCTCACCTATTAGTGTCTGTAGTATGTCAGTCGGTTGTGGTGAAGGCTAGGAAATATGAGACCATATTTGAATGAGAGATCCTATCTATATGTTTTATGTAGCCTCAGGTGTAAATTACCATATCGGATGTAAGTTACGTATATCTCGTATTTTTTTTACATGACTGTATTTTCCGTCCAACATCAAGACTCGACTCTCTAAACTTAACCATTCTCCAGGACTCAATTGAGCTCCTTCTTTTCACGAAACCTCCATATCTACTAGCGTATTCCTAACTCATTTGATCTCTACCTCAAAATCACGATTACAAGCTGCCCAGCTAATGAGCCTACCCCGAGGCATCCGACTCTTTCGCACAACCATGTCCGGCGAAAAGATATACGAAGGCGTCCTCGCCGTCCACAAACCCCAAAGCGTTACCTCCGCCGATGTTATCCGCAAGCTGCAATCTCACTTCAAACCCTCCGAGCTTTTCCGCCCCTGGATCGAGCATGAGCGCGCCGAGCGCGCCCGTTCCTCCTCCCGCGAAGCGAAATTCTCCCGCAAGCGCAGGAACAAGAACATCGATGTAAAAATCGGACATGGTGGTACCCTTGATCCCCTTGCTACAGGTGTGTTGGTTACAGGTGTGGGCAAGGGAACCAAGCAGTTGAATGATTTCCTGGGATGTACCAAGACGTACGAGGCGGTTGTGGTTTTCGGGGCGGAGACGGACTCGTATGATCGAGTTGGAAAGATTGTGAGGCGCGGGCCATATGCGCATGTCACGCGCGAGGGAGTCGAAAAGGCGCTTGCACAATTCCGGGGAAAGATTATGCAACATCCGCCTATTTTCTCGGCGTTGAAGGTGAAGGGGAAGAAGTTGTATGAGTATGCGCGGGAGGGGCAGCTGCCGCCGATTGAGATCCAGGCGAGACCGGTCGAGGTTTCGAATTTGGAGATTTTGGAGTGGTATGAGCCGGGTACGCATGAGCATAAGTGGCCTGAGGAGGAGGCACCGGAAGAGGAGAAGTCTGTTGCCGAGAAACTGCTTGCAAAGGATGATGCGCTACCTGTTGCTGTATCTGCGGAGGAGAATCAACCTGAGAAGCAGGTGCTTGAGACTTCATCTGCGACGAAGCGTCCCGCAGAGAGTCAGGAAGAAGAGAAAGAACAGCCAACTGCCACAACAGAAGTGACACCCGACGACTCCGCCCCGGCACCCAAAAAACAAAAGGTCTCCGATGACACCGCACAAGACGCACCCACAGAACAACCAGCAGCCACCGAAACCTCCGAACCCAAGACCGAATCTAACGAAAACCCTCAACCTCCTGCTGTCAAAATCACCATGACCGTCTCCTCCGGCTTCTACGTCCGCTCCCTCGCACACGACCTAGGGAAAGCCCTTGGCAGCTGCGCCCTCATGAGCGAGCTCTCCCGTACTCGCCAGGCGGACTTTACACTTGATTCTGATAAGATTCTCGAGTACAAGGACTTGGATGCTGGGGAGGAAGTTTGGGGCCCAAAAGTGCAAGGCTTCTTGGAAGAGTGGGAGAAGAAGAGGGAGAGAGATGCGAGGGCTGGGTCCTCGTGATTTTATTGTATATATCTGGCGTGTTCATAAAAGTTCACGGTTCAAGGGCAATGTTCTACATCTCCAATCTGTCCCAGCCACTCAAAATGCACAACATCAATGATCTTCCGCAAGTTACCAGGATGGAGCAGACTTTGTGTGCTACTCGCCAATCAGGATGTGCTTGAAATTCGATGCGCAGCACACTCCAGACCCATGTCTGTGCGCCGTTTTAATAGCATATTATGGCGCATCGCCCGTGACAGGTCTAAGTTTTTCTTCAGCTTCAATGTGGATGAGGGAAAGCCAAGATACAGGGTTACATGTAAGTAGGGTTTACATGCCTCAGGACATGTTCGTGTCCTTTTCTTCTTTTCTCTATATGATCAACAAGCACACATATTAGAACCTTATGAGACATCTTCTCGCTTTCTCACTCATATATCACAGCATGGCTCAGCATGATTTCGATGCCCATGTTCAGCCCAAAGTTGTTGATTGTGAATCAACTCGTTTCAACATAGTTTGACACCCTGGATCATTAACTGTTACGAGATGACTTCACATAAACCATGAAAAGAGTGACTTAATCAAATTACCGTCAGGATCCCGCACGTACACACTTCGTATTCTCCCCTGTGCCCCCGTCCTCTCCACAACTTTAGAGCCCTCTAGGACCTACATTTAAACTCTCAGCACAAAGCCTCAATAAAATACCCAAAACTTTTACCTCAATCCTGCCTCTCGAAGCGCTTGAAGCACCTGGTCCACATTCGTCTCAGTCAAAAAGCAGAGATCGGCACTTCCAGGCTGAACATTCTGAGCTTTTGGTTCGAACTCCCTAGTGAATCCATGGAGATTGATTATCTGGGCGCCAAACACGAGTGCATGTCTTATAGTGGAAATTCAGTGAACAAGGTACCAATCGAATGTCACAGCCATATGCCCATACCTTTGGATACTCTGGTTGAGTGGCGAGGTGAAGATTTCGTGTCGCATACCAAGATGCTCTGTGTAGAACGCAACTGTCTCCGGAATGGAGCGGACAGTTAAGACCAAGTGGTCTAGGGATTTGACTGCAAATTTGGCCATTTTCAAGTAATTGCAACATCCAAAATGACAGGAAATGGCTGGAACTTCCGTGAGTATGAGGGACATTCATACCAAGGATTACCCCGCATTTGCAAATTTCGTTCCAAACCTAGGCCCTGCCATTATTCCCGAGAAAATAATACATAAACAGCTGGATATTGGTTTAAAACTGAGGCACAAGTTCCTCCTTGGCTAGTGCTACCTTCACAGCCGAGTACTTCAGATACGCCAACATGTCACAGCTAATGATCCGGCTCTATCTGCAAAAAAAGTACAAGAAGGTATCGGCCGTTGTAAGGTAGTCACCCGCAGCATGGGCCCTGTTCAATCTGCCCTCGATGTATTGATAAGCCTCCAATATCGTCTCCAGCTCTTTGGCCTTGACGGCGTCCAGACTCGCGGGTTCAATCGAGGTGGCCAGCGTTCCGGTCTCCAGAAATGGCCGGAGGCACCCGCGTGCAACGTTCCTGAGAGATAATTCATCCATAGAATACTTTTACCGTTTCGATTGGCGTGCGGCCCATCAGGTGTCTATCCAGAGAGAGGCTGGGTACGGCTGTAGCCACGGCTAGCAATTCGGTGATTACTTGGTTGTCAGTAGAAATGACGGACATGCACTATTTAGGGTTGATGCGGAAGTCCTCCGAGAGGTGGGCTTCTTTTCCATTTCTCTGAACCATGAGAGGTTTGAAGTCAATTCCAACTTCGAGAAGGATGTGCGGGCATAGCGAGTATGCGTCTGTCGCGAAAAACTTGATTTGAGACATTCTGGGGGAGTATTTTGCTCTGCTGCTGGTATAGGTAAGATTGAGCAAAGTGTATCGGGATATGTATGCCGCAGCAAGTTCTATCCGATGTATCACGCAAGAAGTCTTTTTCTGCTAAGCCACTACGGCCCCGTGTTGGGTAGAGATCTCGTTCCTGCCGTGGTCTGGGCTGCAGGATCTAATCTCTAAACCATGTCAAATATACGCTGAGTGAGATCTTTGGCCAAGATGCTGTTCCGTAATAATTGTCTTTACAATGTGTATGAGGACCCCAAAACAAGATATGGCCGTTATAGAGATCTAGAACAGCTAGTAGCCCTTCATCCAGCACGTTCACTGCCAGTAATGGAAACTATACTACCTTGGAGTATCAAGTTGCGTTCACGTGTTCTATAGAGGCTGCTACCTTTGTATGATTTTTACTCTTCTATCTTTCCTTCTGTCTTTCAAGCTTCCCGTCTCCCCCGCCAGGACGCAAAGTGTTGGTTCGACAATTCTAAAGATTTACCGAGTGGACGCGTCAGTTTCCTGAGCCTATTAGGCCACTTTGAGAGGCGGAATCATCAGCAGTGCATCATGACTGTTGGTTGTGTTTGTGGGAGAGTATAATCATCATACTACCTCGAGCACAAATGCTAAGCCCCGTTTCCCAAAAGGCTCGTCACTATTTATATCACATTTATCGATATCTGCCGGTGAACGATCACCAAGAACGAGTGGAAAAGCTGCTATGTCGGTTGCCCAACATCAGGACAGCCGTTATCTGGTAGCGAGTCTGGACACCATAAATGTATTATATCCTATGGCAGCACCACCAACGCCCAAGTATAGGACTAAGACAACATGAGAAAGTCACCAGGTTATTGTTTACAAAGCTCATTGGGACAATACTCTACCAGAATGCCAGTGTTGCTGGACTCAAATACATATGAAATTTCACCAGGACTTATGGAAGCAGTCAATGGTCCTGGTTTGACGAGGAGCCGAAGTGGCCTCTCAGCAACTGACTTGATATGGTGAAGAGCGTTCTGATCTCACTCCACCAGCTAGCTGTGCGGAGATATTGCAGCTGGCATGCAAGTATACCCACTACACCTCTAAGCTTTGTGAGCTAAATTAACTACCCTGGAAGGTACCCTTCATGACAAACTGTGGATACTTTGACGAAGTTTTCCGTGTCTACCCTGATGGCACCATTTAGGGCGCCGATTGAAGGTCCCAGACAGGTTTCTGCGAGTCGTCATGTTTACCTGAACTGATATAATTTAAAGTTCAGGTTGGTTGGTTATGTGGTATCATCCGTGACGGGTCGACACTGGAGTGACTCTCTACTCAGGATTGCTACATCCAATTGCAATTATACTTTAGACCGATGTACGGTTCATCAATTGGAAGCCACACCCTCATGTGTTAGGAAACGGGTGGGCAAATGTTCCTTTCTCGTACCTAATGTCCGCTCGCGTGGCTCAAATTGGAATCGACACAGGGCCACTCGTTGAGCGAATGCTGAGGCCATCGCGAAGACTCAGTGATCTATTTTTTTGCGGTTGGTACAGTAGGGTGTATCATCTGAGTAAGTTCGTATTAGAAGCTTCATCCTACATAGTGGTATCAAGGTAATTAGCAAAGCCATGTATCTTGGTTAGATGGACTATATGCTGGTATTTGAAAATGGTATGTATAATACTACGTACTAGAAAGCTGGAATCAGCAAAGTTATCCACTTCGTCAACCAGGCAAGACGACGCGCAATGCCCACATATTGACAAAATATAAATGTCTATGTAGCTGCATTATAAACAGGAGACCATTTTAATGGGGTATACCGCTGAAGACACAGAATACACAAAAGAGGAACCAAAATGAAAGACCCAGAAACGTATGAAGGAAAGAATGGAATAGAATGCAGGATGAATGATTTATAACACAGTGCGATGAAGGTAATATGCAGCCAAAAGAAATTGCTCTATGCCAGGGTAAATAAGATAAGATGAAACGATGTTGGGCTATTAGACAGACTGGTGGGCTCCGTGGGCGCGGACAAGTGCTAGATGTTGTTAGCACAGGCTTTCTGGGTTAGGTGAGATAACTTACTTTCAAGCACGGTAGCTTGCCCTTGTCTCGATTCACAAGCACACTGAAGGGTGCTTCCGTCCAAGAAATCCAACACAATGCTATTAGGTAGCTCCTGACAGTCCTCATCCGGAATACAAGGAGTTCTGAACTCGGTCAAGTGGTACTTCTTGGTCAGGTTACGGCCAGTAGAGTCCACATTGGCTGGCGTGAGAACCAGGTAGCCTTTGTCGTCAATACGGACGAAGCGTCGCTTCCAGAGAAGCGTATCCGGGAACTGGACGTTAACCTCGCCAATTTCGATGGCTGGAACTTCAGGTGCCGGGGCAGCGGCCGAGGCGGGGGCGGAAGGGGGCCCGGGCTCAGGTGACTTCTCCGGAGTCGTGATGCCTTCTTCTCCCTTGAATGATCCAGAGGGACTCAAGGCTCCCAAAAAACTCCTGCGGGAGTTTGATGTGATGGATGACATGCGGTTGAGGAGTCGAGAAGTGCGAGATCCCTTCTTGTCTTCACCCTCACCCTTGGAAGAGACCGACATCCGGCTTTCCGATCGTTGTATCGTGGCAGTTTCCGAACCCGCAGACGACGTGGACATGCTACGCTTCTCCCCGTCATCGGTGGCAGGCTCCGCTGTCAGATTCGGAGAAATGGGGACCTCGGACGTCTCATGCTCGACGGTCAAGGGGCTTGCTTGAAGCTGGTTGTCCGACGAGCCGCCGTCCGTATCACGGACTATCCGAGCAGTCACGGACACCGAGCTCGTGGTTTGTGTGCCATTCAGGTTTGATTGGGATTCATCGAGAGTCAAGTTTGCGGCTTGCGAGGTAGGACGGGAAGTCGAGGCACTTCTGGAGATTGCCGGCGAATTCAAGCTCCCAGGAGGCTGTGAGATTGAAGCGCGTTTCCGGAATGCTTCGAACGATTGAGCAGAATGAGATCCAGCCATGTTCGGCGGTGTCGCTGTGGCGGGCACATCACGATTTCCGGTGAACTTCTCCAACGCCTTGATACGGCTCGAAATTCCGGAAGAGACGTTGACCTTCCTAGCCACCAAGGCCGGAGACTTGGGGCCAGAGGCAGTCTCTAGGTAGGTGCTAGAGACTGACCGGCCCCCAGCGACAGCCTGCAAGTTGGCTGACTGTGTATTAACCGTCGCGCTTGGATTTGAGACCGCTCGATTATTCGCCCGTGTCTCCGGCGAGGACGATTGTTCATCTCCATTGTCTGGGAAAACGGGCGATCCAACGGACACAGGCTTGGCTTCCTGCACCGTAGCACTCTTCAGTTCTTCCATGAAGGAATCATCCGAGAGCAAGTTATCCTCATCAGAGTATTCGGGAGTCGGTACTTGAATGGGTTCGAGGTACGGTTTGCGCTTCTCCCTGCGTTCGGTGACGTGCTGTCTTACCGGGTCTGAAGATTCAGGGGTTGGCGAATCATGCTGCGAGTCGCAGTCAATTGGAGTGATTGAGTTCGAAGAGGCGTCGAGGAGGGTAGTAGATGTGTCAGGTCGCGGGAGGGTTTCAGGGGCAGCGTCCACCTCCTGTTCACTGGAATTAGGAGGTGGATTTGTGGGCGGTGGAGAAACAACAATTTCGTTTTCGGGAGCGTTTCCAGACTTATTCTCGAGTGGGTCATCGACTGCACTAGGCGAGCGCGGGCCATCTTCAGGCTTGCTGTCAATAATTGTACCTGCCGAGGAAGACACAGGGAGAGGGAAATCGTCTGCTATCGGCTCTTTTGCCTTTTCCCCATGGTAGTCATCAGTCTCATCTTCAGCATTATGATTAATATTAGACTTCTCCTTGTCAATGGCAGCAGCAGCAGCAGCAGCAGTAGTAGTGGGTGTAGTAAGAGGTGTAGTAATAGTGGAGGAATGCTGATCGCCATCGGAATCCGAAACCACCATATCCACGGCCGAGTCAGATTTTGATTGGACAGGCGAGATGAAGGATGTCGCCTCATTACGGAGTTCTGCGCTCTGGTCCGGTTTGGTTTTATAATTATCGACAGCTGCTGTTCCCTTGTCGTGGTTGAGCTTTCCGCAACCGACATTCTCTTTGTTTTCGTCGGTTTCGGCAGAAAGTTGATTCTGTTTGCCCTTCCCAGATCGTTTTTCCATCTGCTTTTTACGCTGCTGGAGGGCCTTCATCAGCCGCTCCTTCTCCGGAGACAACCCAGACGTCGATACTGCACTCAAAGATTTGGCCCCAGGTGAAATATGAGGCCGTGAAATCGGCATCGACAGCGGTGGCACCAAGAATGGAGGTGGACCAGGTGTTGCTCCCTTGCTGGGCATGGGAGATGCTACGGGATTGCCCTGAGATCGAGGTCGGAGGGGAGTAGTGTTTGGACTGGGTTTTCGCAAGGCCGACGAACGAACGCCAGCCGGTAACGATGCGACCGGCCGCTTGTCTTGACTTCGAGGACGGCTGCTTGACTCTACCGACGGCCGTGGTCCCCGCTTGACTTTGGGTGTGATGTATGGGGATATATGGTCCAGATCCCGCATCGACGGTCGGGAGGACTGGGAAAGCCGGCGCGAATCAGACGGGGCATTGGAAAGGTCGTCGCGGAAATTCCTGTGCAAGGATGTACGATCGGAGCTGTGGTCGAAGGTAACCGAGGGAGGCGCAGGGAAATTGTCAATGGTCAACGAGACATCGGAGGCATTTGTTTCGGGCTCCGGCTGGTCACTGGCACTGGTCGTTTGGTGCAATCTCGATGGCGCACGCTGGGAAGCCGTTACGGTAGCATCCGATCGTTGGCTGAACGGTCTCTGGGGTGTATCGCTCACTGGGGATTGAGCCTGCGATTCGTCTTTGTCTGGGGTGTTTTCCTCTGCATCTTCCGTAATTTCCATCAGCCTGCGACGGCGGAGGGAACCTGAAGAGGAGGTGATAGAACCTGAAGCAGCATGTAACAAGCACGCGGAGGACAGTGCACTTTCGGTGAGGTCCGTCGATTTGGACAGCGAGAAAACGGTATCGTGAGGAGAGAACTTGTCTAGGACGGATTGGAATTGAACGGTGGTACGGGCTAGCCAGGATTCAAGGGTCGCGTCAGCTTTGAACCACGGGTGCCAACATTCACAGTGTAGGAGCGCTTACCTTTGACCAGTCTCGACAGATCCTCCGGCAAATAGCTGAGAACTACCTTTCTTCGACGATACTGTACGAACCCGTAGAGCGGAGAGGCCTCCTCGTAGCCGTCGATCGCATTTCGCACGTCAGGAACACCGCCAGTGCCTCGACTAAGCAGAGCTACTTCATCCCTTGAGGTGTAATGGAGCAGAAACCTGAATATAGTATCATGCGCGCGTCAATAACTGTTGCTATCCACATCGAATCGTGATCGTTGTGACCGCAGGCGTCCGCGAACGCCCCTAGAAGAGCGGGAAAGACAAGAAACAGAACTTACCATCCTCCAGCTTCAGTCAGAGCGGACTGATAGGCTTCGAGCACGTCAGGATTATCCAAGCCATTCAAAGACATGACGACCAGCAACGCATTGGAACCGAGAGATCGTGGTCGGTACGGACGCGGAGGAAGAGGGAGAACAAGGAGGGGTTGTCGATAAGGAAGAGAAAGAACGAAAAAGCAACACGAGAGAGTGACAAGAAGAAGGAAACGTGCGAAAGAAGCGAACGTGGACCTTCCTGCAAGTATGAAGATGATCTGTAAATTCCTGCAGATATAATAATGTGTCTGTACTCGTATGGGGTAGACAAGTACGGAGCACTTTCCCGGGTTAGATCTCCCACTATTAAAAAAAAAAAAAAAAAAAAAAAAAAAAAAAGAGAGAGATCGGATCAACCGCTATAATAATAAAGAATTAAAAGAGCGAAATGAATGAATGAATGAATGAAATGAAGTGAAAATATGTAATAATGAAAATAGCTATGGGTATGGGTATGGTTGGTCCCTCTCAGGAGGCCATTGATTCGGCGGTTGACTTTCAGGGGCCGAGAAAGAGGAGAGGAACCGTGGGGAGCGCCTTTAATTGGGACCTCCACTGGCTGGGCCGGCAATGCACTGGGACTGGTTGGTTCATTGACTGCTGTGTATCAGATTATGCAGGCCATATTAAAGTCCAGAAATAGAAAGATGTGTTCTACAGGTCGGTGTGTCTGTACAACATACTACTCTGTGTGGACACGGAGACCCGTAAATATACCGGGAATGTCTACAATTCTACAATTCTTATTGTATGAGTGAGAGTCAAACTCAGATGGGTAGCATGCAAATGACGCACATCATGAAGAGTTAATCCCATTTTCTGTCCCAAATCCAAATCATGCCAAAGGTCACGTGGTAATGACCATTTCCTAAAAAAGAACATAGGGCTGCTGGGCTAGTCGTCTTTCAAGCGTAGAAAATCCAACGCCCTGTTAGAAGCCAACGCTTGCTTTGCCTTCATCATATGATACCCAAGCCGATCGAGACCCAATTCCTCCATCTTGGACGCATCAAAGTCCCGTAGAATCTCATAGTAACTTCTCAGGAACAAATCCGTGATCTTAATCACGGGGGCTGCCGTGTTTGTCTTTGGGAGAATTTGCGACTTATGTCAGCCGCAATTGTCAGGCCGATGAGGTAGAATATTCACAGTGCGCTCGCCTCGCTGTTGCAGACCAGACGGGCCTCTTTCTCAAACTTCTAAGGTCACATTTAACGCACCCATCCAGTCATCCGGGTCAAATTTATCGCGGAACTCTTGGTACATGCCGCGATCAAACCCAGATTCATCAAAGCCCTCCTATATGTCTTCGTCTTATTCTTGGGCTTCCTTCATGTGCAGGGCATTTCCTTTTGTGGTCCCGAAGTCTATAAGAGAGCTCCAAACGCGGCGGCGCGATGCCTCTGTAGCCCTCGTTGCCGGTAGCGCTTTCCTATCTTCCTTGATGCTGACAAAAACCACGACATTCAATTTGTTGGGCCCGGCAAGCCACTACTCCTTGTCAACAAGCACATGTTCTTGATCTTCGCAAATCCCCACATTCCCACTTTAAATACTACCGTCGCTTGGGGATCGGAACGCGGCTTCTCTCCGCAGAACACAATAGACGTATCAGGGTATCTCTGCCACGATGGCCGTTTTTTTTTCTTATCATGCTCGCGCACCAAAGCAAATTGGATGCTCGAATCGGGTGTGGGAATTCTCCTTCACTCTGTAAGGAATCCAGTGCAGCAACCTTCTAGAAGAAAGTTGTGTATAACACCGAAGACGTGGCGGCTGGAATGCTCATCACTGGCTTTGACGGCCAGAATGCGCCTTTCGGGGTCGTATGATTCTGTGGGTTTATCGCATTTTTCTCTGTACAGAATTTCCTGCACGCTGTCTGCATGCGTCAAGTTCCATGGCACGCGTACCCTCAAGTCATCCTCTTGGTCTGCTGAGAGATAGCGATGCAATAAATAAACTAGTTGTTGTATGCTGTTAATGAGTAGAGCCTGAGAAGATGACATGATTATCTGTGATGCTTTTTTGTGACTGGCTTGGATTAGATAGATTAGATAGAAGCCAGCAGGCAGCATACATTAGACATCACAGCTACGTGGTTCATGGATGTCTACGAATGCCGGAGGTTGTCATACTTTGTGCTATACAGTGCTATGTCTCGAGGAGCAATGAATCGGTAACTCGATTCGATCAAGGCGAGATTGCTGCGCGAAGTCCACCAAAATGACAGACCATCTACACCACGATTTCTGCTGCTACGCATGATCACCCCCCCTCCTCTTTTCCTTCTTGCTTTCCTTTAATAATTAGACACTGTAAATAATTTATATAGTCAATTAAAAGGGAAGAGATCTAGGTGACCAAAAGTGAAGTAGGATATGTCAGTTTTTTAGGGCCATTTTGGAAGAACGGAGGGCGCCGATGCGGGGATCGGATCCCCGCGATAAGCAACAGCATACTTAAATGCTACCAAAGACCAAAGCTCTCCTTGTTCAGTGAAAGAAGGAGCAATAACCGCCCAATCTGCCAATATGCCGTCGGCCCTTCCTTCGCCGTCAAGCATATTGTCTCTCCCCCAGGAACAGCAGTTCCAAGTCCTCGATACTCTCTTTGAACCGTCACCGGAACTCCACGCCATCACAGGCCCTGTCCTAGCATCCCAATCATTCGCCTCATATGCTAGCCTGGCTGATGCCGTGGGAAGTCAATTTCTAGCGCTATCTTTGTCACAGTCGCTTTCGGACAGGCAGACGCTCATGAAGATCCTGGGATCGCATCCTCGACTGGGCAGACCACCCGCCCAAGTTACAGAACATTTAAGCGAGTTGAGCAGAGAGGAACAGGTCAATTTGAACACATCAGCTGCGGAGGACCAGGTGGAACGTTTGAGTCTGTTGAATCATGAATACGAAAATAAATTTCCTGGGTTGAGATTTGTGTATGTCAGAATCATTTCCCCCAGATATGAGCAGTTCTAATCGCATTTCCATGCAGAACATTTGTCAACGGTCGAAACCGAGATTTGATCATGGAAGAAATGCGCCAGAGGATTGACCGTGGTGATCAAAGCCGGGAGATTGAGGAGAATATCCAGGTTAGTTGTTCGTGTCGCATCACCATTCGGATACTGATATCTGGACCACAGGCCATGTGTGATATTGCCAAAGACCGTGCGAAGAAACTACAGCAACCAGCGAATATATGACATGTCCGATAGGGTTGTATATACCGCGCTGTTATGGCGATCCTTTCAAGCTCCCCGACCATAGAGTGGCCTTGCTTTGCATTTCTGTCTCATATCTGAGACAGCTTTTAATGGCCTCTAAACCCCATAATCCATCCCCTCTAGAGTATTCTCTGTACTCTATAGATCATGTCTGTATGCGGTAGAGTAGAAGTAAACCGAAAAGGGACGCTTTGATGTCATCCATTTCCACATCCGGCTGGTGCCGCTTTTTCCATTCCTCGCTCTTTTCTCGCACTCCGAAATTTACTTCCTTTATTCGATCCTGGGACGCACCACTGGCAATCATCAACCTTTAATCTCCCTCTCTTTACTTAATCGACGCATCCTTCCACATGTGTAGCCTCCAGTGTCCTCCTCAGCATGGCCGAGGCTTCCACTGCTGGGCCGCGCGCTTCGTCGGTCCCCGCCATCATCACAACCACCGGTTCTGCTAGTTCGTCCTCGCACATCACCAGGGATCCGAGTAACCAGAGTGGTGCTGGCAAGCACCAGTCTGACCCTGCGCGGACGTCACAATCATCTCCTATCGGTACGTTGAAACTTGTGCGCCCTGTCACGGGATGTGGAGGTTTCGTCGGGAGCTCCAAGGGATATCCCGGTCAGAGACCAATGAACTACGCGGGGATACTATCGTGCACTAAAAGGATGACCAGCTGACTGACTGATTGTATTGTTCCGGGTTTAGGTCCTACATCGGCGGATGTCGCATCAGGATCGAGCAGTACTCAACAGCAACAGGCGCGAAGGAACCACCGAACTACGCAAAGTCTTAGTTACTCGAACCATCGGGCCAGTGGCTCTATCACGAGATATTCTGCGTCCTCTCCTACTGTTGTGGACCCCGGTGCGGAGTCCAGTGCGATAGACCCGTTATCTCAAGTGAGTCACCGTTTACGGAGGAATCAGCCTTGTTGGGTTTCGCTGATGGATACGATCTTGCGCCCGGCCTATAGCATATCATTCAGCGCACGCACACCCAAAAATCCATTCCTTTGAAGTTGCTAGGGAGAGCGCCTTACGAGGCGGAGGCCGGTGGCACCGACAACTACAATGCAGACGAGCAGGGCTTAAACCGACGGGATTCGGTGCCACATCAGAGACCTCCTGAGAAGAAGAAGAAGTGAGTTGGCGATGCATACCCGTTTTCCGTCTATGGTGCAGGTCGGGTGACGACCGCTTGCCACCCTGCACAGTGACATGCGCGTGCTCCTTGATTGATAGCTCTGCGCTTGTCCGTCTCACCAACACGATCTGTTCGCTGACTTTAAATTATTTTCCCTTAATTACAGAAAAGGCGTCTCCTTCCTCAGTCGCATAATCCCGGGCAAGAAAAAGGACCGGCATTCCGATGCTGAAGACGATGTATCTGAGTCCGAGAACGGCCGCATGGACCCCGACGCCGCTGCACAACCTATAGGTTTCATTCCTCGATTCCCGCGGCCACCGAAATACCTTAAAGTTCGCGCGCACTATAAGAAGGAAAAGACGTTCGACCGGGTTTTCGTCGCGCAAGAACTCCAAGGTGCTGATGGTATATTGGGTGCGGCGGATAAGGATGTAACCAGTTCGGTAGCTGGGTCCGAGAAAGGTCATGATACTGGGAAAGCTGTATGGTCGCTTGTCTTCTCCAGAGATGGGAAATACCTTGCAGCCGCGGGACAGGATCGAAAGGTTCGTATCTGGGCCGTCATCGCTTCGCCCAGCGACAGAGACGAGGTCGAGAGCGATGAAGAACAGGATAACGACGAGCTTCCCAAATTGAAAGCACCAGTGTTCCGGTCGAAGCCTATTCAAGTGTTTGAGGGACATACAGGCAGTATCCTAGACCTGAGCTGGAGCAAGGTACGACCTGTCCGTTCTGTTAGGTTTTTTATGCTAACAGTGCGCCCAGAATAATTTCCTTCTCTCTTCATCTATGGATAGGACGGTCCGCCTGTGGCACGTAACTAGGCCCGAATGTCTATGTTGTTTCCAGCACAGCGATTTCGTCACGTCGATTCAATTCCACCCCCGCGATGACCGTTTCTTCCTCGCAGGATCCCTTGATACCAAACTTCGACTTTGGAGTATCCCGGATAAAAGCGTTGCGTTTGTGGTATCGGTACCAGCAATGATTACATCGGTCGCTTTCACTCCAGATGGCCAGTACGCAATAGCCGGGTGTTTGAACGGACTATGCATCATATACCAAACGGACGGCCTAAGACCAGTTGACCAGATGCATGTACGGTCTGCGCGCGGTCGTAATGCGAGGGGTAGTAAGATAACGGGAATCGACACCATTTCTCTTCCTCCTAACGACTCCAATGCGGATGTCAAGCTCTTGATTACCAGCAATGATTCTCGCATCAGACTCTATAACTTCAGGAATCGATCCCTAGAGGCTAAGTTCCGTGGCAACGAGAACACTTGCAGTCAAATTCGCGCGTCGTTCAGTGACGATGGGAAGCATATCATCTGTGGAAGCGAGGATCGTCGAACATATATCTGGCCCACTAATACCACTGAGAAAGACATGGATAAACGTGCGGTTGAGGTATTCGAAACACACTCGTCCATGGTGACAGCGTCCATGATGGCCCCTGCAAAGACCAAACAGATCCTGGGTTTCTCAGAAGACCCGGTATACGACATTTGCAACCCACCGCCAGTGACGCTGGTAGGCAAAGGGGATGAGTCCCCAGAAAAGGACCGCGATTCGGGGAATCGGAACTCCGGTGCTAGCAAGCAGGCGCAAGAGTCGCCTACGTATATTTCCCGTTCTACACACCCGGATGGCAACATCATTATTGTAGCCGACTATTCGGGGAGGATCAAAGTTCTGCGACAGGACTGCGCGTACCAGAAGCGGCGCTATGCTAACTGGGATGCCCACTCCACCATCTCCAAAAGGCTCTTTCGACGGTCCAACTCGACGCGCCATAGCCTGGCATCGTCCATCGGAAAAGACTCACACAAGACCCCCTCCGAACGGATCCTATCCTGGCGCAATTCCGTCATCCGACATAATGCAGGCCACGCCAACGGTGACCGCACGCCCGCAAGGACGCGGAGCCCTTCAGGAAAATCCATCCCTAATGCTTCACGCTACTCAAGTCCAGGAGGTGGGTCGAGGCCACGTACCGACTCTCGCTCTTTCACCATGTCTCCATCACCCTCAACATACAAAAACTCCGTCGACAGCGCACGCTCCAGTGCCGAAACATCGCGACAAAACACTAAACCTCGAAAACGCGAACCTATCCCCAAATCTCCCTTGCCATTGTCATCCACTGCAATTGTCGCTAGCGGCGAAGACCACGATAACCCATTATGGATCCAGGGGGAACAAAGCAACGCCTATTGGAATAAGATCACGCACGACGCTTTTGCAGCGCAGAACCGCCAGTCTCGTCTACTTGCTCCGGATCGACTACCTGTTCCTGACACAGATCGAAAATTGAGTGTTGGGAGCGAGTTCTTGAGCAGCGATTATGCATCGTCAAATGGGGAAGGTGATGACGGGGATGTTCTGAAGTGCGATAATTGCCAGGGGACGAATTTCCAAGCGAGTAGGGGGAGGAATGGGAAGCAGAGGCTGGTTTGTGTAACATGTTTGAGGCCGGTGAATTCGTGATTTTGGTTATCTTTTTTACATCTCTTTATATTCTGCAATTTTGGTTTATGAATCGTTGGCATGAACGGTGTTTTGGTTAGATTGTGATGAGATACCTGTACATGGCATGGTGTTTGGAATAACGTGGTTGGCACGGAGTATATTACACGAGAAATGTGACATATGGCATTACGTATATACGCAAGAGAACATTCATTTCAATTGATTCAATTTACATACTCGTGTCTTCAGTCCTAAGCCCTCAACCATTTTACAATCGACTTTCCCTTCCCGTTCTCGGACCGACTCCACGCCAGCTATCATCAGGTTGGAAGTTGTTGGTCAAGTCTGAAGGGACCACGAGAAGACCAGAACTTATAACGTCGTGAGGAAATAGCCACATAGTCAGAGATCTCTTGTTTGTGAGGCCAACTATATGCAACAGACAAACATCTACATAACCTATGTGTCCTTGGAACCTTTAGTCTCACTGCCACAACATTTCTCTATATCCAGTTTCAGATTATTGGAACAGCTATTGGCTGATTCCTGCATGTTAAGCCATGTCAAGATTTTGCCGTATTTATACAACAACTTGAACTCGCCATTCAAGATGCCCTAAACCATGTATGCTATAACGAGTTCGAGTCGGTTGAAGGATGGGACATCAAAGAAAACGAAGTCTAAGTTAACTATATCCACCTCCAGCTTGTTGGGGGTCCTCAAATACACGTACATATCAATTTGTATTCATTACGCCCCAGCCCCAGGAGCTTGGGAGTGCGGGTTTTAGGTATATATCTAATTGTAATCAAATGGAGTGCCTATTTTTGCAATTACGTGGAATATTCTAGGTAGATCATGCTCCATTTATGTGATCATATAGAATACGGCTATGTTGCCTTCCTGTGTTCTAGTTCTTTTCATCCATCTATCATCCTTTCTATCGTTCATCTATCATTTAACCGCTGGCACCGGAATACCACCAGAGACCATATGTTCTGTTACATTGCTGTCTCCTTCGGCCATCCTTTTGACCATTCCTTTGACCATTTACTCGACCATTCACTGGTGCTTATCCCTGGGAAAGGCCCAACGAAGGTGGCCAATGGACCTGCCACCCGAGTCTCTAGGTGGTTGCAATAACGGTTTCCGCTTGCCGTAGTCGTCGGCCTCCACAATCCAACCCATAGAAATCTGTATCATATCGCACAATTCTTGAATGGCCGCAGACAGCTTGCTAGGTTCAATGCACTCTCGCCTTCTTGGTCCTATCATGTCCGCCAACGAACCTGGGCGAATTATATATTCTACCAGTCCATGATCCCTCGTAGCACAGCACATCCGAAGTATGTCTAACAAACGATCCTCCATATCAGGGTACATCTCTCGAAGACATGCTCTACTAACAAAATGCACCGCAATGCAAGTCATCACAAAATCCCATTCACCTTCATCGACAGCCTGCTTTACCAAGCTAGCATGGAGCCTTACGCCGCCGATAAGAGCTGTTGCACTTTGACATAGACGGCTCTCTTCGTCAATGTCTACTATGGATTCTATCATCCGCGTAAACCTGACTGGCGCCCCATAACCACCTTGCGTCAACGCATGTTCAAGAAACAGGGTCATAAGTGGGTAGTCCTTTTGATCCTGTGCAATGGAAATTGGCGTTAACTCATTGCTTCTCTCCGCGAAGAGATCTGCCCCATTATCCAGAAGAGCTTGACAGACTTCTCTGCGGTGAGAACGACACAATTGGGTATTATGTTCATTTGCTAGACAGGTTGACTGAAGGGGAGTCATGCCATTAAAATCCGCAGTTTTGGCATCAAATCCGCAGGACAGCAAAACCCCCACAAGATCTGGTCGACAGGCTGCTGCTGTTTTGTGTATGGCAAGCCTTGTATAAGACTATAAATTGACGTGCTAGGGTCATCAGAAACGGGGGGAGGGGGACCATAGTGTCTAGATAGTGTCTCAGAGTTGCTGGGTTTCCCTTGCCTGCTGCAAAAAGCAATGCATTAATCCGTACCCTTTGTGATAGGTAATTGAATCCCTGATGATACTCAATCCGTTTGAGGATTATAGGATTGCTCTAGGAAAGACTCATGTAAAAGGGAGAAGAGCCATGTCGATTTACAATGAATGGATCCGCACCTCGTGCAAAAAGTGGTAGAACTAGGTTAGTCTGTCCGGTGTCCATTGCCAACATGAGTGGTGTGCTTCCATCAAAATATTTTGAATCAGTATAGTTCCCTCCGTCGAGCAGCATCTTCATCATTGATCTATACCTTTGTCGAGTAGCAAAATGCAGTGGAGTACCAATACTGTTCTTGCCATTATCCAAGTCTGCACCAGCAGTGATGAGCGCCTGTAAAGCCTGGCTCGTACCATTGCACACTGCCTCGTGGGTGGAAGTATGTCCCATGTTGTCTTGGTAATTTATATCAGCGGTGGCTTGAAGGAGAATGTTCACCGCGGATTCAGAGCGGCAGAAATGCAATGGAGTCTTTCTGTTGATATCTTGTGCATGAACCGATGCACCTCTACTAAGAAGCAGTCTCATGATTTTGTTGCATGAGTCCATTGCTGCCAGGCGCAATGGCTGATAAGAAGACAAGTCTAGCCTCCTGATTGCGGCAGATCAAAATCCAATATAGATTCCACGATACCGATGCATTCTTCGCTATCCCGACTCCAGCCAACCTGGATGGCAAAATGCTGTGGGCATGTATGACAGTTCTCATTTCCAGGCGTTTGTAATCTGGTGCACGCAGATTCAGAGTATTTTTCGAATAAGATGCGTAAAGCGTCGATATCTTGGTGATCAATCGCCTGGGTTATGGCTGTTCCCCCTTGCGAAGATGCCGTCGCAGTAGGTCCCGTGAAAAAAGCTGTATCGTTTTTCGCAGGTTGTGAATATAGAAGCGACCATGCTTCGCAAGTCATTTCGCATTGGTTTGTGTGCACAGAGCACAGGCAATTGGGAACTTTCTCAGGGAAAGTGTATTTGCTAAAACGGAGCAAAATGGTCCTGTTCAACTAGAGATCTTTTGAAGAAGAAGCTCTATAATATCCGGCATAATGTAATGCACTGCAAGATGGATTGGAGTCCATTCTGAAGGCATATTGCTTTCAGTCTCGCAAAACATGGGTTTGAGCGGATCAGCACCAAGGGCCAGAAATGTCCTGACAGCTACAGTATTGCCAGCTGCAATAGCACTTGCAAGTGGCGTTCCGTAAATTCTGAACGGCCATTAGGGGTGAAGGCGGCCTATTAAGCAGTATGGCTCGTTCAATACAGATTCGTCCAACCAACTTCCCGAAACAGCCTCCAATATTTTCTCGTGGATGTCTCCGGCTCCTGAACAAGATAGCCAGTAAAGTGATGTTGGGCCAGTTACCAATTTTTGTGTTTTCAACAAGTTCTCGACGATGGCTGAATATTCACGACTTGCTGCCTGAATGATAAGTCCGGTGAGAATGGCCACCACTATACTGACAAGTTCGAAATCACCATACTGGACGGCAAGTTCGAGCAAATTGTACCGTTTGAGTGATGGCCCTAATGTAAAATAAGTAGGGTTGTTTATAATTTTCGTGTTTATGAACCCTGATACCTCGCATACGCAAGCTTCTCGGAATTCGGAGTAGTTGTTGAATTCGGCAATTCCTGTACCGCAATGCATGGTTATCTTTCTTTCATTTTTAAAGCTATGAACCATGCAAAACCCCAAAACAACGGACTGACAATTAGTGTTTTGTAGAGGAAATGGGCTCTGCGAACATGCATACAAGATGCGCGGTCCCAAGGCCTCAGCAACCGGGTGGCCCTCATCGATGGCCTGACGAAGGAACTGGGCTGCCTTGCCATGATCCCTAGATGCTCCAAATGCATTGATATAGCACAGATCAGTCTGAAAAGCTGCAACACCATCCTTCTTTGGTGAATGCTGTCCCAAGGAGACGGCCTCGGGATATTATAGTAGTTTTTGTTGCTGGGGCCACGGGATATAGGAGTCATCTTTCTTCTCGAACATTGAGTATTGCATTCTTCCCGGTTTAGTATGCGCCGCGAGTGTTAACTTCAAGGAACGTCCACCGGGTGCCTTATGCCATATTTCCATTATAGGCAGTTTGCTTAGATCTGCTATTCTCCTGGTTGGGTCGGTGTGCAATGTGCGCTCGAAAAGACCCCGAAGCATCACTCTTTCAAGCCCAACGCCTGGAAATTCCATGGTGTTTACAAATTGCTGCGTCGTTCGCGAGAGACCCTCGAGACCGTCTATAGCCTCGAAATCGAAGTTTTGGTTAATGCTGAGACCATTCATTGTTGAGACACGGGTTCTGGAAATGGATGCCGTCCATGCTATCGTATCTGTCTCCGAGCGATTGTTTGTCGCGCCTGTCGAAGCTTTTGTTAGGCGATAAGAGAAAGATTTGCGAAATTCATCACTCACGGCGACGCCAAAGATCATCAAGTTCTGTGGACATTGTCACCTACAAGGATGAGTGATCTATTTGAAGAGCATAGTAGACAATGTCTGGACATAAACAATAGAAATACTTATATCCCTGAAGGACTTGAAAAGAAGGCTGAACAGTACATGACAAGACTGAAGTCCTGTATGATTCGCCAGGGGCTCACCATAACATCAACGCCGATCTATGGTGGTCACCGTGGTCTCCTGGGAGATACATAAACAGGGTTAGTTTCAAGGTAAACAACATTTTCGCTTTTAATATACCACGTCGTCCGTCGTAATGCCCGTTGTACTTGGTCATTTCGCCGCTGGATTGGTGATCAGCGATGTCAATGCCCTTACCGGGCTAGGAGAAAGGCTGGGAGAGATCATATCGGATGCCAATACCTTTGAAAATAAAGGGTTGAGCACGCCTACTGAATAGGCTATCATCTCTAACTTCCCCGGCATTGTATCAGGACTCGGCCATTTTTCACAATCTGGTCCACGTTGAGAACATACAGACTCAACTCTTGAAGAACCTCCTTTTCTCTGAATGCTCCGTGAGTCCGGGAACATAACACATCAACCATCTGCATACTGCTAGACTAGATCTATGACGGCAAAGGAGTATCCGAACAAATTTTGGTCCGGACATTTCAACAACAAATTGATATCTTGTGCAATGAAATCAAGTCAATTCTCCAAGAGGGCGTCGAGTTACTAAAACGCCGGTATGGCTTGCCTTCCGAGCCAGCTCGCCCCGTTACTTCAAAGTGCCAGCAGAAATCATCATATTCTCGCTCCGCTCAAGTCCGTTGTTGCCAGCTCTGTTGAAGTGGACTCTCCGCGACAAGAGACGCTTCGAGGCTATTCTACATTCATAAAAATATCGAAATTCAAGACAGCAGCAGGATTTTCGACACCAAGTGATCGATATGACTGAGCAGGCAGCAAGCCATGTTTAGATCAACCCTGGCGTTCAAGCTCTTTGATTCGAGGTAGACGTCGAATACAGAAATTCAAAGGTGAGGCGACCCAGCCTCGTTCAATTCTTGACATGCCCTAACTGGCTTTAGTCTGGCTTTCCTATTAAGAGGTCGAGTCTGTTGTTTTGGTTCTGCAATCATTATTGCATTTTGCACTGTGGACTGGTTTAGGCGTAAGGCTCAAGGCGTTATGGCGGTTTGAAATCCGCAAAATAACCATGAAAACGACATTCTTGTACATCTCCAGTAAAAGCGAACGTGTTGGGGCTCTGTGTACGTGCCCTGAAGCGTCCTCGACGCTCCCTGATCACCCAGGAATTTATCATGTGAAGCTATTATAAGGTCCATAACTAGTAATTTGGAGCTACTCACAGAATAATGCTACAGATACTCCGTACTCCGTACTACTGTTAGTACTGCTGCTGTATGCCAAGTATACTGCCGGCCGTCTCCGCCAACCCCCGACGATTCGCATCTCCACGCTGTCTGTCCGCTGTCCGCACTCACTTCATAGTTGTGAACACTGCCATTTATATTGTTCCCCCCTCTTTTCTTTGACTTTGGTGTGGGATTATTTGATAATTCTTCTCCGTCACCTCCTTCCGGAAAGAACTAAAAAGACAAAATGCCATACCTCCCCACACCCCAGGCATACCTGGAACAATCTGCTCTACTACTCCAGGCATATCCGGATAGCGTACGCCTCCCTGCTCCAACATGAAATACAATCCGTTATATAAGAATGAATATGCTAATGCAAACACCAGAGAATAACAACAAAATACTCCTTCCCGTCCCAACGCCCAACAGCTCTCAAAAAGGCCCAAGCCCGCCAGTCTCAACGCCAACAACAGCAACAACAACAAACACAAGATGCCTCCACAACACAATCAACAACACAAACACCCGTCGCAACCCTCACATTAAAAACCTACAACCCCTACGCCGGAATCTGTCTGCAGTACAGGACGAATAAGGCCGCTGAGGTTGGCCGGTTGATTACGAGTCTGGGGAAGTTGGCCGGCGGTGCGGATGTTGCTGCTCTGGGGTTGGGGGCTGCGGCTGCGACTGCTGGTGCTGCGCCTGGAGGGGATGTTGAGATGACCGATGCGCCTGTTGCGACTGAGGAGGCGGCACCTGCGCAGGCGGCGGGGCAGCAAGCACAAGGGAAACCAGATGCTGGGACTAAGGGTGGGAAGTCGAAGAAGAAGGGTAAGGGGAAGCGGTAAAGTGGGTTGGTGGGGTGTTGCTGTTATCGGGTGGGAGAAAATTAGGGTTCTGTTTGGGTAATGAATGAATTGAGAGGGTCTCAACCTGTGCTTGAACGATGCTGTCTGGGGCCTCGATGAGGAACGATACCAGCCGGGCAATACCTGTTCAACGGCTGCACGGATATCCCCTTAGTCCTAAAACCAACCGGGTTTTTCCTCTTGGGTATTACCTCGAGGTAACAAAAAGACAGCCATGACGAGGTAGGCGAGCCTGTATCTGTACATACGAATGAAATCTCGTAAAGACCTGTTTTCTCGGTTCATCTTGGTAGTTGAAGGTACCACATTTGTACAGAGTAGCCTAAGAGACAAACGTATTATCCAACTGAATATACATTGATATATATCTAAATACATTTTGGCATCGCCCATTATCCATCAATCCAAACAAAGGACAGGACACAAAAAACAAAAAAGATGACCACCGAAACCATAACGCCAAACCCATGCGTACCTCCAAAAATCATTCATAAACATACAGAAATATTAACGCTCATGGCACGAGTCAGGACTTTGGCGGCGAGAAAATAAAAGTCCGGATATGACACGCAACCGGGTATATAAAGATTTTTTTAAGCCACCTGTTTAGAAGTCGTCGTCGAAGCTGAGACCAGCGTTGTTGGTGGTGGCGGACTGGGACTCTTCCTTCTTCGTGCTGCCCATGACACCAGCCTTCTGGTAGTCACCAACACGCTTCTCGAAGAAGTTGGTCTTGCCAGCCAGGGAGATGTTCTCCATGAAGTCGAAGGGGTTGGTGGCGTGGTAGTACTTCTGGTTGCCCAACGCGACCAAGAGACGGTCGGCAACAAACTCGATGTATTGGGCCATGAGCTTGGAGTTCATACCGAGCAGGGCGACGGGGAGAGCGTCTGTCAGGAACTCCTGCTCAATAGCGACAGCCTCGGTGATGATGTCCTGGACCACCTGTTTGCTGGGGCGGTGGTTCAAGTGAGAGAACAGCAAGCAAGCAAAGTCAGTGTGGAGACCCTCGTCACGAGAGATCAGCTCGTTGGAGAAGGTCAGACCGGGCATTAGACCACGCTTCTTGAGCCAGAAGATAGAGGCGAACGAGCCAGAGAAGAAAATACCCTCAACAGCGGCGAAGGCCACGAGACGCGAAGCGAAGGTGGACTCCTTGTCCTGAATCCATTTGATAGCCCAATCGGCCTTGCGCCTAATGCAAGGGACTAAATCACCAGTTAGCAACTTGTTAATCGTATAACCATGGTATTTGGGAACATACTGGTATCAATAGCGTCGAAGAGGTAGGTGCGCTGCTTGGGCTCCTTAATATAGGTGTCGATGAGGAGAGAGTAGGTCTCCGAGTGGATGTTCTCGATCATGATCTGGAAGCCGTAGAAGCAACGAGCTTCAGGGACCTGAACTTCACCGCTGAAACGCTCGAGCAGGTTCTCGTTGACAATACCGTCGGAGGCGGCAAAGAAGGCAAGGACGTGAGAGATGAAGTAGCGCTCGTCATCGTTCAGGCGGTTGTTCCAGTCGTGCAGATCTTTGGACAGGTCAATCTCTTCGGCGGTCCAGAAAGAGGCTTCAGCCTTCTTGTACATTTGCCAGATCTGTAGTAGAGATAGCCGAATGTTAGTGTGATGCGCGTGGGAAATTTCACTTTACGCGTTGACGCGTGTCGCCACTGACCTCATGGTACTTGATGGGGAAGAGAACAAAACGGTGAGGGTTCTCTTGCAAGAGAGGCTCAGCAGCTTCAAGCTCCTGAATGGTAGGCTCCGTCTTGGGAGCTTGGACGGGCTTCTCGGCGGGCTTGGTGACAGTCGCGTCGATGTCGGCAGCAGGCGCGTTCTCCTTACCGGCGAAGTTGAGCTTCTTGACGGGGGAGTCGCTCATCTTGAGGTTCTCTAGGGAGGATGCAGTCTATACGCAATTGTTCAATTAGCAAGTACCCTTGATTTCAGACGCGTCGCCGTGAGAGGTGACAGATGCAACCTCACGTACCTGCTTGGAGGGAGTGACCTGAGCAGCCATTTCGACAGAAGTGATTAAGACAATTAGAATAGAAGAGACAGGTTAAACAAGAATGCTTCAGCAGAAAACAGTACAAGAGAAGAGAGAGGGCTTGATTGAAGGGAATGGGATGAAGAACGACGAGGGGGGAGAAGGGCAGAATTAATACTTGCAGCGGAAACGAAAAGCGCGACGCTCCGTCGCGGTCACGTGAATAGGCGCGCTTCGCGAGAAGGTGGCTGGTTACCCGATAAGGTTAGTGCGCGTCACGAACATCTCGATATTTGCCCTTTTGTTTGCCTTGGTGACTCCATCAGGCCATCGGTCCAGCTGTAACCCGGATTGCGATCGTCAATTGACTGGTTTGTCTCCAGGCACCACTGAGAATTCCCCACATGCCTCGTAACTTGGCGTGGTAGCTGGGCTACGAGGGGTATGCGCGGTTGCTGATTGATCTTATCTGATCCGATGCCAGCGCGTCTTCAGCACCTACAGAATACGTGCCTAGACGCATGTAGATACATTTAGACACCAATTGAAAGGTAATTTCAAGGACAACACCTATACGGACTTTCAATGCAAATGCTCTCCTGTATATCCTAAAATTGAGCCAATTGATGCTGACACAGCCAATGCTACACGACTTCACGCGTCTGTCAATAAAGCACCACAATTCCCCACTCCTGAAATCGGACCTTGGCTTCTTCGGAGTCATGATTAATGATCAACTAATCCCGGCCCAAGCTCTGCAACAGCTGAATGAGAATTGGGTACGACGCGTTCCATTCCACGCGACCATTGGACAACCCCGACCCTCCGGGCGGATTTTCGGATAAAACACGTCTTTCTGGGGTCAAAATAAATACATCTAGACTTTTATATTGGAGCAAGGTCTCTGCGACGCCGGAGCATGACGTTATCCATCAAAGAAACGCGTCTTTCGCGTGAGACCTTGCTCCTTGCTCTTCTCTTTATTGCATTCGCTTGGGTTCTACATGGCTACCAACTCTTTGAGCTATTTCGGTCCCTTACATATCCCTGCTGTCAGCCTGTTGTGTGTGGAGCTCAGAATCCTTCGCGATTGACCGCGTTTTCCATGCATATGGCTGCATGAGCTGTCAAAAGCCCAACCAGAATGTTACTGATTGATTATCCAGTTCCCCTTACTTGAAAGGGTTAAAGGAGACAGGTTCAAGGGATCCGATTGTATATACAGCCGTCATGGCGTGGCCCGTACTCATTATCACTTCAGTGTCTTCATTTCTCTAAGCTAATTATCGCACTTCGAAGTATATCTCTCCACTAAAACACCAACCCTAATGCAGCACTCGCGATCAAGCTGTTTTCTTACGCGCAGACTCGACAGCCCCTCTGCTTCCGTGATAGACGATGATACGCGGCTTTAACGGGCCGAATCTGTCCGGGCAGTCTTTCGAGAATAGCAATTAGTTCTGGTGCATCGTATTGAACATACTTATTATCACAGGGCATTCTCGTGTGTATGGGGGGCTTTTCCGTAGGAGAAAAGTCATCTCAAATCAAACAGTGGCTGCCGGTATCTCGTTGCTGATTAGCTGAGCATTACGCTGGGGAGCACATATTCTGCTAATTTCTCTTATTAGTTCTTTCTAATAACCAGTCAGTAAACAGCAGATACATTCCGATAGCTTGTACATAACATCATAGTCACTGATCGCCAGTGGGCTTTCCGATCGGCAAACCCAGTCTCAATCTCACGTATGAATTCCCAAGATGTGACATCCAGAAAAAGAATGCATAAAACCAGTTATGAATTTTAATGGCATTTGTACTAGGTATAGACCTTGATGCCAAGGGTCTAACTCCATGAAAATATTCTTTGCGAGCTATGTTGAGTCATGTGTGGTCGTTTCCTTTGGCTACTGAAAATATGCCTCGATCTCGATGGCCAAGCGCGTTCAACCAGATTCGGTTCTTTTGTCGGAATCTGCAGTAAGATGAGTTTGCCTTGACAGGTCGACGGAAGATATCAACAGATGACTTGGGTTCGAAGCATGAAAAGAAAATAGGAAGAAAGTCTTCTCAGGGGCATATTCACTATCTCCATTAAAAAAAAAAAAGCGATATAGTGAATGGCACCAACAAATATGCCCGTAAGCATGTACAACTGCAGTCTATGTACAAGACCGACAGGGCAATGCAACCTGACAATCCAAAACCAAACGCCCCCATTCTATCCATATATAAATGTGCTATGTAACAAATGAGCGCTGCTTGGAAACAAATGCATTGCTCGGTAGGCACAACCGGGATGGTATATTTTATATGCCGCTATTGCGTTTTGGCAAATATAGATATCTTTATAGTCGCGACTTGAGGTCGTCGGAGAGGAATCGGTCCTCAGCCCGACGCATCAGTCTGTTGGTTTGTTCGGCTAAACTAAGGGTCAAGATCTGGTATGCATTAGCTGTGAATTGCTCCAAGACTGAGAGAATAGTAACTTACAGTGTGAGGCAAGATACGGGCCAAGTGGGCAAAGAAACCCTTGTAAATGGCGAATAGACCTTCGGTCTTAACTGTCTTAGACAAGCAGTCGAACACACCCTTATAGAGATCACCTGTCTGGTTGTACATTCTCGACATGATCGTATCTGGAATCCAAGGTTAGCCGTACTCCACGACGCTTTGCGAGACTTAAAACGTACCAGGAGGGTGCATAACGCAGGCGACAACAAATCCAGATGCTGCACTACTGGCCAAGTGCAGGCCCGGACCCTCTTCCATACCCAAGTGTCTTGTCAGACGTCTCTTGGCGAAGAAATAAGTGGGCAGCTGGACGGAGCTTCCGAAACCAGTCCGCACCATAGCAGCACCGACGCCACGGTACAAACCACCCATACCCTCCGACTTGAATATTTGGCTTAGTCCATCAAACGCGTTGCGATATTGATGTTGCGTGCCGACAGGAAGGAAAGGAGAGTAGGATTGAAGGCGAGTCTTGACGAGGAAGAAGGGAGAACCGAAAGCGGCACCGATGATACCTGACGCAGCACCAGCGAAGACATTGATTCCGAGGGACTGAACGTTGGGATCTTTATAAATGGCATTCGTGGCACCAGTGCGCAGGGGTTCGTAGAACCCTAACCGGCAGCCGTTGAGGAGAACTTGGTAGATGTACTAATATGAGCCTTTTCGTCAGCCTTGCGTTTTTCAAGATTTGTACCGTCGCATATTGCCATGTCACATACAGCAGTCCCAATTCCCCGGAACAGTCCCCGAGGGCCCTCATTCTGCAGAATAACCTTAATGCCGTGAAGCACACCCCGGTATTTCTTGGCTTGATCGGCTTTAGATTGTAATTCTCCCTGCAATTGCAACCTGCGATCGCATCTCCGATAAGCCTCTGTGTGGCGTAGAACCGACATCGGGGACAGGTACGCACCGAATCTTCACGGTCTCGAAACTATGGGTGACTGTGACCGCTCCGCATGCTGCAATGCCGCCGGCAATGAAGGCCCTGTCGCGTGAGATTGGCGTGTCAGCATTTGACCGAGTTTTTGAGTCGGTACTTGAGCTATAACGTACCCTGTGGTCGTCGACATGATCTTGACTGGGAGAATGAAAAATTCTCTTGTTCTTGGAGGCGACTGAGGGGAAGTTGCGGAGAGTTGAATCGGGAATCGGAGGTGGATCGGAGAGGATATGTCCCAAATAGGAAAAAAGTGGAGAGCACAATTCAGCCGCGGCCAATGCTACCGAGCCGATTGTAAACTCTCTACTGCATACAGGGATACAATTTCAAGTTAAGGAGCTATACAAGAGCTTGGTGTTCAGTTACCACTTTGCTGGTATTCCTAATTACAATATATCTGCCTAACAGTCACCAGTTGCAATGCCTAGGCTGAAATATCCTGTGCTTAACGTCCTCCGTTATCGCTCCTGCTGTCTACTAAATATTTACGAACCAACTTCTCACAGCTATACAGCTATCATGACCCGAGACAGATGACCAAATAACAGAAATTCAAATTTCGCTGTATTGGTACCAGATTCCGTGGTACTGTGTGGGCGTTCTCTGAACGCGGTCCGACCTACAAAAGAGAGGACGAGGGCCGGAGAGATCCTTGAACAATGATTTCCGCATGCACCGGCGGGCTCTGGAGAGCTTTCGTGACTTTTCAGATATTCTAACACCTCAAGACCAAATCGCCCGGTGCTACCGCTTCATTCTGTCTAGAGCCACAAAGTGGTGGAACAATAACTTACCCAGATTCCCAGGGGATACTCCCCTTGCAAGATAATACATTGCCAGCGTATGTCCCCATTCCTTGAAGCCACTAGGAAGCTCCTCATCAGCAAATACTGTCCATGGAGAAGTCGGCGGGCGGTCTTCTTGGGCAATGCTCATAAGGATTGCATGGTGAGACCGTGTCTAGGCAGACTACAGACACCAACACAGGCAGACAAGCCCCCACCGTTTGAGATATTTTCATTACTAAACTGTCCTTTATGCAGCAATATGAAAGAATAATTGCAGGAGTCCTAGCTATGCTACATTGTATTGGCCAATGGACGAAAATGATGTCAAATTTGTCTCGGCGCCTCCAGTCGAACGTCGGTCATCACATACAATCAATGTTGAACGTTTTGGGTGGGCATACTATGTGGATGTTTAACTTCTATCTTCGCCGGAAGATGCCGATTAATGTGTCAGGTGTAGAACAGGCTGTCAGAGCACTTTGGTGTGGTGATATCTTCTTCTCTCGGCCGGGTGAGTCTTCCCTTTAGTTAGCATTTAGGGACCAGTATCTTTATACCAGTGAAAATTGTACGGCCTTGTGCGGCGCTACTGAGCATCAGAAAAGGCTGCGTCTATCAAGGCTTTTTATTCGCTTACTTGGCATTTAAGGATAAATTACAGCGTCGTCGTCGTCGTCGTTGTTTTGTATTTCTAGCTACAATTGAATATGCTTGTGGTATTTATATTCTTGTAAGGTTTACTGCGATGACGTCTGTTTACCCTTTAAGCATAGCGTTCCTGGCGAAGACTCGAAGTTCTCTACAGCCCTTGAGGTTGCATGTGTTCACTTCTGCCATCATCCAAATTTTCCCTCGTCATTGTCCATACAATAACCAGCAACAAAACATTCTTCGGCTCTCACTTTACAGGGTCCGAGGTTACCTTCACTGGAGCTAATCCCTCCACATGGAATCTTACAAAGAAATTGAACGAGCAAGTTAACCAACAAGACGAATATGAGTATGAGGAGCCAAAGAGCCCGTCTGCTACATGCGCTCTTTTCCAGTGTAGAGACAGCAGCGGCAGCAAGACAGCAATATTGAAGATTTACATGCAGTCAGCTCCCTAGATCTCTTTCCAGTATAACACTAGGTACCGATTTGTCCAGGATTCGATTAGCAGGCTCAGAATCTGAACAATCTGGAGTAAGAAGCCAGCAAGTCTCCAATGAACTCACTTACTACGCCGATAATGAACTTACAGCTCTGCGGACTCTGACACACAATGGCTGTGAGTCAGCCCCAACCCTCCTGGACTACAACTTAGATCGACAAGATAAGAATGAAGTCGTACCTAGAGGGTTTATTATCTCTCTGTTGATGAACGAGCTGCCAGGCGCTCGGCTTACCAACTTATTTTGGAACTTACCGACAACTGAACCGCGACGAAATCCGCCAGGCTTTTAGGACCGCATACGAGTATGCCCTACCTCTCTGTGTATCTCAGCCCTGCGCTAATATTCCTTGCAAATATAGGGATTGTGTTAAGATTGGAGTTCGCAACCTCGCGGCTGTAAAGGGTATTCTGTCCTGGGATAAAGAGTCACGGAAAGTGTATGTCCTTTCTCGTCGAGCTCTATTTACTCCATCATCTATTTCCGAGGCTGACATATGCTTGCCATAACGGCAGCTACATTACAAGATTTAAACTGAGCCATCTTGAAAAAGGAAAGGGAGATACCTGGACCAACAATATATGGATTCAATGGGGCTTAGCAAAGGGTAAGGTTCCAGCCGAACAAGAGATTTATAGACTTCCAGTATTTCGTCCTGGAGAATGTGGCATCGTTTCCTGTTTCTCCCAGTCTCCAACTCTACAATGGCCGGGCATTTGTGCCTGTGATGGTTATATTACAAGAAGTTCTGTTGGGCCATTTGCTACCGAGATATATAGACTAGCACGGATGAAGATACTCAGAACACACGCTCCATCATCCGCTTGTAAGTACATCATGTTTTAAATAGCGTAAACAAATAAGAACAAGACGATATGCCGATCTGGGTCTGGCAATCTCCCCATCAGTTTGGTGCTTTCCCCCAATGTCCATAACACGAAATCGTTGAAGGAACGTTTGCGCATGGTTACTATTCAACAGGGAGCCTGGTATCCGGGAATCTCCTTCCCATTCATGCCAGTGGCCTTTGTTACAATGCCCCCATATCGAAGTGCAATAGTGGCATACAGAATATACCATCTCAGTTGTACTTGCCAAGCAGGGCATTTGTTTCCAACGTCACTCATTTGATACATAATACATTTACATACCGAACCTTCTGGGGTCACTTAGCCTTTTAGCTATGTTATAATGGGTGGTTTTTACTAAACTACAGTGTACTAGTGATCAGGAATTAGATGGATTGCCTCTGGAGCAGTTATATTTCAGTATCAAACAGCCTTGTTATCCTCCCATTTCCCTCATGCTTCTCCTCCCTCGGATCACAATTGGATGGGGCTCTGACTATCCCTCCAACCACTTGAGCTGCATCATGGGAAAAGCTTGCAATTTACCCGGGTCATGGATGTCATGGTAGAGGAGGTCAGGATCTTTGAGGACTTCATCAGAGAAGGGCCATGTGAGCACATGGTTGGTTTCCATCTCGTTTCGATGGAACAGTCACTGAGTCGTGAATTTGTGGACGCTCAGTAGTTACTGAACATGGCGTCCATGCCACATACATGGAGTATGGTTATCATTATGTGCCCTATGTTTTGCATGAAGCAGACTTGAACACCTGCTTCTTCGCCCATCGGTGTCTGCTTTGGAGAGATATAACCAAAGAAGCATAATATGGCATAGCACTTGCAAACTTAACATTCAAAGCTGAACGTCACACGCACCTCGATTTGGTCATTGACCCATTACGCCTGTTGACCAGCAGGTCTTGCATGGAGAAAATTTGCAACTCAAATTGAAGAGTGCTTTTTGGACTCTAGTTATTTGTCTCTCGCTTCTCTAATAACACACCTTCCGTTGCTATACTGCATATAGGCAGAGCCGCAATGGGGTTACCAGAGTATCGAGAATAATTCCCAAAAGTTGGTGTATAGTTACCTCATCAGGTTTACCAGCCGGTGAGACTGCGCATTAACCAAGCGCCTATTCAACTCTCCTCGAGAGTTCTAGGGAGTCTGCAAATAGCCAAAAAAAAAAAAGGGACCCTGGAAACTCAAATCGAGATTGTCTGATTCTATCGTACCAGGTGCGTGTGAACTGAGCATATAGATCGTCATGGTCCACGTGATTTAAAGTGTGAGAAGTGCACCCTCCTTGAGACTTAGTAGCTGACTAGAGACCAATCTGTCCTGTATGTGTCAAAAGCTCTTTTGCCAGAAACTATTCACTGACCTGATGCTGGTGACAGCCCCTCTTCCCAAACAGGAATTATACTAAACGACCGTCGGGAAATCGGCGCACTAGTCGCTGATGATGAGCGCCGAATCGGAACAGTAATTAATCCGCGTGTCGACAAACGCGCCAAAATCTCCAAAGCAGCAAACGATATCAAACCACTGCGATTGCAATTGACTTGCTGAGACCAAGTTACGGCGGTGCCTGATCAAGGGCGCTAATTGGGGGGTCACTTTATTCTACGATTTTTGCTTAAATACATTATACGTCTCATCGCGGGTCGATTTCTAGCTCGGATAGCTATTGCGATAAAAGATGGCGGAGGGCCAGCAAGCTCAGCAACCTGTGCAGCAGACTCAGAAGGTGTCAGATATTATACGGACCTACCGTCCTACAAAGGTTCGTTCAGTTGACCCCTCATGAAAATCACCAGATTCTGGTCTAATAGTGCTTTACTCTAGGCATTTCGACCCCCGAAGCAAGATCATCCCCATGTGACGTCGCTGGATTTCGATGACCAGGGCGATTTCCTCGTTGCCGCTGGAGAGGATGAGACAATTCAAGTGTTTGACATCAAGGAGGGGAAGGCCACCAAGTCTGTTCCTAGCAAGAAGTACGGTGTCCATCTGGCACGATTCACGCATCATTCACGCCAGGTTCTTCACGCGAGTACAAAAGTCGATGGTAGGTTGAACAGAATGTCCCGTTGGTGCGTTTGGTTTGAAGAAAGCTCCGGCTGACAACTGAATGCAGACTCGTTGAGATTGCTCGATCTTCACAACGAAGGCTACGTGCGGTATTTCTCCGGTCATACTGATAAAGTAACGTCTCTGGCGCTGTCGCCCGGAAGCGATGCTTTCGTCTCATGCTCGAAAGACGACACCGTCGCACTTTGGGATCTTAATTCGCGGCATGTTCAGGGAAGACTGAAGCTCGCGACGCCATACTTGGCCACCTTTGATCCGTCAGCCTCAGTCCTCGCGATTGCATCTCAGTCGACCTCGTCTGTTCTCCTCTACGACTTTCGTAACTACGACAAATCCCCGTTTTCTTCCTTTGATCTTGCGCCATACGAAGAAAGATTTACACCGTCCACCAGGGGCAGGGCTTGGACACGTCTGGAATTCTCTAATGATGGAAAATACCTGCTTGTGGGAACAGACTTTCACGGTCATTTCATTCTGGATGCCTTTGACGGGGCCGTGCGCGCTTTCCTGGTAGGGAAGAATGGCTCCCCTGGCAGGGCGGCTCCCGTTTCTACAACCGGAAAACCTCTTGGTCAGGGAGATGCCTGCTTCTCACCTGATGGGCGGTATGTCATTGGTGGTCCAGGAGATCAATCAGACGTACTTGTGTGGGATTTGCAACAGCCTCCTGATTCGAGTCTGCTTTTGCAGCCCACTCACAGACTACCTAGTCGGGGTCGGACTGCGGTGATCGAGTACAATCCGAGGTTTAACATGCTTGCAACTGCTGATAAAGAGACGGTCTTCTGGCTTCCAGAGGATGGCTCTAGGCAACCGGAGAAATAAACAGAGCCTGCCAAATTTGGTACTTGACATCTCAGCAATCTCCGCAGCCGATGAGAATGAGTGTTGATAATTCGCCTTATTGCATTTCATTGAATTCAAGGGTCTATCGAGCGAGTGTTCTATTCTCTCCGGTCCTTTTCTTTGCCAATCAAACTTCTGGGTGTGTCACAAACCCAGACCGTGGGTCCTACCAAGTCTTCATCACCGTTTCTATGATTCTCCACCGTGGTCTCTATCTGCCTGACCACAGTACGATTGCTAGATATGGTCACTAATCCAGTAACCCATCCATACAAGAACACACTATAGTTGATATCAGACAGCATTTCGGCCACATTGTCAACTATGGGAGGGAATCTCGCTTGTTTTCGTCCCGAGTCGATCACGGGTCTTGCTTCGACGGTCTTTACCGGGAGTCTCCATTGTGCCGGGACCTCATAGTCGGATAGTTCCTGAAATTTCTGGACGAGAGTATCTGGATCCAAACTATCGAAAGGAGAAACACCCATCAATATATCTGTCCGCTTCTTTTCGGTATCTGTACCGATGGTATCGACAATCTCTCGCATCCGTTTCCCTGCCTCGTCTGTGCATAGCATTTCCCGGTCAACTGTCGCCGGCCAGATCTCTACAGGCAGTAGAGGATGCTCCCTTTCAATCTCGATCTGCCTGTTAATGGCAGTATGGTATTCAGGCGAAGGGTGTACAGACTTGTAATGTGACAAGTCTGATACCATAGCAAGAAGCAACGTGCAGTCCACATTGAGCGAAGGGGTGAACCGGATGAAATGGCTAGGGAGGAGATGGCTCAGCGAATTCTCCGCTGTCTGTGAATCAAGCACTTCCGTGTATCTTCCGCCGCATTCAACAGTAATACCATAGCCCCGGATCGTATCGATAAGATCATCAATATCAGAACTCTTCTGTTCCTCAATCCGTGGCAGCACAAAACGAATCTGAGGGCGTCTATACCTCACCCGCGTAGCATTGGCGGCTCTCCGCATGTCCATAGCCAACTTGATCAATCCGACCTCATCATCGTCGTCCTCGTTCTCAATTTCGTAGTTCCGTAGGACAGTCCTGCCTTTGCCTTCGTCCTCGTCGTCAGACCCGGGCTCCGACTCCTTCTCCCATCCTTTCTCAGCCATCTCGAAGAGCAACCGGCTCTCTGAGATAGTCGACACCTTCACCCATTCCTCCCCATCATCAGCCACAATGTCAACCAAAACACTCTTCCGCTTATCCTTATTCGGCAGCTTCTTCCCATCCTCTCCATCTTTCTTCCCTTTCTCTTTTCTTTTCCCAGCACCAGCACCCTCATCCACACTCCCATCTTCCAAACCACCCACACCATCCCCCCAATAAAATCTCTTCCCAAACCCTGCCAACCCCCCACAAGACCCTTTCGCAATCCCCCAAACAGCCTCATAAAACGGCAGATTCGACGACCTCAGCGCATGAATATACCGCGCCTCAACATCATCTCCTGCATCGCCCTTTTGTTCAGCAGCAGCGAACGCAGCTTCTATCTTATCGCTTAGTTTTTCTACTGTCCGCAGTTCGGAGACGATGCTTGAGCGGAGGGAGCGGATTTCGATGAGTTGGGGGTTGCGAAGTTTCTGCGAGAGGAGGGATTGGAAGGTGGAGATTTCGGTGAGGATAGTGTTGCATTTTGTTAGGAGGAGGGCTGCGAGGCCGCGGCTTGTTTCAGGGTTTGGTTGTTGTTGTTGTTGTTGTTGTTGTTGTTGTGTGGGGTAGTTTTGGTCGGTTTGGGAAGGGTTTCCCCTTTGCGAGAGGTTGTCGGGCATTATTAGCTATATTGAGGTAGATGTACTTCTGTTTTCAGAGGAGAAGTAGGGTTATACAGGATTGCAGGATGGGTGAGGCTGATTTGGAACTCTAACCAAGTCATTGCGGGGCAGATCAACGTCCACCAGCTGTTGAATGACTCAATTGTCGCATTGAGACAATCTCGGACGTGAGTTTGGAATAAGACTTCTGGAAACTTCGGTAATTGAGTCGAATTTACTGAGGCTCCAAATAGTTAACTCATTGATCTAAATATTTGATGCCCGGTCACGAGACCAATAAATCGGCTTTGGCTTAACAACTACAGATCATGATATCTGGAAAGAAAGATTAATCTAAGCTAGCAGAAATACACTTGCCGCTAAACACATTCATATGTCCGTGTAATCGAATTATCAAGACGGTCGACCAATGCGCGCATGTTGTAATATTTTAATATCAACCCCCTACATCCCCTGTCACCTGGCATCCAAATCAATCCGTACGCTTTGTCAATCTCTCCCTCTCACCGGCGTCGCCTTCTTGCGATTTGCGATCAGTCGAACCGCGTCGTGATTCTTCATCTTCATCGTCAGACCACTTGTCTCCGTCCTCTCCAACAGCAAAGATCGTCTCTCCGTCGAGTGACTCTCTTTGACGAGGTGCGGACGGAACAGGCTTGGGAGGCACAGGGGAAAGATCACGGCGGTGCTCTGTTCCAATATGGGCATCTGGGGCGTCAAAGGCATCTTCTTCATCCAATGCACTGCCAAAGGAGCGGATTTCAAAGCCATCATCATCTTGCGCAAGCTGTAGTCATAGTCAGTATCAGCATAGCTTAATAAGAATATCTTCACATACCTCGTCACTCATAGCGAAACGTCTGTTGTTGGCGGTGGGTCGCCACAGATAAGCGACGAAAGCGATGTCGCATAGGTAGACCAAGTTGAGCCAACCATCCAAGACAAACCATCTGGTCTTCCAGTGGTCCGGTACGAAGCTGGCGTCGCTGCCGCCAGCAAAAGCAAACGAGTTGATGAAAAAGAAACCGAAAATCACGACAATGCTGATCAAAATGCACCACCACAGCTTCTTATACATCAACGCTTTAGTCTTTTGCTTTCTGTCGATGAGATCCTTCATTGTCGCGTTCAGCGAATTAAGAGTCCACACGTAAAAGCCAGTCAGGGTAGCGGCAAGCGGGAGAACAATCAAGAGCACGAGCGGACCGGCGCTATCTGGTGTGATTGACAAGCTCGCAACAGCGTATATGACACCGAAGATAAAATGCGCAATAGCGAGAATGCGAACGTAAATCATGGTTCGACCCAGAGACGGCTTGACGACACCGTAGCCCATGCAGACAATGAGTAGGAGGAAGAAGGAGAACGAATTCCGCCCAGCGTTAAGAACGGCAACAAGGACCATAAGTACTTTTGCACCAACATTCAAGCCATGGCGGTTTTGGAAATCTGGACATTGTTAGGCAAACTGACAAGAAAGACAAGAAGGTTGGCCTACCATAAAAGCCCCATGTCATCAACTGTTCAAGGATCAAGAACACGAGAATGGCCGTGATATAGTTCTGAACCGGCACTGCTGGGTGTTAGCGAGACCCGGACAAGAGAGTTGCGCGCCACTTACAGATGTCATGGCGATTTTGCACATATAAGAATGCCCAGAATCTATCCATCGTAATCAGCGTATATACTCAACCCACTTCTCGCACAAATACATACATTCCAATCACGGCGTATACTATCGTCAATCCACCATAGAACGGCAGCTTCGCAATCTGCGCTGCCGGTAGCTCACCGTACGCATTCCGAAATTCAACCACCGCTCTGTAGTCCTGTCCCGAGTACCCGTAGGTGCTCACGCAATAGAAACCAGTCTTCTTCACGGGATAGTTCATCGCAACTGGATTCTTTAGATGGATGGCTTTCGAGACGATGGGGAATTTGGACGATTCCGTCGCGTTCGGGGCAAGAATGAAAGAGCCGATATCTTGATCCGTACAGAGGCCCGCGTCAACACTTGCTTCGTCACAAATTGTTTCAATTTCCTGTGCAGTTTTGTGTAAGCAATCAGATAATCCTGCTCCAGAGCATGCGACTATTCCCGGGGCAATAACTCACTTCCGGGTTGTCCGATACAGCCCTCCCGATCAATTCCTCATCGGTCCATTCGAAAATCACCAAGCTGACCAAAGGATCGGTATCGCCGGTCTCAGATTCATACGAAAATCTTGTCAAGATAAACGGATCGACGCTTCCTCCCCAGGACTTGCGGCTGTACATCCCCGAACATCGCTGGCGGTGCGCATCGTCTTGTTTCTATCAAAGAAGAGTATTAGATATGTCCCTTCTGTACCATTTATCTGAAGCATAATCGCACCAATTCCACTTCATTTGCCAACACACTCCCTGCGAAAAGGGCAGACAGACCCAGAGTCTGAAGCCAACCCTTCATCGTGGCCGAACTAGGCAGGCGGGTTCCCGATAAGACGAGGGTCTAAACACGACCCAGGATCATAAGAAGGAAAGGAAAGGTACTCGATGGTAAAGCGAAACAATGTCAATATCTCCAAAGCTCAAAAAATACTAGGATTTGCACTTGCGACATTCGTAGAGCTAAGAAGTAATCGTGGTGTTTGGCATACGGAGTACAGCCCGGGGAAGCCGCGTGTTGCTAGGCGGGCCGTTGACGCATTATCTAAGCCCCGATCAGCGGCACGAAATTCTGCCTGTTTTTTCTTTTCTTTTTTTTCGCTTTCGACGAGGGGCAATTATACTAACAGCACCAGGCATAACCACTGCTTATCATCGATCGTTACAGTCCAAAAATGCCTGCGAAAGAACTGGAAAGCCCGTGCGTGGACTGTGGCGACGCTGAGTTCGTGGTGGATGTCCGGTCCCGCCGCCTCTGCAAGTATGTCGCATTTCTACAAATTCTAGATGGGAACTGAGGCAATTGCTAATATGGGATCCCACTTCTCATAGGCCATGTTATGAACGATATGTGAGCCTTAAGGTCCTCCGGCGCATCGAGAATTACCGCCGCCCCAAATCCGTGCCGAAAGGTCAACCGTATAAGCTGTTGCTTCCCCTCTCGTTTGGCCTCTCTTCCTCTGTGATGCTGCATGCTATGAATGCTCAGTTGGAGCGTCAGCTTTCCAAACCATACCCTATGGTGGGCTTCGAGCTTCATGTGCTGGTCATCGAACCGTCGAGTATCTCTCCCTCGAGCGCTTCCGCCGAACAGCGCTTCGGTCTTCTCCAAAAAAACTTCCCCAGACACTCGTACAAAATGCTCCCGTTCCATAGTATTTACGAATACGAACCAACTGTACAGGACATTATGACACAGTTTGCCGGAGAAGGGTTTGTGGATGACGGTTCTTTATCCCATAAAGAGCGCCTGGACGCTTTCCGCGCGTCTATCACAACGGCAACTGCGAAGGCCGATGTCGACCAGATCTTGTTGAACAGATTGGTTGTCTCTTACGCGAAGGAACTGAATTGTGATGCGATCTTATGGGGTGATTCGGACAGTCGCCTGGCCGCGAAGACCCTTGCCAATGTCGCCAAGGGACGTGGCTCTGCGTTGACATGGCAAGTTTCTGATGGCAAATCACCGTCAGGCCTCGAGTTTAATTTCCCGCTGCGAGATCTGTTCCAAGCAGAGCTGCACAGCTATGCCAATCTCATTCCGGAACTTATGGCTATCATCATACCGGACGAGCCACCATTAGAGAACACACTCACCAAGAACCTGTCAATTGATGAGCTGATGATGCGGTACGTCCAAACTCACGGCGAGAAATACCCTGGTGTTATGGCGAATGTGACGAGGACTGCCAACAAGCTTCAACCGGCAGCAGTGTCTGCTGGGGCCCGGCGTTGCGCATTCTGTGACGCTTTTATGAGAGATTCAGAAGAGCAAAGCGAGTTTTGCTATGCCTGCGCTAGATCTCGCCCCGATTCAGCTTGTTGATTTGGTGCGAGGGCCGGTATCTTTCTGAAGATACGCCAATGAATGAAACGAATCGAATCATAATATGAGATACAAGAGTCCCTGTGCCAATTAGACTTCTCATGATCGAAGTCAACGATATGCATTCGTCTACCAAGTCCAACGACACCACCGTTCTACCATAGAAATTTTCGGTAAAAAATGCACGAAATGGCATGTTTTGCCCGGGGATCGTACTCGAAGTTATCTCAATACATCGAGGTTGCTGGGGATCTTCACGGCAGTCACCCCCAGTAGAAAGACCCGTGATCAGAGCTTATCAGTCGGCTGGGTGGGCTGCCTTTGACAAAGATCTTTCAATCTAAACAACCCAGTCTGGCTAATGCCTGCAACACGCCTAGATCTGGTAATAGTAGGATCCCTCACAGGAGCTCGACCGGAATAACCTGCATTCTCCGAGAACACAGGCTGTGAGTATGGCTGTCATTACGGTCCATCACCCTGTCAAAAGTCTATAATTAACATTGCTGTTATACAAGACATTGTGCTTTCCGGCGTCGACACATAGAACATGCATGTCCCATCGTGGATATGTTTCTTAGAGATATAAAGAATCGTTCAAGTTATTTAATGATTACCGTCTGCCTTGGTGGTTTCCAAAATGTGGCCAGACGAGTAAGCGGAATGTGTACTTCCGTAAGTAGACATAAAAGGACACATATTCTGAGACCTCTCGTAAAATTGAGGTAGATAGAAACAGTCACAAGTCGTTTCGAACAATAGCTCCTTGCTAATTCTGCCAGCCACGTTTCCCCTGATTCAATCGCGTCACCTTCAATGCCCCCAATCAGCAGGAGATTCTTGAAATCTTTTAGTGCCTTGACCCCCACAGGCTGCCAAAATTAGAGGCACACATTTTGTTGTATTCCTGGGACTTTTTGGATGTCAGGATTTACAATGCCCTCAGCTCAGCAGCACAAATTCTTTCAAGAACATGACTATATCCGGCATCATTTTGAGGAGGAAATGGCTGGCCGGTTGAAATATCGTCAAGTCTCAGGTCAAATTATTTGCCCACTGCTGACTGTGTTCGAAGCACGACAGGAAGACCTCTGGGTCTACAGACATAGTCATCCATCTGTAATGGTTAGATAATGTCGGGCCCATATTCAACATGGGTTTTTGCTACGAATGCTAGATCATCTTCGATATCAGAGTGTTCCTTTATCCATGCACCGTATGTGCTACCTTCTGCAGTTCGACTTTCGGATAGTGGTCTCACTGGTCCTTCTTGCACTCGATCGGAGTTCTGATTATCTGAGTGGTGGCTATGTGCTGAAGAGACCTGTTATATGGGCCTCAATCTAAGATGAGGGCTCAAGGGGAACTGACCCCCCAAAGTAATATGCTCTGACAATCACCAGTGGCTCTGAGGGATCGACTCTGTGATTGCGTTGAGAAACTCAATCAAATTGGCGTTCAGGGTGCCATATGGGCTGCCCATCTTCCGATTTGCTCACTGACAGCCAGTTGGTGTCTCAGTATAGACATAGATTTACCAACTTTCTTAATTGTGCATTCCCACCTGACTAGATGCAGTCTTGGACTGAAGGTATCCAAAACACCTTTATCTCCCCAAAAACAAGAGTTTTGGTGCTAGAGCATGGCATGGGCGGGATTTATGTGAGAGCTACATATAGTCTATTCCTGAAAATTAACTGAAATGAGTTGTCAAAAGTATGGCTATTGCCATGTGTTTGGTTTGAATGGATAAAATTTCATTTCATGACAAGTTCTATATAAAAATCCAATATTAGTGAACGTGGGGTATAAACGGAAACAGACAACTATCAGACGCCTCTGAAAAGTTTCAGTATATAAATGTTCGTGAAATAGTTTACATCTAGCCAAGATATCCTTGTCATTCAAGCAGCACCATGCTCGATATCGCCTTCCCTGTTTTTAGACCCACCAAACCAGCGACCTTGCGAGCGGCTCCTCTGTGGATGTCTCGCGCGTTGAGGTTTAGCAGGAGTTTCAACGGTGCCGTATTCCTGGTCTCCATGGTTTGGGTAATCACCCGTCGTGCCATTATCGTATTTGTCCCATTCTTCGGGCAGGCTCATATCTTGTTGGCCCCTCTGATTCTTGCCATTTTTCTTGCCCTTTTGTCGCAGATGCTTTTCCAGAATAATGGCGTTACGTGAGTTGCACTTGTACATCGCGTCTGCAAGGTCTCCCACAAATGGAACGAGGCCGATGACGAAGTCGATAATAACGTTGGATATCATCTTCGCATGAAGGGAGCTCGGCAAACCTCCATCAATATTGCCGCAAGATTTCACAACCATCAAGGCAAACAAGGTATCGACTATATCTCCGATGCTGTAACATATTAGCGGCGGAGGAGGCATCGGGTTTCTGGTGTTGAACTTACAAAGGAATCAGTGCGATTACACTGCTCCAACCAAATTGAATCCCACACAGGTTGAAAAGGCAATAATCCAGCCTGTATGCTCTGCGCTTGACCTGCGTGAGGACTTTGGCGTCATTGTCTGACAGTCCAGGCGGGGCGGCCTTTCGTCGCTTCTGAGTCTTTTTTCCGATTGCGCGGTTCAAGCGTGAAGCCGGGACCTCTTCGAAGTACGGGTCCTGGAAGCATGATTCTCGTTAGCCAACGCATATAGTCTCCAGGAATAGATAGAGGTATCTTACCTCTTGGCCAAAATGGTTCCGTGCCGATTCCGCCAACACCCTTTTACCAAGTATACCCCAGAGTGACATGGTCGCTTATCGAATTGTGGGAAACAATAGAAATAAGGACCCTTCTTAGAGAATTGTGTTTGTATCAAGGTGGTTATTCAAAAAATTTGGGTTGGGTGTTCAAGGATTCTATATATACCATCGGCTGGGTTAGCACTTGTACTAGACCTAAATAAGGGGGAAATCGTTTCAACAGGCGCCTGGCTCACCATAGAAGTCGCCACAGTGGAAAACTGAAGCTTGTTGGCGTTGCGGTGGAGGGGATATATGGGCCAATTGCTAGAATAGAAACAGAGCAAAAAAGTGTAGGGGAAAGACAGGTTATTTGGTGCATCCCATGGTTGATCCTCAAGGGCTCGACGTCATCCCGCGTTTCGTCACTTCTCACTAGCCACATTTCACACCACAGCCACGATATGGCACTCTGATCTGACCATATGTGGCTGATGATGACTTTGTGGAATGTGATTGGGCAGCTGCGCCACACGGACGACCTGTTTGCCGCTCACCAGCTCAGCAGCTCCTCTTTCGGGCTCTTCCTATGTCTGATTTTCCTGGTTGTTGGACACCAACTCAACTTGATATTGTTTTGTTTGCTCGAATCACACTAATTCACAACAATCTCTATTGATATCAGTCACAGACATTTTTTGAGGCTGTACACTTCAGGGGTGGCGCTTTCCAAGCACCCTTCCTTGAAGCTGCATCATCGCTGCGTGTCGTCTCTCCGCACCATCTCCTCCTATCCGTCGACCGCGTTGAAATGCTAAAAGACGTTTCGGAGTCTGACGGAAACAAAAATGCAGTTAGAAGACTGTGAGTGATGCCGTGTCGTCCTTGGCCGTCGTCCAAGCCGGCTTCTTGGCGGCCCGAGGACGTTGGAGGTGGGAGGTGATGTTAACTGAGTGTCTGGTCAATAATAGGGCTAGATGACCTGTGTGTCCGATTCATTATAAACCTGCCTCATGAGGAGCTCGAGTCTGTCGAACGGATATGCTTTCAGGTGGAGGAAGCGCAATGGTTCTACGAAGACTTCATCCGGCCGTTGGATCCGGCCCTCCCCTCCTTGTCCCTGAAAGCGTTCGCTCTCCGAATCTTCCAACATTGTCCACTCATGTCACAATGGTCCCACTACCATCATATCACAGCGTTCTCGGAATTCTTGGCGTACAAGACTCGTGTTCCTGTCCGAGGAGCGATCATGCTGAACGAAGAAATGGATGAGGTTGTTTTGGTCAAGGGCTGGAAGAAAGGTGCCAACTGGAGTTTTCCCAGAGGTAAAATTAACAAGGATGAGAAGGATATAGACTGCGCTATTCGAGAAGTCTACGAGGAAACCGGGTTCGATGTGGGCGAAGCTCAGCTGGTCAAAAACGAGAAGGATGTCAAATTCATCGAGATTACCATGCGAGAGCAGCACATGAGGCTGTATGTATTTCGTGGGGTACCGCGCGATGCTTACTTTGAGCCTCGAACCAGGAAGGAAATCAGCAAGATTGAGTGGTATAAGCTGTCGGAACTGCCCACACTGAAGAAGAGCAAACAACATGATCAAGGCTTCGCGGTTGCCAATGCAAATAAATTCTACATGGTCGCGCCTTTTATGCACCCGCTCAAGAAATGGATTGCACACCAGAAGAAGATCGACGCAAAGAATCACGTCGGCCATAGAGCAGCAGAGCTGATGGACGAAGCTGCCCAGATCGCCAGCACCATTACTCCTGTACAGGCACCCGTTGGAATGGCTGTTCCAAGTGATTTGCCCGAAGTCGCACCTTCTGGAGATGCGTCCGCTCATCTCAAACGTCTCTTGAATATAAACAACGGGTCCAATCAATTCACTGTTCAGCCATCAGACGAACCTACAGCTGATCCCAAGTCTAATGCTTTGTTGCAACTTTTGAGGGGTGGCTCGTCTGAAGATCCTGCTATGCGAACTCCAATGAATGACCGAACTGTTCCTCCCGAAGCACTATCTCAGCGTTTCCCGCTCCCGGACGTCTTTCCTGATCATCCCCGACAGACACAGTACGCTGAGCAATCTGTATCTTTACCGCAGAATTTGCCGCCACTGTTCCCTGGGATGGTACCGCCCCATCTACAGCATGCTGTGAATGTGCCAACTGCCAATCAACCCTTCCCCCAGCGTCCGCTGGACCATCAATTCTCACCTACGACTCATATTGACCGTTCAACTGGATTCCAAGGCTTTCCGCCTTTCTCTGCGCCACAACCTCCCGTACCATCGTATAGAGAGGAACCTCTGCACACTATTCCTCCTCCACAGAGACCGGCAGCTGCTCCGTACCAGAAAACCGGTGATCCTCAATTTTCGCATCCAGATCAGCCCCCTCAGGTTAAGGGCGCATCTATACCGCCGGCAAGCAAGTTGCCGCCACCTAAGCTTACCAGTCATTCTTTGGCGTTGCTGAATGTATTCAAAAATGAAACTCCTACGACCCCCCAAACTTCGAGCGCAACTATAGCTCTAGGAGCCGGACAAACCCCAGTTCAGGAACGCAAGCCGTCGCAACACCAAGACCAATTGTTGAACTTGTTAAGGGGCTCTCCAGCTCCTGCTACTTCCGCGCCGGTGCCGGTAGAACTGGCCGCTGATTCGACGCCACCAGCTAAAAAGCAAAACCTGCAGCGACCTAACCAGCGCTCTCCGAATGCTGGAAAGGGCTTCAACAACGAAGGCCAAATCTCGGCCACTGTATCAGGGCCTTTGAATATGCCACAGTTTGAAAGGATTGCGAAACCAGCGGCCAGGAGAATACAGAACGGAACAAACCGGAAAGCTCACAAGGGCCGGCAGCCACAAACACAGCCTCTTTCTTCACCAGTTACTATATTAGCCAGGCCGCAAAGCGCAAAAAGAGACCAATCCTCAACGCCACCCCCGGGCCCACGGGCAACTTCCCAGTCTCGTGCCAGCAAGGCAAAGCAAACCGAACCACAGAAGCCATTTCAACCACAAATCCTGCGTCGTACCGAAAAAACTGGAAGCGAAATTGACATACCCCTCCGGCCTAAAGCTGCCTCTGAATCTGACCAACGCGAGCAAGGAATGGAGCCTCCAATCCATGTCGACCGTCGACCAAGTCAGACGGCTGCGCAGCGGGAGACGCTTTTGTCGCTTTTTGGAAAGAAGTCGGATGCTTCAGGCAGTCCATCACCCGGACCGGTTAATATCCAAACTTCGGCTGCGAAGCCATCGAGCTCATCTGCTATTAGTTCACTTTCGCCCAGCATTGCTCCCTGTCTCGGGGCACCTGTCTCTCAGCATGGTACGCCCGCAGAGAATGATATGGAGACGCAAGCTTCCCATCGTGTTTCTTCGCCAGATAACAAAGCATTTTTGCTTGGATTTCTGGAAGGAGTTGCAAAGGGAAACAAATAATTTCAGACATGTTATATACAGGTTTCCGATCACTGCTCGCATACATTGAGCAGAGCTACTGAGCAATTACAAATTAATTCAGTCTTTTCCTTAGATTTTACTGCTGTATATAGATATTCAAACAACTACTCCGTACTGCTGGCTTGTCTGTATCCGCGTACTGCTCCGAGGTTTGTTATTATTCTGCCGATACACACCGCCCGTGCGCCGATGTCATTTTGGATTTGTAAACCGGGCCCTATGATTCAACAACATCCAACCTTCAAGTACTGACGACAATCGTGGCCATGATGCGCCCTGGAACGTCTACGCGCTCAACATGCACTCACTGTTTAAGCCGCGGTCGATTCTTTTCGACAACCGCTCAACCGCGTGAACAGCTTCCTCCGTCGCCGCCGCGGGCAGGGTATACTCGACTCACGAACCGGGGACTGATCTCCATTAGTGGGGTGGACAGTACGACATTCCTCCAGGGCCTTATTACCCAGAACATGATGGTTACAAACGATCCGAACCGCTCGCCACGTCACACCGGATCCTACACTGCGTTCCTTAATTCTCAAGGTCGAATCCTGAACGATGCCTTCATTTACCCGTTGCCGAAATCCGATAGCGAGACTGCTTCTACCGACGAGCCGGCGTGGTTGATCGAAGTAGATAAGAATGAGGTGCCGATACTTTTGAAGCATCTCAAGAAACATAAGTTACGGGCGAAGTTGAAGTTGCGGGGTTTGGAAGACGGTGAACGCACGGTCTGGTCGGCTTGGAAGGACCATGCGGAACCTCGGTGGGCGACGTATAACCTTGAAGCTGATGCATCCTCGCCATTTTCTCCATCGTCGCCTATTGCGGGCTGTGTCGATACAAGGGCACCGGGCTTTGGTTCCCGGATTGTGACCCCGGGTGCGGAGGATCTGCGAACTCATCTCCCCGACGAGACCCAGGTTACGGGTTCCGAAGTGGGTTTGAATAGCTATGCTGTACGCCGGATGTTGCATGGGGTAGCCGAAGGACAAAACGAGATCCTCCGGGAGTCTGCACTCCCCATGGAAAGCAACATGGATATGTCGCGCGGAATCGACTTCCGCAAGGGCTGCTATGTCGGCCAGGAACTCACAATCCGTACACATCACACGGGTGTTGTGCGGAAGCGGATAGTGCCTGTCCAGCTGTACACTGATGATCCCAGTACCGTGGCGTCTATTGATACCCCCATGTATAACCCGTTGACAGCAATTTCTCAGCCACCGCGTGAATCTAATCTTTCCAAGGCCGGTGCGCGCAGAGGCCGCAGTGCAGGAAAGTTCCTGAGTGGTATTGGAAACATCGGTCTTGCGCTGTGTCGGTTGGAGATGATGACTGATATCACGCTCACCGGTGAGGGCACGCAGTACAGCCCGGAACAGGAATTCAAGATCTCGTGGACCGGTGAGGAAGAAGGTGCTTCTGATGCGGGTGAGGTCAAGGTGAAGGCCCTCGTACCACTGTGGACAAGGGATTTCATTTACTCTGGAATGAAGAACCAGAATGCTCGTAAAAATGAAGACGATGGTTCCAGGGCAAAGCGTCTGGTGGAGCAGTTGGAAGAGGAAGAAGACGAATATGAACATCGAAATGATTAAAAGTGTATCTCATTACTGTATATATAACGACTTTGTATAATAGCATTTGTCCATCTCTTTTCATTCAGACAAAGAAAAAAGAAATGGTAACCATAGGGGTATCTTCAAACATTCGCGAACTTCTTTTAAGACTATGTTCTACCAGCGGCAGCAGCTTCAGCAGCGTCCTCGACCTCGTCTTCCTTTAAAAGCTGTTCCTCAAGAGCTTTACGCTCCTTTTCACGCTGCGCATTCTTTAACCGCATGAATGTCAACTCCTCCATGCTTGGTGTATTCGACGCCTTGGCCTCAGATGAAGCCGGCTTCGGTGTATTCGCAGAAGCGGCAGCAGAGCCAAATGAGGCGAAAGACGGCTTCCCGGGCTTTTTGGCAGCACCATCTGACATTGCTGCTTTTGCCCCAGGGAAATTGAAGAAGGGTTTTGTTGTAGGCTTTTTATCTTGTGCCGGTGCTGATGGTGGAGAGGCAGGATGTGCTTCTGCTCCCATTCCCAAATCTGGCTGTGCTCCTGATGCCCAGGACACTGACTCCATGGTGGCCCAATCACTGTCTGTCTGTCCCGAATTCTGGCGTCTCCTTTTTTCGCTATCCAAGACGGCTGCGTGGGCGCTGACAATGGAGGCGAAAACCACGACACCTGTAGCCACGGTCTTTTTCTCGCGCTTGTCTCCGATACGTTGTCGCTTGTCCTTGAGCATCGCAACGCTCTCAATCGTGCCAAATGGAGAGAACAATGATGAGAGACGGTCCTTGTCCAGTTCTAGCCCGCGACCCTCACGGTACCATCGTACTTTAACCGCGCGTTCGAGTTCGGGGACGTTCGTACCCCCTTCCTGCGAACGATCAACCCGCTGGCTACTCCTATCCGCTGCCTGTCGAGCCTCTTCTTCCTCTTGTTGCACAATCTTTTCTTCCTCCTCAAGCTCCTTCTTCAGGCGTTCTTCAGCCTCGCGCCGTCGCCTCCGCCCATCCTCCGCTATCCGTTCAATCTCTGCCTGCAACTTCTCCTCCGCATCCCCACCATCCATATCCCAAGACCTCTTCACCCCCCTCTGCGCACCAGCCCCCATAGCAGCAGCCCCAGCCCTCTCTCTCGCCTCCAAATCCTCCCTCATCTTCCTCTTCGCTGCTCCCATCATATCCCGCTCCTTCTGTTTCCGCTCCCTCGCCTCCCGCGCATTATCATACAACTGCCGTACCGACGGATCTGAAAGGACATCATAGCCGATTTGGAGGATATGGAACTTGTCGATGTCTGCGGGGGTCGGGTTCGCGATTTTATCGGGGTGGTATTTCAGCGCAGCGCGTCGGTAGGCTCGGCGAATTTCGGGCTCCGCGGCCGCGGGGGAGACGTCGAGGAGGGCGTAGAAGTCTTGGTTTGAGGCGGCGTGCGCTTTGAGGTCATCATTGGAGGCCATTTTGGTGGGCGTTAGGATAGCTTATCGAGGAGTTGAGATGCGATTTATCGGCGGCGACAGAGCTAGATCCGGGCGTGGCGATATTTCATGCGCTGAAAACGAGGAGAAATCGATATAATCGAGAGAATCAAAGAATCATTCAGCAGTATTAAAGATGCTCGTCTCCGGAACGCTGCAGGCAAAGCTCGAAGTGCCTGGGTTGGTTGTTGGCGGAAAGAAAGTTGGAGCTCCGCGTGGCGGAATATTGACAGCGGAGAGGAATGTTTGCCCTATGACTATGGAGAACTAGCATAAGAAACACCAATATAGAACAATGCCAACTGATGAGAAAAATATGTATTTTGAGCGCTTCTGGAAAAAACTTGTCAGAAGCAATTTGGTGATGTCAAGCACTCCAGTATCCCTCGCTCCGACAACCATTTGATAGAGAAAATTATTCATTTGTATGAATTAAATAGTTCCAATATGTTTTCATCTGTACAGTAAAGAGTTTTTATATTCAGTCATAGTATAGCTGAGAGAGTTGATTGTGGTGACTGTTAATGTGGATATATATTTTGGTGGCCATCAATCATCCTTTAACCTCCCTCGACTCCTCCACAACTCCATCTCATTCACTCGCATCAACCCATCTTCTATTCTCAACCCTCCATCAGTCTCGTTAGGGTCTTGTCTCCATGACTGATCCCACACACCATAGCAATGGCTCTCTTCCATCCCCAGCCCAGCTGGCTCTCGCCATGGCCATTGTCAAGCACAAGCCAGCAGACCTATCCATCAAAGGTGATATTCTCTTTTTCATCCATTCTACCGACACTGACAAAACTAGACCACATCCTCCAGATACGCTCATATATCATGACTGCCAAAGACTCAGATTCCAACCCCGTCACTTCACAGTCGGACAAATTCTTCGACAGCATTTCCTTCTGGCAACAAGCCTACGAACGATCCGAAGCAGAACAGAGCAAACTACTCGACCGCATTTTCGAACTAGAGCAGCGCAACACGGCTCTTCTCACTAAAACACAAAAGGGGGATGTGGTAGAGGAAGAGCAGTTGCTCGAGTCTTCTAAGCGGAAGACGAACCCTAAGAGCGCTGCTGGTATGGCTACGGCACGGAAAAGAGCGAAAACACAGATGCCTGTGCAGGGCGGTGGTGGTATATTAAGTGTACAGGTAGGACAGGGTAATGTTCTTGATCGGGTGAAATATATGGAGGAGTGTGAGTGCCCATGTTCTTCGCTTTGGGCTCGCCATGCTGAGTGTTCTAGCCACAGGGCCGTTCATGAGACACTTTTATACGCTCCAGACGACTTTACAGAAACGACCTAGTCGCTCGAATGTTGCCCAAGCCGCTGTCAATTTGTCAAAAGCAGCTGCGGATGCTCTCGTCAATTCAGTCCAGGAAAAGAAGATTCCCACCGGCCGGTCGAAGACAAAAGCCCTTCAGTACAAGGACCCTGAGATTACTTCTGTGACTAGCAGCATTGAGAATACACTCCCAATGTTGTATCAAGCACTAGGAAAGGTTTCTGCTTCGGAGGAGAGCACTTCTGATGCAGGCCAGGTCACCTATCATATCGTTTGCCTGTACGAAGCCGCAATGAAGACGCTAGGACAGCACTGCAAAGCCAGATCAGAGCAGCTATTGGCTACCACGACAAATGGGAAACCAGCCAAGAAACAGAGCGCAAAGTCGAAGCGGAAGCAGCAAAAAGCAGATGACGAGGTAGCTTGTCAAATCACTCGCCTGCTAGGGATGATGTTACTGTCGCTGGATCTTACTCGTACGGAACATCAAAACCTTCTGGAAGGAGCTCTATTTATTCTGTTGAGCCGCGTTGGAAGACTATTATGCCTTTTTGTTTTCAAAGAATTGCAATTGCGGCCTGATCTCCGAGTTGATCCTGCACAACTCCCGCTTCCCCAAGGCCTGAAGGACGTCAGCTTGAACGAAAAGTCAATTTGTGCAGCGAATATGGAAGCCAAGCATCTCATCTGGGTACTGGAGAGGGCACTTTCTCACTTGGAAACCAGTTCCTCCTCTCCGTTGTCCTTAAACTTCACGTCCAAGGTTAAGGGATGCCTTCAGAGTACACTGCTTCAGGCTATATACGGCACAGATAATGAGTGTTTTCAGGGAGCACTGCGTCGTTCTATTGCCCCCGATACACTGGAACTTGACAGATTGTACACTTGTGCTCAGGTCCCTGAGCAAACAGTTTCTGACTGGTTTACTCAGGAGATCTGGAGGCTTATAGGATGGGAAACTGTGGTGGAGACGGAACGAAAGGCCTAGACTGTTTGTCTCATTTGTTACTTATATTTGTATTTCCATTTATGTGATTGAATCTGTTCACGATCTGATGATTCACCTACATGCCCAGTCCCTATACACTAATGTGTGAAAGGGCTACGAGAAGCACAGGTTAAATTTATACCTAGTTTATTTTCAGAATACGAGCTGCGTTCCCTCCCAAAACAGCGGCAATATCATTAGCGTCCGCATCAAACGCGTCCTGAATTGCTTCATAGTTCGTTGCCACGCTCGGCCACACCTCTTTCTCTTTGCAATCAAGCGGAGGGAAGAATGGATGATCGGTTCCTATTAAGTCAGCCATTGCCCACTTTATCTACCCCGAAGAGAAACATACCAAATAACAAACGATCCTTCCCACTAGCCGCAACAGCCGCCTTCAACCCAGCCGTGCCATACACCACAGCATCAAGATAAATATTCGTATTGAGAACATCCCACACACTTCTTTGCGGCCCGGGTAAATCGCCACCGTTCCCAACAAATCTCCGCTCATGCTGAATACAGCTCTCAATCCGCCCAGCAAGGAAAGGAAGCGTTCCTCCAGAATGCGCAAGTAGGATCTTCAACATGGGAAAGCGATCGAATACACCTCCGAGCAGCATCCGGGTGACGGCGATAGTGGTTTCAAGTGGAAACCCTAAAGCGAGGGGAAGGACATGGCCGTACCGATTAATAGTGTCGGCCCCCCCGAAGGCCTCGTCTGGGAGGCCGTAGTGGGGATGCAAGAAAAGAAGGGTATCTGTGTTTTGCAATGCGTTCCAAATGGGGTCTAACTTTTCATCGTCGAGGCCACTTCCCAGTCCTGATGTTCCCATGATGACGCCCCGGAGATGTGGGAGTGTCTTTAATCTTTCAACCTCACCGACGACAATGTCTGCGCTGGGAGCGCTTAATGGAAGTGCCCCAAAAGCGAAGAGTTTTTCTTTACTTTCTTTATTGACATTTGCACACATCACATCAAGATCATCATTAATCCGCTCAGCCCAAGTCCGCGCTTGATCGGGCTCGAGGAAATCCAACCATGGATTCGCGAGAGAAATTACGCTAACATTAATCCCATGCCGGCGCATAAACTCCAACTTCGCGTTGATATCGGAGTATGAAGAGTCAACTGGCCGACCACGCCGGTCGAGAGGAATCGACGGATCATCATCAGAGGAGAGAATGATAAGGCGCGGGGGAGCGTCGGGCGTCGAGGGATCGTGGATGTAGGGGACGGTTTTCCGGGCCCGGAGCATGCCCAGGTAGGATTGAGGATAGACATGGGTGTGAATATCAACGATGAATGGCATTGTGAGTCTTGTTATGATTTTTGAATAAAGAACCCAAGTGTTGACGATAGCAGGTCGAGGAGAAGAGGGGTTGAGCTGCAGGGATGCAGGGTATCCTTGCATATCTATGCTTGTCGCCAGCGTCTATTTACGGTGTCTATCTCTACCAAATCATATTGTGTTACATGCCACTCAGCATTTTCTCTAAATTCGGTTTTCAATTTGTGCTGCAACGAGTTGAGAAGTATTGAACAACGCAGATATGACTACCGATTCAAACCAGCCAGCACCTACAGTTGTAGATAGGGATGACATACAGATTCCAGTGCGTGTTATTTCTAACTTGGGCTCTTGAAGTTGCTAACAAGTCAAGATCATCGACTTTGCGCCCTTTCTATCCGGCACGCCAGCAGGAAAACATTCCGTGGCCCTTTCTGTGACCAATGCATTCAGGAACTCGGGCTTTCTATACCTTAGAGGCCACGGAATTCCACCATCTGTCGTATCTAAGACATTTGCCTCGTCAGCACGCTTCTTCGCTCGACCACAGGATCAGAAAGACAGTTTGCGCTGGACCGGTCCCGTGTCTAACCGTGGGTATATTGCGACAGGACAGGAGAAACTGGTTCCAGTAGAGGACACTGCTGGGATCGAAAACCTGCGTACTACAAGCCCAGACTTCAAAGAGTCAATGGAGATTGGAAAGGAAGGGGTAGTTGGTATGGTGAACCAATGGCCCGACCATATTGACGAAGAAGGACGGTCTTTCAAGCAAACCATGCTCTTATTCTTCGAAACCTGCAATACCCTACAAATGCAAATCATGCAAGCCATCGCCCTCGGAATGAACCTGCCAGAACACTTTTTCGAGAAGTACATCGACGCAGGCGACAACATCCTCCGTCTGCTGCACTATCCACCCATCCCTAAAGATATTTTCCAGCGACAACCGGGTCAAGTCCGCGCTGGGGAACATAGTGATTACGGCTCAATCACACTATTGTTCCAAGATGCTCGGGGAGGACTGCAAGTGCGCAGTCCGAAGGGAACGTTTGTCGATGTGACTCCGGTCCCGGATACTATTGTTGTAAACACAGGTGATTTGCTGGCGAGGTGGGCTAATGATAATATTACGAGTACGCGACATCGGGTTGTTGAGCCACCTGTGTCGGCTGGGGATGAGGGAGAGTACCCTGCACGGTATAGTGTTGCTTATTTCTGCAATCCGAATACAAACCAGGTTATTGAAGCGCTGCCGGGAACGTATGATGAGCAGGAAGGAAGGAAGTATCCGGGCATTAAGGCTTTGGATTACCTTATTCAACGGCTGGGGGCGACTATATGAGACTTTGCTTTGATAATTTGATTTGAAGAGATTAAATAAATTGTTCATGAAGCCGTATATACTGAGGCATTTACACTGTACCTTGTCTTGAATGGTATAATAGTTCGACAGCACCACACTCAATGACCCCCATCAGACACCATGATACTAATATTAAAATTTCCTGCAGCAAAATTCGCCATACAGACGATGAGTCACACGAGATCCTCAACCCCACCAGTTTTCGCAAGAGGGGTCAATTCCTTTAAGATAGACCCGTACGAGGTAATCTGTTCATAATCACCGTATACGTTCGAAATATGCTCAGCTGTATAGACGCTCAGCGCACTACTATCAATGCGGATACCATGGGGTGTCAATGTCGTCGAAAGCGTTTCAACCATCTGCGTAAGAGCAACCTTAGATACGACATACGGGAGATTAGGATATACTACACGAATCCATACAGCAATCGACGAAGTAACGGATAACTTGAACCCTTGGGCGGAAACGTGCTGGGAGTCAAAGATTGCTGCAGTTTTTTGGCAGCATCGAACAATGGCAGCAATGCCACGACTGTGTAATAACCACCCACCACATTGGTCTGGAGAATGGACGAAAGGTCCCCCGAGATAGACCACAGCATCTCTTGGATCTCTTCGAGGTTGTCGGGTGTCGGTGCTGGGGAATGAAATGAAAACTGCGGGTGTGGCTCGGCAACACCGCTGTTGGCTAAACAGATCGATGTATTCTGCCTGTGAGGAGATTTTCTCGTAGGCTGCTTGGAGGTATGATTGTGCCCTCTGGTCCTCCTTTGGCTGTTTCGTGTTATGTCTCGAGCTGTCGGCTGGTTATAAAAAATTTTGGAAGCACCATTGACGGCGAGGGCTTGGGCTATTGTCTTTCCTGAGCCTGAAGAGATTTGTTAGCATCTTGGAATGAGGGCGGAACTATATCAAGCTTACCACTTCCAGGCCCTGTTATGACGGCAACCTGGCCATTGACAGTGAACAATCTGGACGGGTCAGATTGCGACATTTTCTTTTAAAAACAATATATATATATATAGAACAGCAAAATTATATAAAGAATGCTTCATTATACCGGGTATAAAGGGCGTTAGAGCGCTTATGTACATAACATCGCCACGTTTGCTTGCATTTCTTGCATTTCTTACGCTGACTGCATCATATTACTGCAGGTGGGTGTCACCAAGGCTCACATCTAATTGCTGCACATAAGATGACTGGTGCAGTTAGACATGGATTAGAATCCTTCGATGTTTGTGTTACATATGTATTGCCGCTTTTGGAAAATGCAGGCAGCTGCGCTAACCTGGTATAGAAAAGTGTGATCACTCATTATCAATCGCATCCTCGACGCATCTCACATCAACATGCCGTACTCGCACGGATTGTCGCGGGAGGAATATGAAGATTGAGGAGAAGCAGTTACTTCAAGGACTCGATGATAAATACCATGATCACGGCTGTAACTCAATTTGTTGCCAGAAACCGTGGTCTTCTCCAACGTCATGAATTTGGCCCTGAATAACAAAGACTCAAACTCTTGAATATGCTTCATCTGTCTATCCATTGAGATGGAATAGCACTAGATAGGCAATGACCAGGACGGGATCTGAAGACCCAAATCGAGATACCCTGTCTTCTATATAGCCTGGCAAATCAACCGTCCTTCGCCTTCTGGAAATAAAACCCACCGGCTATCCCGTGAATCGATGCTGGGTCGTTGTCCGGTACCAGTCCGGTTCGTCCGGTTGACAACATTGTTACCTGGCGTGTCTCCGTATCCCAATTGTCGTCTCGGGAGCGTTTCCAGATGACCTTCTGACCCTTGGTGCTCCAGATCAATGGCTGCTCGCATTGGCGGAGCTGCGAATCTGACTTCGGTTCTAATCGGCAGCATCCGGCGCTGTATACAGAATGCGGACGTCACTATACTCTCCAGACTCTTGCCAATTAGCCGAAGGATACACCTGAGACGGAAGTTGATTGTGCAGTAATTGCGTCACGTTCACTCCTTGACCACAACGAGTCCCTATATGTACTCTAGGTACCGCTTCTGTGGCTCTTTTGATCCTTTCTTAGAAGGTTGTCCCACTACAGTGACGGTTGCAATAACAGACATGGCGTCGAAGCACCACTTGGTACTCAGCCTGTTGGGCTGGCTGCCATCAGCTCTCGCACTTCCCAATATCCTTGCTCGGGAGACGGCGCCGCCGGTTGTCAGCTTCGCAACTTCGATGGACCATACTTCGTTTCAAGGAACTCCGTCGGTCACTGGAGCCTTGAATGCTAGCTCAACACTCGCGATGACTATTTCTAGCTTGAGTGTGGAACCGTCGGCTACTACGTATCCCAGTGACGGTAAACTGCAGGATCCTGCACCGGCCCCGTATGTGCCAGCAGGAGGTGTGGGAACGAACGGAACGACACCTGTCTACAACGCTAAAAGCGATTTCGATTTCCAATCTCTGGTACGTTTGTCTGTCGCATGTCACAAGTGATTAATATTGACCGTAAACAGGCCCTTGTCCTCTACGCTGAGTATATCGAGCTCGATCTGTTCTACGATGGCCTAGCCCGTTTCTCGGAGAAAGAATTCACGGATGCAGGCCTTACTGCAGAAGATCGATATCTGATCCAGTTTATGGCAGAGCAGGAAATTGGACATGCTACGCTGATTACCAACATTCTGGGCGCTAAAGCCCCCAAGCAATGTCAATACAAGTACCCGTACAAAACCGTCCGGGAATTCGTGGATTTCTGTCAGAAGCTCACGCGCTTCAGCGAGGCCGGTGTATATGGATTCCTAGCACACCTAGATTCTCGGGAAGCCGCAACACTTCTTACCCAGACGATCACCACAGAAGCTCGACAACAAATGATTTTCCGGCAATTTGAAGGTCTCTTCCCAATGCCGGTTTGGTTTGAGGTTGGCGTGTCCCAGTCTTGGGCATGGACTCTTCTAGCGCCGTATATCTCTTCCTGCCCTGAGGGCCAAACCCGGCTGGCGTGGCAGAACTTCCCAGCTTTACATATTGTGAACCAGCCCAATCCTGACCGAATTAACGGGTCATCTGCATATAACGAGACTTTAACTCCTGGGATGAACACCTTGAACAGTACAGGCATCAATGATTCCTGTCTCAAATCTGATGTTATCGGCGAGGCTTGCAACGCGTCAATCACCCACAACCGCACAACCCCTCTTTCCTTCCCTGGTCGTGAGGTTCTCTTGACCTGGGAGACTCCTGGGCAGCTCGTGGGTCCTAACAACAGCTATGTCACGACGACCACAGCCAGTGATCCCAAGTTCGTTATGTGGGTGTCTCAGCTCAATGTCACCTACACCGAGTTGACCATGGGCGACAACTCCACCTCGGGATCGACTATTCAACCGAATACGACAACTTTTGAGGGTGACCCGGCCGTTAATGGCACCATGTTCATTGCCATCACAGACTCGGATCCTTTCGTGACTTCTTTTAATTTCAGCATGGTGAATGCTCATGTGGTAGCTGGACCGGCTTTGTATCAGGCTGGCTAGCTGTAGATGGACTGATCTCGTGATAAGTAGCGAATGAGGAGGTTTAGTTGTGGTTGTTGTAGGATTATTTTCCCTAATAATTTTGCAATTCAGGATATGGTAGTATAATAATAGTAATATTATTCTTATTGTTCTATTAATTGTTGATGGTTCGTAGTCCTTTACAACGGAGATAAACCCCCGCTTATATCCGGCGGTCAATCCGAAACATGACACTGCATCTCTGCACCAACGTCATCCGGAATCCTCCCTAGCATCAAACTGTCCCAATATCGACCTCGAACATGGAATCTCCCAGAAACCGGAAACAACGACGCGCCGCTGCGGCCGCTGATTCTTTCGATGCATCCTCAATCCCGCTCGCCCACCCACCGCGAGGCACCGCGTCAGGTGGCCAGAAGAGCGAAAGAACGCTGGTGGACATCATAGCGGAACGAAAAGAAGAATCCGCTGAAGGCATCGCAGGCACAGCAGACGCAGAAGCAATCCCAGGGACGCGATTCGTAACCGTCGACCCGTCGTCGGGGGAGATATCAGGGTTCGATCCGAGAGTCCACGGAGACAAAGAAACTGGTCAAGAGAAAGATGAAAGCGAAAGCCAGGGAGTCGACGAGCCGTTGTCTGCGTTCCTCGATACAATTCTGCTCTCATTCCCCCTGACAACTCTCCATCTAACACTGGCCTATCTCGCGGCCCATCAATACGCAGTCGAAATCCCAGTCTCCAATCTCCTCCGCGAATCTGCATTCATCACATTTCCCATCCTAACTCTCCTCATCCACCTGGCCCATGGCCACATAATCTCATTCGGTCGCCACGCGACAACAAACGACGAACCATCGCTTTTTCCCTTCACTTCCGAGAAGCTATCAATATCCTTCCTCCGACAATTGATATTCCCGCCATCACTCAAGACGCTCGTTTTTCTGCTGCTCGCTGTCTTTTTCGGTGCCAAGTTGATGACGATCACGAATAACGCGCCATATTATGCTGTTATGAAACGTGCACCGGCTATTGGGACGTTGTGGGTGTGGTGTATACTGGAGGTTCCGTTGGGTGCATCGGTTTTGGGAGCTTTGGGGCCGCTGGGTTGGGGGGTTTGGTATAAGGGATATGGTATTTTTTAGATGCTTTGATATGGATCTTTCTCTTGGGGATATCATGTTCGACAGGATAGTTCCATCTACGGAGTGTCAGTGCGAAAGCAAGTTTGGTATTGCAGTACGGGCTTACAGTGCTTTCAGTTCATCCGGTTCATCGTTCACTCATCTTGAAATATGGATGTCCAATGCATACATGGTTGTCACCAAACCAGCCAAAGGTCTGGCCTGACTGATAATTCAGGAAGCGACTTCGCGCATAGCCTAGCTACTACGTGCTTAGCATCACCTCGGCTGGTATTGCAACGATAACTGCCTGGAATGGGCCTTTAACTTTGGTCTAAATGCTCACGCAATAGCGACCCTCATTCCTCTTTTGTCTTGAGGCCTCACTGCCTGGAAGACGGGCCGAGAGCAAGTTTCCGAAAATTAGCCTGAGGGTATTACCAAACTGAGCAACCTGCATCCCCCGACTCAGACCGGCTTTGCACAAAAGCACATGAGGATGAGCCCGGTTCATGCAATGCAACCTCGATTAAGATTCATGTGCATCTGCACCGAGTCCAGATCCCCCATTACGTCGATATGCTGGTAGTCACTCCCAGCAGATGCACCGGCGATCAATGCATTTCTGTTCACAAACAGACGCGTACGATACCATATCCAGCGGAGTGCAGCGCCATCGCCATGAATTCTCAGCCGTATAGCCGATGCACGGCGCTGCGCGGCTGCTCTGCCATGCAACTCTTAGCTTCCTTGGGACGCACAGCTGGCACCACACGAACGCCGTCCGTGCGCATGATCGACCCGCACCGATCTTTCCAGGGTGGCATTGACCACAGCCGCGGCCATGGAAGGAAGGCTACGAATCGACTGCGGCAAAAACCCGGCGACATTCTCAGTCGAGACGAGAGGGTGGGTGGGAGAGGGTGGGGGGCTGAAGGCGGTGATTAGGTGTTCACCGCGTTGTCTGGTCTTGTTTTTGTGTCCCGTGCGCCCCCGCATGGCGGATCTATGCTGAATCGCTAGTTCAGTTGGAGTCTTGGAGATAAAGAATTCCGGCCAGCTAGAGTGGCGGTGATCGTATTGGTGATCGCCAATCTTGCTTCCATTGACCGCACTGTGCGACGGTTAAGGCTTTATGTATGGTGCTGCTAGTGCAAAGCATGAGATCTATTCCGGGGGGGGACAAGAATGGAGACCAGATTGGAGACTAGGAATGCAGAGGTTCTTGATCCTTATGCACAAGGCATGCGTGATGTACATAGTATAAGGTACTTTTGTCGTAGTATGACACTAGTAGATATTGAACTCCAACATCACCGAACAATACTACGCTGCCGCTTCTCGCGAACACAAAAGCAAAACCAAACTATTCAAAGTCAATCTCTTAGCGGCCTGTCATTAATCGCTCGCCACGATCCTCTAGTCTTCAGCCGAATGCCTTCTCAAAAACCTAGATATTGTATCTGGTGGGGCGGAGAGTGCAACGCAACACCGCCACATGTGGGAGGTGCTGTGGGTGTGGCTGAAAATTTGACTATTGCGAACTTGCAGGACTTTAAGACTAGCGTCTTATAGATCGATGGGGCTTGGTTTAGTGTTTACTTGAGTTTGCGTGATAATCTTGTACTTTTGTTCTTGATTTCTGGTTTTTTCTAGCGGTAATATCAATTGGTAGGTTTGGTGGTGTTCTATACGCACACCGTCTGACAAGTGGCCTGGAATAGGGTTTGACACGGTCATAAACTTCAACCAGCATGACTCGCTGGAGGTTAATTGCATGCCAGCGTATTTGGTATCTTTCCTGTTGTTTTTTTGGAATTGTCCGGTATGCTTTCGGGCCGTGTTTGGTGACAATTCGGAAGTTTGGTTGACAGTGTCTCGGAGAGAACGTTGGAGAGTGTAGAATTATTGTTGACATTCTAAGATGTCATATTTCTGTCAGATTCGAGCACTCGCGTCCGTTATCTAGGTCCTGCATTGAGTTCGTTTTGACGATGTGCGGGTATACATATATCTAAAGGGTCGGTTTACTGCAATGCGATTCTATCGAAACGCCAGAATTGATGAACCAAGGGTAGCTACTAAGCCGATGAAAGATGGTCAATTGATAGTAAGACCGAGAAAAGAAGAAAAGCTCACCGTAGAAAGATTGTTTGAATGGATGGCATAGCCAAGGCAGTTGGAAGTACCAACACTACTACAGAGAGACAGGGGTGGATGATTGAGCTCGGATACAAATGGAGGAAGTATTCAGATAATTGCATTCATATAAACAATCGTATCAATCATATCAGTATGTACTAGCATACTATCACTATTCACAAATAAAAGAATCCATTAAACTCCCTTCGCCGGTACCGCGCCAACCCAACGCATATCCAAACCGAAAATTAAAAGACAAACCAGAACAAGTATTCGTAGATAATCGTAGTTGAAAATCAGACGGCAACACCCCCTGCAGCAGGCATGACCCCAATCGGCTGCATAGCAACTCGCTCTGCCTTCTTCGCCTCAAGATCCGAGCACAGCGAGGACATCATCATCCGGTACTCGTTCATCTTGGCCAGCTTGAAGCGCTGGATCTTGCCACTGGCTGTGCGAGGAATGTCCTCGATGAAGATGACGCCGCCGTCCAATGCCTTGTAGCTTGCAAGCTGTTTACGCGAGTACGTGTAAACATCGGGTGCGGTCGGGAGGTTAATGTTGGGGTCCTTGGAGAGGACGACGAAGGCGCGCGGGACTTCGCTGCCGTCTTTGGCGGTGGCGCCAATTACAGCGGCGTCTTCGATGGCGGGGTGTTTCAAGAGGACGGCTTCCAGCTCGGCGGGGGCGACTTGCCATCTGTTGTGTCATGTCAGCGCTAATCCAATGATTGCATATCTGCAAAAGAAAAGAAAACTTACCCTCGGACCTTGATCAGCTCCTTCGTGCGTCCCTTGATGTAGAACCGGCCGTTCTGGATAGAAGCGATATCGCCAGTCCGGAACCACCCATTTGCATCCTTAGCATCGTCGCGGCCCTTGTAGCACATAAGCACACCGGCGCCTCGGACAAATAACTCGCCATCCTGCCCATCCTCCGTCACAATGTAACCGTCAGCATTGACCAGACGCACTTCGTACCCTGGCATGCTGGGTCCGATGCTTCCGTGATCCACGCGGTCACCATAGCGGCACTGGAAGACAACGCCTGCTTCGGTCATGCCCCAGAGCTGACCAGCCGTGGCGTAGGGGTGCAGCTGCGACTGGAAGAGTTGCATAGAAGCGGCATCGATCGGAGCGCCCGCGACACCCACGTAACGAAGCGAAGACAGCAGATGAGATAGCGGCAAGGCGCTCTGGTTGAACACGTGGATCATGGCGGGCACCATGTATGTCTCAGTGATCTGGTACTGATGCACGGCAGCCACGAATTGAGTCAGCTCAAAGCGCGGCAGGACGAACAACGGCTGACCATATCGGACGGTGAAAATATGCGCCCACAGGGACCCGAAGAGGTGGAAAAATGGCAATGACAGCAACCGTGTGACATTGTAAGGCACATCGTATGCAATAGAAAGGTGCTGTGACACAATTGCGTGATGAGACAGAATCGCGGCCTTGGGCAGGCCTCCTGTGCCGCTGGTCGAGTACAATGCAGCCGGGGTGGATTTTGCGATTGCTTCGTCATTGAAGGTCACCCAGTCGTTTTCGCCGTAGCCCAGCAGATGCGCGAAATTCCGGTGGTATCCTTGCTCCGGAAGCAACGATTCGATCGCGCCAGGGTAAGCCAGCGACCCCGATTGGAGCAACTGTGTGACATACAGGGGTGCCGACGTGTCGAGTAAGCAGACCTGGCTAGGGAGCATGCCCCGACCGGTGGAAGCTTTGAGAACAGTGCCGAGCGCATCGGGAGAAGTAATGATCAGCTTCGGCTCGGACAGCTCCAGAAGATGTTCCAATTCGGCGGGCTGGCTACGCGGGTTCGAGCCCATATACACGCCTCCAGCCCCGATAATACTGTAAAACAGGGCGGGGTACAGGATCTACAGCGAAGCCGATCACTTGGTTAGCTTGCAAATAGATGAAAGAATGGAGCCGGATTTTCTTAGGTAAGAAGACAAAGAAAAGTGGACAGGGTGTCTGCTTACGCTGTTGCCCAAATGCACCAAGACACAGTCACCACGCTGCACATGGTGAGCCTGCAGGCCTGCAATCAGTGTCCGGACCAATAGCCGGAACTGACCAGCAGAGAGAGCACGCGAGGGATCCTCAGCATCAATAAAGAGTGGTTTCTGGTCATCGTAGGCGATGGGGCCGCGGAACGCGAACGTCAATAAGTCGGTGTATACAGAATTGCCCGATTGGGACAAGGCCAAGGACGACTCCCAAGGACCCATGATGGAAACGATGGAAAAAAATGCCGGAAGTCGGTCAAAATGAATGATAGGGATATGAACTAAAATAGAGACCGTCGCTTCCGGTGCGAAGTAACAGTGACAATAGTCAGGGGAAGCACAGTCGTCAATCGTCGAGTCAAGCAATGCAGTTGTAGAAGACAGTTCTCAAAGGATGATAGAGAAAAGACAAAGCTATTCGAATCAAGGGGAGATGCCCCCGATAGATATAATTCCATGGCCATCGTGTTTTGTCATTCCCCTCGAGGGGAATTCCATTTCTTTGATGTGAGATGCGGTCATGATTTGGAATTCATTCGTTTTAGGCCGTGGCGCAAACACCTTCCCGATCCACCGTCTTTCAGCCTCCGCCAGATCGCAGCATGATCGAAGCTTGAGACTAGAGCTAACCACTTAAAGAAAACTCAGTTCTTTTCTTTCAAGTGTCGCCCGAGCGTCTGTCAAAAGTTCGGTTCTTTTTCTGCCCCGTGGCTGATTATCAGGAAGCAAAATCACGCTCGCTGAGTGGTTCCTGGCCAAAGAAAAAAAAAGAAAACAGCTAGTTTTCAAGGCCAAACTCAGTCCACATGTTCGCCGGATCCAACAATGATCTTCGCGGTATCACCGAAAGGCCCGCCTGTGTTGGGCGACAACACCACCATTACCACCATTACCACCACCACCACCTCCAACAAACTTCCCGTCTGAAGTTGTATCCCGCGCGCCTGTCATAGGATATTTTTAATTGCATAATGCCGGGCTTTGATTTATGATCCGGATTGTCTGCAGCCGAAGCTGAACACTTGACAATCAATAGTTCAAACCTATATCACTCTGGAATCTGTTGCCGAAAGGATTAGATGGTCATCCATCGAGATGCATATGTTGTAATGCACCCAGCTACCAGGGTAGGAACAAAAAAGAAAAAGAAAAAGAAAACTGGATGCCTGCGAGCTGCGAGGGAGCCCCGTAGCCCCAGACCACCATCTCATCCATTGATCAATACGGTCAGCGAGAAAAGTACCCACATAGTCTACCAGGGCTACGATCCGATCCATGCCCGGCTGACGTCCGTGTAGTAGATCCCCAAAAGACCCGTGCAGAGAATCGATATTCCCTATCGCGGTCCACCCCCAGCAGTCTTGGTATTGATCCTGGAAAATGTGGCTGAACAAGTTATTGCCGGCTTTTGCGGGAATCCTGATATCTGGGTGTCCACCACCCCCGGCCCTCCTGCTCCCTCCAGCGCTCCACAGTTCGTCCAAGGTGAACCGGATCCGCGGACCTGTGAGTGATTCGCCCATTTGCATCCTTCCCAATCCTTCAGATAGCGCGGAGAGGCTGGAAGAGGGGAACGTAGGCAGCAAAGCTGCGTTTTAGACAAAGACAAAAGCTCTTTCTTTGAATAGGCGATAGGGAAAAGAATGAATGAAAGCCCCCGCGAGAAGGGCTGACTGACAGGAAGTACTACTGTGAAACCCTCTTACTAAGCTTTGCCAGATCACCACGTCCCCTAAAAATTTACACTTTGAATCCGGTCGTCCGACTTATCCCCGTAATGCCTTGGTACCGCCGCCAGTAGTATAGTGGGCCACCCCGTGGGCCCTGAGTCGACGATCTTGTCGAGCTGTGATCTCGTGAATCAGTTATCGATCCACGCCGTGACCACATTGCGAACACGAGCCCCATCATGGTGCATTGTTGTAGACGCCGGCATTTTGATCCGGCAATGTTGATCAGTGACCAGGGCTGTACGTCTCAAAGACCTAGGAAAGACTGTCAAACCTAACTTCCGTCAAAGCCGACAGTCCCGACTCCGACTGAACTTTGATAGCTAGGGCATCGATAGTTGTACGAAAACGGCCCGCTCTAGATATCGTTTCTTCTCAACGCCCCAGCCATTGGCCAAGTTTTCCGCCTGCTGGCCTAGTAAAAACTGAAGCAAGGAGATAGACGGTGTCGGTCTCGTATGCTCATTGGCAAACCTCGTGGATCTGGATGGCAATCCTCGTGGATCTGGATGGCAATAGTGCCTTTCTTCCTTCCTCTCAAAGATCAAAAACGAAAGAAAAAAAAGGTAATTGAGTTCGTGGCTATGGGAGATCGTCTTGAGTGACTGGGGTTACGAACCTCAGCTGTCAAAAGGACAAAGTTTAGATCAACGTATCTTCACGCATTGGGGAAAACAGCCGACTGAAGCCAGGATAGTATCGCCGTTCGAAAGGATTCAAAAGCATGCCAGAACCCTCCCACATGTAAATGCAGATGCACATGCCTTGTGGTCAATGAAGGTTTAAATCTCTTTATCCCATTCCTAGTGCGGACCAGGCTTGGTATACGACGACCGGTAATCTTCACGGACTCGTACCTATATTTCTTTGTCTCCCCAGAAGCTCCTGATTGGCCCTTACTCATCAGTTGTGTTAATACCCCTTCACATCTTTCATTTGCATCCAGTCCAGCAACCATGGCGCAGTCAGGGCAGCATCAGATATCAATCCCCCCGCCGGCCAAATGTGCCTCAGAGTCCTCAAGCCCTACCGATTCAGTATTTATCGAGTCTGAGAAGGCCTTCCTCGGAAACATGCCTGACCCTGAGAAGCAACAAGTCAGTATGGATCCAGAAAAGACACTAGGGAGGACCGCATCCTCAGGGTTCCGTGACCTTGAAGCCCAGACCGAACCCGAGCCCAAGAGAAGGTGGTATGCTCCTATCCGGTATACCGCTCTCGACATCTACCGCCGTCTCTTCTCCATCGTTTTCCTCGCAAACCTTGGCGTCTTCATTTGGGTCATGGTTGCCAACCGTACCTTGATGGCCCTCATCAACGCTACAGCTGCCAACGTGCTCGCTTGTGGTTTGGCCCGTCAGCCCTTGGTCGTGAACACCTTCTTCCGCGTTGCATGCTCAATCCCCAGATCGGCCCCGCTCCGGCTGCGGCAGATTGCATGCAAGGTCTATCACTATGGAGGCGTCCACAGTGGTTGCGGAGTCGCCTCGTTCGTCTGGTATATCGGCTTTGTGGCCGTCTTGACCCGCACGTACACAAACCCTCCTGGAGGCCAGGCGGTCATCTCATCTGCACCAGTCATCCTGGCGTACATTATCCTGGTGCTCCTCATGGCCATCATCATTGTGGCCTACCCTGGCTTCCGAGCCAAGCTGCACGACTACTTCGAACTCACGCACCGCTTCTCTGGCTGGGTCGTGGTCGCCCTCTTCCTATGCCTGCTGTTGGTTTTCGCGGACGAAGCCAGAAGAGCTGAAGGCGTCTCCCTGGGCAGCTTCATCATAAAAATCCCCGGTTTCTGGTTCCTGATGATTGTCATCGCCTCCATCATTCACCCCTGGGTGTTCCTGCGCAAGGTCCGCGTGGAGCCCGAATATCTCTCCGACCACGCCGTCAGACTCCATTTCGACTACACCAAGACTGCCTTCGGCAAGGGTATCCAGCTCTCTAAGCATCCGCTTCGTGACTGGCACGGTTTTGCCACCTTCCCCGACCCAGGGGGCAACACCTTCTCCTCCATGGTCTCCAAGGCCGGCGACTGGACAGCAGACACCATCAAGGAGCAGCCCACCCACCTATGGAAGCGTGGCGTGTTGGTCTATGGCTTCGCGTACTCTATGCGTGTCTTCAAGAAAGTCCTCGTCGTCACCACCGGATCAGGCATCGGTCCCTGCTTATCGTTCCTGGGTGATGAGAACCGTCCCGAGCTGCGCGTCGTCTGGCAAACCCGAGCTCCCGTGAAGACATACGGAGAGAAGGTCATTGACCTTGTCAAGCAGATGGACCCCGACCCGGTCATCGTCGACACCAACGAGAGGGGTCGGATAGACATGGTTCCTCTCATCAGGAAGTTGTACAAGGAGTTCGAGCCGGAAGCTGTTTGTGTGATCAGTAACGGCAAGGTCACGAAGAACACGGTTTATGAATTGGAGGCCACTGGTATCAAAGCATACGGTCCCATTTTTGATTCATGATTTCCCTTCTTTTGCGTTGCGGTGTTGGTGTCTTTTGGTGTTGGTTTGTCCTTTATATGGTCTGTTTATGGGCTGGGTTGGTATATCACGCTGATATGAGTTATCCGATATTATTTAATGCTTTTTGAAGAAAACTGATGAGAATGGAGGGGTAAAGATGTGAAAAATCGGTTTCTGTATATAGTAAGGGCACTACCCTGCCTTACCCGATTAAGTTGCATGTGAATATTCCAATGTGATTCAGCTTTCAAAACAATAGAAATCATGTGTATGAGTGCTGAATACTTATGAGTGCCTGTATCTCTGGTGCCCCAATCAGACAATTGTTGCTGTTGCTGATTGTGATACCCACGGCTAGGACACATGGGCATACAATTTATTCGGTTTTATACAACATTGACCCACGAGTCACCAGGTTACGGCGAAAGAGATTCAACTGCGTTGTAACGTGTTGTGTGTAAAACATAATGCGAGGGATAACGTCCTGCTGTGCTTCACACCGGTGATACTGGACAATCAACGATGCGGTATATTAGATATCAAATTAAAGAGCTTTTCTAGCCTGTATATGATAAGTCTAAACAACAACATTCACAAGATGTGAAAAAAAAAAAAAAAAAAAAAAAAAAAAAAAAAAAAAAAAAAAAAAAAAAAAAAAAGAAAAAGAAAAAGAAAAAAGATGATGGGTATCATGCAAGAAAAGAAAAAAAAGAAAACAAGTCCCCAAATGGCCAATCCAACCATCGTCTTCCTTGCGTCGCAGAGAAGAGAATTCTTGGGAGACACGTCTAAATCCGAAAGCAGGAACTTTTCGACCAGGCCATTTTCGACTCTGGTTTCGATAAATAACGATGTTGAAACGAAGTCTTTGAGCATTTGTCTTTGTTTCGCGGGTTGATTCATGGTCTCGTGTCATCATAATGAAACAGAAAAAACGTTGTTGAAAAGCGTAAATAGAGAATAGTAGGGCCACCGTCAAAAGTAGCTTATTGAGAGGATCGAGATTCTGCGGAGATACCGCGGTTGTTGCTTCCAGTCTCTTCCGGTGTCATCATCAGGTCATGGTTGGTCAAACGAGCTTGTTCGTGCGTAGAATGGGTCGAGTCGCCGTCCAGCCGGAGGTTTTCCATTTGCTCCAGGTCTTCGTACTCGGGTAACGGAAGAGGGGATCCTTGATAGTCCTCCATAGTGCTCTCGTGGTCGATCTTGGTGTAACCGGGCGGACTAGCAGGGACATCCTCGTAGACAGGTGGCATTTCCTCGTCCCAGCTGATACCCAAACCGCATCGTTCGGTGACATTGAGGTTGAACTGCATGCGAAGCACACGTGCTGCGCCAGTTGGCGTCATAAGGCGAGCGTTTCGGTTAGAACAGAATTCCTCGGCGACAATCAATTCAATCACCAGGTTGTGCTTTGCCTCCAGGCCACCAGGAGCTTCCAAGTCGCAAACCGGGTTGCACGTCGGGTTGATGTTAGCTTCGAATTGCATTCTGATCTCGCCGCCCGCGGTATCGAAATCAGTTTTCCAGCCACTCTTCTCTTCGTTATGACCAATAACCCGTGTCTCCTGGTGCAAGACTCCCTTTCCTTCACCACCGATTTTATGGGCATGTCTGGCACAGGCAACGGACACAAGCTTCTGATGCTCTTCGATCCGCCACATCATTTTCCGCAACCGCCAGCGGGTCTGTGTTTCCTCACCCTTCTCAACCACTCCACTGAGTGTCATTTCGACGGGAAAGGTGCCAATGGGGTGAACCACCGAGGGAAGCACGACGCGGCCAGTGAGGTTGGTAGGAGGAAAGACGCGAATTGACGCCTTGTCGTTTCCTGGGATAAGTGCACGCTTGATGTGCAAGGGCATCTTGAAGGTGAAATCCTCGCCAGTGGTGTTGTGTGCGCGAGCCGAGAGGAAATATTCGATCTGGCCCAATGAACCGTTGCAAGAAGCAGGAAGGTGGCCAGGAAAAAGATAGCTGAAAGGGAACTCATGGGTTCCAGGCATGAGGTGCAAAGGCTCAGTAAGGAAATTCCAGTGGGTCAGTTCTTCCGTACGAGACAGACATGACTGACAGTCTCGCGAAACCGGCTTTTTGGTGGAGGCCTTGGACATTAGACGCATATCCAAGCTCTCCAGGTTGACAATACCCACTGTGTCTGCCACTTCAACCCGCAGACGACCGGAGAACAAAGCACCAGTGGAGTTTGCAGGGGTTCCGTAGCAGACCAGAGGAGGCGACTCCACCATCACATCTAGTTTGACCGACGTAGCCAGAGCATCCTCCTTGCTGGTCCGTTCCTTGGAGCGGCCCAGACTGCGGCGTTTATCCTTGCTGTTGTCCCGATGAGGGTGGATCAATTGATCCATCGCGACGGACAGACGACGCTCTGGAGACCTCGCACGGTCATGGTGATGCTTGAACACGTTAGGTTTCTTGGGGAGGATGGAGAGGGTGTGGTGGTTTGTCGAGCTGTGAGGGATTTCATTGACGGAAGATGAGGATGAAGAATTGGAACGTGAAGAGGAGCTAGAGGAGTGAAGAGAATAGGAGGGGCGAATGAGGTTGGAAAGAAGACGGCCAGGCATGACGTATGGATTGCAATTGATCCGTCTTCAAGAGAGTATTATATGCGTCTGTGATATTCGACAAGTTGAAGAGCAGACACAATCTGTCTAGGTACACTCAGGTATAACAGTATGGAGCGCAGAGAGAAGACGAGAAGCTAAAAACCAGCATAATCCAATTGCCACAAAGAAGTAGTGTTGAGGGCTGCCGTGTGTTGGTATGATGACTGGTAGTTGGTGACTGTAGTTGGTAGTAGTAGAGAAGAAAGAGGAGCAAAGTGGGTGGCTTCCGTATTTGAATGAATGACATAGCAAAAAGGGAATTTTTTTATACTTTGACTATTTCTAGGAGATTCCCTGATCTGGCCAATCAGAGACACGGTTGACAACGGTCCAGACAGAAGAATCTGTCACTGGCAGTGGGGCGATGGAGCAGGCACGGCAACGTATGTAACGGTAATGTACGTGTACGAGTACATACAATACACGCATGGCATCAAGGTACCTCAGCATCTCACCTCTGTACACTCGGTATACTCTGTACAGCGCATTGTATAAAGATAGCGGTGGAGGATAGAACCACACGGCTAAGCAATCATGCAAAATGGCATCAAACCACTGGGCTCTAATGCCATTAATACATACGAGTACATGAATAGTATGTCTCGCGCCCTCTGACATATCAAACCAAGTCAGGCGATCTTTATTTGTACGCCGACTATTCTAGCCGATTTGCATCAACAATCATCGCCTAAACCCTGGTAGTGCTTGTAGAGGACCGCCTGCGCAGATGACTCATAACCGTCACAGGTGGTCTTTGTTTGCCTGAGGCCATGCCTAGGACAAATTAGATCATGCTGAGGCTGGCCACTCTCAGGGGTACGTATTCTAGAATGTATGTCTCTTGTCTCTGTCAACTGCCACAGTTCAACGTCTGCCATCGGTGCCGTCATCCCACCATCACGTGGCGTCATGCTGTTTCTCCAGTCGATGCGGTGACCGCCGACAATACGCGTACAATACCGGACTCCTGTAGGGCTAGTGGGAGATCCTCTGGATCCAAAAGTGACGCTTTGCCTCATCTGGCTAGCACTACGGCCATCGGGTCCACTGGCGATGAAATTTTCTGATTCGATTTTTCCGTAGACCCACTGAGCTTCCTGAATAAGAAAAGTAGAAAAGTGAAAAAAAAGTCTTGCGGCTTTCGATCCGTTCCCTGTCATACCGTACAGTACGATATACCTTCATTAGGGAAAAATACCCCGCATTGTAGGATGGCTCTTGCGTCACTCTCTACTGTGTATATTTGACCATGAAGGTCAATATATATTGCTCAGTATTGAGTAAGAAGTCCAGAAGAGTACGAAACCACCAGAAATCATGAAACAACCTCATTGTCGTACCAGTATTAGTCAAAGAAATCCACCCGTTGTCGGTCTCAGGAACAAACAATTACATAACATGACACTCAGGAAAGGAACGTGATCTCGGAAGATCAGGCCATTGATCGGAGGGCGTAGTCTGATACAATATGTGTTAACCGGCAAACCACTCCAGTGAGCTTCCTCTTTGGTTCCGGCCCGGTGCTGCCGGCATGTACCAGCCATGAGTCAACTCGGTTGCTTTAATTTACTTTTGAGTACGTGCTCGACTGAGGGGTTTATTTTACCACCTGCATACTAGCTACACCAGTCTAGCGCTGGAGAATTCTCCGCGGGCATCATCCCACGGGGCTTTTGAAAACTCTGTCGGAAATCCTCCTGCAGTCATTGTCAATCATAATACCGGCCATTATGAGTGCTTTGCTCGAAGAATACCGTATTGCCGTCGTTTCGGAGTTCCAACCGAGATCATGCGCTAGGTGTTCAGTGGTCAATTGTGCCGCGCTCGGCCCGTGTAATACGCCTGAGGCATTAATACGGCTAACGGTTTCGGAAGGGATAGGGCTTGTTGCTAGGGCTGTAATGCGTCACAGTAATTTGGTACTCTGCCATCCTAGCTACTCCGTGCACGGAAAATTGCCAGTGATGTTCCATATAATGTTTGTATGACCATTAGTAGCCAGGGACAAGAACTGTCTGCGGAATAACTGCTTTACCGGATCTTCGACCCCGGATCAACTCACGTGATCCACGTGACCACATCCAACTTTACTCCAGAGGTTCTTCAATGCCACCGTGTCATTGTATAGACTACGCACACATACGCGCGTCTTTGGCAGATAACGTTCCATATCATCAATTCCTCATCCTACGTTTGCATCGCAACTAGGAACGTGGCCATTGCATTGCAGGCCAAACACGAAGCATCGAGGATGCGATGAACTGAACCGCATTCCCCACTGCTCCACAATCCGCATTGCTTGAGCTCCCCCTGAGGTGACGAAGCTCCAGCTTCTTCAACATTCCCGAACAATTCCAATTACCAAAGAGCACAATGTCGTCATCAGCGGACTTATTCACAATAGGTCTCGCCATCTCTGCCGTCATCATTTTCTGGGGTCTCTCCTCGACTTCTTCCTCACCGTTTGCCCGCTCGTTTCCGCGGTTATACAATAAGCGGATATGTCTCTTGATTGCGCATCCGGACGATGAGGCTATGTTCTTTTCGCCGACGGTATTGTCGCTGACAAGGCCGGAGATGGGGAATCATCTCAAGATTCTGTGTCTGAGTAATGGTGCGCCTATGTCTTGTATCGCGAGATAAGAAGAGAATAAAGACAACTGACATCATGGCAACACAGGAGATGCCGATGGCCTCGGCGCCGTCCGCGCAAAAGAACTCCAACAAAGCGCCAAAAAGCTCGGTCTCCGTAGCGAATCTGACGTCTTCGTCGTCGACGATCCCTCCCGTTTCCCTGATAGCATGACTGCAAATTGGACCGAGAGCGATGTATCCAATGTGCTTGCCTATGCATTTGCCCCCGAGCTCGCCTCCGCCACGTTGAAAAAGAAGAGCACAAATAAAGGGCCTCCGGTCTCGACCATCGATGTGCTGTTGACTTTCGATAAACATGGTATCAGCAACCATCCCAACCACCGCTCGCTGTATTACGGAGCTCTAGACTTCCTGCGTTCGTTGATGAAGGATAAGCCTGGTTATGCATGCCCGGTCTCATTGTACACATTGTCTACGACGACTATTTTCCGGAAGTATATTGGTGTCTTCGACGCGCCGTTGACTATGCTCCGCGGCGCATTGCATACCATTTTTTCGGGCAGTGGTAAAGGAAAGGGCAAGAAGGATGAGCTGCCTGGTCAGCTGCTGTTTATTAACTCTGTTAATGAATATCTCACTGCGCAGTCGGCGATGGTTAATGCGCATAAGAGCCAGATGGTCTGGTTCCGGTATGGGTGGATTACCATTGGGAGATATATGGTTGTAAATGATTTGAGGAGGCAGTGGGCTTGAGCGAAGCGAATGATACTTAATCTTCGCTTTACTCTTTGTCTAATTTGGACTGTTATATATTGTATGATAAACCCGAAATGAATTATTACCACATAAATATCATCCTTGCGGACTCAAACATTGCTAGACTAGATATTTAACAACAATACCGACCTGGGTATCAATCACTGATAGTACGGTTCAGTGTAGTAAAATATGCATCAGACAGTCATATAATCGTGACGAGAGAACGAAATTGGGACGAAAACCACAATTGTCTTCCCAAGTGGAAGAAGCAACTTGGAAATTACTCCGCATCACCAGCAGCATCCCCAAACCTCGGAGCACCACATCCCCAAAACAACCGATTCAGCGGCGGATTATCAAAATCCACTGAGGAGAACGCCCACCGACACCGTTCCCAGAAGAAATCATCATCAACTTCACGCTGTTCTTTTCCATCTACCTCTCCATCTGCACCAGGATCGCCAGTAACCCGACTCTGACTAGGAACCCTATCATGGTAGTTGACGTAAGCCTCGCCCCATTGTGTCTTTCCACAGAACTGCACCAGTCCCCCGCGCGTATGGTAAACGAACGACTCCGGTAAGAAATCCTGCCATTCTTCGACTGCACGAGGGAGAAGACATCGTTCCCAGACTGGATTGTTGCGGCCTGTCCAGCGGTTGTTTATCACCAGGAGACGGGCAAGTCGTTCCATAATCATGGTTTGTTGCGCGGTGTGCAGACGGAGGATGTCATAGTTGTGTACTGCGTTTGCGAGAGATGAAGATTGGAGGGTTTCATTTCGCTGCATAGAGTTGGTGCGAGTGTGTAACGCACAGAGGTATTCTTCGATTATGTATCTTGCTTTCTTACGTTCCTGCTGAGTTTCGTTTAGTAAATTGTAGGCAGCGCGCATGTGGTGCAGGAACTCGGAGAGCCTGTCTCGGTCCCAGGCTGTTTTGGCGAGCATGTGGTGGATCTGAACTGTTGGACGGACGTTGTACGGCGTTGAGGTCATGGTCTGGAACATGCCAGTTAGCAAGTCGTAGGGGACCTTGCCCTTAGCATTGCGCTTTGCGTCAGGGCCGAATCGCGGACGGGACAGCACGAAGGCCCGTTCAAATAACTCAAGCCATACCCTTTCTGGGACTGGGAGACTATAAGCATGAGAAATGAACTCGATTGTACGTAGAGCAGCTGGAATCTTGTTGTTTGTACCAAGCACATGGGCAACTGTGAAGAGGAGACGACTGCTAGGGTGTAGAGGTGACGAGGGATTGTACGTCATTGCTGGTGGTAGCTTTGAATTGTCCGGCTCTGCCAGCAGTGCATCGACATTGACATTCCACGCCGTCTTCAGCACATTCTTGATGCCTCTTAGATGCCCTACCCGGCCGCAAGCCAGAATCACATTCACAAAGGTTGCCTCGTTCCCTTGGTATCCTGCCTCCGTCATCTCATTGAAGATATCCAGTACCTCTTTGCGGACACTTCGACCAGCAGCCCCGTAGCCCTGCCAGCCTTCATTGGGATCGACGAACCTTCGCTTGCGATAAGCAAATGGGGTCATTCGCAGGTTGTACTTTTCCCGACCAGTGTACGCCCCATCCCAGACCTTGGCTTCCATGTAGTAGTTGTAGCATTGCACATCCGGATGCACTTCACTTTCCTTCATGCCGTACCAGATCCTGTCTGCCACTACCGCATTGCCAATTGACCGCGCGCAGTCTAGCAGATGCGTGTATTCAGCTAGACCTAGGTAGTTTCCTGCAGACTGACGGAGCTGCACAATTGCCGCGATGTTGTTTATAAAGTCATCACAGATAGACTTTAGTGACTTGTATCCTTTCGCTTGTACTGTCGAAGGATGGAGTGGTCGGTGTATTTCACGATACGGATCTATGAAATAGCCCGGCGATAAAAGATGCAGGGCTTCAACAAATGTATTCTGGGGCATTGATGCGACCATCCCAGCATAGTGAGGGTCTCGCATCGCATCCATAACCTGATCCGGCTGCGCATTTTGAATTATCTGGTGGAATTGGTCTTCTTTCTCTATTTCTGTTTGGTATGCTGGCTCCGGCTCGTCCTCCAGAGGCCCGGGGAATTGTGCTAGCGCAAACTTCCCTCCATCTCGGGCCTTTGCATCTCCCCAATTACTCCCAATTTGTGTCCCAACAGCAGCAGGCGTAGTCTTCTTCCCCTTATGGATTGAGAAATTCGTAGAGTAAATAGTGGTCGAAGTAGAAAATCTGCGGGCGGAAGCTAAAAGAGCGTACCGATATGACATAATATTCACCCGCATTGAATCTCGAAGACGAACATACAAAAAAAAAAGGGAAAAAGAAAAAAAAAAAAAAAAAAAAAAAAAAAAAAAAAAAAATAACAAAAAGAGCGACAAAAAGAGACGAAAAAGAGAAACAAGGGACGACATCTTCAAGAATAACACCAGCAGTCAAAATAACAACAATAGTCAGTGCAACACAGCAGGGAATACAGACATTCACTTTGCTTCCTCACCAAGTCCGCACTGCTGGCTTGGCGGCGATTCACTTCTGCTTCTCTCCAGCAGAACCACCATTTCACAACCCCCCAATTCACCATTTACCTCCACATTCGATTCTCAAGATGGCCGACAATGAGGATGCGGGCCCGTCTTCCGTCTCGGAGCCTTTAGACTTGGTGCGTCTGTCGCTCGACGAGATCGTCTTTGTGAAACTTCGCGGGGATCGCGAGCTCAAGGGTCGTTTGCACGTGGGTGTCCCGATACAGATATAGCCTGCTGGGCCTGGGTATTGATGCAGATTACTAGGCCTACGACAGTCACTGCAACTTGGTGATGGGAGAGGTGGAAGAGACCATTTACGTTGTGGAGGAGAACGAGAGCGAGGAAGAAACCATCAAGGTACGGGTTAGAAGCGCCGGGGTTCGATTCTGAGGGGAGGCTGACATATGCGCGCTGTCTAGACGATCAAGAAGCAGGAGGAAATGCTTTTCGTTCGAGGTGTGTACTGAATCTTTCCGTGATACTGGCCCACAACAGTTTACTGATACGATTCTTGCGCTAGGTGACTCGGTGGTCTTGATCTCTCCCCAGGCATGATTGCGATACGTTTACCCACCGAATAAAGGAACTATAATGAAATCGATCAGGAAGAAGGGAATATTCGGACAAGGAATGGATAGACGAGACATGAACTGCGGGAAGCTATAGAGCTACGGACACCCGACCTACGGCCATGAAATGATACCACGAAGACAGTTAATGTCCTGCTGGATCGATGATACTAGCAAAAACTCCGTTTCTATGAATAAAAGGATATGAAGAAGCGCCAGGACCGGGGGTACAAGACGGGCAGTGACAGCAGTGCTGAGGCGACTATTCACCCTGAATCCGTGTATATTTTTTTTTTTATTTGTATTCCAGATTGACTCATATCTTCCATTCTGCCCGTAGTAAGAGTAATACAAGCAGTACTGGTAGTGGTAGGAATCTGCCTTGGGGAATGACTCAATGGCTGCCCGCAGTGATGACTCTCCGCCTCTTAAAGCTTCCATTGCCCGTCCTCTATTCCACGTTCTTCCTCTTCACCCTCCCTTTTCATTCTTATTTCTTTCACTATTTCTAGACTAGAAGTATGATCACTCGAATATCTACCTGATTGCGGTACAACGCGATCCATTGTCTCTCCTGTCCGACCGAAGAATACACCTATCTACTTGATTGGAACTACGAAATACAACTACACTAACTACGTGTTAAAAAAGACAGCACAATCATGCCGTCTGCTCCGAAGCTGACGCTGGAGGAGCGGCGCAGAGGCGAGATCGTTCGTCTGCCTACTCATCTGCTTGCTCGTTGTATCCAAGCTTACCGGTTCTCCGCAGGCCCTCAGCGAATTCGCGGAATATGCAGACAAACAGCAAGCCTACCGAACTCATGTTGCCCCCAGCGCTCCTGGCGACAGTGACTACTCGACCAATACCCATGAAGATCACGCAGAACTCGAGATCCTTGACCAACTCGGACTGTCCGATACCCCCTGCACCGTGAAGTTGAAAGACCTCCTGCTAGGCACGGGCGAGAACATGGAGGATAGCATACAGGCGTTGGCAAGGATCATTCAGACTCGTATTGATGAGGGTCACGGAGAAACCATATTCGATTTGGGTCTTGAGGATGGTGGTGATTCTATGGGGTTTGGCCTCGAGCAGTGGAATACGGCTCTACAGCGCCTGCGGGAAGCTGCGGGGACGCTCCCCGCGCATGACCGCATTCTACTTACGCACAATGTTGGCGGCCCGGCAGAATCCAAAGTCAAGAACGACCGCATCCAAGGCACCTGGGGTAAAGTTCTTTTGCGCCAGCCCACTGAGAGTGTGGAGGAACTGGCAGAACTTCGAGTGGCGGTGGTGGGTAATGTCGATGCGGGCAAAAGCACCATGCTGGGAGTCCTCGTGAAGGGGAGCTTGGACGATGGTCGCGGAAAAGCCCGAGTCAACCTCTTCCGCCACAAGCACGAGATCGAGAGTGGACGTACCAGCTCAGTGGGACTGGAGATCATGGGCTTCGACAGTCATGGAGAGATCGTTGGCAGCTCACAGGGCCGGAAGATGTCCTGGGAGGATATTGGCAAGCGATCTTCCAAAGTGATCTCCTTTTCTGATCTGGCAGGCCACGAACGGTACCTGCGAACCACCGTGTTTGGCATGCTAAGTGGAAGTCCCCATTACTGCTTGCTGATGGTTGCGGCAAATAATGGATTGATTGGAATGAGCAAAGAGCACTTGGGCATTGCGCTGGCATTGAATGTTCCTATCATGGTGATCATCACTAAGATTGATATATGTCCTCCTCAGATCTTACAGGAGACCATCAGCCAACTGAGGAAGATTCTCAAGTCCGCTGGTGCCCAAAAGATTCCCATTTTTCTCGACAACATGGAAGAAGCCATCAACACCGCAGGGCAAATGGTCAGCCAGAGGATATGCCCCATTTTCCAAGTGTCCAATGTTACCGGAGAGAATCTCGACCTCGTGCGAACGTTCCTGAACATACTCCCCCATCGTGTGCAATACAATCCGGAAGGGCCTTTTGAGTTCCTAATTAACGACACGTTCTCAGTCCCTCATGTCGGCACGGTAGTTTCAGGGGTGGTCAAATCAGGAGTTATCCACGCTGGAGACACCGTCGTGGTGGGACCCGATTCTCTGGGACAGTTTACAACGACGACAGTCAAATCTATCGAACGGAAACGCATACAGGTCAACGCTTGCTTTGCTGGACAATCTGGCTCCTTTGCTCTGAAACGGGTACGAAGGAAAGAGGTCCGCAAGGGAATGGTGGTCCTGAGGAAGATGGACCAGCCCCCTAAGGTCTACCGAGAGTTTATAGCGGAGGGTAAGTTCAAAGAGTTCTATGCTATAACGCAATTTGCTAATTTTTGCAGTTCTGATTCTTTCTCACGCGACCATGATCAAACGACGATACCAAGCGATGCTTCACGTAGGGGCTGTCAGTCAGACCTGCTCGGTGATTGACATTGACCGTCCCTTCATCCGCACAGGAGATCGTGCTCTGGTTGCTTTTAGGTTCATCCAGCGCCCTGAATTTCTCGCGCCTGGTGATCGAGTCCTTTTCCGAGAGGGGAAAACTAAAGGATTAGGAATCGTTAAGAGTGTTGGCTACGACCCGGCGAACCCACTGTATCCGGATGCAAAGCTGAATGAGGAGACGTAGCCTTATTGCTTGGAATAATGTTTTCAATTTGCTGTGTTTAGCCTGGCGTCTGTTAGTTACGAATTATGATTTTTTCGGTCTGTTAGGGGTTTCTTTTCGTCGGTGTTCTTGATTATCATGTAGTACTACGAATGCACAATGATGCCAAATGTAAGCGGCACACTACTATGTATAGAACATGAAGATCAGCCATGAAGCCATACCCCGACATTGCCTGTTTATCGATTTCCCCTTTCGCCAGCCAACGCGGCCATGACGTCAAGCATGACACTAACTGGTTCTCCCCAGCCGCATTAAGGTAGGAGTACTATGATTCCATACTATGATTCCACGGACACCCAGAGTTTGTTCGTTGAATCTAATATGTGGCCATCCACTGACGTATGTTGCTGTCTGCTATTTCCAGATCCTTATATAGGGCCGTTGTCCGGTCAGATCTTACCACCATAATACATTACTTGGCAATCAATTCGATAAGACTTAGCTTGGATTTTTTTTAAATTTATAACTTTAACTACCTTGGCTAAGGCTAAAGTGTCCGCTCCGCCATAATGGAGACTATCAACAAAGCCCTCGACTCCGCTTCGCATGCTATCTGGGGTGAAACCCACCCCCAGCACCAGCAGCACGGCGAAGAGCCTCTCTCCGGAGTCCAAGGACAAGGGAAAACTACAGACCCCTATGATGCCGGAAACCGCGATGGTAAGTTTCTGCCTATAACGACATTAATGCAACATAGAACCCTAGCTAATTGAACAAACAGTCCAGCCCGACGCTCCCTCCACAAAATCCCCAACAGCGACCACACCTGCCTCCCAAAAGAAATCCACCCTGGACCCCACCGGCCGCTCCTCCGAGCCCCTCAGCCCCGCCGTCAGCGAAGACGTAGAACCGCAAGTCGGAGGATACCCCCGCCCGGGAACCGACAACGACTTTGCATCCGCGGGACTAGCTTCCGGCGTCCCAGAGGAACCGGGTTTAGATGCGGATCCGGTGCTTAATGGTAGTGAGTCGTCGGGGGTTGATCCGAAGAGCGTGAGTCAAGCCCAAAAAAAGAGCCAGAACCAATACCAGGGGATGGCGAATTCGACGGGCGTTCCGGAGGGTGAGCAGAGGACTGTTATGGGAAATAACCCGCCTGGCTTGAATTCAAGGACCAGTATGGGTCCTGGGTTGGGGGCGATGGGGGAGCCTAATGCTGCAGTGGCTGGGGGTTCTGCTGGTGGTGGCGCTGGCGCTGGTGCTGGTATTGGTGGTGGCGCTGCTGCCGCGGGAAGTACTGCCGGACGAGGTGACAGTGGCACCAGCCAGGCTGCTGAGCAGAGAGCTAGTAGTAGTGGTGGTGGCGACAAGAGTGTTCAATATGGCAAGCCATCCGGTGGAAATGACCATCATGTTAGCGAGGAGGCGCTCAGAGGTCCGCAGGGGCCGCCTCCGAAGAAGTATGAGTTTGAGGAGATGGAGGGCAAGGCCCCTAGTAAGAGTGCTGGTGGAGGTATGTTTTCTCCTTTTCCTTCATTCGTCATGGTATGTGAAGCTAATGTATTGCTTGTAGGAGGCCAATCGCAACCTCAAGGAGGGAAGGCCCAGAACGGGAACGGTGGACATCACCATTTCAAGGCTATGGAGAAGATGAAGGAGAAGATGGGTAAAGCAACTAAGGCTGGAACTCATAAGTAGACTTGCTTGCATAAAAGATTGGGTTGATTTCTGTATTAGTATCTCATAATTAAGTAAATGACATTGTTTTGATATAACGTAATCCACAGCCGAGCTGACCATACAACCGAGCTGACCATTTTCTCCGCAACTTCCAACAATCATTCTTCAACGCGTCATATTTTCACCATCACCATAAAAAATGTCTCTTTCTCAGGAAGCCCAAATGCAAATGGCCATTGAAGCTTATAGAAAGAAAAAAATCCGATCAAAATCGCGCGCTGCTGCAGTATTTGGTGTGCCTAAAGCTACCTTGCTCAACCGGCTTAGAGGAATTCAACCACGGTCAGAAACACGCGCTAATGGCCATAAATTAACAATTTTTGAAGAAGAAGTCCTAGCTAAGCGTCTGCTAGATGCAGATAAACGAGGGTTT